CGAGAGAAATACCTAATAATTAATATAATATATCTTTATTAGATATATAAATAATAAGAAATTATAGAAGTTAAATAGATTAAAGAAGAATTAAATCTTGCTAATTTCATAACGAAATTAAAGCTAATAAATACTCTTAAATACCTAATTAATATAAATATTATATAATTAGATATAGAGAAATAAGTTAAATATAAATAGAATAGAAAATAGATATATAGAATAGGAAAATATTACAAAAAGAGAAGTTATATATAAAAGATTATAGCCTTTAGTATATAACTAAAACCTCAGAAGTAATATAAATATATAGAGTATTTAGGAAATCTAATATTAGGCCAAATTAAGGAATTTATATATAATTAGAAAGAAATACTATTTTTTATATTTTTAGAAAGTTTTTAATATTAGTATAACTATTCTTTTAGGAGTTATATATATAGTTATAGGATATAGGATATAGAATATAAGTAATAGGATATAAGTAATAGGATATAGGTAATAGGATATAAGATATGAAATATAGTTATATAATTTTATATCCTATTAGTAATTTGACTAGTAAACTAGATCCCTTTAGGCTTAGTAGATTTAGGAATTATATATTAATATTATAATACTATAATTCTTACTTCTAAATAAGAACTTTACTAACCTTATATAAATAGTACTTCTATATTTATATAATAGTATTATATATTTCTAGTAAATTAATAATAGTATTATTAAATATAGAAATATAAAAGTTTATATAATAAGCTATATATAGAAATTTAAGAAGATTTAAATTATCTCGAATTATTTATAATTATTAAAGTAAATTAGCTAATTATATAAATTAAGTATAATTTAATTATTATTAATATATCTTAGCTTTTATAAGTTAGTAAAAAAAAGAATATTTATATCTTTATTTTTATAACTATAATACCTAAAATTATAATTTTTTTAATATTTAAATATATTTAATCTAGGGCTATTAAGTACTAATATTTCTATTTTTAAATATTATTTATTATAAATTTATTCGGATTTAAATAATTATATTAAATATATATCTTTATATCCTAAAAATAAATAATAAAGATATAGCTATATTAGCTTTAATCTTAGCCTCAATCTTAATCTTAATTTTCTTCCGAAAATAACTTTAATTCTAATATATAATACTATTATTAAAGCTTTTTTTTATTAAAGATATATTAAATATAGCTTTAGGTAATAGCTCTAATAAAGGCAAAAGTAGTAGAAAAAATAATAAAGCTATAAATAAATAGAAAAATAATATTTATAATATATTCTTTAATAATTTAGATTTAATTTATAATATTTTTTCTTATTAATATATTTAACTAATAAATCTCTTTATTTCTTAACCTCTTTCTTATATATAACTTTCTTTTTCTTTTCTATAATAATACTTTAATCTTCTTATATTATCTAATAATACTACTAAAATAGTAAAGTAAATTAATAATAAGATTAAAAATTAGAGAAATAGAGCTATACTAGGGCAGGAAGCTAAAGAAATTAGAGAAAAGCAAGGCAAATCTAGAGATAAGCTTAGTATATATTTATAGAATTAAATTCTCTTAAGCTTATATTACTTATAGTAATAAGAAGAAATCAAGAGGCCCTTTTAAATACTATATAGTTATAAAAGGCGAATTTAATAGTATTTATATAAATTATAGATATAATAATAATAGTAAAGTTTATACTTTCTATTAACTTAATACTAATCCTACTAAGTCTAGAAAGCCTTATTCCGTATTTATAAAACCCTTTATACTAAAGCCTTAACTATCTATAAGATATAGAAAGCAAATATAAAGATAGATATAAGATTAGAAGGTAATAGGGAAGAAGGTTATAGTAGAGGAGGGTAAAAATACTAGAGGAGAAAGGAATAAAGGAAATATAGATAATTCGAGTAATATAGGTAATACGGAAGATATAGAAAGTAAGGAAGATAGAGATATGCCTCGTAATCCATGGGATTTGCCTTACGGACCACGCAAGCTAAGGGGGGGTTAGGAGTAGTCGAGAATAAGGCGTATATACTGTACTTTTTTTTTTAGTGAGGTGTGGTGGGGGGGGGGGGGGTGTGGGCGCGAAAATCAGAAAATCACTTTTCGCTTCTCGGATTTGTCCGCTAGCCCGCTAATGGCCTCAGTAGAGTGAGCGCGTCAGCATTCAAGAATGGACGGAGCCTTTTCGAGCAATATCAGCACCGGCTGAAAGTAAGCACGATACGTTGTGGGGTAAACTTGACCCAAACTTCCTTCGTGAAGAATCGGCATGGCATTATGAGAACGATAAGACGTCGGTTCACGTCACTAGCGCATACTCTGACAGGATGGACAGAATATGCACCATCTCGGGGCAGCTTCATCCCTAGTCCCTACATTAGGGGGTTTTAGTTGAGCCAGAGTATCGCTTAAGTTGAACCATATTATCAAACTCTGCATATGCTCGTTTATTTAGCTGATATATAGTATTGCTTAAAGAAGCGAGACAGCTAACCGAGCAAATGAAATAGGTAGATTTTGTGGCAATTATATTTTAGGCATGTGCTTTGCATATGCTCTCCTTATGCTCTGCGTATATACAGGCTATAGCTATACGGGCTAGGAAGGTTCAGGTTAGTCCCGAGCTTGCGAAGGGGCTTAGGGTCAGTGCTATCACGACCCTGAGCGGAAGACCTGGTCTGGTAAACAGCTCTGTTTGGGTGTGTATGTAACGTCTAAAGAGAGAAGAGAAGAGGAGGAGCGGGGAGCTTGAGACTAGGATACAGGGTGCCACGCTAGGGCCAGGCCATGTGACGCTGACGTCACAACAAGTGGTTAGGGTCTGGGTTAGTCCGGGGGGTTGGGGGGCGGTGAGAACCCCCCGCATTGGGATATATTAAAGCGTAAAGGCCCTACGGGTTGGGGTTAGCATATGCTAAGTATATGGATCCCATATACCGAGCATATGCTAAAGCAATAGCAATAGTAAAACAAGATATATTCTAACTTACTTATATACTTCTTAGTAATAAGGGTAAAGCATATGCTCGGTATATGAGTTCCAGATACCGAGTATATATTACAGGTAGTAATAGAGCAGGATATATTCTAGTTTGCTTGTGTGCTTCTTACTAACAAAGGTTAAGCATATGCTAAGTATATGGGTTCTATATGCCGAGCATATGCTTGAGCAATAGTAAAGGAAGATATATTCTAACTTACTTAGGTGTTTCTTAGTAGTAAAGGTTAAGCATATGCTAGGAGTATGCCTGGCGGGCCGTTGGGAGGAGGTCCGGTTTGGAAGGATACTGTAAACGAGGACAGGTGTCTATGTATCGTTAAAGATAGTGGGCACAGTGTGGTTTTTGGTGAGGAAAGTTGATCCATATTATGGAAAATACAAGGGTATTCTCGCTAATTGATAATATGGTTCAACTTAAGCGATACTATGGTTCATGCTACTGGCTCCTACATCAGCTACAATGTCTGTATGCAAATGCATTCGGATTTTCAGTTGATGAAAGATCGCCCAGATCAAATGCAAGACACAAAGCCTTCCTAGATAACTGCTCAACTATTTCGAATAAGATGTCGACTGCACCGATGATGCAAGCATCTGGACTGATGAAGCTTTTGCCAAAGGGAAATTTGGCTCCATCTGCTCCACTGCCCAGTGTGACGGCTGGCGTAAGGGCATGATCTGCCAAGGACAGGATATCGGAAACAGGCACAAAACGAAGCTAAGCCGGAATTGCTTGGACGGAACAATACTAAAGGTCGAGGCATCCTCCCTACTTTGTTCCATAGCTTAGTATTTTCCAATACATGAGATTCTTTGAACTTTGAGCCTTCGACCATTGCATTGATCCCGCCGTCACACCCAGCTCTCCTCTGTAAGCGACGAACAACTTATCAGCATCGAACAAGAACTCGGCCCAAGAGCAGGAGCAACCGATGTGAAATTAGGTTGAGCAAAGGAATTCTTCCAGTAGTGAGTTTTCAGATGTTGCCTTTCCAAGAGACTTACCAAGCAGGTGGCTAGATTGGACTTTCTGCCAGACGTCGAACCGAAGAGTCGAAGTAAGTACATCTATCTATCTGCCAGCGCGGTTTTGCTTAGCAGAAGAAGTCTCTGCTTTCTTCCAGTTTTCTGTATAGTCGATCTTCCTTTATACTACTGCAGGTCGGTGGTAATTTAGTAAATTTTACGGCCTTCTGAAATGGATCTCTTTTTTTCTCTCAATCTCCGTTGCCTTCCCCTATTCATTTTCATTGCGTGACTGGTGATGGGGGTGGGCGATTTTAAGGTAGTTGAGCCCTTAAAAAAATGGCCTGAGTCTGGATAATGCTGGATGAGGTTGAAGTTTGAGAAGTCAACAAACCCCTGATTACGGCGGCCCATAACGTTGGAAGCCGCAACCCCTTTCCAGAGACGAGTGTCACGTGAGCGAGGATAAACAATTTGATTTCCTTGTCAATTTTCTCAACCTGTGTGATGAATCTTGACGCATAATTTCGTTTGAGATTTCTTGTATTGTTAGAGTTCAGTGGGTGGCATCAAGAGAGGCGAAATTTGAGAGTACTCTTCCAGACATTCAAAATTGAAACTGGCTTTGCTTGAGTTGGAATAAGTTCTCACAGAAGTGAATTCAAGCATGAACACTTTTGATTTACAATGTGGCCTTTCAATTCTTAGTTTAACATGCTGGAAATGTCGCAGGATTCATCCCAACGTCCATGGTCTCTCACATTTGACCCATTTACTTCGGAAATTAGGGAGCCCTGTCACGTGCTGCGCATAGGCGTATATATAGCTTCTTCACCGCCCTTAGGGCACGATCATTCATTACAATATACACAAACACACCCACATTCCACTTCCACAGCTTGTCCAGGCCGTGACAAGCCCCCTTCTAACACGGCCAAGAGATATTGTGCGACTTATGTTCAATTGATTTTGTAGATTGGATTTTCTATCAATTAATATAGATTCCAACCCGCCGTTCATAATTTATGTATCTTTCTCGAGACTCGATTGAAGGCTCTCGCAAATTGACCGCCAGCGATCTATTCGGCTCCTCTCCTTTCCATTGGCGATCACGCTGACACTATCGCTGATATCAACTGTCCTCGCATCCCAGTCATCACACTTGTTAAAGCCTCCAGACTCGCCCTCGTTATCGCTCATCCAATTTTGAATCCATCCTTTATCCACATGGCTTATCCACGCTGCCTCCAGTGATTCTGCATAACCATCATCTGCATAGTCTGCAAAGCGTGAATCCTGATCTGGAGTCTCGAGGAAGATTCCGAAGGTTTTTGCATGGTGCTTCGCTTCGGACAAATCGTTCTCGGCTCGAATGAGATCTCCGGCAGCTTCCTGAGCTTCTCGTAACAGATCTACATCGAACTCGCTCTTCGAGCTGGAGATCTGTCCACTCGCGACCATCTCTTGCCATCCCTGATGCATGTCGTCATAATAGGCATCCCAATCATCGAGTTTTCTCTGGGCTTCCTGAAGAGCCATCTCCTTCTCAACCAAGAAGTTGTGGAGCACTTCGTGAGATCTCTCTTCGATTATCGCTGCGACTTTGCTCAATGCAACGCTACCAGTTGGAGATGGTGTTCGGCCTCGAGGGATGCGTCTCTTTAATTCACTGATTGTTGCTTGTGCCACAGAGACCACTGAGGGAGCTTGGCTACCTGAAGTCATGCCAGTGCTGTCAGATTCGAAGGGTTCGAGAAGGTTTGCTTGTGTCAAAATATTGGTCCAGTCTTGATACAATAGAGTTTTGGGCTCTCGAAGAGCAATCTCCTCCAGTTGGATTTTGCTGATCAAAGTTTCGCTTTCAGCTTCGATGTCCTCGCGGTATTGAATTAACTCCTGGATTCGATTCGCATTTGCGGCCACTTGATCTTCTCCACGATTGTCATCTCCGTGCATTGCTCTCTCAATTCGTAAAGCGATATCCACGTCCGCTGTGTCAAGTTGCTCCAGCTCTACGAGATGTCCGTTTATGATGTGTTCACAGCGAAGTATAGCATTCCACTGCTTCACCATCTGTGCGGACAACATGAGAGCAGATGATATTTGACCATCACTCTCCCGGAAGGTCACTAATTCCAGTGACGAGACAGTGAGTACTGGATCCTTGCTTGGTGTGGCGTCTGCGCTGCAGACGCTCTGTGGTCTTCCAGAGACGTCAGTCTCAGCCTGATCATCATTGTATTGACAGGATTGCATCGATCTCCAATCCGCCTCTGATCCCGATAGCTCTTCTGCTGTATCTTCCGAAATATGTCCAAGATCATACGTCACAGCATTTTCCCGATCTTGAGGGTCGTTCTCAATGCTTTCGGATCGTCCCTCATCCAGAGGCTCCAACTCCCATCGCAGCCTTCTTCTACCACGAGCAATATCACTGATATCTTTGAAGACCCTGCCCGTGATAACTCGATCGATGAAGCTTTCCATTTTCGCGGCTTTGTTTTCGGTCTGGTTCGGCGGTGATTGTCCTCTTCTCCGGTTTCGACTCGAGAAATGCCGTGATATGGCCAGTTCGAACGACTTAGTTGAATACAACTAGTATTTAAAGAAGTCTTGGATCATTGAAGGACTCACCGAAGTCTTTTTGTATTGAGAGTTGATAGAGAACAGACATTTCTTGGTAAGAATGATTTTCAAGCAGACAAAGAATTCAGTTCGAATGTTGCCCCCTCCCCCAAAAACAAAGCTTCTGCTCATTCTTTGTTGCTGATCAAGTTGCCCCCCTTTCAACTCATCAAGGGAAGGCCGTTCAAGTATAGGCGTTATCGCCACTTTTTTCTTTTTTGAAACTCCTTCCCTGGACTTTGTCTGATCATAACAAGCACAATGATCGATAGCCGTGAATATGACTATACGAGAATCCGAACATTCTCCCTATCACCTTTTTCAAATATCCCAAATTCTTGCTTAAGCAGTCTATTTTCACCCACATTTATTTCATTTAAGTTTACCAAATCGTTGTGTCTCGCTCGGCTCGCAGAAAGCCTATCAGTCTTCCGCAATGATACCTTCAGTAGCGGTCACGAAAGCCTCAACAACGATGAGCCGAAGGAGCAACGGCGCACCAAGAGGAGTAATAGAGGCCATATCTAGCAATGCACAGGTCAGAATCCCGGATCGTAATGAGAAGCTGCTGAAGCTGTTCGCAATGGCCTGACCAATCCCAGTTTCCAGCACCCAGTCAAAAAGGCCACCTCCTATGAAGTCCTATGCGAGAGCTGTAAATATCACAGACAGTCAAACCCCTGCCTGCTCTAATTGCAACGGAGGCGACAAAACAGCAGGAAGAGAAACTAGAAGACCAAGATCAACACACGTCTTTGTCGCGACAATACTCGCAGTCAGTGTTCCTAGGACGATTCCCAAACTTGGCAATCCGGAGCCAATACTCACAGGTTGGTGATGGAGAAAGATTATGCGATGGTAAAAGATGTGTAACTCTGAGCCACAAGAACAGCACGCTGATTTTTGATAGAGTGTCATCTTATTTCGCATTTCTCTGACGGAACGGTATTATCACGACCCGTGGCTGGTGTTCTGGAAGCAGAATCAGCTGTATTGGGTGTGTATGTATGTCTAAAGAGAGAAGAGAGCAGGGAGCTCGAGCCAAGTACAGGGTGCCACGCTAGGGCCAGGTCATGTGACGCTGACGTCACAACACCTCCATTGAACCACGACAGTGTTGTACGATAGACAGCAATGGCTCAGAATGTGGCGAACTCAGTTTCAAGTTCTATTCTGACTATGGCATTGGTTTCAAGCGCGGTCAGAGACTGAGCTAGCGCTTCCCACCTTTTGCCGCATTGGCGAATTTGGCCGCGATCCCCAGCCGCAAAGCGGTTGCAAAGGGTCGGCCCGTCCCCCTTCGTGTGAAGCCATCACTATTGATTGGATAGCTGAATCTTCTTTTTCATTCTCGAAATCCTTGAGGCGATACGCTGTGTCATTTTCATTTAATGCCGAAGCATCGAAGCAGCATAATCCTCCTGACTTCTGACCTGATGTTGCCGGCCTCTATTAGCCTTGTGGATGAGACGCATATGAGCCAATCTGGGAGAAGGCTACAGATGGTCGACGCGTTAGAGCTTCCACTCATATTTATTGCCACCTTGAGGACGCGGGTGAAAAAAAAAAGATTTCTTTCATATATATTTGTGACACGGTAGGTGTTGATCATGTCACTGCATTACGACATAGAGCCACCGCCTACCCCCCGTCAGATTGGATCACATTGCGCCATGTTCTTCCCCGCAATGCGGCTTCTTGTCCTCTGTGCCGTCATCGGCATAACCGAATCGTGCTCAACCACAAGCTTTAATCCTATTTAGGATACATATCCCGAATGCGCAAGATCTTGTCTTGCGTGCCCACACTCGAGCTAGTTGTCTAATTTCTACCACCAGTGCGACTACCCAGGTGGAGATTGCTGCACGAGCCAGAACAACGAGACCGTTTTTGAAGTTTTGCCTGCGTTAAAAAAGACTGCGTTCAGAACAATGCGACTACAGCATACGACACCTTCGCACAGTTCTGTCAGGCACACCGGGCAGGTGGTGTCACGTGCTGCGTACAGGCATATATATAGCTTCTTCACCGCCATTAGAGCTGGATCATTCTTACATTATTTATACAATACACACTACATTCCACTTCCACAGCTTGTCCAGGCCGTGACAGGTGGTATCACTCGCAATGGGACTGGTAAGGGCACCATCCCTCACATTTTACATCCTTTTGATTCCTGGGGCTAATAAGTCTCTCCAACTCTTAGGTATTGCAGCTGATAACGACTCCGGTGCTGGGGGCAAAACTATGACTATCGGCGATTGGTTTGGAGTAGGATTCGGTATATTGAGTGTTGCAGCGGCCGTCTACCAGGCATATGCTGTCTGTTCACGTCGTCGAGAAAGAAGACGGAATAGACGCAGGAATATATATTCAGATTTTGCCTCTGAAAGCAGTACCACCGCACTGGTTCCGCGCAGGGCTGATGGGCGGGTTATTTTAGATTTGCCAAGACCAGTTATGGATATCACCCGAAACCCGGTTCGATATATCTCGTCCAAGGGCTCAGTGTGGTTCTGGCAGTAGTCAAAGAACCGCAATTGCATAAATGCTGGATCATTTATGTATGTATACAGATACCGCGGCATTAAGTCATGCGACTTCAGGGCATGCCTGGTCGAGATACTTGGTGTTCATGGTAAATAAACCCCTACCCTGCCAGTGCTCCACACACCTCACTGCCACTCACGTGCTCATGCTACTTTTATTCTCTAGTATTTTATATAGATCCTCCTCATACGTTTATAACGGCCTGATACCTGTTATATATCGTCCCTATTAACTCCCTTATTTGCTTATTTATAATTGAGTTCTAAGCTTTATTTATAGCTTCTTTTAAGTGTGACGGCTGGCATAACTGCATGATCTGCCGGGAATAGGAATCAGGAAACAGGTCTGAAACAGGGAACTAAGCCAGAGGAATGGGCAAAGCACTACTAAAGGTCGAGGCATTCCTCCCTTCTTTGCTCTCCAGCTTAGTATTTTCAATACATGAGATTCTTTGAACTTTGAGCCTTCGACCATTGCATTGATCCCGCCGTCACATTAAGCAGGGTAAGACCGGTAAATCTTAGAATACTTCTCTTATATATAGTCCTTAATTCAATTCCAAGGGTTCTTAATTAGGTTTAAATTAGGGGAATTTATAGAGCAAAAGATAAGCCTTAGACCTTATCTCTCTATCTTTACTAATATAGCCTTTACTATATGCCTAGAGGCATTATCTTATATAAAAATCAATTACTAATAAGAGGTATACCAGGCAATAATTAGGATAATATAATGAGAGTAAGACTTAGTTCTTTTCTCTAAGCACCTAAGATCTCTTCCTAAAATATCCACCCGATCTTTCTCTTTATTTTAGGTGTAAGGTAATTAGGATATAGGACTTTACTTACCCCCCGAATTACCTTAACTTTCTTGTGCTTCCCAAGATTTACCCACGTCTCGTCCATTCAAAATACCCATTTCAAGTCCTCCCAAGTCTAGTTTTTATACTCCTCTATCCAGGCTAACCATTCTCGCATGTGTGCTTCTAATAAGAGGGGCTTCTTTAAAGTAGTCCGGCGAGTAAACCCTCGTATTTAAAGGCCGCCTCAATTGCGTAAACCGAGTAGTTCCACCCCAAGATCCCAGGTATATCCTTCCACGGCATATAACGATTCTTAGCTAACGCGCATACCCATTTAACTAGCTATTTGCGTTTTACCGGACCGAGTAAAGGTCTTTTTCCAGACCTCTTCTTTTGAGGAGTAATACGGTAAGTAATAGCGTATTAGACTTGCCCAGGCGTAGTGTTAGGTTAACGAGCAATATCGTACTTTTGATTGGCCGGCGTAAAAGTAAAGAGTTTGGGCCCGGAGACGCTCGTCGCGCATGCAATTGTGCCGTGATATTTTAAGGGCAGAAATCTCATATTTAATGGTAGAGAAGTCGAGAGAGGATGGCGACATCTTAGATACTAAAGACTATAAAATAGTGAGTTATAAAGCGGCATGAGTAAAAGAAGTAGAGAGGATTAAATAATTGGTGGGTTGACCCCCTGCTTCTGGAACCTGCTAAAAACACCCGGTGACAGGGTAAGGGTTTCTTTATCCCAAATACCAAGTACATTACAGGCTTTTCATGCTAACCAGCTAGCATCTGTGCGCTACAATAGTTGCCCTGCCACGGTACCCTATATTCTTTTCAGCAGTGAGTAAAAGCCTGTATTTACAGGGCATCCTTGGACGCCCTCCAAAAACCCGGCTATTTTGATCATGACCTGCATACTCTTCGAGTAGCGATTAAAGAGATGCCCCAGAAAGAGGAATTTCTCTGTGCAGTTTCTTTTCTCTACCACCTTTGATCTGAAGTTCAGTCTTTCATACCTTACCTTCGATTTGAAAAGCCTGGTCAAATTACTGGATAAAGAGACAAGTCGCAAAGGAGGGAGAACAGGCTTCTGGCTGACATTGCTAATACTGTACTACCGGGTGCCCACTCTAGTGCACCGGAGGGGTGTCCAGATCTTGTGGTCTCTCCTCATATCTTATTCGAGTTCTTTTGTAACTACAACCTTGGCTTCTCATCTTCGATATCGAGAGAGGACAGACCCGTTTTATGCCGTCCCAAATCTTTCCTTACAAACTTCCCCGTTGAGTTTTTTGGCAGGCTCGTCACAGCCCAAACACCTCCTCTCAACTTCTTATACCCGCTCACCAATCCATCGATATTAGCCTGAACATCCTTAAGTGCCTTCAACACCGCCGCTTTCGTCTTCAAACTTGGAACCAACAATACATATGCTGTTGGCAACTCCGCCAACTGATGCTCATCCCAGGTCGCACCTACGCCAGCCTCCACCACGTGCGGATGTGAATTAAGATGTGCTTCCAGCTCTGCAGGAGCCACCTGAAAACCTTTATACTTGATCAACTCTTTGGTCCTACCAACCACGCTCAGAATCCCGGACTTGGAGATGGTGCAAACATCGCCCGTATTATACCATCCCTCACTGGGAAAGGCTGTCTTGTTAACCTCTTCATCCGTGTACCCAGAACAGACATTCGGACCCTTTAACCACAATTCTCCTGGACCTCCTTCCGGGGCATCTTCCATTGTATTCTCAACTTTCAGCATCGCGGAAATGTTGGGCAGAAGATGCCCGACGGCACCTAGCTCAAGTTTCTCCCCAAGCCTCTGGTACGCCACATATGGACTTGCTTCCGTCATGCCGTATAACTGGACGATTTGCCACGGCGCCCGCTTGGTAAGACGGTCGTACAACTCCTGCTTCATCGAAAGACCACAATTTATTATTTCCGCAGCGGAGAAGTCAAAACGTGTGGTGAAGTCTGAGTTTGCGAACGCAAGCGCTATGGATGGAACTCCTTGGAAGGAAGTTGGACGAACGGATGAGACGAGAGGGCCGAAGGCATCGAGATTGAAGGATGGCATCGCGTGGTGCATCATGCCAGTCCAAGGGCCCATGAAAAGCGGCATCGTCGTCATGGCGATGTGGACAAAAGGGGTGAAAGCGACGGTTCGAGAGTTGGAGTGGAATTGCTGGGGATCATGAGCGTAGAGCTGGTAGCAGTTTGCCACAAAGTTATAATGCGTAAGTCGGACTCCTTTTGGCAGCCCTGTGGTGCCGGATGAGAGATGGATGGTCGCCAGATGACCCATTGTATTGTTATAGTGCTGGATTGGAAGCTTCTCGTCATCCAGAAAGTCGTCAGGGACATGCTTGATTCCTTGAACTTTTTGAATCACAGTCATAAGCTTTGGTTCTGGCCAATCCACCGCTTTTGCAGCCAAGGCATCTCTGGCAAGTCTGATGCCTTGGATGATCCTTTGAAGAGCCTCACCGTATGCAATGATATACTTTGGCTGTGAGACAACAAGCGCATGGGAAATCTCAGGTGGTTTTAGAGCGTGGTTGATTGGGCAGCACACACCTCCCGTCCACAGAATAGAATGGAAACATTCTATGTATTCGACGCAATTTGGCAACACGAGAGACCATCTATCGCCTTGAGATGGGCTCAGTGACTTGTGTAGGCCATTGGCAATTCTTCCCGCACGACTCCTGAGCTCGCCGATAGTAAGGCTACGGTTCGTGAGATTGTCTTTCGCTATGAGATGTGATTCCGGTACGGGGATATTGCCGGCGCTCTGATGAAGGAGTTCAGTAAGGTTCAAGTCTTGGGGTATTTCGATGTCTTTCTCCTTATAGATCCGCATTTTCGTTTCCTGCATTAGAGCTGATGAGGCAGATAAAAGCCTGAGATTCAAACTGATGCTGTGCTAGATTCTCAAAAGAATCCCGAGCTTGAGTTTTGATCTGTACGGGCATGACGCGCAGCCTTATTCCAAAATGTCCTTGCACAGCATGCACAGGCGGCCCTGACTTCCAAATGGAGTAGCATTTTGCATGCACACCCTTTCCTTACCAGCGCCCGTGCAGGGTGCGGGGTAATGTATTACTCTCCGTTCTCTTGACTTCATGCATAGAATCACACATCAGAAAACCCTGAGAGTGACCTCTAAGAAAGCCTGTCGAATAAATATGCACCCTAAAATTCAAATGCGGCTACAGGCGTCGACATAAATTTACCTTCCTCAGCAGAGCGATGGTTCTCCTCCTTTCCCTTTCTATGACTTCTACTTTTTCGCTTCATTCAGGTCCACCTGCAGAGTGGAACCTCATCTTTCATCTTCTTCCCTCGCCTCCTATTGTTCTTCCACATCTAACCTATTTCAAGTTCATTCCCGCACACAATATGGCCCCAACTCGCACCCCTCCCCCATCAACCTCCTTCCTCCAAATTTCCTACCCCGCCGAGCGCGTGGTCCTGGCCACCATGTCGCGCGAAAAAGACCTCAATTGCATGAACACATCCGCGCACTGGGAAATGGACGCCTTCTGGAAATGGCTGGATAGCGAACCCAGCCTCTCAGTTGCGATCATCACCGGCGCGGGCAAGAAGGCGTTTTCCGCCGGAGCCGACTTGAAAGAATGGAATGATTCGATGAAAGATGACGCAGACCCGAGACAGCGATTGGGAAATGCGCCGGCCTTTAAGCCATTGAGTAGAAGGCTCGGGAAGAAACCTGTCATTGCTGCTGTGAATGGATTGGCGATGGGTGCTGGGACTGAGTTTGCTGTAAATTGGTACGTACCATGTTCTTGGTCCTTTTCTGTTCCTGCGTGAGCGGTGCTTCAAAGTGTATATATTCTATTATTTACTTTGGCTGACCATTGTGGTTTTTTTCAAGTGATCTTGTTATCGCGGCAGATACAGCTTACTTCGCTCTCCCAGAAGTGAAACGAGGGGTGTCTCCAATTGGAGGCGCTCTACCTCGAATCATTCGCACGCTGGGACTTCAAAGAGCATCGGAATTTGCGCTGACAGGAAGAAATGTCACTGCCAAAGAAGCCTTTGAGTGGGGACTTGTGAACAAAGTGGTACCTCAAGATCAAGTGGTTTTGGAAGCCGTACGTTTTGCTGAAATAATTGCCGCAAACAGCCCTGATGCCATTATTTGCACTCGAGCAGGGCTGAGGGAAGGATGGGAAACCGCTGCAGTGGAGAGAGCGGTGGAAATTACGCTCGAAAGGGAATTCGCGGAACTACAAAGAGGAACGAATATCTTAGAAGGTGAGTTGCATTAACTCCTCGAAGCCTAACTTCTGCTTAAACGTTTGGCAGGTTTGAAAGCATTCACGGAAAAGAGGAAACCGCAATGGACGGCGTCGAGACTTTGAAACTCTAGGCATGTGATACCAGTAGAGAATATTGCCTTTACACTCTCCAAACTCGAGGAACCAGCATGCTTTGAAGTTTGAATCTGCCTCTCCCGTGGAAATGGGCAATAGATACAGAATCCTAACTTCACTCCTACCATCAACGCTCGATGTTTGTCACCATTAAGCCACCTCCTCAACTTTATCGGTCTTCTCCTCATTGCCTAATACAATCGTGTTGCTCTCCATCTTCTCCGTACGTCTCACAGAACCGATGGGTTTGGTCTCCACACCTCGTATTTTCCTCGCAACAAAATCTGTCATCGAGTCGTCGATAGAAGTAATGAACAGCGCTGCGATAATGGACAGGCCACCAAACGCGATGCTAGTCAAATACACCGTCTTGAACGCTTGGGAATAGGCGACTTTCACAGCGTCTCCCACTGCTGCAATGACTGTAGGAGTGATGCCTGGCACTGCTTCCATGGCCGTCGCTGTTCCTGTTGCGAGTGCGGCAAAGAGAGCGGGAAGATCTGCACTGGGCAATCCCGCGTTCAATGCCGCCGGTGCGACATTCGCGGGTAATGTAGTCGTCAGCCGATTCGTGAGAATGCTGACATATATAGAGGCTGCCGATGTCTTCTCTTAGCAATTGCTGATGTGAATAAAATAGAATCTGTTTCAAAACTCACCTGCGATAGATCCAGATACTTGTCTAAAGGAACCTAAGAGTCCACTGGCTAGACCTATATCGCCAGGATTGCAAACAAGGCCTGCAATGATAATGGTGATTAGTTCCAAAGCCCCAACGCAGAGCCCAGCCAAGATGGTAAGCTGATTGAATGAGGCATGTCAGCCAACCACTCACACTACAATAAATAACCTGAGTTTAGACAACTTACAGCTATTGCTAAACCGCGATTGCTGGCGTTCACTGCAGCCATACCACCAAGAAATACCGTAAATCCTACACAACAGCCGACGAGTTGCCATTTTACATGTCCGATTCTCTTGAAAACTAGACCGCTGACTACCTGGCCAATTACAACAGCAGCTCCAGTGGTGCACTAATTCAATAATAGTGTATTAGTTATGACGAAACAACAAAGCTTTGATCCTTGAGCCTTTCGTGAAGAAATAAAATATATCTTCAGGAATGAGGGTTTTACATACAGAAAGCCAACCGATCTGGATATTATCCGTTGTATAAAGGGCAGCTATCTGGAGAGGCCATAAGATATTCATTGAGAAGTAGATCATGGTTCCAACGGACGCTGTGACGACAACAGCGCTATAATTTGTAATCTTAAATAGTGACATCGGGACAAGAGCCTGCTCAAGAGGCATGTATATCTCTAATGAGCGTGAGCAAAGCGTTGAAATTCGTTGACAACTTCACCTGGTTTTAACGTTTACTCACCATAAATAGCGAAAGCGATCAAAGTGACAAAGCCCACCACTAGGGCTGCAATAACATGAGCAGAATGCCATGGGTATGCAGACCCTCCCCAGGCTGTAATACTCACGTCTTGATTAGTACTCTAGCGCCTGTCATTGATTTTATGAAGCAGCACTCACAAAGTCCAAGAAGAACCAGAACCAGGCCTCCGGAATATAGAATAAATCCACCGTAGTCGAACTTTTTGATTTCCGAACGCCACGAAGCATTACGTGTAAGTTGGCTGAATTTTGGAGGGAAATAAAACAAAATAAAAAAGACAACCGATAACCCGCAGGATATGGCATTTAAATAGTAATTCCATCTTTAAGACCCAATAAATCAGTCTTGATGCGATTTAATTTGCGAAAGTCTGGGCTCCTACCTCCAACTCAGTCTTGTATTGGACACTAACAGTCGAGCTATTCATTTTGTCAGAAAGAACTGTAGCAAGAAGATGCAGTGACTTGCCGAAGGCGGGCCCCATTGACGACAATGGTATGATACTCATGAATAAAAAGGCATCGACTTTGGCTCGATGTTTGTTGGCTACCAATTCCGCAACTACAAATGTGAAGGTCAATTGTACAGCACCAGCGAGGCCAACCAGAACTGTGCCACCGATCACAGCAGGAATATTCTTGGCCGTTGCGCAGATGAGGGCTCCGATGAATCCGAGAGTTTGGCCACCAATTAAGAAGTATCGACGCCCAAAAATATCACCGAGTCTGCCGACTAAAGTCAAGCCCACTCCGGCGGTGAGCGTGAAAGCTGTGGAAATAAGGAGATAGTTCGGATCAGGTCCTAGAGAGAGATGCCAAGATTAGATTTGTCTCGGTTTTCGCGAGAACGGGTGTAGCAGACCAATATCGGCGTCAATGACGGAGAGTATGTTTGCCTAGAGCCCAGAACATCAGTATCCTATTCCGAGATGAGGAGAGCTGAGGGAGATTAGCAGCGAACCGGAAGAACAAATCCAAGATATAAACTGTTTGCCATGAGAATGACACCAATAATGCTGCCGACAAATTTGGGAGAGCGATAATATCCAGTTGGGAGGTCCTGGAGCTGACCACCGATCGCAGAAGCATCAGCACCATCGTGAGCCTCTTCAGTCGTCGGCGTGGAAGCCTTTTCCGACCCTCCAATTTCCTCCATGGCCACTGCAGATGGGGAAGAAGTTTGGATAAGATAAATTGCGGAAATTGTAGGAAATCGCTCAATAGGATTTGTAGTATTTCGGCGAGTCGATGTTGGGCGACAAAACAGACGGTGATCATGAAGACTGTGAAAGTTGCTTATTAGCAGCTAAGAGCTGGATTCCGTCCGAGTATGGCTCCGGTACGAATCCCTGCCGCTCTGCGACACTGCATATGCATCCTGCAGAGCTGATAATATAAGCCTTTTATCTTCAATTTCCAAGCCACCTGGGTGCATGGGGAAAACTTCATCAACTTTGCTCAAACAGAGTTGCGTCGGCATTTATCCGGCCGGAACGCATGCACAAGCTCCCGGGTAAGGGGCTGATCGACAAACATACCACAATTGGAAGGACTCGGGTAAAAAGACCTTGGAATACGGCGTCTGCTCGCCACAAGGTCACTGCAACATGGTGCACTCGCTGAAGCGCCCTGTAATTACAAGACCTGTCCACTAGATGCCAGTGTTGCTCACCCAGTGAAGTTCTACTCGCATTCAGAAAGTAGTCGGACGATTCTATTTGAAATGGCGGACCAAACCACTCAGAGGGCTGGATTTCCTGTCGGTCTTTGAACCAAATTGGGCATTTGATCCTCCGAGCCTAGGCCCTTGTTTACACGAGACTCTAACTGTGTTTGAGCAACGGAGATGGAAGAAGGAGGGAAGCACAGAGAGGCACGTTTCCTTGGCTAAAGAAAGGCCATCCTCTTACTCTCAATCACGGAACACGTGAGCGCCGCGAGACCTCTTTACGCCCGTAGAGAAAGGGCCCGAAAGAAGTACGAGGTTTACTTCTTTAACATGGGCAGTTTAGAACGAAGTAGCACATTCGAGAAGCCTCCGTAAAAATGATATTACGAGCGAGCTTTCAGAATTCCCGCTGCTCGGCTCACACGACTACATCTCGCCCTATATTATGCAAACGCTAAGATGCCAAACTCCTTCATCAAGATATCGGATACACACGTAGGGTCAACAAGAGGAAAAGCCTAAAGATATCATCTCAAACATTATTGTTAAAGATAAAAGTAGGCTCTAAGTCTCTGTCCCCATTGCTATGGTCAATGCGCACGTTCGTTGTAACCTTGATTCCATCCTTGCCGTCTTCTTGAAGAATTTCCGAGCTTCGAGGAGGTGCAGTCGTGAATTTACTTTGCTGGGTGGAGAGATCAAGTAGGCGGCTGATCCAGGGAAAGAGGCGGAGGAAGGCACGGAAGGTAGGAATGCAAGCGCAAATAACGAGGCTGCATACTTCGATTGTCGACCAATTTAGTTCGGGAGGCAAAATAACTAGCAGGAGGGTAAGCTGTGGCATTCGCACTAACTCAAGGATCAGGAGCAGGAGATGAGAATAGTTTCTCACATGTGATATCGGTACTTGTATTCTGTAAGAACGTCGCACGGATAATACTGATAATGCAAACGCTAGATAGGGAAGACATTATTAATATAAGCAGCAGCAAGAATCATGAATAGCTTACAGTAAACCAAGGGAGAACATAAAAATAACACCAATCTTTTTGCCGAGACCGATCTTCAGCTTCCCCAACATCGGGATAGGTAGGCAGAAGAGGGCGATATCCGTTGCAAGTTTGATACCAAACGAGACATAAAAGAAGGTAAGTAGGTTCAGGCATTTGCCTGGCAATTCCACATTCCAAGCTTTTTGTAAAGGTGCACATTGAGAGAGGACCACAACACTCTCTTCGATCAACTCGGCGACCAAGATTGCTGCGAGGACATAGCTGCTGGTTCGAAGGCGGCTCCTAGGGAATATTCTCAAGTAAATGAATACAAAGGCTAATTTTGACGCTACGAAGGAAAAGATGTAGGCTAGCTCTGCTGCGAAGTTGTACTGTTATGAGTCAGTTATCAGAGATTCAAAGGTCAAATATGGACGCTGAAAGTTCATGAATGTACGTCAACACATGCTCAACGCGCCTTACCTTCAGGAAAGTACCCAAATCCTCAGGTGAAACTGTAGAAATATGCCGTCCAAGACCATATCGGGTTTCTAGGAAGATCAGTAATTATATTGCGAAGTATAGGAACACTGAGGTGGATAAATGTACTAACCAATAATACTACAAACACACAACACCATCGCAAAGAGCTAGGTAAGGAATAAGCACTCGTATTATTTCAAGCAGTAATCAGTGTCGTCTTACATAACCTACTCCTAGACAGACTATGGAATAATTAGCTTCAGGTGTCTGCAAGCGCCAGATGTGGCGACTTACGGTCATCCCAACCATAGACTTTAGTGACGAAGAACCGAGTGCAGAACCTTATTCCGATGCAGAATGTCGTGAGACAAATCATGATCGCGTTGCAGATAACCACACTGGGCCCAATGTCCTCCATACCTGTGGAGCTAGTCATGATCATGCTCGAACCAGTTCGCCACACGAGACTCAGGATCGCTTTAGCAGCAGAAAATGGAGCTCAAATATATGAAAAACACGATCGGATAATTCCCACCCTCTTCTCTCAACTTAGGGACGCCAAGCTTCCAAATGCGGGGAGTAAGGAACTCAGTGTCAGGGGTGGACTCATGCGAAAAGCCATGATCTTCAACGGGGTAAACCCCGTTTTCTTGCGGTGACCTGCAAGCATTATTTTTTGACTTTCGTGCTGCTTATTCCAGCCACGTTGCGGAAATTGGCTTGCACTAGGCATCGCATAAACCTACCGAGAGGGAGAAACCATGACGCGGCGTAGGAGAAAGAAGACAGGCTTTGAAACGGGTGCTGTTTATTTGGAAGTGTGAGCTTTCTGTGTGCATGGGAACTTCCACGGCGCTTAGACGCATGCCCAACGAAGAGAGAAATTTTCCCGGGGGTCCGTCTCGTGGAAGCGGAGAGTCTTCCATCCGAACATGCATGCCAGGCGAGTTGGATTCAGTTCTGAACCGGCCGCTGACGGAAAAAAGCAAATCCAGGGCTGCTTCATTCGAAGATATTCAATTGGTGAGGTGCAAAGAGCAGCCAAGCTGGACTACGCGTGGAAGGTGTTTCCGATAGCTAAGCTCGCGCCGACGAATACTCGATGAACTTATCGGTCTTTTTCTTGTACATAGTATCGGTAAGATTGTGACTTTGTAGAACGCGTCGATGTAGAAGGCGAGAGTGGGCAGTTCGGCATGGCCTTAGTGACATGGACAGAGAGGATCAAGGCTTGATGACACCTCTCGCTTAGCTGGCAGGGCGCTGTAAGTACAGGTCCTTACAGGCACGTCAGCACTCAAATATTGCACATAGGCCCTATAAGCATCACTAAAGAGCTTGCTCCCTTCAGGCTATCAAGCCCCTAAGCTTCCTTGCTATGCCAGACCTGTATCCGTCCTGAGGGTTTCGGCTCACCCTTACCGGTTGCAAGACTTGAAGACCGAGTGCCCACGGCACAATCGGTCCGACATTACAACGACAAAATGAGAGAAAGTCTGCTTACTATAATACTAATTGATATAGATCGTATTAATCGGAATTACCATATATTTTATAGCAATTAATTCCCGATCCTCCGATTTTTGTATCTTTAATATTACAGAAGTTATAAAGCACATAATAATTTTTAAAAAGCTATTATACAAATTTTCGGGTTTTATATAATTAAAAATTATATCTTGTATAGTATACGAGGTTATACGTGATCAAAATCATAGGCTTTTAATACTTTATACTCTCTTTAGTAATAACTCTCAAAACTTGAGCTTTTAATATATATAAAAAGCTTATAAAAGCTTAAAGGTTTACTAAGTCTAAGTTTATTATACTATTTACTTAGGCACACGTGACTTTCCTAAAATAAAATAAAAGCCCGTTTTATAGAGTTTAAAATTCAAAAAGTATAAATCGTTTATTAACTTCAAAATTCGATTACTAATTAACTATGAATCGTATCAAAAATCGGGTTAATGGGTTTTATTCGCATAATTATATTCTATAATTGAACTACCTAGCATTAATTAATTTAGGTTAAGGTATGGTTAAAAAGGCGGGCTGTTTTGTCGACGTTGTCGTTGTTGTGTCGGACCGACTGTACACAGGTATGATAGGTTCATACCGGGGACAGATGTTGCGTCTTCGCCCTCCGACTCCGGATTCTCCAATCCCGATTCGGCATGAGATCGACGGGGGAACAGAAACGGAAATGCTGCCGAAAGCTTCTTCGCGGAAGCTTTCCCCGGCAGTGTGCCACTATGCGGGGAGGTTTCAAGTCATCCCATCCCATCGCACGGGAAGGCACGGGGAAGGTTCCGAAAGCGCCCGAAATTCTCGTCGCTTCCAGTCTCGTTCTTCGCAATTTTCCCCCAAAGTATTCATTGCTCCAATTGGACTTCCCCAGCTCTCCTCGCCACCATTCTTGACTATGTCTTTGCTTTTTGTCGTCGATCTGAAGTGAACTGTCAGCATTTGTCTTGAGCGGTGAACGATGTCAAGCCGCTCCCCGATTTCATTTTCTTCCATTTGCTCGAAACCCATTCACTAACCCAAAGTAGAGGCGCTCAGGCAGGAACACCAAAAACTCAGCTTTCTCTTTAAATTTACTTGAATTTATAACGAATTAATAGAATTTAATACTTTCTTTATTTCCTTATAGCGCTAATTAAGCGCTATCTAAATATAATTCTTAAAAAATCCGAATTAGTAATAGCTCTTTAAAGTAAAGAAGTTAAAGAAGTCATATTTTATAGCCTAGAGATAAGCTTAAGAAAGCCTAGAAATTTAGCGAATAAGTCCCTAAAACCAGCAGTAAGAGCCACCTATAAGCCCCTAATTTACAGGGCGTTATAGGGCTTGAAAACCAGAACTTAATTAATTGGTATATAAACTCTCTTAAATTAAAATTCTATTTTAAGGAATTTTATATTATAAGTTAAGAAGCACGTGACTATATTACTAGGGTTATAATATACTAGCTTATACTTATATTAAAAAAAATCTAAATTAAGAGTTTTAAAGAGCTTAAGTAGCTAATTACAAGTCGTTAATACCCTTGCCCCAATCAACACCCCTCATCGACACCCGAGGGGTCGTTTTACTTTTTCCGATTGAACCAGGCGTAGTCCGCCTCGATTATCGCCCAAGGCAAGGTTTCCATTGAAGCTCTCCAGCGTCGTCTCTGTGTAGCTGCTGCAGTCAATTCCACCTTTTGAGACGCTTTGAAAATTGAGCATATGATTTTTACCGGGACTCAATTAGTACATTATTGTATGACAGGTTATGACATAATATTATGTCACGTGCAAACGTGTTTCGACTTACAAAGGATGGCCACATGTCTGTCCGGGCCGCTTAAATGCTGTGCTATTGCTCTAACTGTCTTAGTAAAGAGAGAATTCTTCTCTCATGTCTTTGTCATGAGGGCAATAGCCTTGTGGATACTATATTCGTCGTATCATCACAACAGTTCAGCTTCTCCATACCATCAAATTCTTCTCTTCGGCATTAGCAAATCTTACTCAGAAAAAAAAAAGAGTTTTGTCAACAGCCGTCCCCTGACGTTACACACACCATATATCTGCTTTGAATCGAGCAGTATGTGCCAAGGAAGTTATAAATGGTATGCCTCTGGCTGCGGGCATAGCGGCGGTTATGGTCTACTTAGGTGTGCCCGTCCGAACTGCACGTCCCCGAAGGTGCCAAAAGTATGCGAGACCGGAGTCCGTCGCAAGTGTAGGATTGGTGGCAGTATCCCATACCCTGTGCGAGAAGCTAAAAGCTGAATTTGAACTCGAAAAGGCCAAGTATGACCAACAGCGGGACGAAATCGCCGAGAGAGAGCGCGGTATCTGTAGCGAGGAAGTGACAAACCTCACTCAAGCTCAACGGCTCGATGAGCTCTGCCTGCAACTTACGGATGACTCGTATTACATACGTTTCAGAAAACAGAAAATCAGAGAATAGTCTAAGATGCTTCAGAAGGCAATCTTCAAAGTTCCAATTCAGCTCTACCTCGGTCCATTGAATCGTGAAATCTAGAACAGATTGAAGATCATGTGTAATTTCTTCGAGCTTTATGTCTATCTATTTAAGAACCATCTTATTGGTTTGATTTATCCAGACGCCGAATCAAGATCAAGAATGTTGAGGAAAGTGGAGGAAATGGAGGAGATTCTCGGCACCCAGAACCAACTGTTGGAAGAGCACTTGGGGAGGACCGAAGGAATTGGTCCATAAGTGAGCGCCAACTGGCCGCTAGATCTCTTAGCCCCGGTGGAATATTTCTCACGAACAAAACTTACTTGGCGTAAGTATAAAATAAAGTTAGCTAATGGAAAATAAGCTATCTCTAGGCCATCGAGTCCCATGCTAATAGAAGATCTTCCAAATGAGGACAGCAAATCCTGTTCTATTTGCAAGGAACTCTTCGGCTCTTGTCGAGATGAACAGTTGAGAGAACCGGGACTGCCGGTGAAACTTCCATGCAATCATGTCTTCGGAACTGCTTGCCTGGAGTCATGGTTGACAGAGAAATCGAGCTGTCTTGTCCGCAGATGGAACTATTTCTTGGAGCTGGGCCCACTGGTTAAAATAGCCTCGCCCCGGGCCATCCAAAGTTCCAAACTGCATCTATCAACAAAAGCGTCTTCGCAGCATCTATAGATAGCATTACTAGTGTAACATAAAGTTAATTCGTTTCTCCTCATCTCAACTCCAAGCATCCCTTCTGTGTGACTCGAAATCAAAAAACTGGTGAATCTAATCTCCACGCCTCCTTTCATAGACCTCCCCTGGCTGAGCTGTAAATATCACTTGATGAGACTTCTTCCTCTCTTCTCTAGCAGGAATTACTAATCATATCCTACTTCATGATGGAATTGATCACCAGGATGTGACTATGAACAAATTCGAAGAAACCAAGGCTAAAACAAGTGAAGAGGAAGCAAGAGAGATCTATTGTGGGACTACCATTTCACAATCAAGAAGCTCATGGGCAAGGATCAACTTTGACCGCGGCAAATCTGTGACATTTTCCAAGCATAAGAATCTAGACTCCAGGTTATCTCTCTAAGAAAGAGAAACCAACGCAATGCAAATATGTACAGCCGAGCACCGAAATCGGTCGTGTCGTCTTCTTCCTTGTGATCAATCTACAAATCCCTCGTCCTCTCCTCACTCTCCCTCATCCACTCTTCCAACTTTCCCAAATCTCTCGCTCGGAAGCCACACTTAAACGGCTTCGGATCAGTCGTCAAACTCGTCGCGATGGCATTACACTTCAAGGCATCCAAAATAGGCTCATCCCTCCTGTCCTTCGGGGGATCAATATGGAACGCAGTAATTAACCTAATAAACGCCGTATACAATTCCCGATTCGCAAGATGAGAGCCAGCACACATGCGTGAACCGGCTCCATATGCATAATGCGGGGTTCCTGAGCCTTCAGGATTCTCAAGGTAGCGTTCGATAACGAAGGATTTTGCATCTTTGAAGTGTGATTCATCAAAGTCGGCGGCCCAGGCATTCATGTAGAATGTGGTACCAGCAGGAATGACGGCATCCTCGTACTTGATGTCTTTGATGCTGGTTCTTGGCAGGCAGATAGGGATGACGGTGAAGAATCGAAGGACTTCTCGGACAAATGCCGCCACGTAGGGAACCTTTTCTTCTACGAGACAGCGCTCCCAAGCGTCGCCGTTGGGGTAGACTTCCATTATTTCTTCGTAGGCGCGCTTTTGGATTTCTTGGCCGTGGGGAGAGGAGAGGTAGGCGATGCCCATGATAAGGTTTCCGGGGACGGTGTCAAGACCGGCTGAGACCATGGTTAAGCAGATGGATTTGATTTCATCTGTAAAGAATCAGCTCCAAGTTCGCCCGACTCTGTTGAAGACTTACTCTCGTTCAACTTCGCCTCTGGATCCTTCAGAATGTTGCCCGTGATACATGGCTTGTCCGTTCCCTCAGCAATCTGCTTCTTGAGTTTATTCAACAAAAATGTGAGATATTTATCTCTCCGCTCCCTGAACTCCACAGCTTCAGCATTGGACTTTGGCAGCAGTCTCATCAACGGAATGTAATCTTGCCAGTTGTTGCTGGTAGATCTGAAGTTGCTGATAGCCCGCTCTACATCACAGATTTCCTGCAACAGCTCATCATCAATCTTGCCGTCGATCCTTGATCCATAGTTTAATGTCAACGAGGTGTTCAAGGCGAACCGTTGGAAGTATGCAATAGGATCAATGTCCTTCTTGCCATTCCCACTGTCCCCCAGAAGCTCTTTTATGGAGACATTGGATTCTAGGTCGATGATTGGCATGTAAGTCTGGACTGAAGGTCGGTTGAGTGCCGTTGCTGCAGCCTTCCTTCGTTGTTTACAGGACTCATCCCATGGCGACGTGCCAATAGTGAAACCTTGGGAGCTTGATACAACGGTATGGAAAGTGTGTAATGTTGGCCGCGAGATCAATGCTGACTGATTCGTAATCCACAGATGCCTGACGGAGCCGAAAGTATTCGCAAATATGATCCGCTGTTCTCCGTCAGTTTGTTGCCGGACTTATCCGCTGGGAGGGATATACCCTATTTCCAAGTCGTACTTGAAATACTGGACCGTATTTCTTTGCCAATTGCCCGGCTACCTTGGCATGGCTGCTCCCGAATTGCAGGAGGTTTCCGAAGAGTGGGATACCGGGTATCTCTGGGAGGTTCTTGACCTTCGGGGTGTCTGTTCGGTTTAGGTAGCGGATGAGGAAGAAGATGACTGCGATCAGGGCGATGCCAGTGGTTTGGTGAGACATGGTTGCAATGGGAATGATCTGAGAGGAAGAAGCAGCGTGAATCAACTTGATATATGTCAGAAGGAGACGAAGTTACACAAGAGGGGTCCTCCTCAATATAGCACATAATCCGCGATTCTGCACCCCTCCTTGGTCAGGTGAAAGGCTCTTGCCAAAATCTAGCTCTCTCCGGATGGGAACATCCGCTGGCTCATCGCCACTTCCCCAGAACAAGGGGCTTTTCCATTCCGCACCTCGGTGGATCGAGAAAACTTGCGGAGCATGGGGTAGAGGCGATGAATGTTCGACGAGGTGGCCATTGACCCAATGCGGAAGACAGGGGTGGGTGCGGAATTGCGCCGCCTCAACCCCGCGTCGCCCCGCCTTTTTTTTCGACCCTTGCTTAACCGTTCCTGGAGCTGTTGATAGCTTCAAACTTTCCATGCACTTCATCAACACCCATTCTACATGCTGCGAACGCTCTCTCGTCCTACCTCCAAGCTTCACCCCAAAAATCCACACTTCGCTATCATACTCAGAACCTTCACCATGGCACCCCTCAAATCCTGGCTTTCCATCCCTCAAGACAGCCATTTCTCCCTCGCCAACCTCCCCTTCGGCATCATCACCTCGAAAAACTCGCAGACTGAGAAGAGACCAGCAGTGGCAATCGGCGAGCTCGTCCTCGACCTGCAAGCTTTCGCCCACGGAGACGGGTTCTCCAGCCTTCCATCTCTCAAAGATCACCTCTCCGTCTTCTCGCAACCAACACTCAACGCCTTCGCAGCTCTCGGACAACCAATACACCGCGAAGTGCGCACATACCTCCAAAATATCCTCTCCGATACCACAACCCACCCTCAAATATTGAAGGATAATGTATCTCTACAAAAGACGGCTCTCCTCCCCAAGCACGAAACCAAAACCCACCTCCCTATGCAAATAGGCGACTACACTGACTTCTACGCCGGCGAAAACCACGCCTTCAACGCAGGCTGTCTCTTCCGCGGGCCCGCAAACGCTTTACAGCCAAACTATTTCCACATTCCCATCGGGTACCACGGGCGAGCATCTACCGTCGTCGTCTCCGGGACACCTATCCGTAGGCCGAATGGTCAGCTCCTTCTCGACTCGACCGCCGACCCCAAGATTCCAACCTTTGGCCCAAGTAGGAGGTTGGATATCGAGCTCGAGTTGGGGTGTTTACTGTGTAAAGCCAACCCAATGGGAGAACCTGTTCCAATAGAAGAGGCTGAACAGGCTATCTTCGGCTTCGTCCTAATGAACGACTGGTCAGCACGCGATATCCAAGCATGGGAATACGTGCCCCTGGGGCCCTTCAACGGTAAAAACTTTGGCACCACAATATCTCCTTGGGTAGTGCTCTTCGACGCACTCGATCATTTTCGCGTTGAGAAGTTGAAGAATGAGACGAAGCTGTTGCCGTATCTGGAGGAAGGGCGGCCGGATACGGTGTATGATATTAATCTAGAAGTTGATTTGACGACCCCGGGCCCGGAGGGGAGTACCACGACGATTTCGAGGGGGAGTGGACGGAATTTGGTGTGGAGCTTTGCGCAGATGATAGCGCATCATAGTGTTGGCGGGTGTGCGATGCAGCCTGGCGATTTACTCGGCTCAGGTACCATCAGTACGAAAGATGATTCTGGACTGGGAAGCTTGCTGGAGATGAGTGCGGGTGGCAAGAAGGAGATTATGTTAGCGGGGATGGATGTCAGGAAGTTCTTGAAAGATGGAGATACGATTACTATAAGAGGGGTGTGTGGTGGTGAGCCTGGTGCTCTGGTAGGGTTTGGGGAGTGTGTAGGCACGATTGAGAGCGCGATTGTCTTTTCATGATATGTAAAAGTAATTCCTTGTCATTTTTTCAAAGTGGTGCATGGTTATTCTATCAACAAAGCTCACGGGCTTTTGTCTGGTGTTGTAACTCATACATCTCCAACCACTCCTCGACTCCCACCATAAGCGACATCAAAACAGATCTCTCAACTGTCGATACAACTCCTCATCGCCACCAAAAACATTGCTTCCAATGCCCGCCAACGCATCACCATCCGGAATCTGCACATACGTGCCTCCATTTCCATTCATGCCCTGCCCAACGCTCCCCAGCGCCGCCTCAAAAAGATTCGTCATCTCATGACTCATCTGAAACCCATTCATCGGACTATTCCCACTGCCCAGCCCTCCACCATTAACGCCTTCCCCTCCAAACGGATGACCCAATCCAATATCATGCCCCGCGAGACCCGCCATCGCCAGGGCTGCGGAAGAGTGCGGGTCCTCGGCACTCATGCCATGGCTATTACTGGACACGTCAGGCGAAAGGCCGAGCTTCGGACCAACTTCCTTCAAGCCTTTGATGGTCTTCCACAGGCGTTTGCTGACGAAGGATTTCGTGCTGAAGCCTTTGACGAGGTCGAGCGCCATATAAAACTCCTCGCGGCAGATGGAGCTGAACTGCACGGGTGCGTGGCAGCTGGCGAGGAAGATGACGGCGAGTGCGGAGATCAGGAAATAGTTGAAGCAAACTTGTTGTACGCGGTAGATGTCCGTGGTTTGGTTGAGGTGTGTGAGGACCTGGATGGTGTCTTTCGCGAGTTCGACGACTTGGCTTGCGTTGCCAGGGTTCTCTTGGATTGAGGATGCGCTGTGTAGGACAGGGCGGTAGATTAGGATGCGCATTTGGTTGGCGCGCAGGTAGAGCAGTATTTTGAGTCGGTGGATGGCTCGTGAGGAAGTTTGTGGTGCTGAAGATTCAACAGCGAGCTGGAGTTCTCGGGGGATGGTCTTATGCCATTGGAGGATCTGGTAGTCGAGATAGCCAATCTCCTGCGAGTTTAGAGTTGGGCTTGGTAGCGGCGAGAAGGAGCAGACAGATTGCCAGACTTTGGATCCAATTCGGCTGTAAGAAATCATTACGTTGAGGTACGGAATGGTTAAATCCTGCAGATGCATCAATATCTAACAACGTTGAAAATGTGATTTGAAGACTTACTGGCTCAGGCAAGTTCGGATCGATGTCGGCATCTTGTAATGCAAAAGGCATGCCTGTACCGAAAGACCATCTCCTGTCTAGAACGTATATTGACCAGAACAGCTTGATGGCATTGGAACGTTCCTCCTCATCCGTAACTACCCTGAATAGCGAGTCTCGCCGGTGCAAGCCAAGCTCGATACACATTCGAGCAACTTGGCCAATGATCCGCCACGCCAATGCTTCTTCATCGCAATGGAAATGGTACATTGACTATAAAAATTGATCAGTATGTTGGTAATGCGAGTTGCCGAAGAAACATGAGCATGAATACGCTGGAACGAGATGGAAACTTTCCAACTGTCATATAAAGGAAACCAAAAGATCCGGGAGCTATGCTCCTGCTTGAGTCCTTTCAAAATCCTTTGTATCCGCTTTCGAAACCGACAACGTTTCCGTTTTGGACGTCCAACCGAGGTCCAGTTTTTCAAAACTGTTGTATGTACTCAAATAAGGACTTCTCTGCAAAAACAAAGCCTTCCTGGTCTAGTGGTTATGATGCCCTCCGCCATTTCAACGCGCTAACAACTCACGGGTTGTTGAGGGAGACTCTGGTTCGAATCCGGAGGAGGGCATAAAGCGCAAGTACCTTCGCGAATCGCCATGTCGGAACTTGCGCTTTTCCTTTTGGACAATGAAATAAAGTTTCGGGTTTGACAGGTTTTGTGCTGTGCAGAAGTACGAATTTTTTGACCTACCACAACAACAAGCAGCGGCAGACTTTTCACCTCAATTGCCTCGCCATGCAAGATTCGATCTGCCGCCTCCCTAACACTTTCAAACAAGCGGTAACCAATCTCGCTCTGGCCATTCCCCTCTACCACGGCGGCACAAGCAAGCACCATCTTCAGCACCAGTGACTGCTCGTCGTAGACCCCTTTCCCCGGGGTATTAGGGTTCGCTAGGTTAGTCCGGAGAGCGGCATCTATGAAATCGAAAAGATTTGTTCCATGGATGATGATTTGCTCAATGTTTACCACAGGGTACATGAGCCCCATTTCCTCTTCATACACACGACAGAGCCGCACCATCTCCTCTTTGTTCAATGCCCATATGGGATCACGATCTGGGCTACCGTTGAGGATGGCTGAGGTTGGTGGCTGTATGCTCCGTGGAGAAGCAATTGGAGTTGCATCCTGTGTTACAACTCCTTCATCAACCAGACCTCGATATCCCATATTATGCAGCGTGTTCTTCGCAACATCGAGACTGAAAGCCGAGCTGGTCGGTCCTCGGAATGATGGATGCTTAGGAGCTGGTCGATACCGATTTGCTGGGGAGATCGGTGGAGGTTGGGAGACAGATACAGAACCCTCGGAAGGAGGAGGATAGCTCATAGCATCTGCGCCAGCGCGCAAAGCATTGAGGTTCGCGTACAAATTGTCGACTTGTTCCTGGAGGGAAGCAAGGTGTGCATTCATCTGCTTAAATTCCTCGGACTCCTTGAATCCATTTGAGCAGCAATTCGGCGCATACTGACAGTCGAGGTTGAGGTTTCCGCATCTTTGGCATGGGGTGTTTCCATTGCATTTGATCTTGCGCCGCTTGCATTCGTTACTGGATTCAGAGTCAGTTTTGGACATCTGATCAATTGGCAGATATACCATGCAATAGAGATGTATCTGTTTCTCTTTGCTCTTGTATGTGTATTTCCGTTGGCATCAGTTTCGTCGTTTTTCCTCTTCTTTCCGCTCCCAGGACCGGTATCCGCGGGACTCTCCGCACTCGAGGATTGTCGCTGGCTGTTCATGCTGCCGGACACCGCAATAGGAGATATTGGAACTATTGGGGTATCGACTAGGTAATTGAGATCTGTAACTTGATCTTCAAGAATGTTCATAGTCACACATAACGGAAGATGTTTGTTCTGTGGCATAGTGGAAACCTCTCGGTCTGGAAATCCGCGAGGTTGAGATGCGGGGATCTTTGGCACCATGCCTATTAGGGCATCGCGCAATCCCTGGGATTTTTGTCTTGATCACGTGGAACATTGACTTCCCTGGCGATTGAAGCTGGAGACATTGATTAACGTTTGGGGGTCTAGGAGACAATGAATATTGGCAAGCCTGCAGGTGGTGCCTTTCTTCTTCCGTCCCAGAAGTTGACAAGCTTTGATAACGGTTATGAACCTCACTTTAATACCCCATCTTTTAGAGAAGAGAGAACTTGACAAGAGAGCTTTGTTCAAAAAGTAGCTTTATTGAAGATCTCCCCATAGCTTGCAACAGAGCGACTTCAGCTCCTTCGGTCACTGGCCTCTGGGCCTTCCCACAAGCAAAGTCCCACCGACCCCATGGATCAATTCCTAAGTCGTCATCTCTTACTTCTGCTTCGGCTTTGGTCTCGGTTTATCCTTTGAACCTGCAGTCCCTGAATCCATATGTGCCAAAGCTCTCTCCATCTCACTATCACCAACAATGCCGAACGTCAGACGCCAGGTTCGGGTAGGGTGGAGGATGATGTTTCTCGGGTGCCAAGGAGCGTATTTCTCCGCTGCCTTTCTTGCTTTCAAACGGTCTCCGAACTCGTCGAGTTCGTCTTTCCAATCCTTCTCGGGATTCATGATTGTTCGTTGGAAAGTTTAATGTTGGTTGTCTGAAAAATGGGAAGATGGAAAGATGTTTGGAATGAATGTTACCCAGCGGGAGGTCGCTGAGTTGAGAGATCAGGAAGCTCGGGGTCCGAATATGGGGAACTCGTTAGTATATGTATGTTGTTCCGTTCCGCGTATAGGCGAACAAGATCGCTCCTAGCGAGGTGCATAAATACGCATGCACGTCTGCGTGTCCAGACACCTTGCTCGTCGTCACGTCATATTTGCATGAAGCAAGCGTGCAAGGACTCGAGATTGGCTGGAAATCACACAAAATTGCTCTAAATCTCTCTAGCTTGGAGATCAGGCAGAAATCGAGCGGCCTTGGAGTTGAGAGGTAGTGCTGTTGCGTCTGAATAATAGCTTGGCTATTGCTGACCCCACTTTCGAAGAGGTCAACTCAGCCACAAGTTCTATTCGTCGACTTCTTGGTTATCTCTGCTAGCTGTCCTTTCAGCTCTATCCATCTCGGTCTTATGGCCTCGGAACCCCGTCAGAAGTCCCAAGTCGTAGGTAGCTTTCAAACTTCCAGCAACAACAAAAGTCACCCAAAATCGTCCTGATTGAGCTAGTACGCCTGTGATAACGGGGCCGCAACTCTGGCTGAAGGTTCTAACAACAGATATGAATCCCATGACTGCTGTCCTCTCGCCAGGCTGTACAACTACCGAAAGGAATGCGGCTTTAGGTGCGATATCCATAGAAGCGAGCGATGAGCGTAGGAGCAGAAAGAAGATGGCACCAGAGAGGGATGACGGAATTGGAATGAGGCAAAGAGCGATGGCGGATGGAAGATGAGTGAAGACCATGGTTCTGATGAGACCGATGCGTCGAGAGAGCGAGACAGCGACCAGAGATGAGACCGAGGAGAGAATACCAGCGATGAAAAAGAGGGTCCCTAAATCGCCTTCATGTAGCTTGAATTTGAGGTTGAAGAAGTAGGTGACCAGGGAGCTGGATCACTGTTAGCAAAATTTTCTCAAGAAATACCAGAAAGGGGAGACTTACGCGGGCACAAGACCAGATGCTAGAGAATCCAGAGCAAATAACAAGCAAAGCTTGAGGAGAACAATTCGGCTCTCCTTGCTGATCTTTGGCAGTAACGATCTCTTCTCCTTAACAGTCATCTCGTGGTTGGAATCAGTGTCACCTCTCGAGATCAATGACTCCGACTCGTCATCCGAATCTTTCTGCTCTTCATGACCATGAAGTTCAACCCTCGAACTTAGCATACAGGTCAATAGCAAGTTCAAAAATCCAAGTCCAGCGTAGGCCAGAAACACTGCCTGATAAGACCTTACTGGACTCCACCTCTCCCGGCTCTGCAATTTTTGAACAACCCAGCCGGTAGCTAATTTCCCCAAGGCGTTTCCTCCTGAGCCGATGACCACATACCAAGCAAAGATATCACTTCTGATCTCTGGCTTGGTGAGATGAGCCAGGGTAGACTCCTCAATGGCGCTGAAAGGGCCAATTTCTCTCCCGCTATGATAGTCACACCATTAATTTCAGACATAAATAAAGATCAGACGAACAGGAGCATACTTCGGACTGATAACACCAAAAACACTCGCAGCAAGCAAACACCAGAAGTTCCCTGTAACAGCGAACACGACACCACTCATCACCATCAACATGGCTCCTCCACCAAGCACAATCTTCCGCCCAACGCCATCGGCAAGTAACGTAAGCGCGAAACTTATCACATCTCCGACGAGCGTCAGTGACATGAACAACCCAATCTGGGCATCGGAGATAGAAATAGCGTGTAGGTACAGAGCGAGAACGATCGTGGAACCTCCGAAGGCAAAAAATCGGATGAACCGCTGTAGGATCAGGATCTTAGTGTCGCGGGACGAGTTGTGAAGAGAGTGGAGACCCAACTCGCGGAGGATGTGGAGGAGTGCCATCTTGGAGAAGTGGGGTGATGTGTGTGAGCTATCTTGCTGTTACGAGTATTGTGAAGAGAAGAAGGTAAACGAGAGGCTGAAGACATTCAGAGACCTGAATTCGAGCTTTCTCGAGCTTTCTCGAGGTATTATTTATTCTCAGCTTCCGGTGGAAATTGCGAGATTATTGGTGTTCCAGGTTCTGGGCTCCTTGGCCGTCTTTGGCGGCGGAAGGCGCTGATTAGGGTGTTCTGGACCAATCGGATAGGGCCTCGATGTCGCGCTGAATCACTGGAGTCCGGCCCCCAAGATACATAACCTCAGATCGAAGGCGAGAAAGGAGCTGAGGGGGATCCGGAACATGAGAGACGAGAAACACAAACTGGGATTTGATATTAGATTTACACTTCCAGAATCTATACTGGACCTTGGGAAACCAAACGCTTGTTTGTGTGATTCAGATGTGTAGGTTTACGCTCCGGCGGGGTGGAACACTGATCAATTCAGCCAATTGCCAAGATGTGTATTCCACCTGATTGGATGCATAGACAATCCCAACACTGCAGGCTAAGAATACATATCTCCCTCCAATAACGACGATCCCAACCTTCTCCTTTCTTCATGAAAAGCCCTGTTCTCGCGGATGGTATCGGAGAGATTACGGCCTGTATGCCCCTCCAAACCCAGATGTGTATTCCAACCGGTTTGAAAGAATAGAGTGTCTCAACTCTGCAGGCTACAGTAAAAATATCTTTCTCCAATCACCACGTTTCGAGACGGGAGTCAAACTTCTTGTTCAATCTGATGATTTCCGATAGACGAAGGTTGGTATACCTTTCCCCCTTTGAGCATTTTCTGAAGAAAGGCTCTTCTTCCCGCCCACATTCAATCTTCAGAGGAAGCCAAGTCCTTGACTTCTTGCCACTTCCAGTGTCTTGATACCTGATCGTCGGGGGTCTGCAATTTCGAGGCGCAGAGCATCTGCACCTTTCGAAAGACCATCTGCAAAGTCCCAACCACACCCAGATGTCTGCCAATATTGTAGATATCCAATACTTGTAAGCTGGCTGCGAGACGTCGGGTATGATGTCGATGCTTTGCAATCTCGGAGGCCTTTCGAAAACGGAGCCAGAAGAGACTGGAGAGGATGAGGGCTGGGTCGCACTTGTACATCCTCGAGAGATGTGCGACATCTATGCGAATGTGTTGGACGTTCTCCAGTAATGTTCTATTGCTCTAAGCGCTGTTTATTTGAAGCCAGGTCTGGTCGGCGCAGTCTCGTAGAGGGCGGTCCCCACCCATGATGAACGAGCCTATATCTCTGTTTCTCGCCAGAAATGTGAGGTCGATTAGGAATACTGTGGTACGAGGATCGAAGATGCCACACGTGACAGAAGGCCCTCGAAGCAAGTTATTTCTTGCTTTGATCCAGCATTTGAAGCCGTCATAGAATGTTTTATTGGTCCTGGAAAGTGACTTGAAAATGTTGGAGTTACAGAATCCGTCTAGGTTCTTGTCGTCCCCCAGATCGACAAGGCGATCTTTGAGTGCTAGTAATTCGTTGAATATCAAGTCTTTGATTTCCTGGGGAAGGAGGAGAGACGAAGTGGCTGCCAGAACGTTGGTGGTACTCGCGGTTGGAGGCATATTGACTTTGAAGAGAGCGCAGCAGTGGAGATCTGGGGGAGTACGTGGGTTGGCAATGAGTCCAGAATTGATGGAGTGCTGTGCAGTGCCATGGAGAATATGATGGGTGCAAAGAGTGACGTTGTAATTATTTTGATGATGGGGACCGGAGAGAGCGAGAAGATAAAAGGTGTCTTGAGCTTAGAGAATGAAAGGGAAGGAACGAGTAGGTGAAGCGTCTTGATTCTGAGAGAAAAGGGGCAGGGGCTAGCGACACCCTCCTACCTCTCCAGCACTCGCTGAATATAGCCCTCGTGCTTAAATACAATCCAAGCGAATATTGCGTTGAAAAAGGCAAATTAATCCCCTTGGAGCTCTTGGAGTTTGGCGTAATGACTGCCAATACAGATATCAAGGAGACACTTGGACGACAACCGGATTTTATATTCCAGGGAATCGCCGAACAAGAGCGCTTACAATATGTTGGCGATTTCTTTCGAAAAAGAGACGTCGAATTTCTAAAATGAATGTCTCAACAAGTCGGTGTAAGTCAGGCAGAGGGACAACGGAGAGTAAATCACAAAATGACAAGGAGAAAGTCGACCTGAAGCACAGATGGACTGATCGTAAATAGAACGGGAAATCTCAATAATCGTTCTAGCCTCTTGCTGTTGTGAAAAAATTGAAATGAGGCGTGAAAAGGATGAATCATTGAAACGGTGAGGCTCCCGGAGCTAACAAGAGACAAAAGCCAAACTACTTTCCATTTGCAAAGACCCTCTGGGAGAGAACACGCGATTCAAGGAAACTCTCCACCTCACACTTGTGAGAAGACATTTCGATACTAGGGGCCGCATAAGCAGGGGCAAATGCAAAGAGTAAAAGCCAGATTTTCTTTCTTTAAGAGAGTATATTGCGATCTTGGGGGAGGGAGGGGGGGAGGGGGAGTCCCGCGCGCCCCCCGAAGCCCTCCCTAAGGAAAGGAAGAAGTAGAAAAAGGCAAAAGGAGTCTTTAATCTTGGGGGGAGAACCCCCTAGCCTTTTCCCCCATCCCCTTCCTCCCTTAAGCCTCTGCGAGGTTTTTGGTTTTACAGATCATGTGAAAGGTAAATTACCTGTCACGTGAATATTGTGGCACACCGCCCCCATCTCGCGTAAACAAAGGCTTCGCTTTGACAAGTCAAAATCTTGCTTTTAATCACACATACCGTGTAAAGGAAAAAATCCACTGGCTCGCCCGGTTACCAAGCCGGTGAAGTTTTGCTGCTCTCCTATCCCTCCTTTACCCATACCAGTATTTAATGGCCTTGGTTCTTACATCATGCTCCAAAGACTCTAATGGCCCAACTGCCGTTCCTCGTCCCAACACTCCCAGCCCCTCTGAATTTATCCAAAACTCAGCCGTGCTGGCGCGTTGAAAAGAGTAAATCGTTCACCAGTCTCGGGAAGATCGCTCCGGGCAAGCCATCGCTGACAAATTCCAACCAATCACCAAGTTCCTGTCGCACTTGAACCTTCCCCACGCGGGCAACAGCAGGATGCTCATTTGAAGCCTCAACTGACGTGCTGGACGATGACGACGGCGTTATCGATTTAACCCCGCTTGAAGCCGAGTTCTGCATCCCTGGGGATCAACCGGAGGTCTGGTATAAGAGCCATGTTGTCTCGCACTGTGCTGGATTGATTGCTCTACACATTTCTGCCCACTTATCAGCCCATAACCCCACAGCCACAGAATCACAGCAAGATGTCAGGAGTTCCAGCACTTCCGCAATCCTTGAAGGAATCGGTGGAGAACAGCAAAGTGGAGTATGTGAATCTAGGTAAGAGTGGGCTTCGTGTCTCGATCCCAATTTTGGGCGCAATGTCCATTGGACACCCTAAATGGGCTCCGTGGGTGATTGATGAAGAGAAGGTCTGTCCCACTCTTCACCCAGAATCCTGTAGATTGCTAATTCCATAAGTCACTCCCTCTACTCAAAGCTGCATATGATCGTGGCCTGAACACGTGGGACACTGCGAACGTCTACTCAAACGGAGTCAGCGAGATAATCATTGGCAAAGCGATCAAGAAATATAGTATCCCGCGCAATAAGCTGGTTATTCTCACCAAGTGCTATGGAGCTGTTGGCGAGGAGCCAATTATTAGGGGAGTCTTCCACCCAAAGGAAATTCGAGCTTCGAAGGACTATGTGAACCAATCAGGTAATATATCCACCAACCACTAAAATGTTCCAGTTGTTGACTTTAAGATAGGCTTATCCCGTCAAGCAATCTTTAATGCAGTCGATGCCTCCCTCAAGCGTCTCGACACTACATATATCGATCTCCTTCAGATCCACCGTTTCGACGTCAATACGCCCCTCGAAGAAACAATGGAGGCCCTCCACGATTTAGTCAAGAGTGGCAAGGTTAGATATATCGGAGCGAGTAGTATGTGGGCCACACAATTCGCCCAGCTGCAGTTTACCGCAGAAAAGAATGGCTGGACCAAGTTTATCAGCATGCAGAATCATTATAATCTGCTATATCGCGAGGAAGAAAGAGAAATGAACCGATTCTGCGACGCGACTGGCGTTGGTTTGATACCGGTGAGTAGGCCGTCGATAATCTCCCATTATCCCAAGACTGACAAGAGCAGTGGGCACCCCTCTGCCGCGGCCACCTCGCAAGACCCATCGAGGCGTTCGGCACGACGACAAGAAGCAAGCCGGAATTAGAGAAAGGCCTCACCGAAACTGACACCAAGATCATACAGCGTGTACAAGAACTTGCTGAGAAGAAGGGATGGAAGATGAGTCAGGTTGCGCTGGCATGGATCAACAAGAGGATCAGCTCTCCGATCATTGGCTTCAGTAGTGTGGACAGAATGGATGAAGCAATTGAGGTTAGAGACAAGACTCTGACTGAGGAAGAGGAGAAGTATCTTGAGGAGTTGTACCAGCCGAAGGCAATATCTGGTCATTCTTGAGAGGGTTCGGCGAAGGAAGTACAAGAGTAAGTTAGTGATGCTCTTATATAGGCTGGAAGTCTGTAGAAATTGAACACAAATTTTTGGACAGGTTTTGGGTATGCGGAGGCCTCCTCCGAGGGTGCCATAAAAATTTAGTGAACTTTTTGACAAAAGGCCTCTCCCCGTTTTCTATAAAGAAAGCTGTGGGGGCATCAACTGGATGGCTCTCATTGCATAATTCCGGTTTCTATGGTGATAGACGGGCATTCTTAGTAAGTTCCGGAAGAAGCCCTGATCGACTCGCCAAAAGACTGAGCTGCAAATCAGAGTTCGCAACTTCAAAAAGCCTCTTCTACTACAACACCACAACTTTTGGTCTGAAACTTGATAGGGTCATCAACAATGGTTTGTCTTCAAAGGAAAGTAACGTCAATATTCTAGATAGAATACCTTCATGGTGAAGGCCACTAGCGTCTTTCCCCGGATTTTAGCTGAACCTTCCCCCGCAACCAGGGCCCGAAAAGGCAACATTGGCGAATTCCACCATCGACTCAGGCGGTCATGTTGTCACGCGACGGATAGCGTGAGCAACCCCGCACCCCCCAACTGAAACGAGCTTCCTCAACCCATCCTCCCACCTGCATCGTACCTGATCCCTCCTTCATCACAATCACAACACTCTGCATTCTACATCTAAAGCTTCCCCAAGCCACAAATCTGATACTCTATCTTGCGATTACTGTTCGTGAGATATCAATACCAGCCTGCCTTACCCTCAATCCCCTTGATTACGAGTAAAGCCCCCTCATCCACCATGTCTGCCGACGCTGGACCAGCACCATTATCCAAGGTCGACTCTGCCGTCCAAGGTCTGTCATCAAGCCCTGCTGAGGACAAGGGTGCCAAGCGACGTGCGAGTTCGAGTGTTCCAGGTGTCTTCAACATCCTCGACTTAGGTGTGTCCCTCCTCGGCCTTACCAGCTGCCATCGCCATCCGGAGCCGCCGGAACAATTCCATCAAATTAAACACTGACTTGGCTCGATGAACAGAAAAGGAAGGAAAGGAGCTGCAGATTGCAAAGGAGACGCAAAAGCTGAACTGGTATGTGCAAATCTATGGTGCTAAATCGCTCACCTTACCCCGCCCGGTCTTTGACTTCCTCGTTTCAGCATCAACAGACGTGGATTATCTCGAACTGACCTATGATTGCAACCTAGGCACATCAACAAGTCCCCGGCATCCCTGGAGGAGCCTGAAAAGAGTGCGCTCAAGAAGATGCTCACCACCCCACCCGTCAAGAAGATTGACCTCCACTTCCCGCTCGGACTCGAGGTTACCGCGCGAAACCTGAAAGGTGTGACAATCAAGGATGCATTAGATGCAATCTACAAGCAGTTCCGAAAGAAGGTATGCTCGTGGTCCCATCATATTGTCACCACATTTCTCAGAGCCTCGTCGTCGTGTCACCGTATCAACTCTCGACCATCATCAGCACTAGCAAATGCTAACAAATCCATCTGCAGGCCGATGATGAGCTCGAGGCCCCCGTCCTCGCAGGCTTCGAGTGGGACAAGGAGGAGTCCTGGACTCGGTTGATCGTCCACTGCAAGAAGGAAGGCGCACCACAGCCGAAGAAGAAGGCCAAGAAGGGTCAAGAGGGCCAGGAAGGCGAGGATCTTTAGATCTTCCCACCCGGATACACTTGCTCCACAATGTCTCCCTCGTTTGACAGACTAGAGCGCGGATGCGGTTAAGAGGATTTACTATGCTAGTGGGCTAGCTCGGAACTCGGTGCTCGGCGGATAATACATTGAACATGGCAAGCTTGCCTTGGGAATATCATATGGGGAGTGTTCTGGTATCGCTGTTCATGACTAGTTGACTTCGACTAGCTGAGATAGCTTTGCTTTGAATTGACAGCTCTCCTCCCATGTTGTATACTGGTGCGACCTCAATGGTGATATGTGTCGCACATTCTGGCCAGGTCCTCATCCTCTGGACCAATCCGTATTCAACCCTCACTCGAGAGCGAGTGGTTGTAATCTTCGATTCTGAGGAATAGTTGCAGATTCATCACACCGTTGTGCGCAAAATTCGTAACTTCCTCTGGACCCACTTTCCAAAAATCTCATGAACCCCAAAGAAGAAAGCGCTGCCGAGAGCACCACTCTTGACTTCCTCCTTCACAAGCAACATGGGAGATAACAAAGTTATCCAGATTCCATATGTAGGTTTCCTGTTTCCTCAGTAGATCTTCTACTTTTCATCCTTCTCTGTCTCTATCTTAGTTCAAGCAAATCGCACTAAGATGGATGAACGCGCCGCCGTCCCAGTAACTCTGCCCAGACAGAACCCCACCATTGCATATTGGCAAGACCCTCCAGACCCTGAAATCGCAGACTACCTTTCCTCCTCGCAAGTGCCAGAAATAGCAGATACAGTCATAATAGGCAGTGGAATAACCGGGTCCCTCATTGCATGGAATCTCTTCCAATCTCCAGATCATGGACATTTCACTATGCTTGAAGCACGCCAGGCATGCTCTGGAGCTACCGGACGAAACGGTAACTCCCCTGGCTAAGTATACAGAAAGAGGATGCTGATGGAAACCAGGCGGCCACACAAAAGCAGCCTCCTACCGCTCCTTCCACGACAACGCCCATTCCCTGGGCACCGAAGCCGCAGTCAAGATCGCGCGTCTCGAATACGATAACATCAAAGCCGTGCACGCATTTGCACGCAAGTATAATATAGACTGCGATCTGTACAGTGGGGATACGGTTGATATTATATATGACCAGGCGCAGTGGGATAATAGCGTGAAGTCTATTGGGGCGATGAGGAAAGCTATGCCAGAGCTGCTGGATACAGTTGCTAGGTATGAGATTTGGGGGAAGGAGGAAGCGAGGGAGAAGTTCTTTGTTAGGGGGGAAGAGTGTGTTGGTGCGATTATGTATGAGGCGGGGAGTTTGAGTGCGTATAAGTTCGTGGTTGGGGTTTTGAAGATGGTGGTGCAGAGGGGAGGGGAGCTGTATACGAATACACCTGCTACGAAACTTGAGAAGGGGGAAGATGGCATGTGGAGCGTACAGACGCTGAGAGGGGTGGTGAAGGCGAAAAGGGTGGTGTTGGCTACGAATGGGTATTCGGGTTTCTTGTGCGAGAAATTTCAGGGCAAGATTGTCCCTCTGAGGGGGCAGATTACTGTGCATAGGCCAGGGAAGAACCAGCCAGTCAGTGGGCTATCAACGACGTACTCTTTTATCTACAAGAACGGATACGAATACATGATTCCCAGGCCGCAAGGAAGCAAGCACGCAGGAGATATCGTCATAGGTGGTGGTCTGGTAATGGCCAAGGATGAGGGCGTTGAGGAATTCGGCACAACGGACGACACGACGATCAACCAAGATATCAGCAAATATCTGACAGAGACTACACCTCGATACTTTGGGAACGATTGGGGAGATGATCACGCAGATGGCAGGATTAGGCAACAATGGACTGGTATTATGGGCTACAGTCCAGACGGCTTCCCGTTCATTGGGGAAGTTCCGGGAGAGAAGAATCTTTGGATGGCTGCCAGTTTCCAGGGACATGGTATGGTGCTGTGTTTTATGTGTGCCAGAGCTCTGGTTGCTATGATGGGTGGTGAGGAAGAGGCGCTTGAGAGTTGGTTTCCTGATGCATTCAAGGTTAGTGAGGAACGGCTGAAGAAGAAATTCGCTGGCAGGTTGCACACAAAGCCCTTGGATATTGGGACGAAGCCGTGATAGCTTGGCTCAGAGACTTGTGGTATTGGTCAATGAGAGTCAGCTTCGAGTTCACGGCATAGAGCCGCTCTTTTCTGAATGCTCTCATATTTAGATTCCGCACAAGACGTTGCACAGTGGCTTCGATTTGTTTCAAATCTTTCCCTGCTTACTTTCGTTGAGATGGTTCTCGGTCCCTTCCCTTGTTGTGGTTGATGAGTGTCCACTTACAGTAAAGGGTTGCTCTCTTGGACAGGGCTACCTTCCCCTCGTTTAGGCAACCCCCCAATCCGTGCGGCACACTCCCCGCAAAGTGACGCGGAATGGTTCCTCTTATATTTTTGATGCGGGGGATGCTTATTCTTGCTCTTGCCAATCGGGTTTTGATCCAAGTGCCGTACTAATTGCCTCCTCTTGTCCTTGAAGAGTACGAAAGTACTATATATCTTCAAGACAGAGATAAATATCTCTTCCCCTTCTCAAATTTCATCAATGGAGCCAAGTCATATCCTCATCTCGATTATTAAGTACCCGGCCGATTCAGATTACATCTCGATTTGAAGCACACAGCCCTCAAAATGAGCGGCTCAACCGATTCAACCAAGCTCCCCATCGATGATAAACACGACGTCTCTCAAACCGAAGATGTCGAGAAATCAACCATCGACGAAGCAATCGATCCCATCGCCGAGAAGAAACTTCTCTGGAAAGTCGACTGCCATGTCGTCCCACCGCTTCTCATCCTCTTCCTCCTAGCCTTCCTCGATCGTGTAAACATAGGAAATGCTAAATCCAAGGAATGACCAAGGAGCTGCACATGTTTGGGCAGGACTACAGCATTGCTTTGTTTATTTTCTTCATCCCGTGAGTTGAATCCTCTTTTCAGGAACGAGAGATGTTAAAAGCAGATACATCCTCCTCGAAGTCCCCTCCAACATCATCATCCGGAAAATCGCGCCTTCCACCTGGCTCTGCGGCATCATGTTCTGCTGGGGAGTCTGTACAGTGGGCGAAGGGCTCGTACATAACTTCGGCTCCCTCGTCGCTTTGCGTTTCCTGCTCGGCATCTTCGAAGCTGGTCTTGTTCCCGGAGCCGTCTACCTTATCACCATGTACTACAAACGGTACGAGCTACAATGGCGGCTTAGTGTTTTCTTCTATGCAAGTATCCTCGCTGGTGCTTTTGGGGGTGTGTTTGCTTATGCTTTGGCACACATGGATGGAATTGGTGGCTACGCTGGTAAGCTTCTCTTCAGATCTTTCATTACAGAAGACTGACAAATACAGGTTGGCGCTGGATCTTCATCATCAAAGGCCTGCTGACAATTCTTATCGCCATCACATCGACTGGCCGGAGACCGCCACCTTCCTAACTGATGCGGAGCGTGCACTCCTGCTCAAGCGCCTCGCTCTTGATGTCGGTGAAGCAAGAATGGATATCTTAAATCATCGGTCTGCTAAAAGAATCTTCACAGATTGGAAAATCTGGTGCGGTGTCTTCATGTATATGGGCATCGTGAACACCGGCTATGCAACAAGCTTTTTCATCCCGACTATCATCCAGGAGATGGGTTATACGGCAGCTATGAGCCAGGTGAGGAGTATACCTATCTTCATCGTTGCTGCGGTAGCAGCACTCCTGGTGGCATGGTCTACGGATAGGATGAAACATCGCTACGCCTTCACGATTGCCGGTGTAGTGGTGGGTGGTATTGGATATGTGATACTTTTGAATCAAAGGGGTGTTAGTGTTGGTGTGAAATACATGGCTTGTTTCTTTATCACGACAGGCGGGTACATGACGCAGCCCGTAACGTGGGTATGGCTTAACAACGTACGTCTTCCTCTCTCTCCCTCTCCGTCCTTTGCTAACACAAACCAGATTATGGGCAGCCACTATAAACGCGCCATAGCAACAGCCCTCCAAATCGGCCTTGGCAACGCTGGCGGCATTGTCGCCTCCAACGTCTTCATCACAAAGCAAGCGCCCTTCTACCGCACGGGATACGGCACCAGTCTCGCAATGCTTCTCATGTGTGGAGCGATGTGCACCGTGTTTTTCTTTGGGTTAAAGGCAGAGAATAAGAAGAGGAGTAACGGGGGAAGGGATTACCGGTTTGAGAGTGGAGAGTTAGAGAATATGGGGGATGATCATCCGGAGTTTAGGTTCACTACTTGAGAGGTAGGTATCTCGAGAATGCATGCTCTCAATTTCAGAGTACTGTACAACTTTTAGGAAGTTTGAGCCCGTGTGGTCATCTATTTCACAGATGTTCATAATGAAAGGGAGGCTGTAATGGCCATATCCAATCTATTAGATCTAATGCCGTTGCAAGTCTTCGTTCTCGATGGTGATGCCGATTAATTGTGTTGTTTGTACTCCGAAGTAGCAGTCCTGGTGAGATTTCTAATCTTAGGATGAAGATCAAAGGTTGAACAATGAAGCAGGTGCAAGCGATCCAGAAGCAGGTCAGTAACCCAACTAGGTGTAGAACATTGGAAGACTGTTTTGCGGAGGACCTGGCACCTTGATGCATGAAATACACAATGTATTTTCTCATTACGATGAATTATACCAACCAAGTCTTCCTCATGTAGAATGTGGCAAAGCACCCTGATTCATCTCGCCCGTTGCTCCCTTTCCATCAATACTCTTCCCAATATCAATTCAAGTATGACTCTTCGCATCACCCACAAGATGACTCACTCTCCTCACTCCCTCAGGAATCTTGAAATGAGCCTTCAAAGGCGTCCAGCTCTCCTCGTTATAATCTTCTTGCACCTTCTTGCAAGTCTTCAGACCCCACTCAGTCACACCAACCATCAAGCAACTCTCGAACATAAACGCCATGCTGCCTTCTCCCACCTTCGTTGGCTTGAGCTCGACGTTTGAAGCCCTTTGATGTGTGCCGGCATCAGGTCCATGGGCTGACATGATATTGTGCAGACTGGCACCAGCAGGCCGGAATCCGCCTCCAGTCTTTGCATCATATTCTCCGCCAATGAGACCCATGAATTCAGACATGGTGTTTCGGTGGTACCAAGGAGGTCGGAAAGTATCTTCGCCTACCAGCCAGCGTGGAGGGAAGATCACGAAATCTGCGACTGCGGTGCCAACATGATCTGTGGGTGCGGTAAGGACTGTGAAGATAGATGGGTCCGGGTGATCGAAGGAGATGCTACCAATTGTGCTGAATCGCCCTAAGTCGTACTTGTATGGGTAGTAAAGACCATGCCAAGCTACAACGTCAAATGGAGTGTGCGTCTGGTTTGCTGCAAATAGATGTCCGTTGAACTTGGATAGGATGGTATATTCTCCAGATGTGGCTTCTTCGAAACTTGCAACTGGGGCCTGGAAATCTCTTGCGTTTGCCAAGCAGTTCGATCCAATGGGTCCCAGCTCAGGCAGTTGGAAATGCCCCTGGTAGAGCTCGCAGATGTAGCCTCGTACTGGGCCTTCTGGAAGCTCCACACGGTATCTGACTCCTCTTGGGATAACACAAATCTCGTTCGGACGGACGAGGATATGGCCCAGCTCAGTCTGGACATCTAACACTCCGTGTTGTAGCACGATCAAGAAATCTCCATCCGCGCTGTAGAAGGCCTCGTTCTTGCTCATGCTCTTTCCCGCAGCGAATATAAAGATTCCCAGCCCCGACTTCATTGTAGGATCTCCTGCGCCTGCAACGAGCTTCAAGCTATGTACCCAATCCACAGTCTCATCTAAGTCAAAGGGGTCCCACCGAAGCTGGTTCGGAACCTGGTGTAGCTTGTTCCCTTCAGGATTCGTGTTGTAAGAGGAAGATTCGCGAGGGTTGAACGTCGAATGTGCGGCGGCAGGAAGGATACGGTAGAGCCATGATTGTTGATTCTCGTGTCGTGGAGCTGTGAATGCTGTGCCAGAGAGCTTCTCGGCGTAGAGACCGTACGGAGGTTTTTGAGGAGAGTTGGCTCCTATTGGGAGGGCACCCGCAACAGCTTCTGACCTGCAAAGATGTCAGCCAAGTTCCTCTGATGCTGGGGAAGGGGGCTCACTCATGGTAAGAGCCGAAGCCATTCTGGTACTTGTACTTCTCTTGTGTGTTGAATTGTGTGACCGGCATGTTGTCTGTTCGTTAAGCTGAGAGTGAAGTCAATTGATTATTTGTGAAAGAGCAAGGACTTTATGAGAAATTTGAGAAGCTTAGGAGGAAATTCTGGTACGGTTTCCCTTTGATACAAACCATGGGTAATTGGAGTAGAATGGAATAAGCTCCTCCGCCCTCTTCTCGATTCACCGCGATGAACTCACCATGCAGCTCGGCACAAAGAATCTAAGGGAGCGGAAAAGTCGGGAAAATCCACAGCGGAGAGCTTTCCGCACAGAGGAAGTGGATTTAGAGAGATGATAAAGAGAGGTTGGGAAATCTTACTAGATGCGCACCTGTATCGCTCTTTCTACCTCCAATCATCATGTAGCAGTGGAACCTGCTTGGAACGACATGTCCTGGCCCCTTCCTTCAATGTGTAGAGCTTCTTCGTTGATCTCGAAGATTAGCAAGTATTTGTTCTCGACCCACGAGTCCAAGTCCATTGTGCTTGTACGGAGGGTGAACATCAGCTAGATGCTTCTCGCTTTGTCGAGAAATCGACCCTCTTGGACGCAAAATCAAGGTAAACATATATTGCTTACAACGGGCAACTGTTTGTGAAGAAATGGAAGAAGAACTTTCTTCTATGGAATATTTGTCGTCTTCGCTGCCGTGAGGAACGAAGATGGCGAACAAAATTTAGCAAGACTCCACCGATCTTACAAAGCTGTATGAGCACCATATCTTGCGCTGAGAAGGCCTTCTATTTCTTCTATTTAGAACTCGCTGACTGTGTATCTGCAGCTCGAAAAACAGAGAAACCTCATTCGATGAACCGAAACCACATACTCCTCTGAGTATGCTGACCCGTTTGCAAACCACCACTGACTATGCAATTATCGAAAAGACGCTCGATCGACATGATCCCATTTCCAATCTTAAAGAGCCAAGATAGAAATTAAGACTACGCCAACCTAGCGATCGCGGTACTGGCCGCAGCTGGAGTTCATGCACCTATTACGGTCAGGGGTGGGCCCATTCATCCAAGCAGTTGTAGCAACAGTCCCACAATGCCTACATTCTTTGCGGATTTTGCTGAGCACCTTTCCTGGCCCAGAACCGCGTTCGCTGGAGCTTGGAGAAGCAGACTTGAGCTTGAATGGGCTGGGATCTGGGCTGGCGGGCACCTCGTTCAAGGGGCTGCTACTGAGCTGACCTGGCGTGGATTGAGTGCCGTCAGCGGTAGCTGAAGTTCCAGAGTGTTCACCAGATTGGAAGGAGTTGTCAAATTCGATGCTGTCCATACTTTCCACGGAGCTGAGCTCAGATTCGGAGGTCTCTTCTTCCACCTTGACGGATACTGGCGGAGTAAATGGTGGAGTTGGGTTCACAGCACCTCCAAATTCCTCCAAACTGGCCAGGACTTCCTCACTGGGGAATCCCTCCTCATCTTTTGGTGCCTCCTCAACTTTCTGCTTCTTCCATGCGGGGAGAATGATGACGTCGGGCTCGGCATCTTCATCGTACGGCTTCCAGTGGCCAAGAGGACCTGAATGTGTCGAGTCAGCAATAGTTGATCAATAACATGCCTCGCTGCTAGTAATCGGGCCAGTGAGGGTCTTCAGAGTACACATACCATCCTTGAAAAGTGGGACGATGATATACTCCTTGACTGCCTTGCTCTTGCCTTTTCAAAGTCAGTTTCTGCGGCTTCAACCATTGAGGCTTTCTTTTTTGGCTTCAACCTACCCTTCTTGCGTCGGGGGAAGCTCATGCGGGTGAGATTAAGCCATGGACCATACTTGCTCACGCAGAGACGGCTACGACACTTAGGGGAGATCACCATGAAATAATCGTCACCATCAACAGCTAGAACGCGTCAACAGATGTGATCCACGACGCAAACGGCTCCAACTTACCATAGAGGTCCTGAAGGCGCTCAATCTCCTCCAAGAGGTGGTATGGCGTGCCTAGAGAGAAGTCAGCTCTCGCGTTGCGGGAACGACTGCCTTCCTCCCTGTCCTGTGGTCTCCTGTGGCCTCTCGCGTTTCACATACCCTCAAGCTGCGGATATTTCTCCTTGAATCTCTTCTGGTAAGCGGCAGCATCCTTGTTGTCCTGGATCTCCTTCTTGATGTTGATCTTTTGCTTTGCCGTCAGTATCCATGTCCATTAGCGGCGCATTCCTATCACTCACAGCAGTACTCTCGAACCTGTCGATCTCGACACCATCAGGAACAAACTGAGCTGCACCTGGCTGTTGTTTGACGTCCATGGCGAAAGAGGCTTGGGGGATCGTGTGGAGCGGTAGCTGTATCTTGTCTTGTTCGCGTTTGATGGACTGTAGAGGGCCAGATTTGGGAGGAGGGGCGGCTGTTGGGGATTTTGCGCACGAAAGAATCGGGAGCTCGAATTCACCCATCGTGACCTGTTCCCCGTCCCTATTCTGTTTTGTGTGGTATTGTTGTCGAAGCCACTTCGCCTTTCCGTTACGATCCCGATTTCGATTCACCTTTGGCTCGCATTGATATGATAACGCAGCCTCGTCTGATGTACCATGGCTGACAGTGGGTATAGTAGTGCAAGATTTACTTGAGCTCGATGCTTTTGTCGTTTGTCTTTGGAAGACTGACGGGTATAGACAATATTTTCACAAGGTCGTGTATTCATTTGAAGATGTCAATGAAGGTTCTCGGTTGTCTTGTCCGCATTGTTAGAGATGCAAGCTTACCTGCCCGTCCTGCTACCACGAAGCCGTATTCCTAGTTCTTTGAGCTGTCCAAAATGGCAGGTGCGAAGCTGGAGGTCCCTGCTTGCTCAAGTACGTTTGGCCAAGCAGTCTCACTTGACTGACGGGCAGGGGTTGCTCCAGTAGTTCGACGAAAGTAGGCATTCTGACCTCTTACAAATCTCGTCTTACAAACCCATATATCTATCACAGCGCGCCCACAAATACGGATATCAGCTGGAACACGGCTGAGTCTCTTCTTCAATGGCGATAAATAAACTGACATCTTTGCAGGCCCAGAACTTTCTGCACACCACTTCCCATTTTTTCACAATTCTCTCCAAGTACCATCGAGTCTTTCCCCCCCCCCCTCGTGGCACATCCCACACCATAGAATCCAGGCATCACTTATGTCCTTCGAGTGGCTACATACCGACTTGAAAGGGGAGATTCTGTTGGAGCTAGTGCACTTTGGTTGTGGCCTGCGGGAGTTAAGCCTGTTCCGCATGGTCCTAAACCCACACGACTGAATCACAGCGATTACCTTCTTTCAAATGATCCCAGAGCAAGTCACATACAAACAAGGAGTCCCAACCTCGCCAAGAACTTCTGCGAAGCGCGAAAGCTTTCTGCAAGCTATCACACTCAATTTTCTCTGAATCCTGTCTTCGAAACGCCCCCTCCCGCAATCTGGCACCACGCTACCACTTCCGTCCAAGAGCCCTCCACAAGGTTGAGCCACTGTCCCTGACTATGGCGGCGATTACACTCTCCCCGGTATCAGGTCTCTCCGCCGTCAAGAGTGCTTGCCAAACCTGCCAGACTGCCTTTGACAGCCCGGCCGGCCTCGAGAACAACTCGATGGAAGGGAGCCGTGCCCCTCCTGTCAAAATAATCTTGAAGCTCAAGGTCTGCCTAGCTTGCAAGGCAACATTTGACCGGTACCTCGACCGCAAGACGAGGGCTTACTGGACGAAGAAGAAATTCCAAAAATGGGCCGAGACCGTGATCCATGTCACAGTCAAGCTCAAAAAAAAGTACATGGTCAAATTCCACCGAGGAACAACTCTGAAGTTACGTCATAGCGGAAAAGTCTCGACCTTGAGAGTTCCAAACCGTTGGACGACTCGCATCATCTAAAAGTAACTGGTGAGTAGATCTTCATATTCCTCTGTCCGTTAGGTCTGCTAACTCAGAGCTACTGCGCAGTCGAAGCCCAGCAACCACATCAGAGAGGCCATCGCTCGAACGTTCATTTCCCCCCATGTTACCCAATCTTTCACTCTTGCTTGGAATATCTCCGAACATCATCATACTTTCGAACACTAGATTATCTCTGATGGCAGGTGTCTGCTACAAATCACTATGTTTTCGACTTTTCTCACGCTCCGAGCGTCAACTATTTTCGGCCAACTTCGCAACCGGAACTTAATCATCCCATTATGACACCCTACTGGCTTCATGCAATATCATATTTTAAGTGTTGCAACGTACATTCCTTTACCTTGTTTCAACCTTTACACTCTTTCTAAAGATCTCTTCGAATCAACAACCTCACGTGGACTCGATTTATCTCTAATAGCAGATGTCTGCTCCGACTCAAGGCATTGTAGCGTTTCTCACTCCTACGTCTCCAACGAATAATCAACGAATAATGAAGGCGAAAATTGGCTTCCTGGGATCTGGTCTCTTCCTTCCTCTCTACTGATGAGATTGCTGTACATCGAGGGTATTCTTATGTTGCATGGATAAGAAGTCTAGCCGATGCATAGCGACGGCGTTCTCATGTCAAATGGACAATAGCGGATACATAGACACTATTTTTTATTTCTTTGGAAACTCTACGTAGGTTGAAATCCTCCTTTCCTATCACCCAAGGTACTCGTGCCTTCTCTCGTGACGTTCTCAAAACCGCCTCCTGTTTGGAAAGTTGACTTGTCGGACCATGAAAGTGATTACTTTAGGAAAGCCTCCCAGTCTTGGTGATCATCCAGGATTTCGTTTTTCGTCACCGCTGTCTGTTCGAGCTTGAAATCATGTCACGTGTAGGGTCCATGAAGAATACTATCTGCTTGCATGAATTTGATTGATACGTGAGGACTATGCCTCTGGATATGATATTTCTAAGAATAATTTATTCGGGGTTATGTCAGCACAACCACTAGATGTAGTAGTCCTTCAAACACATGTGTCCACCCTCAGGACAGGCAGAACTTTCCAACAGCGCAATCGCGGCACACCATCTTCCCATTACATGCCCACAACACGAGAGCTCGACGGGGAGCTCGGCATCATGCTGCCCATGTGGAACTCGATATTGCTGGAGGCACGAAGGGCAATCCTTTTTATTTGTGTCCAGCGGGCTCATGCCGGCTCAAGTTAAGAAATCCTCGATGGAAACAAGTCTCTTTTCCCGCTCCGCGAGCTTCTCTTTTCTCGCTCTGAATCCAGTGCAGTATTCCACGCAGCATTTAAGCTCCATCTTGTACACTGGATTGTTGATGGCCTTTTCCATCTCTGCCTCCATCCATTCGCTGATGTCCTCCATCAGTACAATCTCGAGATCGTGCTCTCTTTGCTGCGATTGGATTGGATTATCACAGTACTCGAGGTGATGTCTTTGCATTCTTGTACCGTGGACATTCTGGCTTTAGCTTCTTCTTCGTGGCATTCGTCAGTGAGCAGCCAAAGTTTAACGCCTCTTAAAGCGTGCTCTAATTGTTCTAGCCCACGTACGGCTGATGCAAGAGGATGGTCCATCTCATCGAGGCGGCGATATAAGTGTTGATAACGATATACCAAACGCCAAGTAGCAGGGCGATCCAAGAATCGAGCCGGCGTCCGAGATAATATGTGTTCATCGTATCGCGCAAGTCGAACTCTGGCTTGTCTTTTCCTATGGGCATCCTCATCTTCGGTCACCTTCTGGTCTTCTAGCATCATTTGTGAAAGAAAGACAGATTGAATGGTGTACTGCGTATCTCTACAAAACCAGGGGATTCAAAGATTGATTACTTCGAACAAACAGATTTCAACAATCACTTTGTTGGACAGGATTTGCAGAATTGTATTAGAAGAAATGATTACAATTAGAGGGTTTTTAGACAAGCACATCGGCATACTGGACTGGTGCAATGCTGGTCATGCCAAGTGACTGCGTAGTGATTGCCCAGGAAATGGCCACACGAGAGCTGCACTGGATTCTCAGCCTCGAAATCATTCACAGAGACTCCATACTTTCGAGGCATACGGAACCGTGGAGGTCAGCAGCATCCAATTTCACAATAGACCGTGGCGTCAAAAGAGCCAAGATCTCGCGGGCTCTATCTCGTCGTCCCGGCAAGCCCTTTGAAGCACAATGCTTGATTACCCACGGCACGTCTTCCCTGCGTGCTGAATCGTGGGGGAGATTTCTAGCTCGGACTCTAGACTCTACTATATGAAAGTAAAAATACTCTGACGGAATGTCTGAGTCTCCGCCGGCGTCCGCTGTCGACCCCATAGCACTGGCTTACACATTTCCTCTCACCCGTCACAAGACTACAGCACGTGCTCTCGATCGAACTGCGAACTCGCGTACATGGATGGTCTCGTTTGGCCAGCCCTCTTTCTTAGTCGGAAAAGGCGACGTGTGTCTTGTGGTGCGGGTTTTTCTATGGCCTCATAACGGCGGGCATATTGAGAGTAGAGTGGCACCAAACGTAAAACTTGTCCACGAGTTAACGTCCCAAATTGAAGTCTGCACAAAACCGTTTCTTCATGGCGTATTGCACACTCTTTACATTTAGTTATTTTTTCAACTTCCTCAGCTTCAGCCGCGAGCCGGTCCTGTGCTGACATATTTCCCAATTTCCTTACCCGCAGTATTCTTTGAGATTCCTCGTCCTCAGCCAGCTCAGCGCTTTGCTCATCCGTTTTAGCCATCTGCATGCGAAATTTCGCTCTGGCTTGCAGATGAAATGGAAGTGATAATCGATTCCAAGGAAAGAATTTGCAGCGTGGACAATGACCTTACATTTCCATAGGAGCACTGGGTAGCAATCAGCAGTCAGGAGCTTTGTCCTCGCAAGGAGTCGATTCGCTCGTAAAATGCCCACATCCAATCCAAAAAGTAGGAGAATCCGATTCTGTACATTTGGGCGGATTTACGTTAAGGAAAGGCGCCGGAATGCAAGTGAGTGTGCCTGTGAGTTTAGTAATTGCTGCAGCGTATTCTCTTTTCTCTGAACGAAATTGATCCTCCATCTCAGCTGCTTCTCAGCAAGTACCATAAATGTACACAATGCCACTGTTCATGTGTGAAAGAACAAAATCTCACGCTCTTTCTTCGTCTCAAAGACTGATGCCTCAAAACTTTGTTGTTGATTTTGGACAAGAAGACATCTTCCAGGATCGAGGGGTGTTTTGTTCGACTAAAATTCGGAGGAAAGTTCTCCCAATAATAGTCAGAGTTGAACACTGAGTCTCGGATCTAAATATGTCGGAATGTTAAATAATACGACTGCGATATGAGATCGACTCAATGTCCCACTTGACTTAGGACATTCAAAATTCGTACAAGTTCACATATGAAGACTGGGAAACTTCCCAATTTACCGACACGACGAGGCACATTGTTTTGCAGTCCTCACCCACAAGTTAAACAGAGACAGATGGAAGTGTCGCTTTTCATTGTTCTACCCTACATCGTACAATCGCTTTATGTGTTGGTGCTTATGCGACGTTCTGGAAATCCTACAACTGGCATGCTCCGCGGCCTTACTCAGGCCATCTCATAATCTTACAGTCAATTTTCCGGAATACCAGCCAAAACACCGAACTGGCCTCCGACGCCTCCCCACACTAGCTTCTTTCCACGAACAGCGGTATTATCAATTTGCGTAGCGAGGATAACTTCGCCACCAACACCCTGTCCTGTTTGATAATTTTCGGAGAAACCCCAGCTGTAGGCTGTACCATCCGATGTAATAACGAGACAGGTATCGTTCGCTGTTGAGACGAAACTGCCTTGAAGACCCGGAACCGCCTTGGGCTTCTTCAAGTACCTTGGCTTGCCATTCTCAGTGTAAATTTCAGCTTCCGGGAGGTTGGAAACATCAAAACCCGCCTCCTTGCTCTCGACTCGACCCCATTTCAGAACCTGGCCACCAATGGTGCAGGCAATAGTGTGGTGTGATCCGCCTGTAACTTGCTTCAATTTGAAGCCTTGAAGGTCCTTGACTAGTGTAGGACTGCCGACAATATCCTCATCCTTGCCAACTTTCGGAACACCTGTCTGTCCAAACGAATTGAGACCCCAGGAGTAAACGTTGTCCTTGCTATCGACAGCGAAGCTGTGATAGTCACCAGAACCGATCTTGACAATCTTCTTTCCCCTCAAACCTATCTCGGCTGGTCTGAGGGCCAATCTTGATGTGCGCTCAATGACACGACGACCGAGCTGATTTTGCTCGCCCGTGCCCCAAACATAGAGTTTGCCCTTCGTATCGAGAGCAAGAACATGGTTTGTGCCAGTGGCAATATCGACGATGTTCTTCAGCTCAGGAATGAGCATTGGTGTTCTTTGGACTTCGCCCTTTTCCCCCTCTGGACGGAAACCCATGATCCCTTCATTCCCCTAAAATTTGTCAGAAAAGCTGCATCGTCAGACCGAGAAGACTTACTCGGAATGTGCCCCATCCATAAACTAGGCCGGTAGTGGTGAGTGCAAATGTAGTGCTGTCACCAGCGTAAAGGGAAGCAAACTTTGTGCCTGCTGGGAAATGTTTTGGGTCGACCTCGCGGGGTTCGGCCTCACTAGGATTCAATCCGGAATCTTCATCGTCAGAGTCGGAATCGGATTCGTCATCGTCCTTCATATCCTTCATTGGGCCCGGCTCGGTTCTACGGCCAAGAGCGCCTTGATCATTGACACCCCAGGTCAAGATCTTGTTATCATGTGTCAGGGCGGCGCAATGCATGCCTCCAACAGCGATCTGAACAATTCCGATATCCTTTGCGGAAAGGAATGGGTTCAGTCGGGGACGAGTGACATCAACAACTTTTCTAGCACCAGAATGCTTTGCACCAAGTCCAAGCTCACCTCCGCTGCCTTCCCCGAACACAAACACGTCAAGAGTTTGAGTGAGAGGGTTGTTAAGGGTTGGGAGGACTTTGACGGGTTTCGGTGGCTGGGAAGTTTTGGCTGGCTTTGGAGCCTTGGCTTTTGGAGCGGTTTTGGGTTTAGATAGAGTCTGCGAGAAAAATCAGTGATCACCGCTGGCGATGTTAGGTGGAGAAGAGACTTACGGCTGGAGCTGTCTTCTTCGTAGCAGCAGCTTTCTTCCGGGTTGGGGCAGCAGCCTTCATGGGAGCTGCGGGCTTCTCTGGGAGGGCAGCAGTTTTCTTGGTTGTAGTAGCTTTTGCGATGGGTTTGGAGGTAGTGGTAGTTGCCTTGGACTTCTTGGGTTGTGGTGCTTCGGATTCATCATCCGCCTTTCTCTTTCTGCCAGTCGACCTAGCAGCGGTGGCATTCGTTTTGGCAGCAGTTGGTTTTGGTTTGGCAGTGCTGGTTTTGGGCTTCGCGGACTTGGGTTGTTTCTTTGCGGCTGGCTTGGCGGTTGTAACGTTGGTTCTCTTCGTGTTTGGTTCATCATCAGATTCTTCAGCTTTGCGCTTGTTGCCTCTTGGCTTGGTAGTCGTGGGTTGGGCCATAGCAGGAGGAGTAGGTGTCTTGCGAGCTCGAATTGAAGCTCGCATCGGCGCGGGTGCTGCTCCAGCTTCGGCGGCCTCCTTACGAGGCATGTTAACGGATTACGCGCAGCGTGTACAAGATTTGTGAGGGTGGATTCTTAAAGAAGTAGAATGGTGTGCCGACGTATGATCGATAGATCAGTGTAGAATAGTGCAGGTCCAACAAATCTGTGAATTGGCTGGAGGTTGTTGCTGGAAGAAGTGGAAGAAAAAAGTTCGAGCGAGGTTGACCTTATTGCCTTATTGTTGCGCTTCAAAATTGTTGCCGGGACGCGACCCTTGACAATAATAAAGACTAATAAGCTTTTGTACTAGCTGAGTGCCACAATTCCCTAGCGCCGATTAGCGGGACCCGCATGCTCGCGGACCGTGATTTTTGTCAAAGCGAGCTTGCCCTGTCAATGCTTTTGACTTCTTTGTTGATAATGCAATCTCATAATTAAATGGAAATTTTCCACCACCTTTGGAAGATATCTGAATGCGTAATACCACTCAGTGGTAACCAGATACAAAAAGGGAGGGTTTCCGGACATCTTGAGCCTCTCGTTGACTCCAATCTTTCTGCTGCTCTTGCAGGATTCAATTATAGCAGAACCTTGGTCTCTAAGGGAATGATATTTAGACTTGGTCCGATTTCTCACACAGTCCTGTTATTACTCTGGCAAAATCGAAAGAAGTGACATCCTATCATTTTTACTACCTACGCCTGCTGTTCTGAGGTATTCACAACCCCCTTCCCATTCAATTTACATCGTGCACCAATATACAATCACAACAAGCTCTGATATGCATCCAATCCTGACTTCTGCGTCGGAGGCTTCGATTGAGCAGGATTCCCAAACGCCGATGCCATACTAGACTGCTGAGGTGCTTGATGTGAAGGTGCAGTGAAAGAATTGGCCCCTGGCGGTGGAGGCAGTGAGAATGAGTTTGGCGAGCTCGTAATTGGTCGCTGGCTAAGTGGAGGAGGAAGTGTGAATGCATTTGGGCTGTTCGTTGTCGGTCTGTTCATAGACATGTTAGACATCGAATTCCCCACATTTCCCATGGAAGAGAGTATAGGATTTGTTGCAGGTGTGCCATTGTTGCTAGACCAGGGATTCGAAGCTGGGGTACCCCAGTTCATTGAGGTCAAAGGCTGAGGATTTTGGAAGCTAGACATCGGTTGTGGTTGGAGTGAAGCTGCATTGTAGTTGGGTTGCGGTTGTAAGGGAGCATTGAAACTCTGTTGCGGTTGAGGCTGAAGAGGCTGGGAATATTGAGTGGCCGATGGTGAGAGGGCACTAAAACTTGACAGGTCTGGAGTAATGGTTCTAGCCGTAGGACCTTGGGGTCTAATGATCCCCATGGCATTCCCTGGCGTTGAAGGTGTTGTGGGACTGGGAGTTGACCAAGAAAATGAGGCCGGCTTCGTTTGGTTCGGAAGGTTGCGTTGATGAGCAGTGGCATTCGCAGGCGTGGCATCCCACCCATTCAAAGGATTAGCCACATCACTGGTCCCTGCTGTACCCTTCACAAGTCTTTCAAAGTCGATTTCGGGATCGTTGGATCCTCCACTGGTTGAGAAAGCGTTTTTGGCGCCAAATGACATGAAGTCGTCATTATCCGTTTTCGATCCGTTGGTGCCAGATAGTTCTTGTAACTTCTTGGTCTGTTCAACCTCAACTCTGGAAGATAGACTCTTTATCAAATCCATGAAAGCTTGGAATTGCTTCAAATCGAGCAATGGCCCCAAACTCATACTCCACAGAACAGGAAGGATATCCATGGCAACGAAGTCGGCGTCTGCGATTGTACCAACTTGACGCAGAACGTTGAGCGCCGCCATTGCCACAGCTGGCTCTTTTGTTTTTATTGCTCTTATGAGTGGAACAATCTTCTCTTGCATTGTATACTTGTCGAGAGCGGTTGAAGAGCTTGTCTTTTTAGTGTTCGTCATGATCCCATCAAGGCCATCATTGCTCCCAGCTGGGTCATTCGAGCCCCCACAGAGTATCACAAACGCTTCAAGGCCTCGCACCTTGATCCCGAGACTGCTCGTCTTCGTGAATACAGAAGCAATGACTGGGAAGAGCTCATTCTTTATCGTCGAGAAGTCTAGCACAGGTAGAATAGCAGGTAGGCTCCGTAATGAAGCGTCCACAATGCTATGCGTTGGAGACTCGATTGCTAAATGTATTACGGGAAGGATATCTTGTCATGTTAGCAAGGAAGTCATTCGAGCATGGTCTGACATACTATCTTTGAATTCTTTCCCAGAGCAGTTGCTGGTAGTGGCACTGATATGCTCAAGCAAAACCATAAGACCAGCCTCTTTAGCTGGATCCCTATCAGCTTGGCCTTTCGCGTCGGATTTTGAAGCGGCAGGTGGTATGAAAATCTCCGTCAATCGTGGCATAATCTTTTCTGTAAATGGACGCCGCCCAGAAGGCAATAGTTCGATAATCTTAAAGACGTTCTGTAAAATCAGAGACAAAAGTTCACGGTCTTTCATCTCTTCCAGCAGTGCTGGGAGAACTTTCTTGTCAAGGACGGACTTTGGGAATGAAGGGAGCACTCGCGAAAGTCCACGCATGAACTGTGACTTTTCATTCGGTGTTTTGGCTGGAAGAGCATCGAGGAATCGAATTGTTGAGATCAAAATATTATCAAAATAGGCGCTTTGTTGGAATTCCTTGGCAGTCATACGTTGAGCCGGCCGCCTGGTTATTAGACGAGGCAATACTGATGCAGAAAGATCTTTTGGAATAGGTCGTGATGAGAGAAAGCTATTGGTGGCTGATGGAATGGTCGATGAGGATGAAAACAACCTCCTGTAAGTTGTTATGCTAGAATTAGTCTCCAGCGGAGAAGTATGAGGGGAATTGTATAGAGCAATTATCAGCAGACCGAGGGAGAACATATCAGCAGCTATGTTCAGGTTCGAGTCCAGGACAAAATCTGGTGAGCAGTAGTCCAGGTTCATTTGAACGGATTTTGGTAATCGGCTAAGAAATGTCATAGTAAGCTTGATATATCGACAGTTTGCAGGAGTTGATTCTTGGGTAGAAACGGATACACATACGGATCAATATTGAGGACTTCGGAGAGGCTAATGGGGGTCACGGACGTCGGCTTTGTCGAATTATCAGGGGGGCTTGCGAAACTTAGGCCACTAATCTTCCAATCCGACTTTGAACGAGTGAGCTAAATCTTGTGTATGGTGCATCCAAGCATGAAAGCCGCAGGATGACTTGAACACTTACTTTTGCATTGACAAAAACAGCATCCGGGGTCAAGTTGCCATGAACAAGACCAGCATTATCATGTAAAAACTCCAACGCTTTGCTGATTTGCTCGAGGCCCTTCTGTATCTCTAGTTCGTCGATTTCCAGTTCTCGTCTCTTCCTACCCCCTTCCGAGTCTTCTGTCACGTATCGGCTGGATCTTCCACCAACCCCGCTGGCTCTTTCTTGTTCGTCCTTCTCCTGTAATAAGCCGGATAATGAGGCGGTAACCAACTCCGTAGCAAATTGCAGCCCACCATTTCGTGCATCTTCCACAGGTTCGACAAGCTCCAGGATATTTGGATGTCGTAGTCTGGCCTAGAAAATGGGATTATGTTAGTACGGGCTTTACCAACTCAAGCAAAACTTCAACATTGTTGAAAATTTCTTATCCCGGCAATCCTCGAAGCTCCGGTTTAGCCCCAAAACCGTGCTTTTTTCTCAAGACTTGGGATATATCCCCAGGATAGACTTCAGAGCCCAAGCTGGTTCCACGTTGCGAAAGAACTTTGACTTCCTAGATTTCACCAATCAAAGTGACTTTTGTTTGCCCTAAAAGTGCAACTCTTCCAGGCATAAAGGTAATAAGTAACCTTACCAAAGACGAAGCCTCCTTCTTTAGCCTCTCCACTACCTCCTCAGTTGCTCTCTTCATTGACGATGCGCTCGACCTCCCTAAGGAAGCGCCATGCGAATCCAGGGATTTTCTATCGAAAACAAAGACAGAGGCCGCCTTTCCAGTTGACTTCTTCTTCGCATCGTATATTTTCCATGGACCCGAAGTCGAGGATGGCGAGGCAGCAACTGTGTAGTTCGAGTTGATGTTCGAAGAGAAGGACTTCAGCGCTGAGCCTAGGAGATGTCAGTCTTGAAGGTCCTTATCGAATCGGGACAATGGTTAGGATCCAGGCCGCAGACAAAGCAGTCCTTCAACATCCTCACTGTCCGCACAAGGGTCCAGATTAATGCAGATGGTGAAGATTGCTAGTAGCTCCCAACCAAGGCGTAGAGTGCCCAAAACCAGGACAGCTTACTGAACATCTTCGCAACTCAGCTCCGCGCTGTCTCCCCAGAATGTGTGAAATTGGTCGGGGCCTAATTCTCTCATGCCAGATTTCCCAAAATATACAGATCACTAAAACTCCAACGGGTTGTAGGATGTGCCGAACTGAGTCTGAGTGCGCTGGCTAGTAGGAGATGGTGGTGGCAGATGTCCAAGATTGTCTGGAACTTCTTGAGATGTTGCCAGAGAAGATGTGGTGATAGCCGTCAAGCCTCGTCTGATGTGAGTGGCCTGTACAGACGAGGCTGCCCACTGAGAGCTGATCCACAGGGCGCATTGACAAGCTCCGATTTCAGGAGACCTCAAAATAAATATCTAGCTTGAGTTGACTCACCATTCATTCCACTACAACGAGTACAGAAGCGACGACAAGTTGGCGAACCTAATCGCGAAGGTCAACTTGCAGATCTGGGCATCTATTTGTCAAGATGCTTCGTCAATTGCGCCCGCAGAGTGTGCTTTTCAAGCAGTCGCCTTCGAGGCTGATACTTGCAGCATGGGAGGGCTCGAGATCCTACAGTATCCAGGCCAAAGCTGCGTCCACGGCGAAGCTCCAGGATATCGACCTGAGCAAGCTGTCTATCACAAAGACCACTACACCAAAAGAACTCGTTCCTTCAAATGAATTGGTCTTTGGCAGAACGTTCACAGGTAGCCACCCACTTTCAAATTCTGCTTTGCAATGCTAACCACTACCAGATCATATGCTCAGTCTCGAATGGACCGCCTCAGATGGCTGGCTTCCCGCACGAATCACTCCCTACCAAAATCTCTCCCTCGATCCCGCAAGCTGCGTATTCCACTACGCATTTGAATGCTTCGAAGGCATGAAAGCCTACAAAGACAGCAAAGGACAAGTCAGACTTTTTAGACCAATGAAGAACATGGAAAGAATGAACAGCTCATCTGCACGAATTGCACTGCCTACATTTGACGGAGCCGCTATGATCCAACTGATCGCCAAGTTTGCCGCTATGGAGGAGCGATTCATTCCTTCTACCAGAGGATATTCGTTATATCTGCGGCCGACAATGATTGGCACGCAAAGAACGCTGGGTGTTGGTCCTCCTGGCTCTGCATTGTTGTTTGTTATTGCTTCGCCAGTTGGTCCGTACTATCCAACGGGCTTCAAGGCTGTATCACTGGAAGCCACAGATTACGCTGTTCGAGCTTGGCCTGGAGGAGTAGGTGACAAGAAGCTTGGAGCAAATTATGCTCCTTGCATTGCCCCCCAACTGGAAGCTGCCAAAAGAGGATTTCACCAGAACTTGTGGCTGTTTGGTGACGAGGAGTTTGTTACGGAGGTTGGAACCATGAACATGTTCGTGGCTATCAAGAACAAGGAAACTGGACAGAATGAGCTCATTACCGCGCCTCTTGACGGTACGATCCTTGCGGGCGTAACTAGAGATTCAGTGCTATCACTAGCACGGGAGAAACTGGCACCAGAAGGATGGATCATCTCAGAGCGAAAGTACACTATGCAAGAGCTCTCGGATGCGGCGAAGGAAGGGAGACTGATTGAGGCATTTGGTACTGGGACTGCCGCGGTTGTGAGTCCAGTACGGAATATCAGCTGGAGGGGTAACCCGGTAGAGTGTGGGTTGAGACCTGATCAGGAGGCTGGGGAGATTGCACAAAAGATGAAGGACTGGATTGAGGCGAGGCAGTATGGTGATGAGGAGCATGAATGGAGTTACGTTGTTCCTCAATAGGGTGCATCGATGTATTATCATCTAAAGGGTGGACAAAAAGCTGGGCGGGTCGGAGCTTCATTCAACATAAAGTTAATGATATTTGCATTGCAAATCAAAGCAGTCAAGGGGCGGCTGTTAGCCTGGGGTGTGTAAAGTAATTCAACTCGACCATGAGTCAAAAAGTGCAATTGACAATCCCGGCGGCGACTATCAATGCTGACTTGGAGATCGGCTCAATTGGAAAGTTGGAACTCACTCTTAAGCCCGCTCAATCACAAGTAAAATCCCCCCCAAAAATTGACGAGTGTGCAGTAATCCATTGAACACCTAACAAGCAGAGATCTTGTCTATCTCGCCCTCGATGCCGGGCTCCCATCGAGTACGTCAAAGCACCCCCCACCTCAAACGAGAAACCTAAATGCATATGTACAACCATCATTCAATGCCCATCTATCCCCTCACAACAGCTACGACTTGTTCTCCGGTTCCTTCAAGATGCCCTCAACTTCTAACCGCCTCCGAGCTTCTTCGAGTGCCCAAGTTTGTATCCTACGTATCATGTATGAGTCAGCCTGTGCTCTCTACCATCATTGCTCCCAATTCAACCCTCCATTCCATCTCCCACCTCTCGTACCGAAAATGACGCTCCTCTATGCTTCAATGCATAGAGAAAGGAAGATAGATATAAGGTAAACTCACGACGTATCCGGCTTAAAAGCATAAGCCACAACCCCCAACCCCAAACTCCCAAAGAACCCCCAAATCCACACCGTCTCCCAGCCCTCCTTTTCCGCCTTCTCGCCGGGCTTCACACCAAACAGCCACCCACTAGGCGGATCATAATGATCCTCATGCGCATGATCCGCCGCCTTCCTTTCTGTCGACTGCGAGAACGCCCGTACGCCTATCCGTTGCGAGATGGCGAGCGCTGATGATTGGGAAGAGATCGAGTTCGCGACACGCGGGAGAGCGACTGGGCGCGGGAGAGGCATCGTGATGGCGTGCCTCGAATGGAGTGGAGGTGTTCGTTGATGGGGGTGGGAGAGGTTGTTTGCAGTGAGGTTGAAGTTGAGATCGTCCACTGAATGGGCTCTAGCGAGTGTTTTAGCGCAGCCGATCCGCCGACCTCCTCCTTCGCTCAGAGTGGGGTCCCTTCCTTTCCTCCAGTACACTACGGATAAATCTCCTTGTTTGCTTTCTGCTTATTTCTCCTTGCATTTACGTTCCTTAGTCGCTTTTGCTTCACTGATGTCAAGATTTCACTAGCATTGAATGCCGTCAAGCTCACATTTCTATATGCTTGTAAATAAGCAAGCAGGTGAAACCGGCTTCGAATCCACTTTCTTTGCATACAAAAGAAGTTTACCAGCAAGAGAACTACAAGGTAGGGTTTGCAGTTCCTGTCTTGATTTGTTCGTATTGTTCCCATGACAAATCCGGTTCGCGCTATATCTCTCAAGGAATGTGTCCTTTGTGTGGATGTTTGGTTGGTGGCGAGGTGGGGACTTCGTTTCTTTTTTGATATAGGTGGGAGAGAAAGATAGGCTTGGAGCCCAAATACATCTTGTCATTGCATTCTATGGTACCAAAATACCTCGAACACGTGCCTCGAACCATCGCCAAGCCTCCCTTGTGTTAACCTCGATGTTTTATCCCTAAGATTTCCCATGGCCATAACCAAAAGCCAGAACAAGAAGCACATCACCACTACAAAGAATTAGTTGACCGATCTATAGAACTGACCAACAATGTGTGTACAATACCCCTCATTACTTCATTAAATACCACCACCATGTCTGCTATGCACAACCTTCGCCATGTGCCCCCAAGGATCCCGCTTATCAAGCGGTTCGCGGTCCTGCACATCCGTAGTTGTGTCCTTCCTAACGATATCCGTGTCTTGTTGCTCTTGAAGGTTCTCTTTGCTGTGCTTCTTCGCCAACTTGTGAGAGCCTGATGCACCGGAGCCTTCGGGCTGTCGATCAGCCTTTGACGGATGACTTCCCATATCGGAAATATTTTTAATACGGGTTTTCGGGAAATGAGGTCTTGAGTGAGGTGTTTTCGGTTCAAGGAGAGAGTTTTGGGGGCTTGGCAGGCTTTAATGAAGTTGTGAAAGCTGTCCAGATCATCATGAGGCTCCGAGCTGGCTGAGCCTGCTGAGCCTCCTCAGCCTCTCAGGCAGCGATGTTGTTGAGGCTTAGACTAACACTCCCCCCATGTCATAACCATTGGTTGCCCGACGATCGAATCACTTTTACATTGAAGAGGCTGAGTAGTTGCCAGTTAATTTGAAAGACTAAATACAGGTGTGAAGCGCATGTCGTGTCCTTGGTGCGAATAAACATCTCTAAAAGTCACGTTACGAACACGTTGCAAGGCAAAAGCATCTAAAGGTCAATCTGGTTTCATTCATTTACTTTTGCTCATTGAGGACGATCATTAGCCGGTTGCCCAACTCAGCTGCGATTATGCTCTGCAAGTGGACACTCATCGAGGCCCCTCAGATGTCCCAATCTATATCCCCATTCTAAGTAAAGACTGTTGTAGACCCAGTCCCTGTGTTAAGGATCATGAATCTATGTGCGGGTTGTGGCCCCCAGTGCAGCGCATTATTGACAAAAGGACTACAAATATACAGTTTGATTTTTGCGCGGTAAAAAAACGCAACGCGACGCAACCAACGAACGCCAGGCAACATACTTCTCGCGGTAATGCTAATCAAATCCCCACTTACGCCGTAATTATAGGAAAAAGTGAAAGGTATGTACAGAGCGGTTTTAGAAAAGGGTATAGTTGTACAGAGCGACAATTCGGATGCGAAATCTAGTACTCGTAGGTAGAGGATGATAGGTGAAAACGAGGTGAAAGAAATCAGGATCATGGCCTGGTGACCGCTCGAGGTGGCGATCGAGGTGCTTCAGTGGCAGGTTCTGGAGCGACCTCTGAAATTTGGCTTGGGGGGGCGTCGAGATTATGTGGGCGTTCCGTTGTAATGGGGTCATCGGGCCTCGTAGCAGGATGGATCTCGACCCCGTCTCGGGATTCCAGATCGGTGCGTGCGTTCCATCGTTGAAACCTCGTGGATTCATTCTCACTATTATAGTTTCGTTCGATTGGCGACCAACCAGCCACACTACCTGCAATGATACCAGCCATAACAGTCGTAGCTCCCAAAGCGGAGTTAGACCGAGACCGGTTGCTTCTGCCGCGTTTGCGGGATGCAGGGGTCACAACATGCGTGCCTTGAGATCCGAAGCTGTCCTCACGCTGAGGCTCTCCATTTGGAGTCTGCGGAACGGAGTTGCTCCTTGAACGAGAACCGCTTCGGGACCGTGGAAGAAGTTGGTCGCGAGCATCTTGCATGGCAAATTTGAGGTTGTTCAATCGGCCACCCTTAACACGCTTGAGGAAGCTGAGTTCTTCCTTGACATCAGCTAGCGGCCTCGGGAAGCGGAAATGCTCCTCCTCGTCCGAGATAGTAACCTCTGGTCCCTTTGGTCGACGCTTCAAGTAGTTGGGAATTAATCTGACAATGATCTCGTCTGGAACAAGACGGATGGCGGCTCCAATAGGAATTGACAAGGCGCCAAGAATAATTGAGTAAAGCCATTGTGCAGTGTTCAGATGCACAACGTTGAATGCTTTGCCTCCAACGAAGATGATCATGACCTGGCCTCCAACCATGACGAGATTTATGGCCATGAAAAACCAATTACGACTGACGCCCTCAAAGATATTAAACTTGTTGTCAAGTCGACGATTGCTAGGAGTTGGTTAGCTCTGTTGGAAATAACAAGGTGTGGAAAGCTCTACTCACTTCCATTGATTGAAAATCTGCATCCATACGAAAGTATTGAAGACAAGGGTGGGAATTTGTTCTTGTTCGTGGGGCGACTGGTAGGAAAGGATTGATACCGCCCCATAGTTGAGCAAGAGCGTAATAGCGAGTTGAAACAATGCCTCTCCAATGATCATCTTCCACATAGTTATTGAGATCAGTGGTGCTGACTTAGGATCTGGTTTTCGGTCCAGGATGCTCTCGGTAGGCGGATCTGTTGCCAAGGCCAAGGCCGCCATAGTGTCCATGATAAGGTTTACCCAGAGCAGTTGCACCGCCGTCAAAACTGACTCTTCGCTGGCGCTGGCTACAGCGGTAATAAAAGTCAGCAGCACAGCAGTAATGTTGACCGTGACTTGGAACTGCAGGAACTTCTTTACGGCGTCATTGACAGCTCGGCCCCACATCATAGCTTTGACAATGGACTTGAAGTTGTCATCCATCAGAATGATAGCGGAAGCTTCCTTAGCTACCTCAGTACCAGAAATGCCCATGGAGAAGCCAACGTCTGCAGTCTTGAGAGCAGGTGCATCGTTGGTGCCATCACCAGTGACGGCAACAGTCTCACCAAGCTCTTTAAGCCGTCTAACGAGGATTTGCTTGTCCTTGGGGCTAGATCTTGCTAGAACCTGAAGACGAGGAATCATTTGATCCATCTCAGTCTTGCTAAGCTTTCGGAAAGCTGGTCCTTCCATGATGAGACCACCCTTGGTGAAGATACCGCATTCTGTAGCAATAGCTCTCGCAGTAATCATGTTGTCACCAGTGACCATCCGAACGACAACACCAGCTCTCTGGCAAGTCGCCACAGCTTCTGCCACACCCGCTCGCAAAGGATCTTGAATGCCGACAATGCTCAAAAGAACCATCTCGGTGAAGATGTCTTCAAAAACAGCCTCAGAGCCTTCGCCATCCACGGTTCGAGCGCCTCTCGGAGGCCACCTGTCGAAGTCCCGATAAATCATGGCGATGGTTCGAAGCGATCGTGAAGCATAATTGTCAATCAGGTTGTTGAGAGTTTGGCGATTGTCGTCTGTCATGTGAGAACTTGCAGGCTCATTCGTAGGATCGCGGATGATGGCTGTACATTTATCAAGAAGTATCTCGGATGCTCCTTTCACGTAGAGTCTGTATTGTCCTTTATCCAATTGGATAACAACGCCCATGCACTTGCGACTCGAGTCGAAAGGAATCAGCTGGACGATGTTGGCATTAGAGCGTTCCTGATCAACTGACTCCATGCCCAGGAATTCCTTTGCAAATAGAAGGAGGGCTGTTTCAGTCTTCGAGCCGATGAAAGTCTTGACACCTTCAACGTCCCCTTCAAATGCGGTGGAGTTGACGGCAATCGAGTCTTTCAAAAGAGTTCTGACACCCTGGCTCAACGATGTAACAACTTCTTGTGGGGATACATTTTCGATAGGTGCTTCTGGTTGAGTTTGTTTGCCTTTGGCGTTACCGTTGGATTTATCTGATGTATCAACAGTGCCACCAAATCGAGAGCTCGTTCCCAATGTACCAGCGACCACGGTCATCTTATTCTCAGTTAAGGTTCCAGTCTTGTCAGAGCAAATCGTTGTTGCGTTTCCCATAACCTCGCATGCCTTGAGATGTCGGACGAGATTGTTGTCTTTCAGCATCCTAGTTGTGGCGAAGGCCAAAGCAAGTGTAACGGCCAATGGCAAGCCTTCAGGTACAGCGACAACAATGATGGTGACTGTTACAATGAAAATTTTAAGGAATTCTTGACCTTTCTCAGTGGGGGTACCATGGTTGTGTGGTAGGCGAACCAGAAATTCGATGAACAGGACCACGAACAAGAGAAGACCAGCAGCTCCACCAAGTTTCGCAATATATTCTGCCAGGGTGTTCAGCTTCGATTGGAGAGGCGTAACTTCCGGATCCTCTCGCAGAGACATTAGAGTCTTGCCGTAGCTTGAATTGACACCAGTAGATGTGACCAGGAACGTGCCAACACCGTCCGTGACTTGTGCACCAGAAAGAATGAACGGATCCAGTTTCCTCAGACTGTCATGGTTCTCTATGGCGGCATAAACGTCATCGGCAGGGTGCTTTCGGAGCAAGTCAGATTCTCCAGTGGTTTGAGACTCGTCACATTTGACGTTGTGGCCTTCGATAAATATCCCGTCGACAGGAATCATGTCTCCCGGCTCCAAATGCATGACATCCCCAACTAGAACATCGAATACGGAAATCTCTCGAGTCTTCCCTGATCGAATGACATTGACATTCCGATCCTGCTTCTTTTTGTTCAACTTGACGAATTGTAGCTCCTTCTGCCAGTCGTTCAAGGATCCAACCACAACAACGATAACGATAGCAACAATAATGGCAACGCCTTCGACCCACTCGATTGGGGGATTCTCCGAGTCATGCTTTGTTCCAAAAGTCTGGTATAGCCCAACAGCCAGCGAAATAGCTGCGGCAATGGAGAGCAGAATCAGGACTTTGTCATTGTAGGTGATCCACATTAGCTGCAACAGGTTCTTCCCCTTCTTTGCTGGCAATCGATTGTCCTTGAACACCCGCTTTCTGTCATAGAATGAATCGCCTGGCGATGGTCTTCTTACCGACACTCTCGATTCCTTGGAGTCGACTCGTGCTAGAGGGCGTGTCGAGTCGTACGGTCGTGGCGAAGTTGGTTTGCGAGCAGCGGCTTTCGCTTCGTCAAAGCTGACGGTCCCGTCTAGGTCGCTCTCATCAACACTCAGTCCAGCTTTCCTGTCCGTCCTCAACCCCCTTTCCAAGCCTGCCAAACCACCGAGTGCGTAAAATGCTGAGAGATTCTTGGGGTTGATGAGTTTGTTCAATTGTCCTTGTGAGAAGGCAAAACTATTGTCCACGACTTCGAACTCTTCCTCTGTCCCAGGATCAGGTGTTAAGGCTTCGGGGTCGTTTATGATATCGTTGTTTCCGGGAGGCTTTCCAAACATTCGATCCTTGTCCCCTTGGGAGCTATTCGCAAATGTCTCCCCACTGTAATCCGTTTTCGCGTGGCTCCCGGTCTCGGATTCGATAGAATTCTGTCTTGATCTCGACATTGGTACAGCAAGAAATGCCGTTGACTTGTCCCCCCACCGCGCTGTTGGGGACGAGACATTGTGTGGTGACGTTGGCCGGCTATCCCTTTCCCTACTATCAAAGGACGACGAGGCTCGCAGTTCAGGTATCGATACTCGGCTTGCTTGACTTTGGTGGCCCGAACGACTCGGCCGATTTCCATTGGAGGCTCCAATTCCATCGGCCAAGAGAGGGCTAGAAGCCTCGCCCTGTAACGTAGATGAGGTGTTAGGTAAGGCTCTAAGAGCAACAGCATCGCTGTCCATATCTTGAGGTGGGTTGTTGGGACTGACAGCAGATGTGTCTATTGTGATTGTAGGTCTAGCCATTGAATGCCGTGTCAGTTATGGACAAAGGTACTTATCTACAGGATGTAGGAGACTTACGCCCTTTGCCGCCTCCCGCCAGGACTTGGTGACGGTGAAGTTCCGTCTGGATCTGTCATGACGGCCTTGCACAAAGATTATTGGGCTTGAAAGTCTCTTGTTAAGTCGTAAGCGCTCCGCCCGAGGCGTAGAGCCTTGGCGTGTATTTGGTAGAAGCTAGAAACCAATCTGGTCTGCATCGGAGGTGGGCTGTGTCGTCTTGGAGAAGACGAGAAGGCGGCTAGGCTGCCCAGAGAATATATAAGCCAAGCTCTCTCAGTATTTGGACCAAACGGTGATGCAATTGAATAGTTTCAAGCCAAGAAGGCGGACTGCGGTATATTCGGGAATGGTTGGCTGATTACTCGCAGACTCCCGCGACCTGATTCTTGAAGGCGGACGTTGCTCTGCCAGGGAATGGGGGAAACGGGATATGGATGACAGGATAGGTTCTCCGGATTCTCACCTTCACCAAGGTCATCAAACAGGCGCTGGGAACCTTGCGCAGGTCGTTCGCGCGACGTGGGGATTCGGAGGATTCGAGTTACAGGCAGGATCGCTTGAGACGTCGAGGCTCAACAAAAGATGGGCTCCATCTGCGGGGCGTCGCGACGTCGAGGCAGATGTCGAAGGTGATGGCGATGGCGAGTATGAATTGAGGGAACGAAGGAGATAAGATGAGGTGTTGCTGGCCGAAAATGGGGTTCATTCGACGAAGATTCTCTGTGACAAGTCCGCCAAGCTGTTTGGGCCACTGGGCAGATGGCAAGGGAGAGTCGATTTCGCGCTACCAGTGAGGCTGTGCAATGAGCACATACAATTTAGCTTTTTACCATGCTGCAGCGCCTATGGAACCGGCACAAAGAGCGGGTCTTCAAACATTGGTGAAGATCGCGGCTGCTGCCATGTCATGTTCCATGTTCACATCTTGAGTCTCCTCCACAGCGCGCTTGGAAACTCCTTGACTTCTGCGATCCCTCCTGGCTTCCCAGGAGCGCGGATGTTGACTGACGTTCGACGGCGTGCGCTTGCTTACCCTACCGTCTTTGGCCATACCAGAAATAGATTAGGAGCCGGAGCGGAGCCAGGGGTCTGCGGCCCAGCGGCGAGCCAAGGCAAAAACGAGCCAGAGCTAGTAGAGCCTAGAGGCCTCATGTCCGGCCGCCTTCTCCACAGCTCGTCGTCAGTCGTTGCTCCATCCCATGGAAAAGTTAGGTATCATCATATCAGAGATTCGAGAACGCGAGGATCCCAGGGCGAGAGCCGGTTTATCCCCATGGCGGAGCTGCGACCGGATATTTCACGCTTCGTTTCCTTCATGCACACATGCTGATTGCTGGCATGCTTTGGCCGCGAAGAGAGTGCTCCCCGTGGCCAACCCAACCAGCCAACCTCCAGCCAACCTCCCTCTTGACGTTCCATTCATTATGAAGCAACACTTGCAGCGCCGTGCTGCATCGAGACTCTTGGCCAAAACTGTTTGACAGGGACAACGTAATTTATCAATAGCTACCGGTATCAAGATGTCCATGTCCACTCTTCTCAACATCTAGAGTGGCTACTTTACAGTAATTAAAAAGTAAATTATCGTTACCACCAGAGTGTAACGTGGAGAGTAAATTACACCTTACAATACAGTCATGTGACGCACTAACCCGTTTTAGTAAAGAAAAGTGGAGAGCTAGGCCCGAAAAGGCCTAAAAGCTCTCCGGAGATCCACGTCCCAAGTCCGGGCTCAGAAAACCCGATTTTGAGGCCTGGAAGGCACTAAATCGCCCCCTAAAAGAGGACACGTGCTATAACGAAAAAAGTAGATTACGATACGTAAAGATAAAGTAGATTATAATATTACGCGTAATGTTACAGTTCCACCACCCTATCAACATCTCTCACTCGCCGGGCTCCCCCGAGCTGGCCACAACTCCGGCCGACCCTCATCGCAACTTGAAGATCAGCACGCTGGACAACGTCTGAGCCGATCCAAGGCAATTTCTGACGACGGTGCGAGGCTGAGCGGCCTGGCCAACGGTCGCAGTTGCCTTCTAGAATGCTTCCCCACTATTCACAGATGACTCCATGAATTGCGGCCACTGACGGCCGCACAAAGTCAGTATCATTGTCTCGAAAGTTGAAGCTACTGTATCAAGAGATTCAGACTCAGATTTGAGGGAGTCTTGTTCTCGAACGGGACCCAGCACCCCGCCTAGGCCAGCAATGCCCCCCTTGGCAATTCTTGACCTCATCTCACATGCGGGGGCGAGAGCAGAATACCTAAACAACCTTCCTTAACAAGAAGCTGCGAGTGTGACGGCTTCGAGCCTTCGACACAAGACGAAAAGTCAGGTAGGAGCCAAGGTTTCTTTTCCTAAAGCCAAGGGCGCTTCCACCCTCCAGGAAAGAATCTCCTGAAAAGTCAAAACATGTTCTGGTGTTTCAGCCTTGGCACTCGGCTCACATCCACCCATCAGTAGCGCGAGATTAGCGAGTCCAGCCAGGCAGGGAGGCGGATCTGGCGGCGTCTTTTTGCAAGACAGGACTCAGGAGAGCCTTTTAGTTTTCGCTAGTAACCAACTCATACGGGACGTGGCAAAAAGGGGCTGAGTTGCCAAAATTTTCTCAACAGATGCGCGTCAAAGGCTTGCTTGTCCTGACTCCTCAGCTGGTCACAACCTCAAATCCTGATTCAAGTTTCTTGGCGTTCCGACGATACCGTACAAAATCGCCCCCCAGTCTCGTGATTTGAATAGCTTCAGGTGTGCGAGGGAGGCTGTGCTTCCCGTCGGCTCTCCCTTTTGCCGGCGTGGCACAAAGGGTCGCATCGGAGTCTCACACGAAGATCGCTTTCAGAATCCTGACGGCGAGTATGGCTGCGATAGCATAGCATCACGAATACGACGATTCTGGAACATTATCGTTGTCGGGAATGGGAGCTTCTCTTCAGCCCGTGATTTAAGTAGTGTATGCTAGTGATTACCAGGCAACTAATGACCCTCGACATCTGCTCTAAACTCGCTGATGTGAGAGGAAACAAAGGAAACGCAATGCCAATTAAAGAGAAGAACCAACGTGGGAAGATTGTACACACAACGAAAATGCCTAGATGAAGGAATCGAATCGATCGGCTCGGTCTAGTCATGCTTTGAACAACGCTCACTGAACGCCAAAACATGTATCCATCTGTCCCGCCCAGTCCAAGTCCAGCGCATCAAACCCTTTACATAAGAAACTCCATCCTTCGCCGAGCATCATTCGTTTGAAATGATTTGATCTGATCCCCGCCCTCAGTTCTTGATAGCAGAAAACAAGTGTCTGCTCGTAAAGCCGTCCTGCAACTTGATCTCCACTTTCTGGTCCTCAGGCACCATCTCATGCGCGAGATCCCATCCAGCACGACGACACAGCTCCGCCACAACCACGTCGCAATCGCCCAGCATGTCGACGTCGAAATTGACATGGGAGACCGGCGTGCGGGAGATGTACATCTGCGGGATATGCGCTGGCAGGTACGGCACGACTTCTGAGACAGGTGCAACCTTCAACGAAGTACCGATCACGATGACTAGATCAACCAAGTTCTTATCATGGTTTGTCAGACGCTCGGAGAAGCGGTCTGGCAGTGCTTCGCCGAAGAACGTGATATCTGGCTTCATGACGCCGACCCTGGGGCTGTCGTCGTAATCTTCTTCTTCTGAGCTGTCATCGTTGGTGTCGAAGCGACGACGCTTCTTCTCTGAGCCATTTTGGGAGCGCTTTCGCTTCATTGCGGCTGGAGCACGGAGTTTGGCAATGCATTGATCGCACTTGGGGATGCGTCCGGCTTTGATGTCGGGGAAGATGAGCTCGCCGTTGACTTGGTACTGGCATTCGACGCATGATGCGGTGGCGAAGGAGCCGTGGCATTGGATTAGCTTTTCTGGAAGGATACCAGCAATGGCTTCGATGTTGTCGATGTTTTGAGAGTAGTTTGTAAGGAGCTTCCCCTTCTGTTGTAGGAGGTGAATGAAAGCGTGAGTGGGAGTGAATCGGTCCGTCGAAGGTAGAATATCCCGTGCAACGGAGTAGAATATGCTTGGATCCTCTTTGAAAATGCGGATATCGAAGACTTCTTGAGGGTCGTTGAGTCCGAGATGGGCCAGCTTGGAGTAGAGACCGGTATCCTTGGATCTGAAGTCGGGGATGCCAAGCGAGGTAGATATTCCAGCCCCGGTGAGGACAATGATGTTTTTGGACTTTTTAATAAGCTCGACAGCATCATCAATAGAGTTGTACTGTGGCAGCTTAATTCTCTTAGAGAGTTCACGGCTGATTGCCAGACTCAGAAGACCATAGTAGGCATCGTCAGGTGAACCGTCGAGAAAAGGGGGTGGGCGAAGTCCGAAAGCAGTGAGCAGCTTCTTGGCCGTAATTGTACCTGCCTCAACTGTTCTCCTGCAAAACTCCTCAGGACCGATAGTCCGAAGTTGCTGTCGAAAAGCGACTGCTTCCTCGAGGGAGCAAGAGTCTGGGTGCGCTGGGCTATATTTAGCGCGTCATAGGTCGAATGAAGTTTCAGGATACTAACCTCTGTCGAACAGACTTTCGTCGCCCAGCTCCTCTAACGTATCTTCAAAGAGAGACTCGACCTCGTCGTCCCAGTCGTCGTTTGAGCCGTCTTCCTCACCTGACTCTCCAGAGGCATCGAGGACCTCCAGGCCCGGGACATTGACGCCACTGCCACGTTGCGCTATGAGCAGCGCGTCGGCGAGGTCAGAATCGTCGTCGCTGTCAATGAGGTTGACAACTTGATGTCCTGGCGCCTTGACCGAGGCCGCACCAGAGCCCAGCTGACTGACATCCATTGTTGCCGGTGCCTACTCTCTGCGCCGCGAGAGGTGGAGTGGAGTTGTAAAGACGCGATTGCCACAATCCTGGTTAATCTCAAGAAAATTTGTCGGAGTTAAAATGCGCCGACGTTTTACCTGCAGCTGGCGCAAAGCGAGCTTTGAACGTTAGCCTGCGGGAAGCTGTCAGGGTCCCAATTAGAAAATCTTGTGATCCGGCTATGACGACCCATTGTCCCAATTGACGCGGTGCCATGGCATTTGATGTTACTGCATAGCCAAGGCAGGGCAATGCCTGATCTTCTTCAATTGTGTGTCAATGGCATCCTCGAAGGGCAATAGCGACGATGTTCCACCGCAGTTGCAGTTCACCAGCCCGTCTTTCGGCCCGAGACGTCAGACATCCGGCTGGAGGGAGCAGCACCAAGAAGGCCGTCTGCATCGACGACGACTCTCACGAAGCGCTGCTCGAGATGCTAAACATGTTCGTCTACAGCCACCCCCTATGGGAGAACCGAGGTCTTCCGCTTCCAGCATTTATATGGGCTCCTACAACCGCAGTCCTCGTCGATCAAGGTCTCATTTGGGAACTCCGAGCAGTTCAGCTCCAGGATCGCCTCGAACCAGCATGAGCCACAGCCATCTTAGTCTTCTACAAGACTTGGATCTTGATCTCGAAACCTATGGGGTTGAGGAGTTACGGGATGGGTTCTTTGATGGATCATTTCTCAAGCCTCGCAAGGTTGATCACGAGGATTTGATACGGGATGCGGAATTTGCACTTCCTTTGGCTTTCACAAAGAAACATCCGCTTTCTGTGAGGCATTTCCTGCCCAAACAATGGCACGACACCAAGGGTGTCATCCGAACCGTTACGACCACAAGAGCAGGCATCAAGTTGGCGAAGTCATTCTCGGCGTTCTTCATTGCTTATATCTTATGCCTTGTTCCTTCAATCCGAGAATGGCTTGGACGCTACAGTTATATTATGGTGCTATCTACCATAGTCAACCATCCTGGTCGAACGGTAGGAGCTCAGCTTGATGGTGCTCTTCTCACTATCCTGGGATCGGCCACCGGTTTAGGTTGGGGGGCTTTTGCCCTTTGGGTATCAGACTCGACAGCTGTGGCGAAAAGAGGCTATGGAGGTATCCTGGCCACTTTTCTTCTCCTCTTCATGGGCACCGTAGCCGCTCTTAGAACTTACTACATCAGGATGTACCAGTTCGTCTTTTGTGCTGGGATTGCTATCAGTTACACCTGTCTCGCAGATACATCGGAGATAGTAGCATGGAGAAAGTTGTTCAGCTACGGTATACCATGGCTCTTTGGGCAGGCACTCTGTTTTCTGATATGCTTCACCTTCTTTCCCGATGCTGGAGCTAGGCCACTTGCCGTTTCATTACACGGTGCATTTGCTGTAATGCAAGAAGGACTACTGGTTCCTCAACGAGAGAATATGAGATTGCATCGGCAACTAGCTTGGACTTTCGTCAGTTTATCACAGGCGCACCGAGATCTCCTTCTGGATGTCACCATAACGCGGTTCCGACCATCTGATGTGACGGTATTACGAAACCTCATGCAAGCTGTCATCAGATCCTTCTTATCTTTGCGAATGGAACATCAACTCTTTGATGAGCTGGAGGAAAAGTTTGGCGAACATGGCCTTGATAAACATCATCATAACCCCAGTTCTGGTACGAACGAGGAGGGAATCGGTGGCGATGGGTCTCATGCTGAAGCAGAAGGCTTACCTAAATCGGAAGAAGCTGTCATCGATATCGATACTTCCAAAAAGCGGCCATCTCTGTTGAGGCATGGGTCCGAGGAACGAGCAGTGCGGTTGATTGCGAGTAAACTGGCTGAACCCACTTCGAGATTACTTTCTTCAATGAAATCATCGCTTTCAAGTTGCGATGCAGTATTGTTGGACATGTCTGGCTATCGAAAGTACCTTGGGCCACCAGACTCAGTCTCGACAGATGTTGTAGGCGCGTTGACCAAACTTCGGAAAACAATGATTAAGTACGACGAAGAGGAAGAGTCGTTAATGGATAACCCAGAGTTGCCACCAACTTATTCGAATCACCCAGAAGTGGTAGAGCTCTTCCTTTTCGTTCATCCAATTCGGCAGGCAGCAACACCGGTAGAAGCACTACTCGTCAAGGTTATGGAAATGCAGCAAAAGCGTCAAAGCTGGAGATTGTATTTGCCCTCATACCCGTTCTTGAAAGCCTTGCAACGTACGAACGCGCAAGTTCGACATGATCGAGGAGGAGTGACAGCAGGTTATTACTTTCACAGCCAAAGTCAGCTTGCAAGAACAAGTATGCTATTCTCCAGTTGATATCCCATCCCTTTATGTCTCGCAAGCTGTTGGACGTTTAAATCGACTTTCCTGCCGAATGTACCAAGAGGTACATCCTCGCTGTTAGCAGTGCAAACTGACTTTGAGATTTTCCAGTGAAGGGAATGGCAAATGTTTACAAACCATTGCCCCGTGATACTAAGGAAAAAGACGATCCCAAGCAAGAAGTTGGAAGAATGGATACGATCGGCAAGTATGAAGAGGAAGAAGACGTTGCAATGGACCACAAATCTCACGCCTCGAAACTGCAAAAGTTCCGTTATAGATTTTGGGCTATTCTTCACCGCCTTCAAGGTTTCGAGATGAGGTTTGCTTTTAAAGTTGCGATTGTGACATCGCTCTTATCTGTGCCTGCCTGGCTGAGCCAGAGTAGGGGATGGTGGAATGAGAACGAGAGTTGGTGGGCTGTTGTTTTCGTCTGGATTATGATGCATCCTAGGTCAGAGCTTGCGTTTCTCTCCCTGGAGATTTCAAATTCTGACACTTGTTCATAGAGTCGGCGGTAACTTTCAAGACCTAGTCACTCGCGCATTGTGCTGCGTCCTAGGAGCAGTGTGGGGTGGATTGGCCTACGGCGCTGACAATGGAAATCCTTATGTGATGGCTGTGTTTGCTGCCATATACATGCTCCCCATGATCTATCGGTTTACCCAGAGCAACCATCCTCGGTCAGGTATCGTGGGCTGCATATCCTTTGTCGTTGTCTCCCTCGGCGCCAAGGCATCACATGGCTTGCCTTCTGTGGTGCAAATCGCCTGGACTCGAGGCCTAGCATTTGTCGTAGGGGTTGTAGCTGCAGTTGTTGTCAACTGGATCCTCTGGCCATTTGTCGCAAGGCACGAGCTTCGGAAAGCTCTTTCAGCAATGCTCATCTACTCTAGCATCATCTATCGTGGTGTGGTAGCAAAATACGTGTATTATGAAAAGGGAGAAGAACCAACAAAAGAGGATATAGAACAGTCAGGTATGTCGTACCTCTCTCCTCTCTCGACACCCGCTAATCTCTTTCCTAGAAATGCTTGAAGGCCGTCTTCGTGAAGGTTTCGTCCGCATCCGTCAACTAATGGTTAGCCTTTCTTTCCCCGTCCCCTCATATCAACTAATGTCTCGAGGCACTCACACGCCACGAAATCCGTCTCCGCGGCCCCTTCGATCCCCTCCCCTACTCCGGCCTCATTGACGGTTGCGAGCGCTTCTTCGAATACCTCGTCGCCGTCCGGCAATCCTCATTGTTCTTCCACCCCCACTACATGTCCGACAACGAGCAAGCCGCTGAGTCTTTACTCGCGTACCGCCGGGACGCCGTTGCTGCAATCCTCATGAACCTTTACGTTCTCGCCGGCGCACTTCGCGGCGACAGAAAAGTCCCGCGATATCTGCCTAGTGCTGCACAAGCACGGAAACGCCTCTTAGACCATATGGCGGAAATCGAGGCAGAGCCAGTGAGGAATACGGATTTAGGGAAGGCGGATTCTGTTAAGGAGAGCAGGAAGTGGGCGCAGATTTATAGTTACTCTTATAGTCAGAGTTTGACGGGGTGTGTGAAGCAACTCGAGCAATTGCAGAAGTATACGAAGGAGATTGTGGGCGAGCAAGGGTGCGTATCTCCCTTTTCCCTTTTCCATTCTCTTAATTTGTGTTCTGGCTCTTGAGCTTGTGTTGACAGCATGTGTTAGATTCGATCCCATTGACACAAACGCCTTCGAGGAGGCTGCCCGTGACCTTGAGATGGAGTCGGGCGCCGGAAGATAGAGTTTTGTCGGATGTGCCGTTATGACTGAAGGTTCAAGGCTCATGCCCATCTCATTGTAACAAGACATTTGGTACATTGAGGTGATGTGTAAGAAAAGTTGTAAAGTTGATATTCACTCACGAGTCGGGACCGGCCGAAGCTCATTGTACGAAAGTACATTCGAACATTGAGACTATGTGCAACAAACCAACTTCTCTATCCATCCACATTCATCCAGACACCTCCCAGGTCCCCACGAAGAACGAACAGGTGGGAGTAAATCTTACAATATCTCATTTTTACCTAGTTGGTAAGGTTTGAGCCTAAAACCCCCGTCCCGGTGAACGGATGTTCATCTTTACGCCTTGCCGAAAGCTTGCTAGAAACTCGAGAACCACATCAATACGGAAGTGTGGGGAATCCATGTGCCTGTATCGAACATCTAATCCTAACCCTGGTAGGAATACACAAGATACCTCATACCCTGAACGAGTTTTTCTAAACACCTCGCTATGCCAACCCTATATCCAAACCCCATACCAATCCAATGCAGTTCAATCAAACAATCAACCCAACGCCTCATTAACGACATCCATCAACACGCTCATAGTCGGGATCTTAAACGGCTTATTCCCACAAATCTTCTTCGGTCCCTTGTTCCCCCCCCCAATACACGACATGACATTTTCCTTCCCCTCCTTGTCCATCATAACACCCTTCCTCTTCTCCTTAACATCTTCTTGCTTAATAGCCATCCACTGCGTCCCAGGAGGTCGACTAACGCCAGTCGAAGTAACTTGCGTCTGCTCATCCTCAAACAAATGATCTTCCAACGCTGTCTTCGGTAAATCGAAAACCCACACCTTCTCTTCCATCAATTTCACGAATTTTGCAACCATCTCCTCTTCCCCGTTGGCATCTGGTCCTTTCCCTTTCAATGTCTCTCTGCTGCCCACGACCAGCAACTTAGTCTTTGCTCTGGTGAATGCGACATTGATTCGTCGCCAGTCCTTGAGCAGCTCTCCGATGGACTTCGCCTCGTTACTGCGGACGAGACTGAGGATAATGACTTCCTTGTCACGACCTTGGAAGCGATCCGCGGTGTGCATTTCGACGGCAGGATGATTTCGGAGGCCGTGTTTGAGAAGCGAGAGTTGAGAGCGGTAGTGTGTCATGACTCCGATGCTGGAAGCAGGTACGCCGACACTGAGGAGAGACTCGACGAGCTGGACACAGATAGTAGCCTCGGTCTGGTTAACGATGCGGTTGCCTCTTGCTTCTTCGCGGGAGACAGGGAGGAGCGGGTCGGTATTGATGAAGGAGACTTTGGTGTCTGGGTCGAGCAGTTCACGGATCCAACAACGACCTTGGATGGGGCCTGGACAGATTGTCTTTTGGCTACGAGATAAGGTTGAAGTTGAATAATGATGCTGTTTCAGGCCGTCCATATCTGGAATTGTGATGCGGCTCTCGGCGACCTCTTGACTGCCGCATTTGAGGCGCCCATTATAAATGAGATTGTTGCTCAGCACCATAACATCTTCGCACATGCGATACTGGTGCTCAAGGTAGACAACAGAGGAAGGATGCATATCTGAGAGATGCTTGAAGAGACTGATATCTAGGCCACCGGTTCGAGCCTCTTCATTCTGAACAAGAGGGGGTAGCTGGTTGTGGTCACCAACAAGGACGAAAGTGCGAGCCAGTCTGATGGGTCCAAGGCAGGTAGGAAGAGTGATTTGCGAGGCCTCGTCAACGATGCAATAGTCAAAGGTACGCTCATTGAAGATAGCGTGGTTAATTCCAAGACATGTTGTCGCCACGATTGGACTATCGTGCCAAGCACTTCTGATCTCCTCGAAAGACTTCTTAGTCGTTGCCGCCAGAGTCGCAAATTCTTGCACTTCCCTAGCGATCTTTGCAATCGCTCCTAGGCGTAAGATGGATAGATTATCGTCTTTGAGTTTCAAAAGAATATTGTCGACAGCTGTGTGCGTATAAGATGTGAGCAGAACACTTTTACCTTGAGAAACTAGCGCTCGAATAATGTGAGCAATCGTCGTCGTTTTACCAGTTCCGGGCATTCCTAGCACCAGAGCATAATCTTCGGCACTCATGACTTTCTGGATCGCCCTTCTTTGATCGACGTTGATATTCTCCCGGTCTTTCAAGACATAGGTTGTGGACTGTGTCTTGAATCGAGGGGCGTTCAAGTCCACAACCAAGCCTCTTATTTGACGAGAGCCGAAAGGACCGTCTGCCATTGTTTGAATGAGATTATTCCTGACGGCAGCCATCCCGTTACTGAACTCATCCTTGTCGAGTCTGTATCTGATCGGCTCTTCCACAATCTTGCCTTCAGATTCCTCCATGGTCGATCCCTCAGGTGCCACTTCCATGATGCTAGCAAAGACCTGATTGTCTACCGGGTCAAATCCAGGTTGTCTGATTCGTGCATTGTGGAGTCGGCGGTCAACAGCAACAGTAATTCGTCGTTTCCGAACATGCGTAACGTAACCATTTGCCAGTGCGAAATGTCCCTTTTCATCCGATATCACAATTGGCTCTCCAACTATAATCTGTGAATCGAGGAAAGAGAACCCATGGGCTGGATCCGGTTTGACGAGACTGTATCGATATCGGTTGATCTTTGGGTTGTTCTGGTCTTCGTATGCAGATCCTGGTTCGATGATAACGTTGGAGAAGCATCTGCCCAGTTTCTCTCTCTCTGAACTCAGCATAGTCCACAGTTCTCGCCGAAACTTGAGGCTCTCTTTCTCTTCTTTAGTAAGAAGATCATCCCACTTCAGGAAAAACTCCTTGTGCTTTGGAGTCAGGTGCTTCACAACATCGTCGAACTTAGTCTTCAGTCCACTTGTCTCGCCCGTCCCGTCATCGGCAAGCTTGTGATAGATAAAGCAAGTCACCTTGGCGTAACAACGGTTGCATAGGTTTTCCTTCTTCAACATGGGAGGGAGTTGGGCCTGGCGCTCTCGTACAAAGCATGCAAGTTCATTCCGCTGCATGATCATGTGCTTAAGTTCGTGTCGAATTGATGGTACTCTGATCGTTTCGGATGTTTCCATGTAGTATAAGATGCCGTATGCAATCTCGATATCATATCGGTCTGAGAGTAGCAGATTGTAGAGGGCTGTTTGAGCACGGTGAGCTGCGCTAGGATTCTTGCCGGTCTTGACTTCAAATGGGACGGTCAGGGTTCGTTGCTGTTTTGCGTCTTCCATTGTGACCTGGACCGTCGCGTCTATGTTACCCTTGAGGCCATACATTGGCGACCAGACATGCTCTTCGACGTCTAGTAACTTGCTGACACACATTAGAGCCGTTTCCTTACCTCCCGCCTTGACTTTCGCTTCTGGCTGCGTGTCATTAGCATGAGCACAAAGAACGCAACGGGAGGGAAAATCACGTTTAGTTGCGAGGAAACGAAAAGCTCTGCCCAAGACTGCAACTCTGACATTTTGCTCAAGAGATACTCAACAGCTTGAGGTATCTGTAGCTTGATGGTATACAAATCTTCAAGATGCCTACCGGCAGTGTTTTGGATGACCTCAGTCAACCATTCTGTATCCCATCTGTTAGCAAGCATGGCTGCTTGAAAGATCTCGTGCAAAATCGTGCCGTAGACAAGGGGAGCACTGGTGTCACCAGTAGCTTTGACTCTGTCCTGGAGCACGGCACGACGAGTACAACTAAATGAATCCGCTACCACTGTCGATGAGAGGAGATGGTCAGGATGCAAAATCAAGAGGTTGGTGTTGTCGTCAACGATGCACCGTCCACTGGCATCAAAGATTCCGATGACATGAACGAATGCTTTTGGAGTGACTGGTGTCTCGGTCCAAGAGCCTCGAAGATGGACAAGCTTCATTGACTTCGCCTGCTCAGTTTGGAGAAGCAAGATCTATATGCTGGTTAGACAAGCACAGGTATGGGGATCGAGTGATTACTTTTTCCCGTTGTTTTCGCCCATTTGGAGTTTCATATTCAGAGTCTAGGGTATTGGTGACCAGGTACCTTTGAATGGCCTGAGCTTTTTGGGTTGGCTAATCAGCATTTAGTAAGCTATTGATGCTGCCTTGGCTATGGAAATCGCGTACGTACAGGTAGAAGGCTATTAGCTGTCTGTTGGATGTGTTGTGTCGCTGTTGCTTCCGCAGCTTCCAAATCAAGATCATCTAGGCCACCATCCCCAAACTCATCTTCAGACTCTGACTTAGCTCTCACCAAAGCCTCTCGCTGTCCTGAAGCTCCAGCCCCTCCCACCGACACGGCTTTACTCTTCCTGTGGGTTTTTGTGTCAAATTGAGACGCAATGTTCTCGAGATCTACCGAGAACAAGTCCTCGTCCGAATCGTCAAACTCATCAGATCCCGACTTCAAAGTCCCCGATTCAAAAGATTCAGCAGTCTTCACTTGCGGAGGTGGTCTATATCGGTCTGGTGTTTTGTCAAGAGTTTGCGGACGCGGGTTTGGAGACATCCGGGGGGTGGGTGCAGCTCCTTCCACAAAGATCTCCATTAAACTCTCATCGAGTTCGTCATCATCGAACTCTCCGTAATCTGATGAACCTGATATATCAGGTTTCGGCGCCTGTGCAGCAATGGTAAATTCTGTCTTCGGCTTATCGACTTCAGTTCTCGGAGGACGAGGCTGATGAGCAGCTTTGGAATCTCCAGAGCGGTTGTCATCAACCAGTTTGGTATCTTCAATGTGAGGTGATGGTTGGTCAACGGGCGTGTGGAAGGATTCCGAAGACGTAGTCGACACAGAAGCTTGCTTCGGCGTTAGCCCCTCTTGGACCCTCTCGATCAAAACAGCCAGCTTCGATGGCCCAATGGCAGCTGATTCGGTGAAGACGTCGTCGCCTTCATATCCACCTACCCTCCGGCGTTTAGGAAACTGGTTTCCACAGCTGTTGGCTCTCCTAAAACCGGATGCCGATCGAGGGGTCACACCTTCTTTGGAAGGTTGCGGTGATGATGTGCACATCAAGTGTGCTAATGCTGGGATCGACGGCCCTTGGGGAGTTCGAGCATTCGATCCATTCAGAGAATATCGACCCCAAAGCTCGGAACCAGGATCGACTTGAGGTTTTATTGATATTAATTCGAATTTGGGATTGAGGTGAGGTGAGCTTTGGGCTGAAGGTGATCCGGTAGGAGACGAACTCCTTGCTCTCTTCCTCGCTCGCCTGATACCACCAAATGCAGAGCCTGACCCAGGCATCAGGTCTTTCTCGTGGTTCCATTCTATCCGCTCATCAGGTGATATATTTTGTACTGCGCGTCGAATATCGCCCATCCCAATCAAGTCTGTCAACGCAAGCCGACCTGCTGGTGTTGTTGGGACATCCTTCGGTGCTGGCTCGGGCAGCTTAGGTTGCTCTGGCGAAGCATTCTTTGGGATCTCCCGTGGCATCTCATCAACTTTCTCTTTCTTTGCTCCTTCGTTCTCTTTCTCGTCGTCCGAGAGGAGACTGATCACAGCCTTAGTATTGTTGCCATCATTGGGCGGGCCATGAAATTGAAAGTTGCTGAGCTTGTTCTTCGTAGCTGTTGATACCGGAATCGGTGGCTTTTCCTGTAATGGTTTGGGACTGGGTCTGTTGGGTTGCGGCCCTTGGAAACTTTTGTTGCGGCTCCATTGCGGTCGATGATGCTGCTTGAAAAGAGTTAAAATACCGATTTGAACCGTTGAAGCATTTGCCATACCTTCGACTTTGCTGAATGGTTTTGATCCGAGAAGGATTTCTGAAGAGGCATCCTTTCACTGGATGCATGGAGCGTTGCAGGCGCTTCGAGATGACGAGTTTAAACAACAAGTGCGACTCGTCGAAATCCAACATTCACGTTGTAAACACGCTCTTCGCTCTTCCCAAATACGCGACGCGTCGTGAATACGGTCACGTGGGCGAGAAGCAACAGTGTGTGATTGGAAAGGTTAAAAAGGACGTAACGTTTCCATTCCTGCACGTTCGGGCCCTTTAATAGGCTCGAACGAGCTTACGTGATTCCACGTGTAATTAGATTACGTACAAAAGCATAATCAGAAATCACATCCTCCCCTACTTAAAAGCGAACTTACTCCTGAAGTTCGTGCGAAAAGAGAGAATATCAAAACCATTTGCCATAATTCTGCATTAATCGAATCCCTTTTTACAAAAGAAAATTACAAGGCTCCTCAAATAGCTTCCTTTTATCCCAAGATTCTTTCGTCCGAGGGAGTTCTTGCTATTACCCCTTCTATATACTAAACCGGATAAAAAGGGTCTATTTTTGTGATGTGTGCAGGGTCGCACGTGACTTAAGGGCATGTGACGAACCTCGGATATCGCGGGTGTCGATCAGGGAGTTCGGCAGCCCTTCGATATCCCAACCAACCACTGTTTACATCATATGCATTAGGCTTATAAATCACTAATTGTATGTATGCCATCGGGGCCTCCTATTTAGAGGGGGCTTCCCTGGACCTCACAGGAGGGACAGAGATTAGTTCTGTACTGAATTTAACACTGTAGTTTCACAACACACTGATTCATTCTATTGTCTTATTGCCTACCAACAAACACCTCACAATTTTCGTACGTTTTGGACTTGTACCATGCTCGTACCTTCCTTTTCTGGCTCTTGCCAGATTCGTTCGAGTATAACTAAGGTTCATTTGCATTAGAAAGGTTCGTTTGAGTGCATTCCAAGTGGTTCTGTCTTAGTAATTCCTATTAAACGGGCCAATTAGAGCTCTGGAAATTCGCCCAAGCGAGTATAAGAAAGCCTTCTTTGCTCGTTCGCAACCCTCCCTCCTTTCTATTAATAACCTCTATACCACTAACTCAAGTCTTTGTATTTCGGTTGCTTTGCAAGTCTTCCAAGATTCTCTATATACTATTTCCTTTTCCCTTGAACTATTTCCTAGTTTAATTACTCGCTCGTATCTACTTCTCACCTTCTTCTCTCTTCCCTTTTGGCTTCTGGCTTTTGGCTTCGTATATAAGTCAGTACTATAAAGCTCCTTTACCTTCTTCTCATTCTCTTGGTTTATATCTGTATTGCCTTTATGGCCAATATAGATATTACTCCTGGCAGTCATGCCACAGGTTTTGGAGATAGTAGTTCTGGTAGTAAAGGCAAGCCTCCTTATTGTCCTGGTATGATTAGTAGATACAAGGGTTCTATAAGTTATATATTCTGGTTCCTTATTCAGAACTGACTTTATATAAAGGGAAAGCTAAGCTAGTAAGAAATCGAGATTAAGACTATCTTTCAAATAATTCATTTAAAGGCTTCTTACTAGCTTTATACAAATATCCAAGTTCGTCGAAAACTTAGCTAGTACAAGGAGAAGTTAATTAATTTCCGTAATTATTTCTCTATACCTAAAGCTAGTCTTCTTTAGATTATAGGACTAGTAAATAATTAAAAGTATATTCGATACGAGAGAGAATCTGGCCTATTCTCCTAATATATTTCTTTTTACGAGCCCTTAAGTAATAAGGTTCCTAATTCTCCTACTAATTTTCCTTTTCTATTTAGTAGCTCTTATACTAATTATTATTAGAATGGCCAAGGTTCTTTGTATTCTCTTTATCTAGGTAAAGGTATATTTCTCTCTTTAATTTTTCCCTAGTTTAGGCTAAGTTCTGGCTCTAGCTTCTATTTCTCCTTATTATATTCGTATACCTTTATATTAAAGTACTTTATATGGTTATACTCGAGTCGGATCCCGGTTTAATTTAAATATCCCTAATAGTATTAAAGTAGCTATAAACAAATAGTAAGATATTATTAATATCCTTTAATATTAAGGAAATCTTCTTGCTTTAGGTTATATAATTCCTAATATTAGGGAAGACTTTTCTTCTAATAATAATAATAGTTAGGTTATCTCGGGTAATAAGGATATATTTAATTTGGGAGATCTAGTAATAGGTCCTTACTCTTTTTAATTATAAATAGACTTTATTTTCTAAATAGGAATAGGCAAATATATCTGCTTTAATTCGAGTAATTTCTAATTAGGAGAATCTATAGCTTCTATAATAGCTAGTTATTCTTGTAGCTATATTCGATTTTATTCTAATAGATCTATTATAGATATATAATCTAGTAATATATAGATTTAGCTATTATTTTATCCGGATACTAGAAGTTATCCTGGTACTTCTAATTCTCCTTATTTATAGCCTGGATTTCCTATAGACTTGAGTTCTTATCCTAGATTTCCTGGATTCTTTAATTTTAATTATAATTAAGCTCCTAAAGCTTTATTCGGAGGTTCCTTAGTTTGTCCTTAGTACCTGTCTGGCCCGAGTAATTAAGGATCTTCCTTATATTTACGAGCTTCTTCTAATTTATATAAGAACTTTGAAACTAAAAATAATTAGGATAATTATTAATTTTCTAGTTCTAGTTCTAGTAAAAAGAAGTATTATTAAGTATCTATATATGGGACTAGTAAAGGATATATTAGGGGTTTTGGGATTTTTGAAAAGCATATATATAGTACTAGTAAAAGATCTAGTAATTAGGAAAGTAAATATCTAGGCCAAAGGCTATTTACTTAGAGTTCTTGGGTTTTACTTATAATAATTTCTTATAAAAAAGAATATAAAATAGTCTCGCAAATACGTATAATATTTACTTAATTTATTATATGGTTTTTTATAAAAGAATAAAGTTCTTATTTTTAAGTATTATATTTTTTAAGTATTATAATTAGTTCTATTTTTATTCTTTATAGGAATTAAGGATTTCCTTAATTTATAGCTTATATAAGTTCTTTACCTAGTCTCTCTAGCTAGAGGAGATTTTGGTTTAGTTATTTATATATTTAGTAGTTCTTTTATTACTTTAAAAAACTTCTTTAAATATTCTCTTTTCCTTTTTATTAGCTATAGAAGCTTAACTTTCTTAGTTCTATTTAGAGTAATTATTACTATTTTAAGAACTTTATCCGAGAACTTCTCTTCTATAGTAGGCTTTATAATTATAGATTCTAGTATCTGGCTTAGTAAAACTAAAATACTATATACAAGCGAGTATATAATTTTATTCTTTTATATAGATCTACTTTTCTCTATTTCCGGATACTTTATTAATCTATTAATTAGGAGCTCTATATTACGAGGCCTGAGCTCCGGGCTTGAAAAGCAGGTTAGAGTAGCTTTATTCCGATAATACTAAACTAAAAAGAGAAGTATATATAAGTATACGAATGCCAGGTAAGCATGCGAACTAGCCTAACCCAATATAGCCTAGCATACTACGTATAGGGAGCACGTGATAGCCATGGAGCATATAACCATAATACTCTAAATATGTTCTAAGGAAAGTTATTATTAGAATCTATAACTAGCTTTTAAGTATTTAATTAAGGCTTAAGCGGGCCTGCTCTAGAGGAGTATAAAAAGGTAAGAGAGCTAAAGGAAAAGGGGGTTCCTTAACTAATTCTCGTTTAGCCTCTTTTCTTTCTAGCTTTTTTTTATATTTTACCCTTAATTAAAGCTTATTAAAAAAAGCTTAATTAATATAGGTATTATTAAGTTTTCTCTTTCCTAATTTAAACTAATCTAGTCTCTAGATTAGGAGATTTAATTATTCTCGTTTATAAAGAGTTTCTAATTTCTTATAAAAATATATAGGAACTCTTTCCTATTTAAGTATATTTCGAATATCTTTTAAGAAATTAACTAAGTTATAGAGTTTATATAACCGGTTAAAGTTATATACTATATTCTAATCTCTAGTTTCCTTATTAACTATATTTAGATATAATTATATAAGTTAATTTCTATAAATAAGAGATTTAAGAATTTTTTTATAAATATTTTATAAATTATATATTTTAATTAGAGTAGTAAGTATAATTTTATAAGAGCTAAATTACTTTAATTTAAATTTTAATAGGGATTCGTTTTATATAAGAATATAGGTTCTTACTAGAATATTCTTATTTTTCTTAAGAATTTAATCTCATATAATACGTACTTTAATAGCTCTTTTTACTAAGAACTTATTATATACTAGTTAAGCTTTATTTATAGTAATATGTCTGGTAATTATTTCTTTTAGATAAGCTTCTTAATTACCTATTAGCTTAGCTTTATTTGGATTTCTAAGAAGTCTTAAATCTATTTTAAATAAGAAAAAGAATAAATTATACTTACTAACCAAGTAAATTCTAATTTATATAGTAAAAAATACTTAATATAAGTACTTATTTTAGAGTATAACTAGCTTGCCATATAAATATTATATAAGTATTTTCCCTAGTATTCTATTAAATTACTTAACTTTTCTATTAGTTTATAGATAATATAAAGTAGTTATATAATACTAGACTCTTATTATCTAAAGAAAGATATTTATAGTTTCTAATACTAAGTTAGAACTATTATTTATAAGGATCTTATTTAAAGTTCTATAAATAGTAAAAATCTCTTCTTAAATAAAATTCATTATATTCTGGCTTATAATATTTTTTAGTACTTAAATAATAGGCTAGCCTATTAACTATTTAATAGCTATAATAATTTATTAGTTTCCAGAATAGGTTCGAAGCAAAATTCTAATTAAATTAATTAACTATTACTTAAAAAGCTAGATATCTTTCTTCTTAAGAGAGTTTTAAGGCCCTTTATTTATTTCCGGACAGGAATTCTTTATTATTTAATAATTAGGATATATATAAATTTGATTTTGGATATTCTTTTTAATTAAGGGCTACTAAGTTCTCGAGTAAAGAACTTTATTTAATCTAGGCTAATTAAGGTATTTATATTTCTTATAGATCTATTCTATATAGGATCTGCGGGTTAGTAGGCTCAAATAAGATATATAGTAACTAGTATTAAATATTTTATATAAGAGCAAGTCTTACTCGAGTATAAAGCTTAAAGGCAAGTAGTTTTAATTATATAAAACCGCTTTTCTTAGCTTTAGGTCTATTAGTTCTATATTTAAATAAAGATATTAGACTATAGTATCTTTTTATTCTGCTTTATTAATTAAATAAATAGAGTTAAATTAGGCCTAGTAAGCTTGGCTAGTTCTAATAAAGTCTGAGTAATAACTAATAGTATTAGGTATTATTATTTCTAGTTCCGGTTAATATAAAATATCCAAATTATATATTCCGAACTTAGTAATCTAATATACTAGTTATTTGGAAGAAACCTTAGTATTCTTGAGATATTTTAAGCTCTTATAATTTATAAGAATCTTTATACGGGTATAATTATTAATATAATATAATTATATATAAATAGTATACTTAATAGCTAATAGTTCTTTCTCTTAAACTATATAGTTTAACTTTATACCTTAAAGTTTTCTACTATTAAATACTACTAAGTAGAAAATGCCTTATTTATTTACTTAAAGCAAAATATAGCTAATAGCTTATTTAGAAGTATTAGTTTTAATAATAAATAGTTAATACTAGTCCGGCTATTATAGGATAAGCTTGCTTATAAGTCTATTCTTGAGAATAAGAAAGGTATATTAGTATTTAGCTATTTAAGTTATTAATTAATTTTTCTGCTTTTATAATTTCATATTTATTTCCTTAAGTAAATTATTTAGAGAAATAGTAATAATAGTAAAATTATATATGAATTTTTAGTAATAAGAAGCTAATTTTAAAAATTATCTAACTTTGTAAATATTTATAAGTACTAGCTATTTTTCTACTAGCTTTATTTTCGATTATAAAGTCTTAATAATTCTATTTCCTATAATATATTTATAAAATTCTATTTCTGAAATACTAATTATATATTTATTAGGCTTAGTAAAGAGCTTATTCTTTTTTAGCTTACTTAGAACTTAATTCAAGTAATTCTAATATTTCTTAATTAAATTAGAAAAGACTAGAATATTATTAAAAAATATAATAATAAAGCAATTAAGAAAAAGTTAAAGAATAGTATTTATTAATATTTAAAAGATAGCCGGAGTATTTATAAGTCCTATTAGTATTACTAGGTATTTAAACTTGCTAATTTATATATTAAAAGCTATATATAAGATACTAGACTTAGTATTAAGAACCTAGTAAAATCCAGAAAGTAAATTAAACTTGGAAATAAACTTGAAGTTCCTAATTTAATTAAGGTAATCCTGAATTCTGGATAAGAGATAAGTATTTTTCTCTATAATTATATTTAAGTCCTAGTAATTAATATATATATACTAAGTAATATCTGACTTTTTTATAAAAAGAATAGGTATTTCCTAAAAACTATTACTTATTCGGATTAATTTCTTTTTAAGTATTATAGTAATTTGCTTAGTTTATTTCTTTAGCTAAGATTAAGAAAGAGAATAAGCTACTAAATTAATTAGCCGGGTATTTCTAGTATTAATTAAGTATTAGATTACTTTATTAGGTAATAAGTAATCTGGCAAGTCCAAATAAAAGGCCTTTATATACTTCCGGATAACTTTTTTAAAGAAAGCAGGAATATTCTTAGGTAAATTATCTAGGCTTACTTAATTTTCTAAAATCTGGAACTAGATAAAGAATAAATTTATAATAAAGCTTTAGGTTTTTCTAGCTATTTTGTAAATACTCTTAGCTATAATAAGGCTAAGCTCTATAACTTAGGCTAGTTAATAGTAATCCCGATTAGCTATAAGTAAGTGAGTTCCCTTAAAATCTCGGATCCAAATAGTTAAATAGAGCTAATTAATATAAGAATTAAAGGCTTATAACTAGGGTATTTTAAGTATAATATTATATTCGTATAGTAAGTCTATAGTTATAGCTTATATAGAAAGGTAATAGTATCTAATTTGGCCGAGAATAGTAATAGTAACTAATACTTCTCTTATTTTCCTATTTATAAACTTAATTATAATAAGAGAAAAAAGAGAAATAGGTTAATCTTATTAATTTATAAATAAAGTATTAGCCTAGTTATATATAGATTTACTATTAAGTAAATACTTAAAAGTAGTTCCTTATTAGTTATAAGTAGTAAATATAAGTAAATTATTTCTAGTAATATTAAAAGAGAATAGTTTCTTAAAGGATTTATATAAGAAAAAGTTTTTGAGCTTTAGCTAAGAGTAAACCTTAATTATAGCTAAGAGAGCCTTGGTTTTATATAGTATAAGCGGCTCTAGAATATCTTTATATGCTTATTAATTAGCTCGTACTAAATTATTCTCTAATTAAGCTAATACTAGGAATAATTCTAGTTTCCTAAATAAGAAGCTTTCTTAAGTAATTATAAGATCTTAAAGGCTAATTACGAGATCTTGGAATAAGAGGAAAAGTAATAGTCTTTATTTCTATATATAAAGCAGGCTCGATTTACTAAGTACTAAGTCTTAAAAAGCTTAGGGTTCTTTTTCTTATTAGATATAGAGGAAGTAATATAATTAAGTTATTTAATTTCTTTATCTAGCTTTAGCTAAGAAGGAAAAGGTTTAAGATAAGAGATAAGATAAAATCTCATATAAGATAAGCTACTTTTTACTCTAGCTTCCTTAAATACTCGATTAATAAAGTCTACTAGTATCTAGTATTTTACTAGGCTATTAATATTTGGATAATAAGTAAATATCTCAAATTTAATTTTCTTATTAAGCCCTTTCTTAAATTAGTAAAGAATCTCGTAATTAGATAGTCGAGAATTAAGGTATATAAGATAATTCTTAAATATTATAATATAGCCTTAAATAGAACCGGTTTACTAAACTTTCTTATAATATTATTATCTTTTATTTTCTATATTAAGCTCCTGGAATTCCGTATAAATAATAATAAAAAAACTATTAATAGTAGAGGAAATAGGATTACTTAAGAGAATAGTATTTTTCTTTAATTATATTTACTATTTTAAAGCTTTTTCTTTAAATATATTCGAGAAAAGGGCTAATACTTATTCTTTAGAAATCTTAGCTCAAGTAAGAGTTTAATATTTATTAAGCTATAAATAGGCTTCTATAGTCCAAAAATAGGCTATATTATTTATTTAATTTTTATTATACTTGGGGTAATCTCTAATTCTTATTCTAAGATAAAATATATATTTAGTTATAGCTTTTCCAAATTTTATAAAAGCTTTAGGAAGATCTCTAGGCCTAGAGATTAAGGAAATAGGCACTTTTTTAGTAATAGTAATATTATCTAATTTAGAAATAGCCGGGGTAATTAAAGTCTAAGAATAAGTATCTATAGCCTGGATTAAAGAAATAAGCTTTACTTAAACTTGAATAATAAGATTATTAATAGCTATATTAGTACTTTCTTATATATTATTTAGAACTCGGGCAAGTTCTCGGATATACTCCTGTAAATTAGCTATAGCTAAGGAAAGATCTCCGAGTAAGCTAGAGATATAAACTATATAATTATTAAGTATATTAATAGTACTAAGAAAACTAGTTATATAATCTTATAAAGTAGCTAAATCTCTATTAATAGTAGCTTAATAAGTAACTAAGCTAGAAACCTACTAGGCTATCTTATTTATATAAGGTAAATACTCTTGTAAGTTCCTAGTAAGGTATTAAAGTAGTTATATAGTATTACTCGGGGGCTCCCCTTTAGTAGGGTAATCTATGTCTTAACTAGCTCCTATTATAGTAAGATTAGGCCTCTTATTAAAAGATATAGTAATTCGGATATAAAGAAATAAGTAATTTAAGAAGGGGAATAACTAGAGTCTATCTATTAAGATCTGGATAGACTTCCTTTTTTATTCTCCTTTCTATAGGTCCCTGATTCGGTCGAGTATAGAAAGCTTATGAGTTTAAGCCAAGAACTAGTTAGGTTCTCTATAACTCGATTTCTGAAATAGAGGTTTATAACTCTTCTATTCCGGTAGTATTCTCGTACGGGGTTTTAGTAGGTCTAGTTAATTTCTAGATCTTTCTTCTTCTCATTCGAGGCCCGATATTAGGATAACGGATTTCTCTACTTTATCTTGGTAGTCTCGGACAGGCCTAGGCTTGGCCTTATTCTACCAAGCTCTCTGCTCTATTCGGGTAGTAGAATTCCTCCAGGATTATTACTATAGAGTCTCGATTAGCCTATCTAGTAAACTCGTTTGATAGAGTTACTAATCTCTTCTAATATTCGGCTATTACTAGGAATATAAAAACTTGCCCGGCGAGTTCCTACTTTTCCCGAGATTAGCTTATATTAGGAGAGGTAGGCCCGGAGAATGGAAGCTAGTCTATAGTTAGTATATTTAATAGTCAGATACCTTTGCTATATAGGTCAGATAAGCAGAAGAACCTTAACGAGATCGGCCGAGACTTCTACTTCTTACAGCTTGACCTGTAGGGAGGGAATTACTCGTCCGACCCTCGAACGACTTTTCCAGGGAGGTAGTCGTTAGAGTATATTCTCGTTTTATTATAATGGGTACTCCAATTTCGGGGGCGGCTCGCTCTAAAGCGAGGGGCGGCCGTAAGAAGCATATTAATAATACTCGTTCGACATATCTCTCTGGAAACTCCGGAATAGAATTCTAGTATAAGGCCTCAGATAAAACTGAGCCCTTTTAAGGCATTACTACCATATGTAATTAGAAAGGTTAAAAAGGACGTAACGTTTCTATTCCTGCACGTTCGGGCCCTTTAATAGGCTCGAACGAGCTTACGTGATTCCACGTGTAATTAGATTACGTACAAAAGCATGATCAGAAATCACAAGTGTGGGGCTTGATCCAGAAGCCCCAGTTATTAGCCCGAAAATCGGCTGTGCACACAGGGGCATCTGCTATTCGAATCCATTTTCTGACAAGAACTTTGGAGCTTCCCCACATCCACACAAACTCGGGCAATTGAAGTTCTAGGTATGTGAGCACTCAGAGTGCTTCTCTGACACCTCTGCAAAACTTTGTTTGCTAACCTTGCGCCAGATATTGCTCGCAGCCATGTCTTCAGATAAGCCCTTACCATTCATTTACCAGTTCGCCGCCGGTACGCTCCTTCCCCTCTTGCGCGATTGCCAATTGAAGCTCACATACCTTGCAGGGGCGGTCGCTGGTGTGTCCGAAGTGAGTTTCCCATGTTGCATGTTGATAATCTGAGTTTGAACTAAATCGCTCAACTTTCTAGATCTTGGTGATGTTAGTCTGCCCCTCCCCTCCCCCATTCTTGCCTACTTGGTTGCTCAATTGCTGACTTTTGTTTCCCAAGGTACCCGTTGGATGTCGTCAAAACAAGAATGTAAGCCTCGACTAAACAAGGCTGGGTCAATTGAGAGGACAATGTTGACCGAGGTTCAGACAACTCCAACAAGGAAAAGGCACTGGAGCAGATTCATACAATGGCATGGTGGATTGTTTCAAGAAGATTGTCAAGAATGAAGGGTACGTGAATCCGCTATGGAAAGAGGAGAAGGGTTGACCGGGCCTTGGAATAGCTTCTCGAGATTGTACCGAGGCATCGAAGCTCCTATTCTCATGGAAGCGCCCAAGCGAGCAACCAAATTCGCTGCCAATGACTCCTGGGGAAAGTTTTACCGTGACCTTTTCGGAATGCCCAAGATGACGCAATCCCTCTCGGTTCTTACTGGAGCTACAGCTGGTGCCACAGAAGCCTTCGTTGTCGTCCCTTTTGAATTGGTCAAGATTCGACTGCAGGACAAGGCCCAAGCAGGGAAATATACTGGCATGCTAGATGTGGTGATGAAGACGGTCAAAGCCGAAGGTCCCCTCGCACTATATAATGGCCTTGAAAGTACACTGTGGAGACATATCCTTTGGAACGCTGGTTACTTTGGCTGCATCTTCCAAGTCCGAGCACTTCTACCGAAGGCGGATAACAAGACCTCCCAGATGGGGTATGACTTACTCTCTGGCGCAACCGGAGGTACAGTGGGTACGATTGTCAACACCCCTATGGATGTAGTCAAGTCCCGCATCCAGAACAGCCCAAAAGTTGCTGGCGTTATTCCCAAATATAACTGGGCTTGGCCATCAGTTGCATTGGTCATGAAGGAGGAGGGCTTTGGAGCGCTTTACAAGGGTTTCTTACCGAAGGTTCTTAGATTGGGCCCTGGAGGAGGTATCTTACTTGTTGTGTTCACTGGTGTCATGGACTTCTTCAGAAAAATGAGAGGTGAAGCATGATTGATTAGAAATTTGTTGGTGGATATGTCCATATGTTACGTCAAGACTGTTTCGTGTCAGATATTCCCTGTGTATTCTATAGGAACGAATAGAGGACAAGAAGGTCACGGAGATTGGAGCAAGCGCAGCATCAGATTGTCAATGGCGAACAAATAAAGCAAGTGCGAATCAAACACAGCATTCCTGCTATGTGATTGCAAGATTGTTTACTTGGTGAATCTTTTGCTTCAATTTCTGTTCGTTATTCCTCTTGCGGCGAGTTCTCTCTGGTTTCTGAAATCAGAGGTGTTCTTTCTCGTTGCTCGCTTGAAATAGAGTGCAGCATCTGTGGCATCAGACTGGATACAGCTGTGGAGATTCGCATCTGAAATGCAATGGATTTCTCATGATTCATCGGTCGCCCAATTCCCTGTTCGAGACTAGATTGAGCTGTTTGGCCCTTGCGCTTTTCTTGATTCTTCGGTGGAGGTCTTTCAAATCGGGATATTGGAATGTTAGCCGTAATGGAATGCTTACTCCACGAGTTCCCTTTCAAGACCTCTATAACGTTGGCAAAGTGGAGAGAGGACCCAGAGAAGTGTTACCCGAGTTTGTTCTGCAGTCATCCGGCTGTGGTCAGGGCTGGACTTGAATAGGGGTAAGGATTTGAAGCGATTCGGCAAAATAATCAGATTGGAAGAGGGGAAGCGAATACCGCACAATTACTATATATCTCTCAACTGCAATGAGTGACACTTGCGATCAATGGCATGTTTCATGTGAGAACAAATTTGTATGAAAACAAACTGGTTGGTACTTTAATAGATGACGAGTTCACATATAGTTGTTCACAAGACGTTCGTAGAGGACTGGACTTTGTGTCCACGGTATCTAGCTGGAAACACAGTGTAGAAGGGAGCCTGCTTGCACTATATATTTCAGAGTTTGCAAGACGATTCAAGAGGTTATTTGTTCCAGCGCTCAGACATATACGAAGTAGATGGCTACATCCTTCAAGTTACAAATGATCCCAAGTTTCACCCTTGCTGGGTCAACTTGCCAAATTTCCAGTACAGTGTACTTCCAGAAGGATTTGTACTATAATCACAACCATCTGGTATATATATTTTAAATGGCTGGAGGACTTTTTAGTTGAGAAGTATTATGCCAGCTGAGCTCCTGGATCAAAACAAACCTTGGTCCTCGCTTCTGAGCGAGCGGGAGTCACAAGAAAGTGATGCCAAATCATAAACAGAGCAGAGAAGCTGTTTGACTCCCAAAACTTGCTGGGAAAATTCCAAGATGAATACCAGACTTAGCAGCACTTCAGTTATCTTCTTTAAACGCAAAATAATGGCCAAACCATTTTGTTATTTTAGACAGTATCTTTTCCCTTGGATCGGCTAATCACTCACCGATGGCGCTAAGTTCCGTCTCGACCTCGACCTCGCATAAACAGAGCTGCTCCTCTTCTCCTCCCTTCCAACTCACCCACACACATCAACAAAACCACTCTCACTCTTAAAATCACATTACCTGATTCCCTCAGTCTACGCGACGAAGACTTGATCAATCCAAACCTCACTTCAACCGATCTCACCACAAACAGTAAGTATATTTCCATGTTATCGTCGCATTATCGCCCGCTCGAGACGCGTCCTCGAAATGCGCCAAATCATCGCAATCCCCAACCACCACGATCTTTACTAATTGTTTCACAGGTTAAGATGGCACGAGAAGGCACCCGATCTGCCACCGGTTAGTTTTTGTTAAAACCTTCTGCTGTCACCGACAGCCTTTGATATGGCTCAGCGCGTAACTTGGTGATCCGGTACTGAGCTTCACATACAGGCAACTCTCGCCCAAGAGTCTTCCCGACCGTCCCCGAGACCACCGCCGCTGCACCCAAGAAGCGTGCGACCGCCAACACAGGTGCTAAGAGAGGACCAAAGAAGGCGACTGCCACCAAGGCCTCCAAGCCCACTGGGGTTACCAAGAAGAAAGCTGCTCCTGCTAAGAAGCCAGCTGCTAAGGTGAGTCACTACATTCGCGATCTCCTCCTTCTCATCCTTACTGATCTTTCCTGTAGGTTAAGGCTGCTGTCAAGAAGGCCGAGGGAGCTGTCGAGAAGAAGGTACGTTGCAGCTGTGCTTTGTTATGATGCTCCTCCGACGCGTCAACGACCCCTGTCTCAAATCCAAACCCCCAGACTGCCCCATCAACTTGCCAACTGCCTTCCCCTTGTCTGGCAATGCCCTCGATCATTATCATTATGGTTCCAGTGGTTTATTTGTTCCTGTATTATCAACTGTGTTTTGTTCCTTGAGATCAGACTGTTTTTCCAGCTTTATCGCTCGATCTCTGCTGACTCTCTTCTCCCATAGGTCGCCGCACCTAAGAAGACCAAGACAGAGACAAAGAAGACGACTGTCACAAAGAAGAAGTGATCTCTTCACGACAAGAATCTCCAGCAAATGCAGACAAGACGAGACTTGCCGGTCGCCAGTTCTGATACCTCTTACTGGATGACTTTGCTCTGATACCCTTTGTCTCATCCTGCAAGTGGAGCTGATCAGGCGTTGAGGAGTTAAATGACGGGATGGGGAATGTATGAATGCGAGGAATGATCTAATGGTATGCACTTCGTACATACTGTTCGAGGGAATTGGTCAAGGCTTTTCCTATTCTTTGTGCTTTCTTGCGGGCCTCATGTGTTGTTATGGTCGACTTTCTTTGGTGCTCAGGTACATGCGAGAACGTTTTGCAAACTGTGTACACTTTGCGCGTAATGTGATTTGTGATTGCGTCTTGACTCCATGTTGTGTAATCATCTTGTGATGTGGTAGTGCCGCCTACATTCTCTCTGTCGACACATCATATATTGCTACCCTCCGCCCTTACGAGTGCCTCATCTATTCCCCTATACCCCCGCCCCGCCTCCCCATATGATGTTATCCAGTTCTGCAATGAGAGGACTTCACGCCCACCGGCTTCCTCAAGTAGCAGGGTTTCTCTCTCCATTTCTTGATCTCTCAGCCTTGTTCCCAAAATGCCGAGTCAGCCAGTGCCTGCTTGTATCTCCCATCCCTATCACTATGTGCCTCGTCATCCAACTACCTCCTCCCCATCTCCACCTTCCGCACCAACACCATATCTCCCTCCCCCACCTTTCCTCTCCCCTTCCCCTCAACCCCAAAGTACCCTGCAACCGCAACATCCACCACCCCTTCCCATAATCCCCCAACAATAGCCTTCAACTCCTCCCCGGTCTGCCTAAAATCCGGGAACGCATTAACCTCCAACAACCACGCCGTGCCCCTCTCATCCACCAAAAAATCTACGCCAAAAACCTCAAACACATTCGGCAGCACCTGGAAATGAACCATCATCCCTTTCGCTGCTGCCTCAAACGTTTCCCCAGTCGTGTCACATATTTGCTTGAAGATGTTGTCTTTCATTGATGGAGAGAGATCCGATGAGGGGAGGGAGAAGAATGATTGTACTGTGCCGTCGTGCACAGAGGGTTGGAGACAGGTGTTTGTGAGGTGGGGTGAGAGGTTGAGGCCTGTGTCTGAGGTTGGGGGGGTCCATGGTGGGATGTACGGTGATGAGGCGAAGAGCACGAGCATTTGCTTGTAGACGTAGACTTGCAACGCTCCAACTGCTAGGACGTAGGTCCTGAGGTGGAACTTCCTTGGATTGGAAGGCAAGAGGAGAGGTGGGTGGATATATGGCTGAGCAATGAAGTGGCGGAGATGCGAGGTCACGATGTAGTCCCCTTCCTCTTCTCCTTTCTTCTTATCCTCCGTTCGCTCCGCGTTATTTTGGTCCTCATCCTCATCCTCAGAATCAGGCCGTTCAGCCTCCCATTCCTCAAATATTGATTGAAGTTCTTGTTCCGTGCTGAATAGTCGTATCCCCTGTCCACGATCACTCATCCCAGGCTTCAGAATCCACCATTCCCTTTCCGCAGCCTCTTGCCCATCGTTCCTCTCGAAACTCCCTCTCAATTCCCAGGCTTCTACCAATGATTCGTCAAGGAACTCGGCGTAGTCGAGCTCGAAATCACATGCTGGCTTGATATTCGTTGCAAGGATTGAGGAGGGGTTCTTGGTGATCCAGTTGAAAGCTGTGGTGCTGAGGTAGTGTTTCCTGATCAGAGCCTTGCGGATGATGTACGCATTAGCGAGGGTGGTGGTAGGATGAGAGAGGATGTGAGGGAAGGGGAGCGATTCGTAGGCTCCTATTTGGAGAAAAGGCGATGTTGGGTCTGGTAATTCTGCTATCGAGGATATGAGAGTATAGGATCCTTCTCGAAGGCGTGACTTGAGTGCCGCCAGAATCAAAGGCTGAACATATGTATCTTCGTAGTTGATCAAGGCGTAGAAGTGCTTGGCGTGTTTAGAGGAGATGGAGAGCGCTTCCATGCTTGGGAGTTCGGTGTGAGGCCTGAGATATCACGAGTCAGATATTGTACAGGTAGATGGCTGCTCAACGTTCTATTGATCTAAGAGGAGTCTAGTGATCTAAGGCACGCTATGCAAAACCCCACTCACAGCTTCAGCTCTCCCTCTGTGACCGCCGCAGCATGCATAAAATTTGCTTTTAAAGGTGTGACACTATGCAATATTAGCATCGAATTTTAGAAAGTGGATATAAGTTGGTGGCGCTTACCTGGTATATCCCTCCTTAACAGCCCACCCATCATTTCCAGGTCCAGCTTCCTCCACAGATTGATAAACATCCGTGAACCTCGGTGACCACTTAAAGTGTTTATGCTTATGTCTGCTCATACTTCCCTTATTTTCCTCTGGCAATCCCTCGCCCTCCCGAATTCTCTGCTCCTCCTCCCCCGCATCTCCTTCCTCGTCCTCAATCTCTTGAAAGCAGCTCCCTGACTTCCAATAATTCTGCAATGTGCTCGTCCACAGCACTTTCCTGTCTTCAACTCCCTCCACCAACGGAACGTTCACCGAGTACAGATCAACGTCCTCTCCCCAATTCTTGTATAAATACTCAATCACCCTAACACTGAGTTTCGACGCCCCCGCAATGATTTCTGGATCATGATTCCTTGAGGAGAAAGCATATAATATGGCCATTGCCTTCCGTCTGCAAACTGCAGCTTCGAGAGCGCCACCTAACGTCCCACTGCTAAGACTGAAAACTGCTGTTGTATTCCTTCCATAATTCGGCCCGCTGACAACAAGGTCAATTGGTCCTCTGTCTTGGAAGTAATGGTATAGTCCTATTTGCACGCAGCTGGCCGGCGTGCCGTCCACCAAAATCCATTCTTCTTGCTCAGGTGCGCCTGCTGGTAAGGGCTTGGAGTGTGTGGTGCCGTCCTCTTGGTGCAGAGTGCCGGGGCGGAAGTACGTTGGTTTGAGCGTCTTGCCAATCAAGTGGGCTTTTCCAATCCATGATCGTTGTGTGTGAGGAAGGACGACGGAGACAATGTGTCCAGCGGCCTGTAGGGTCTTCACGAGGGAGTGGACATATGGGGAGGATTGGTTCGAAGGAGGGCCATCATCATTCACTATCTGGAGGATGGTCAGCTTCCAAACGCATCAATTCCAGTACTCTTGCCGGGATCCTTACTAAAATATGCATGATGATCTAAGTTCGTGTCTGCAGGAGCGAAGCTTTATAACTTGTGTAGTTAATCGGGTTGAGTAAGTAAAGAGGGGCGAGAAATCCTTGGTCAACGTACTGCCTGTGCAACAGCCTTGTCCGAGTTCGCAACGAAGTGGGGTGGTGGCGGGGTTGTGGCGTAGGCTTGGGGGGGATGAGGAGAAATTGCTTTCTAAGTACGAAGTACGAATATCTATTCGATTTACAGGGGCAACAACTATCAAAAGTTTCAAAGCACGATCAATTGTCTGCAATACGAATCTCACTGTGAGGTTGGCAGCCTCGACGACAATTGTCAGCGAAGTCCGCGGGTTTCATCCAACACTGAATCATGCCATACAAAATTTTGTTCGCACGAGCCACTATCTACTCTTGCAGTTATGGAGGAGAGTTTTTAAATATCACTGGATCTTAGTTGAGCAAGGAGCCGCCATGGCGAGTTTTTAGGAAATATCCTCAATGCTCTTCTCTATGGTAAAGAACCAATATCTAAGTGACAATACAAGGCAAAAGGCCCTTATTGGATAGCACCAACCTCGCCTCTCATCAAATGCCCTCAATATTCCTCACTACCTTATTATGGTAGTAAAGAGCCAATATCTGCGTGACAATACCAAGCATAACAGCCGGGTTCGATAAAACCAACCTTGCGTTTAGTAGGAGCAGCAGCATCCACCGAATGGCGTCCCGTCATTATGAAAGTAGACCAGGTCTACGTACTAACACAAATGTAGAGAATGTTCATACACGCAGAATTCTTGATCCACAAAATATCATCCCTCGTCACAAGATCGTTCATCCTCGGAGCTTTTTGCCACCACCTCCTCGAGCAAGTGGCTCACCCTCCCGCTTCTTGTTGTTCTTTGTGACCGACCTGTGTCTCTTCCACTCGTTGAAAGGGCTGACTCCGCCACCTCGACGAGCGTTGTGTTTTGGTGGGGACCTAATATGCTCATCATCGCTGGTTGGTGCGCCTGGCGAGCTACTCATATCGACATTCTTGGATCTAGTTGCCCGAGCGGTGGTAGGAGGACTAGCAGGTGCGAACTTGGGAGCTTTGGGTGTAGTGACGTTGACATGCATTTGATGAGAAGCAGTTGAAGTATCCATGGGGTCCTCAATGTCGGTATCGGCCTCTTCATCTTCAGTGTTGTGTGATCTCATCACCTTCTTCTCATTGCCTGGAAAGAGAAGGCGTGGCTTCGTAGAGGATCGAGTAAGAGGACCACGGAGGGAAGATGGAAGAACTTCATCAAGAATATCGCCGATTTCGTCGTCAGTGCCACCTTCTTCATCAGATTCTTGGCCTTTCATGTCGGCGAACTTGCGGAAGACATTCTTGCCACGACTTAAAACTATTAGCAATAGCTTTCTGAAAGGGCATATAGAGACACTTACAACGTGTAAATCAAGCCATCCTCGCGCTTCTGAAGCTCCTCAATGGACTGACTTCCTTCGCCTGGAACAGTAATCTTCCTACGCTTGCTCGCACGCTTTGTCGGCTCGGGGACAGGAGCAGCGCCTTCACCATAGAATGGATTATCTGGGCTAAGATCGACCTCAGGGACACGATCATGGGAGTCTGTGTAGATGTGAATTGGGGCAGCCTCCTCAGCCTCAAAGCTATCCAAAGTCAAGCCAGTGTACTTCTTGTTTCTCTTCTTCGGTGATGGCATGACCTCTTCGTCAGATCCAGATCGAATGGGAAACAGGTTTCGGGCGATCGTGTTTACGGCAGGTGTATACTCTTCGGGTCGCTTTTGGGGGGTCTTGGCCGGAGTAGGAAGCATACCATTCTTGCGAACAGCAGCTGTAGATCGTTGGACCTCCATCTTGCCTTCGTTCTTGGGAGCAGGAAGACCGAGAGCAGCCGCCGCATATGCGGTACTATCGTAGTCCAATGCGCCAGAGACTCTGCGTCCACCAACCATCGGAGAGCTCTTCGGAGCGCGTTTCTTGGATGCGGTCTTGGGAGATGAAGGTGAGGTAGTCATGCTTGTAGAAGATATATTCCTGGAGGATCCTGGAGTCTTGCGCAAGTTATGTTGGGTTCGGGCGGTAGAGTTTGCTTCATTGCTCGATCTTTGGGAGACACGAGAAGACTTTCGAGGAGAGTATGGCTGATAGTCGTCGTCGAGAGCTCCAAGTCTCGGTGTCGAAGGAGTGTTGATCGAGGAAGGTGGAGGGGGGGTCGAGGGATTCATAGAAGCTGCCATCTCTGATAGAGATCGGGGCCTCGCCGGGCCGCGATAAAGCTTCGCTTCGATGAAGGCAACGATAAGGAATCTGAAAGTGGGTAGAATCGTCTGAGATCGTCTTTGGCTCGTCCTTTGTCTTCTGGCAAGACAGCGAGGGCAGGTTTGTTGCCCAGTTGGCAGACAAGCTGGTGGTTGCGGAAGAGCAAAGATGTTGTCGTGGGATCGTAAGAATAAGGAAGAAAAAGGCTATTGTGGGAGTATGTAGGCGCAGAATTTTGCAAAGGCGAGCGAGGGTGCGAACAGATTCACTCTTGAGTTGCGAAAGTGAAGAGGTTGAGGTTCAAATTACCAGCCTCCCCTTAATCGCTTGTTTTAGCGTCCGTGAGGCTGATCGCGCACAGACGTCACAGAGATAAACAGTCAGACAATCTTGATTGAATGACGCGTAAAAGCGCGTCAAATCTTCCTATTTGGGTGTTTTTATTGATTTACAGGCCTTTGTTGCATTCCATTCAAATACCATCAAGATGTCGACTCCCGATGTCGGCAAGTTGGATCTCTCTGATTCAGACACAGAAGACCTTTTCGCAAGCCCGTCAAAAGTCTCCAAGCAAAGCCAGAAATCCAATCCAAAATCAGATGTGCCATCAAATTGCAATGTCGAATCGAAGTATGACGCAGAGCAGGCGCGAGAAGCTTCGTTGCGGAAAGAATTGGAGAGCGTTCGGAGTATCAACGAAGTCATAGAAAGCGTGGTGTCCAGCCTAGAGGTTGCAAAGGGGAATATGGATGTAAGTCTGATCTACGAAAGCATCTCAACTGGCCGTGCTGATGCTGAATGTCCCAGACGGTATCGCGCACAGTCACATCTGCTTCCACACTTCTGAATACCTGGATACGAATACTGTCACAAACAGAGCACAATCAACGGTTGATTCTGAATCCCAATTGGCAAGGGGCAAGCCAGGATATAGCAGATATGGAGAATGAGATGGTATTGAAGGCACAACAAGCCGAGAGAAGAGCAGCAGAGGAAGAGAGGCGGCGTGAGGATGCGAGGCGGAGAGCAGAAGATGAAGAAAGACAACGGCAGGCTGGCACCTCTGTTCGTGGGGCTAGAGGAACGAGGGGAAGAGGCAGAGGAACTGGGAGAGGGGGTATCAGTGGGACTGGATACGTTGCTGGTGGATCAAGCAGCTTGTCAGGGGGTAGTCGAGGCACATCACAAACAGGAAGAAGTGGTACTGGCATAGGCAGAGGCCTTAGAGGTACAAGAGGCCGGGCTCGTGGAGTTAGATGAGTGCAAATAATATGAAAAGACAAAATGATCGCAAAGTTCACACAAAGAAGTGAGTGTTCGAATCGACCAAGCCGATCAAGACGTGAATGGTATTATTCAGTGTAATTGACCACTGGGTCTGCTCTCTATTTCCGAGCCAAATAGTCTTACATCCAAACGCCAGACGCATACAAGAATCTCATAATCCTAAACCCCATATCCCAGGCACCTTACGCAAAACATTGCCAACAGGACTCCTCTATTTTTTCTTAAAAAAGTCGCTCATTTTCTTCATCCCGCTTGTGTTGACCTTTTTCAAGTTCTTTACCCCTCTACTCACTCCAGATTTGTTTCTTTTTTCCTCCTCCTCCTTCTTCCTCTTCTTCTCAGCCCGAATTTCACTATCCTCGTCCTCGATCATGGATCTTTTCCGTGAGAAGTCACCAAGGGATCTCATCGACACAGCTTCTTGCCTCATTCTAGCGAGGTGGGCCAAATGGGAATCCAGACGGCTGAAGTCGACTTTCGAGCTCGACGAGACCAGCATCTTTTTGATGCTTTCGCTGAGATGAGGAGGGACATAATTGGAGCAAATGAAGAACAGGGCGGTCCGGAGTCTCAGAAGATCAGCAACTCCATCCGGAGCGTTGATTGCAGGTAGTGTTTTCAACTTCTGAATCGGCGGAAGACTCAAAGACTCGTCGGTGAATGAGGTGGCTGCTGTTGAAGCTTCAGCAAAGGAGCTCGTTGCAGTGTCCGTTGACGAAACAGTGGTCTGAGTGTCTGGAGTGCATGCGGCCGATGTCTGACTCCCTGATTCGGCAGGGATTGAGTCTTCCTCGTTTCGGTTCTGCAAGCTTTCCTCTCGATTTATACCCAATATTGGCACATCAAGTGCTTTCCGTACAAGTTTCTCCTCCATGCTCGCAGGCAGTCCACTTGCACCCATCATCTTCTTAGCCTTCCTCAATATTTCGTCCAGCAGTTTCCCTTCGTTCAATCGATACATTGTTTCATCCCCTGCTTCGACTGTATCGCATACAGCTGTCATTCTCTTTTCCAAGGCAACTCGTATTGATTCCGTTCTCAAGAAAGAGTTGAATTGCGGAGAGGCAGATGCGAGCTTCTCGAGGTAATCATCGCCGGTGAGGAATAATTTATTCGGTGCTTCCGCACTCTTCGACGTCGGGAGAGGTGCAAGAGCTGGTAAAATGAGAAATAGAGAATCGATCGGCGTTGCAATAAACAAATTTGCGTTTCGAGTGACATAGCCTTTTGGTTCGGTAGTTCTCTTGATATCTAATTCGGCATATAATGTTCCCTCCGCTCCATCCTGTCCCGCAATCACCTCTTGCGAAAGCAGCCAGCTCCGGGGGGTGGTCTTTGGTTCCGTAAATGCTTTGAATTCGTAGAATCCGCGCTCCGGGCAAACGACATATCGATTTTCGTCGAGAAATCTTGGGTTTTGGAGAGTGACAATTCGAGCTTGTTTGGTAATACCTTCCGGTAATACGAAGAGCTGAGAAGGGTTGGTCGAGTCTGCGCCTAATTGGACTTTTGGACCTGCAGATTTCGTAGACTCGATGTTCTCGGTGGTTGGCTTTCCAGAGCTTTTGGTTGCACGAGTCTTCATTTTAAATATAGAGAACGTCGAGTCCCAAAAGTCAAATCTGCTACTTTTTGCGGACTTTTTGCAGAAGTGAGAGACTCGCGTGGGGAGGGACGCGTCAAGACGCGTCGGCTAAATTGAGAAAGGACGACATGAAACTACTGCGACTTCCCGAATTGATACCACCACGAAATCTCGATGTACGACCTCGCAATCGAAAGCTAAAAGTGCTGATTTCTTGCTCCTGCCTTCGCCCTCCAAAATCACAAATCCACGGCCTGAAACACCTCCCTGCGGCGCAATTTGCCGGATTATTACTCCAGGCCCAATATACTTCCCCCTGTATAAAGTAGGATGGATTCTTCATAGACAACGTCCTCAACTTGCAAAGAGAGAACAACATATAATTACCTGATGGCTTGGGGACGGGTTAAACATGTCGCAAGGTGAGTATTCTCAAAGATTTGCAGATTTGTATCTCATATCATCAAAGCCAACAACCCTGAATGGCCACCAAGATCCCCTCACGACGTCTTGCTCAGTACCCCTGGAGGTCGTGAGAAGCTTCGACGGCTAGCAGAACGCGCCTCTCCCTCACCGTCCCCGACCAAACGTCCAGCGTCCTCGGCTTCGTTCCGAAATAGAGCCAAGGCGGGTCTGCCGGACGATATGGATGAAGAGGACGAAGATGAGGAAACGCTACAGCTTCAGCTGCAGGAGATTCAGGCGCGACTAAAGCTTAAGAAGATGCAGAAGAAGGCTAAACAGAATTCGGACACGGAGAACGAAAGCACGAAGGCAGATTCCACACAACTTAAGAGATCCAATTCATCTGCGGCAAATCGAGCACAGTCAAGACTTGCCGGTTTACGCGAAGAAAGATCAGAGAGGTCAAAGTCGCAGAACAGCGTCCATGTTCCTGTATCTCCAGTTCGAAGGGTCCGGCCGGCAGAGCCCCAACGATCACCTGGAAGAGTCCTGCTGGGAATTGACAAAGGATTAAAGGGTAGTGATATATCTCTGAAGAGAGCGCCTAGTTTGAGGAGGAAGGACGAATCTCAGGATCGACTTGCCGGCCCATTTTTACAGAGACCTGTGTCGCAGGCTGGTGGCCATGCTTCACGAGCCGCCGGAACCTCACGCAATGTACCTCCAGAAGACCGTCCCAAATCGTTCAGTGAGCGGATGGCAGCTGTGAGATCACAAGAAACAGATCGGCAGGAGCGGGAACTGCGAATAAAGAAGAATCGAAGCACGGCTTTTGATATTGATCACAAGCAGATGCAGAATTTCAGGGAAACCGCAGTTACTCTGCCTCCAGCTCCTCGGGAGGCACCATCATTCAGCAGAGATGAGGTGCTTAATTCCTACCACAAGCCAGCTAGTAATATGCCTCGCAGCAAGACTGTACCCGATCTGAGATCAGCAATGAGGAATACTAGCACTTCTATGGATACTATAGCTACGGCTTCAGCCAGGTCTGACTCCCGAGCGTCATTGGATATTCCACCGAAGAGAGCTGCCAAAGCAAATGTACCACCAGGAGAGGTACCGGAGTCCGAGGCCTCCCAGTTTGAGCCATACTCCTCGACACACCTCTCAAAAAGGATCATCCCCCATAAGGTCTTGACGCGAACCCTCACTGGAAAGAAGACCTTCCTTATACCTGACCTCCTGAGAATAGTCAAAGGTCCTGACTTTTCAGGTCCAGACATCGAAGAAGACGTGGTAGTATTCGCCATCATTGCATCGAAATCCGATCCGAAGGCACATCAAAACCAGAATTCGAAAAATCAGAAGAAGGGCAAGTTCATGGTCATGGCTCTGACAGATCTGAAGTGGGAGCTTGACCTCTTCCTATTCGATACCGCCTTCGAGAAGTTCTGGAAAATGACCCCAGGCACCATTATTGCCATTTTGAATCCTCTTTTCATGGCTCCACCACGAGGCAAAGCTGACACAGGAAAGTTCAGCCTAACCTTGAATTCCGACGCAGACACCGTCCTGGAGATTGGATCAGCAAGAGACTTGGGTTTCTGCAAGACTGTCAAACGGGATGGCAAAACATGTGATTCTTGGGTGGACAAACGCCACACCGAATTCTGCGACTACCATGTCAACGAGACCTTGAAAAAGACTCACGCAGCACGAATGGAAGTTAATACAATGACCTTCGGAAAAGGCGGTTACAACAGTGCTCGGAAGCTCAATTCCAAGGATAAGACAGGGAATTTTGACCGTGGTCGCCAGGAAGAGACAGAGAAGAAAACAAGATACGACAGGGGAAGCCACTCCCAGATATACATCGGGAAGAGGAGCACGGTAAACATGTTGGACGATGTCGATTTCGACCCTGACGCTTTCCACCGAGGCTCAACGAAAGAGGAGCGCATGACGAGACGATTGCTTGCACAGGAGAAAGAACGTGAACTGGGGAGGAAGCTCTCTGAAATGGGCAGTGGCCTTGGCGCAGATTACATGAGAAAGGGAAGGTCGTCACGGCCAGATCCGAGCAGTAGCATCTCAGTCGCAGAACCTCCACCAGATGCAGCATCTCTCGGTCTTCTGAGCGGAAAGGCGAAAGATGTAGCTCTAAGTCCCGTGAAGCGAAAACGAGCAAATACGACATCGAGTACCGCAGCTATGGGTTGGGGCAGTAACCTCACGAAAGAGCTTGGCCGGATGAAGAATGGAGAGAATCTACAGCCTGTCAAGAAGAAGACACGGTTTGTGACTGAGAAAGGCATTCGAGAAGCAGGGCGGGAAAGCTTTGGTGGGGAAGTAGCAAAAGCTGTGGCTAATGACCTTGATGACGGTGATGACGATGATCTGGATATTGTCAAGGAATAAGTATTGCGCGTTGACCAGTTTAGATAGTTGATGCTGGTGGAGAAATTGCGATTCTATTTCTCTAAACCACTTTTGAACAGTCCCGTTGGGCCGTTCCCACGCGAATTCCTTTATCTCAGTTCCAACTTCTACCGTACTCGAGACTCCTTAATGGGGATCTAACTAATATCAGCTCATCCATTGCCAACTCCTTACGGATCTTACATTGCAGTCTTTGCTCTTCTCCTTGGCGCATGGAGACGTAGGATATGTTGACCTTCTGGGACTTCTTTCATCTCATTTTCGTCAAATCATCACTAACATGGTATTGTGAGGGCACATGCAGACTTGCAGTAACGTCTCTCACTCCATACCAGACGGGTTGAACGAGTCAGCCAGGGCCGAGCTATGAGCTTCCTGATCATCCACCACTTCGCCCTTGACGCCTTGCCTCTCATCTGCAGTGACCTCCTTAGAGCCCTTGACAAGATCGACCCCGGTCTCACCAACCGCAGCAAACTCTCCGACATAAGCACCTAAACCATCGTCTTTCCAAAATGTTGTTCCGTTGTCCAATTTCAATGGCACAAGGTCTCCGCATCCTTGACATCCCTCAACTTCTAGGATCGTGTGTTTGCCGGACCAATGGTCTCCAGTGATGTTGTACACTGTGGTGTTCCCTTCGTAAAGAGCGACTTTGTCGTTTGGTAAGGCTCTAGGGAAGATAGGAAGAACAATTGGGTTGGCGTCCCAAATAGATGCGAGATTGGTCCTGTTTGTGAACGCGACTCGAGCAGTCGTTGGTGTTCGTGGTCCCCAATCGAAACTCAATTGGACAACTCTTTGGAACGGAACATTGCTCGTATCCACAGTTATGTTCGAAGCGTTTTGGGTCAATGGTTGCCAGCGGGTACCTGTATCACCATCTGTCGCTGCTCCTGGCGGATACCCAGCGATGGATTGGCCTTCTGAAAATGTGGGTTGGCATTGCAAAAGGTTGTCCGCGACTGTGAGCTCTTTCCAGTACATGTCATTCGCTACAGTAATCGTTTGCTTCATTTTAATGCTGTAGGCGGTCTTGAGAATATCACGTCCTGTTGTGTTGCGTGTTTCGATGATCAGTGGCATCGGCCGATGCTTGAAAGCATCAAAAAGGCCAGGAACCTCAGCCGGAAGCCGCGTTATGTTAGTGTGAGTGCTGTTCATACTTGCCCTAAATCGGTTTCCTCTAGCGTAGAAGTCTGCAATTTGAAGATACTTCAGAGGGGCCGGTAGTGCCGGACGAATGGTCAAATTGCCTTTCAGCCAGGTAACTCCAAGATATCCGAAAAGGGGTATTTGAAGTGAGCCTCCTGATCCAGTCAGAAACGGCAAGCTCGGTCTCACGCCTCCATTGGAATTCTGATCGTCGTTTGCTTGCTCAGACATTTGGTACCAAGGAGCCCGCAGGTGTGGTAACTGAGCTTTGATTTGACGCGTGAATGCTGAACAGCCCGATTTTGCCATTCGATTCATGGCAATGGCAGAAATTGCATGAGTCATGGCTGGCCCATCAGGGGATTGTTTCTGGTCATAGTAGAGGAGGTTTTCCCATTGTTCCATCAAGGATGGGTAGAAGTTCAATGGATGGATCATCAGGGTAACGTCCGCTTGCTTGACTGTCGCATTGTTCGTCATGCCCTCGTACTCCAGAGTAATATTAGACTCGGCTTTGCGAATATTGACATTGGCCGCTTTGTGAACCCAGCTCTTGTTGACTGGGAGCCCATTCTCTTCTTCGTACTGGTTAATCAGTGTTAACAGTCGAGAAAATGAGGCGAGAGTAAAAGCTCCGTTCTTGTTGTTGTTCTATAAGCTTTGTTAGCTGGTTGCACAATATGGATAGAGGCAAAGGGAAGACTTGGCTATTCGAGAAAGGATGTGCGGCGCAGTAACAAAGAGGGGGAAGCTCATCAGGAAGGAGGAAGAACCAACAAATGAGAGAAGACGTACGTGGAACTCATCGGGGTCCGTCATATTATGGATTGAATAACCATTCCCATCTTTAATTAAGAGGGTGTCAACTGCGTAACCAATGGCGAGGACCATGGGCCAAAGCTTCTCCTTGAAAAAGGCTTCGTCTCCAGTAACATGACGGTACCAAAAGGCTGCCAATCCGATATCAGAGTTGATATGGTACTCGTAATTTAAAGCTGGACCAGTGGCAGTTGCATTGCCGTATTTCCCCGCAGTCCAGGAGTACAACGCCGCACCTTGAGGGAATTTGTATGCATCTTGGACGTATGGGGCTTGAGTATTGAGTTGTGCTTGAGGAAGATGTTTCACTCGAGCCAAAAGAAACTGGCGGGCATAATTAGGCCAATGGGCGAGGATGGATGGGGACATCCAGAAGTCTTGGTCCCAGAATAACATCCCTCCATACGTATCGGAGGTAAGGCCACCCACCGCAACTCCAGCATCGTCTAGCCCGCTTCCTGCGGACTGGAGATTCTGCAGAAGGTAGTAAGCGTCTGCCACAGCAGCAATCTGAATCTTTTCAATTGATGTTTCGTTTTCGGGGAGGCGACCTGTAACGGGATCTCGATAGCTTGTGATATGATGGGCTGCCATTAACTCTTTCCACTCTTCAACATGAGTGGTAATCACTGTATCCCATCCGTCTCTAAAGGCTCTCGATGACTCTTCACTGGCGGTCTTTCCAGCATTAGGGAACTTGTCTGTTGATGCAATACCCACAAACTTCTCGAAAACGGCGGTCTTGCCCTTGACGAGATGCACATTCCATTCCTGCCCAATGGTCATGTTGTTACCATTGTCCGGACCGGTTACAGTTCTTCGAGAGGATTCGTCTGTAAAACCATTCGAGACATTCGCGGTGGACACCACCCAGGCAGTGACATTGGGCTGGCCGTCAGGATGGAGTGAAACGTACATAGAGGAGTTATTGGAAAGTCCTTTCTCCCCAAGATTTGAACGGACCGCACTTCTTCCATCGAATATGTCAATGATGGTACAATTGACATCTCCTCCTCGTGCCGTCACTTGCAGTTGCGTGCCTGCAACGTTAGCCCGAAGCCTATGGACAAATGATGTGATTTCTATGTCCAGCGAAACGTTAAGCCCGCGTGGAGACCAAGTGGTCCGCCAGGCGTAAATACCCTTCTGGAAGTCAACATCCGCAAGAAATTCTTTCTTGATAGAGTCGAGGTCCATGTCTACATCGTAGACTTGATCTCCAACAGCCAATTTAAGACCCATAAAATGTGGAATGCCTGCAATTACACTTTCGCAACCAAGTTGCAGTAGTTCTGGGTAGTTGGACCCAGGCAGTTCTGGAACACACGCGTAGAAGTCGGCAATTGTTCCGAAGGTCTGCCGAACATTGAAGAGGGGCCATCCTTCATTTGGTTGGCTGCCGTTGTGGTTGGTCATGTTGCGATCAATATCAAAGTAAGGGCCTATATCGGCGACAGCCACTCCAATGTACCTGGTACTTTCTGTTAGTTGATGCTATAAATAAAAGACATACCTAGTGCTGACGCTGGACTTCTAGCAAGTAGTAAAGCTTAAAGCGCGCACAGAGGAATGGGACACGCACCCGTTAGAGAGACCATGATTTACAGGAAACATTCCACTCATCGGTTCTGTCGATGATAGCACCCAATTTCCATCATCCCAGGAACTCAAATTCTTCTTAGCCAGTACAGACCATTCGGGATAGCCTGGCATATCTTTGTCAGGGACTGTGATAAACTTCTTCAAGACCGGGTTGATATCTGCTCCCAAAGCCAAGTTGCAAAGACCCAGCAAGAGGAAGAGGAGAAGAAACGCCCCGTGGGCACTTTTTGAGCTCTTGCAGTGCGGGGAAGCCATCTGGTGTACTGTGCTGTACTGCAGATTTAGCTGGAGAATCTGTGGTTATTGGAGAGAGGACGCTCACTAGTGTGTACGTGATATATCCCGAACAGCGGTCGAGGGTCAGAAACGTATGTAGCGGAGTGCCAGTCGTCGTTTCGAGAAAAATGTATGTAGGTGGAAGAGTCTGTAAATGTTCACTATGTAAAGTGTCATGTTAGGGTTTTGGAAGAGCTAGCTTACCACTTCTTGGGTCCCAAGTTCTTGCGAGGAAAGGGTGGGGGACAAGTTTCGCTGGCTGCTAGAGCAAGGTTACTCTTCCAAAGTTTTACAAATACTTTGAATTAAAGTTCAGGTTGCATGACTGAGTGAAGGCCATCAAGAGATGGGAGAAGGAGATGATGGGAAAGAGATTACCTATGGGGTGTGGGAAAGGAATGTGCGGGCTTAACCAGCCGAGAGAAAAAGTTTGGTTCCTAATAAACTCGGTGACTTAGTAGCGAAGGAGGAAGTCATGGCCCCCAACGATAATTACATGGTCCTACCTTGGCGGTTGAAGTGGGGCTTAACGCTTGCCGTCGACACACTACTTCCACACTCAAAGAGAATTGAAAAATTATTTCTGTGCAATGTGCTATGCGATCAAATAGACCGCAAAATGAACGAATCCATTTGTGGTTCTCAAACTAAACTAACCCGAAAGAAACGTGACATGCCCACCCGGCCTCTACTCTACATCTTCTGTGCTGGGTTTTAATGTCGCCGTGGATGCTGACAATTCTCCCTCCTCGGCCTGGGGTGTTGCGAGTGTGCTCGGTGAAATGACAGGAGGCTCGTCGCTTGCTTTCACTGGCTCTTGCTCGTGGTTATTACCAAGAGATCCTGCGGCCACAGCCGCCTTCTCCGCCTCCTGGCTTTGCTGGACATGGAGATCCTCCGGAGGTGGGTATAAAGTTTCCTCCGCTCCTGGAGCAATCTCAGACGAATCATGCATAGCTTGCTCCGCGGTGTTAGTCGCAAGAGTTGGGGTTTCCGACTGCGCTGCTTTGGTACTCAGTGGAGACTCCGCATCATCTTGATGCAATGTTACGAGGAGCGAATCCTCATCTGGATCAATCTGCCAGAGCGTCGAGGGCATCGAGAACGCCAAAGTGCTGGGGTTTTCTGTCACAATTGAACTGGCTGGGGCCGGACTCTTCGCCGGTGCTCTGCGAGCTGGACCTCTAGCCCTGCCCTTCCTAGCGTCGACTAGCGGGGTCTTCTCTTTTTCTTCTTCCTTTTCTTCGGGCACCTCTTCCTTCTTAGGAGCTTGGGGACCTAGTTGCAAGCGCTTGTTCAAGTCTGACATAAAACCACCTTGCAGAGCAGCAATTTTACTGCCAACTGGTCTTGAAGGGACAGGCGGTTTTGGCTTAGTGGCTGGAGCCGCTCCTTGATCTGAACCAAGAGATTTGGCTGAAGAATTTGACGGCACAGTGGTCAACGGAACATTTTCTGACGATTCACGCTTGATGGGTTTTGAAGGTCGTGCGGGAACTTGAGGTTTCGCCTTGGCCGGAACAGGTGGAGATGTCGAGTCGACTTGTGGAGCCAGCTTTACACGGGAGGGTCGTTCTGGGATGACAGGTTGTCCCTTCTCAGGAGATTCTGATAACTTTAGTTTTGCTGGGCGGACTGGTATCTGGGGCTTCGTTGTAGTCGCGGTGTCCGCCGTAGGTTGGTCGTCTGGTGGGCTCATTATGTCCTTTTCGTCAGATTGAAACTTGGCGACTGTGGTTTGAAGCTGAAGACTGTCAGGTGTATCCTCCCAGATATCGCGGCTAGGAAATCGTTGCTTCAACCCTGGTCGAGTCTCCGCTGCGAGATGTGGTTTTTGAGCCCAGGGCTGCTTCTTCTCCTTGTGTAAAAAGCTTTCAGAGTCTTCCGACTCCATATCTGCAAGTTCCTCTTGTCTTCTGGCAAAGGCTCGTTCCGGAGTCTCCCCTTCTTGAGGCTTGAATTCTTTCGACTCCTCTGTATCTTCTGGTAATTGCGGTGTTGATACCGTAGCGGTGTATTGCAAACTGTTGGGAGTATCTTCCCAAATATCTTGACTAGGAAATTTTCTGTTCTTCAGCTCGGGTCTCTTCAATCGATCAGCTGCGGTCAAGGGTTTCGAAGTGCTGGCAGCCTTCTTCTCTTCTTCTGGGAACAACGGTTCGTATTCGTCCAAGTTTTCCAAAGGAGTCGATGTAGAGTGAAAACCGGGGAGGGCGCCATGAATGCTCCCTGGTCGGCTTGTTGGTCTGCTGCCAGCTAAGCTTGAAGCACTGCCGGATCGATTGTGATATGCGGAATCTTCGTAAGCACTGCCTCTGCGCTCGTTCAAGGGCGACACAGCTGGCTGCAGCTCCCACCCGAATGGCTCTTTAGCAACCTCATCCGATGCTAAAATAGGTGCCCCATAACCCTGTTCATCGTGAATGCCATTATCTTCACCCCCAGGTCCCAGGTCCTCTGAAGATTCCATGTGACCAGCACCCCCATAAATCTTGCTTACACGGTGGCTTGGAGGATCTACGTGGATTACGTCGTCATCGTCGGTCTCGCTCTCAAGAGCAGCCCCTGATGGTGCACGAAAATCTTTGGACAAGGTTTTCTCGAATTCGTTCTTCCCTGAGGCATCTGTGGGGAAGGACTCCTTTCCCAACGGAGAATCAACGTGGGTATCGGACGTATTGGACTGTGTCAGATGAAGTCCTGACTGGGGACGCGGAGAGGACATGCGGGAGGCATACTCTTCGGACGCTTGGAATCCAATTTGCTCAGTTGGTGTTCCCATGATAGCAGGTGAAGCACCTAGATCACATTAGATTTTTCGGGTGATTCCTGTGCAAATCACACAACTGTAAGCCTTACCAGGTACAACACCTCGACTAGCAGTATCTCGTACAATCTTGTTCAAATCTTCGCTACTCAAAGCCCATTCTGGTCTACCCTCTCCATATTGGCCAAGCTCTTTCCTGAACAGTTCTGGGTGCTTTTCGTAGTATGCCTTCTCGAAGCGATCGTGAGGGAGCTGCCCGTGTCCAAACCGGCCACTTTGGTCCAGTTAGTAAAACTGCCTCTCCGGCTAGAGAATAGGAAAGGAAGCAACTCTTACTATGCATCAGGTGGCATGTCATATCCACGGCCACTGGTCCTACGGCCATGGTGTCTGGGTTTCGTGCCATCATTGTGGAATCCAATACCTGGAGCGTATGGCTGAGAAAATGGTGAAGGGGATGGAGCTTGAACATCGCCCGCATTTGGGTACATAGGCACGACTTGGCCAATCTGCGGGATCCCATGCTCACTCTCAGCGCTGGATGGGGGGCGTTCTGTGCCATTAGAAGTCTGGCTGGCAAAACTGGCCTTGGCCTTCAATGGCCTCGCAGAAGGATCCTTATCGTCGCTGGAAGCTTTGCCGATGCCGAAAGCTGCAGCTTGGCCGGAATCGGTGCGAGTCACCGTCGAAACTCTCTGCTTGGCGCTGGAAACTGGCAGAGAGGGCTTCGGAGCATGAAGCTTCAGATCGTTTGCAACATTCCGAGTTTGTGTAGGTGAGGTTCCAAGATCCTCTGGGGCTGCAAAGACCTCAGCGTATTCATTCCCCTCCTGGCCAATTGATGGCAGAGCAACACTCGAGGGACTGCGTTGCAGATCAGAGCTAGAGGCATTGGCACTTGAGCTGCTGTACACCGTCGATTTTGCTTGATTGCCGAGGTTTGCGAGGAAGGGGGTTTCGTTGAGGGGGGAACGCGCAAAGCTCTCTCGTTGGGGCGAGATGGAGCGGTCAAGACGCCGAATCGGTCGAGGAGGAATCTTTGGCAGCTCGCTGCCCAAAGAGAGCCCGCTCCCAGTGGTCTGGTCCTGAGTCCTAGTAGGACGAGGAGGAATTTGGGGCATCGCAGTCGACATCCTGTTGGTGATTTGATGTACGATAAAGTTGTTAAAATCGAGACTCTGAGGTTCTGGGCTCCTGTCAGTATTTCACTCCTGCCCCAAAAAGCCCGGAGCCAGTAACACAACAGTCCGACTTGCAGATTGTGGGGAAGACAACGGTTCGTCTCTGCGGTTGTGTGCTGTAAATCTAGTAAATTGACCTCTGCCAATGTGATCGACTCCCATGTGGCATGTTGGGAACGTGGTGAGACCTTGCCAATGAGTGCAGAGGGCTGACGAGCTGCAAGCAGCATTGATACCAGACCGCTCGGCTTAGTCTTTCTGACCCAACCCGTCTCAAAGAGGTGTGCATTGGGCAGCAGGGGACAATGGAACGAACATGCAAGGAGAACTCACGTTGTTGATGTGCGGTGAAGCTGGTTTCAAAAGTCGATCATCGAAGCTGTAGTTGTGTAGAGTACAAAGTTTGGAAGATGACAGCATGACATTCTGGTGGGATGCTTCTCGAGTGAGTGATATGAGGCGGCTTCCACCCTTCACCGCGCTAGTTAGTTCCAGAGAAACAAGGTCCCAAATCATTACGCCATGTCCGCTCACGGAACTCCCATAACCTTGCCGTCACGTCTTCGCTTTCACTTACTCTCGTCTTTCTGCAATGCACGCGATCGGTCCACCCAAAGACACGCGCATTAGAGGTAATGATTGGAGACAGCTTCACCTGCACATAATTGCCTGGACCTAATTCGCCGGGCTGCGCGATATTCTTGCAGGGGCAGGGGCAGGCAAGCAAAACCTCGAAGCCGCGCTCATGCCCCCACCAGGAATCCAGACTGACTCCACTGGCTCCACCAGCGGAGTGGCTCAGACGTCCCGACACGTCCAGCTCTTCGTGAGCTATTTTCTCAACACGATCAGCGGCAGCATACTAAACCCCTCAGCACTAAACAAGATCTTGATTGCTCTATCACGTTCTCATCACAGTTTGTCCGTGTTGCAGCATGCAAAAAGAGATCTGGGAAAATATCGGTGTTCCCGTCAAAGTAAAAGTCAAATCGTCATGTGCCTGAGAGGAGACTTGGATTAGCGGTAGCTAAAGTACGCCTTTCCCCGCAAAGGTCATGGGTTTTCCTAAACTGCCAATCATCGTAAGGAGGTAAGGTCCTAGAGATCGGTGGGACTCGTATCAAATGTTCCTCACGAGACGATCTAATCGAGGCAGCTAGAGCTCAAAGAGACTCATGACTTGGCGGTATCCCGACCCAGTCCCTCTTGCGTTCCTCGGGAAAGGTCCCGGGACAGACCGTCATTGTCCAACCAAATCACTGGGGCCAAAGATCCAGAGTGAAAGAACTGCAAGTTTGGATTGTACCTCGTAGGAAAACGAGATATAGAAGTACGGTAGTTGAAACTCCTCAACCTTTCTTGGAAAAGAAAACCCGTAATCCGGCCAGGCCAACCAGGTGCAAAATCCGGAACGCCAGGCCCTAAACTCAATGCTCTCCCCATTTTCTACCATCAAGCAATCCGCAATCATGTCCCTCAACTTCATTCGGCCGTCCAATGCAGCTTCCTCCATGCTTCAGTTCCTCCATGCCTCATTGCTACTCATCTCTCGGAGTTACTTAGATGATCATCTGTGCAACTCCTTGCCCACCAAGTGTCTTGCTTCCCACAAAGCCCTGCCCTTTTACTCCTGCCAAAGCGTAGAATGTACCAGCAAGCGTAAGCATAATCGCTGCGGCGATTAGACTTGTTGGGTCGGCAATTATACTAAGCCATTGGATGAGGCCCATGGCAAAGTAGATGCCGGCACGCATATAGTTCGTTGCGAATCGGCGCATGAAGGTATCGAATTTGGCGGAGGTAGGGCAGATGCGAAGGAGGAGAGGGATCTCGATGAAGATGATGATGAACGAGCTTGCGCTGGGAACCTTTAGCTTTGGCTCTTAGGCTGCAGAATGGATGACTTACAGGCAGAGAGCTCCGAAAAGGATCAAGATGCTAATGTGGAATAGATGCGATATGCCCAGGGCGAAGCAGAGGAAGATACATATTACTCCGGTCCTACCGTCAATCGTACTGTCAGCAGTCGTTTGTTGGCTTGTACGAGCTTCCAACATCATATCATCGGACCACCGCGCTTGCAGAAGACGCCTCCGTGATATCTCAGTGACGACTTCGAACTATAGAACTCAAGAATGAGGTGTATTGAATTCAGAGTCGCAGGTTCAAGTTCGATGTATCGAATAAGCTGTCTACTTACCATTGTCCGTAAATACCTGGGATATTCTGTTAGCCAACTAGACCTCTCCTTCGTCGCCCAGAGCAATCTTACTGAAATTCCTCGTGGCGAATTCCTCTGCGATCGTCATCTTTGCGTGTGTGTGATGGAATCAGCGGAAGTCGAAATGTGGGTCGAGGTTGAGAGGTTGATCAACAACAGCTCCAAAGCTTCAGCAAATGCGCAACGTGAGATCAGGCGGGGATGGTTTGAAGTGCGTATGTCACATAGACGAGGGTCGGAAGCGTCTAAGGTGGTTTTATGTTGGGAGGGCGATTGAAAAGCAGTGATTTTGTTGCTGTTCTCAAGAATTACGTGGTGTCTGGGGTTTTGGAGTCCGAGCCGTTGTCTGGCGCCACACGAACTCGTCGCTTGATGAGGCTGAGCACAGGCAGGCAACGAAAGGACAACCAAAACGTAACCTTGATTGGTGCAGGGCTTAATGAATTCAAATAATATATGTCGTTTGTCACTTCTACCTTGAACGGGACTTTACAATATTAGATTGTTGTCGGAAAATTTCCCTATCCGACAAATCACGTTTGCTGCTCTTGGGTACAAGAAGTTACTCCGGCTTCCAAGTCGTCTTTCGATTCTTTCCAGGCAGAAGCTCAAGATGAATAGGCAAACGCTCTAGAAGACACTTTGACGCGCAATGTGAAGAGTCCAGTCAGACTGCATTTTCAATAGCTGTTGACTGATGGGAGTCCCACTCGTGAGCTCGGCCCCGTAAATGGAAAAACTCGAAAATCCGTCCTCACGCTCTGGCTGTCCCATAATATCATCGCCATATCGTCTTTCCATTTGAAAGTCGACATAATGCTCGAAAAAGACAAAGCTATCCCGCGACTCCTATGTACCCAACCATAATTACAAGTGCAGCTCATCCGAATACCAACTTAAAGATGTCGTTGTAAATGAAATAGCTTCCTGCGCCGTCTGGGAGGAGTTGGAAGGCCTGGCTGTAGTTCATGGATCTCTCCTCCTCGTCGACCTAAGGAAATGAAGTCAGCTAGTGATTTCTTTGCCGAAGGAGTTCGATGTTGCGACGTACGAGAAGGGCACCGGTGACGAGAATCAAAATTCCGCCGTTCTCAGAAGGTTGTGCATCAAGAGTTGACACGGCATGTTTGACTTTCTCGAATGGGAGGCACTGGTGAAGGAAGCCTTCATTAGCAAGGCGTATTGTGAAGATTAGGATTACTCACCGAGAGTTTCTCGACAATCCCACCAACACCAGCAATCGAAGCGGACTCGAAGGTCAGCATAGAGTTCTCCCGCTGGCGGATGGTCAGAATCTGTATTACTTCCAAATGTAAGGGGCTTACGTAGAGCGGAGCCAACTGCTTCCTGTCGGCATCAAACTGGTGGTAGTAAAACTCGACGAATTGCTCTACTTGGAAATTAGTCTGGGTTTGACGCAAGAAAGAGGTAGCTTCGAGGAATCTTCAACGGCGGGCTCTCTTGATATAGGCATGCCGTGGGCTTTCGTGAATTTCAAATGGAGTGGTCCTACTCACTTGCGACATCTGCGAAGTCTGTAAAGGCCCGTTAGCAAATGCGCCAGCTTTAAATGGGATTTGGAATGAGAAGGAGCGGGGATGAATAATACTAATATAGGAGGAACGTTTCACATACTTGCCATCTTGCCGCCTGTATCTGTGATGTGTTCTTGAAAGTTTGTTCTTGTGGGGTTGGTAGGCTCCTTGCTCGATGTTGTTGTTCAACGACAACATGCATGGAGGGGTTGTAAATAAATGATCCAGATGGTGGAGGGTACCACGTGACCTTTACGCTAAGGTCGCCAGCGCGGTCAATTTTGCTCCAACTCCCGAAGCCCTCTTCTCAGAAAATTCCAACACATCCACCTTCAACTACACCATTGTCTGCCACGTCTGCCTCCGCAGAATATACAGTGCCTTGTTGTACAATTTGCTACAATACTGACTCCCACTGACAGCCCCAACTAAGGCCACAGGTCTTTTTGGTACGTTCTTCGTTTTCTCTCCTCAATACTCTTTACTCTGATGACAAAACCTTCCATTAAGAACGGCCAACTGAAACCTCATGTTGATTCTATTAATTTCAAGCTCAACAGTCTGATCTCACTTCAAACCACTGTCGCATTTTGTTCTTAAGTTTATTCGAGCTCTAGCTAATGCAAGACGACAGAACTGGAAAATCTACACAAATTTTGGCTCTCTCCGAAGAAATGAATCACGTTAGCATATATTGACTCCAGTGTCGGAACACGAAAGGCTATGGAGAGGGAATGAAATTCTGATTCAGTGGGCTGCTTTCCATGGAAACGCTGGGACTCCGGCAACCGTGACACTGCAAGGCAAATTATTGTTAAGAGCACTAGAACAAGACATCCTACTTCATTAAAGCACAGCGACGTGTCACAACAGCAGTTGTGGAAATTTTTCCAGTTGTGACGCCAACTTGTGATCTTGGCTGCGTGACTTGTACCGAGATTCACCTCTGAAATGACCCCGTCCGTGTGAAGCCGCAAGCCGCGTCTTTTTGTCTGGGTTCGCCAAACCAAACCTCATCAACCTCGTCCTTGGCCGAGCCCTTCCTTTGTCCCCCCGAAATGTTTGGCCAGCCTCTTTGAACACTCTCATTTGCCCTCGCACATCTTTCCAGAAGCTCGGGGATTCACAAGCCCACGCTGGGTTGCCACCGCAGGCGATCGAACAGTCGAATCAGGTTGGCGTTCGCTACTTTTTGATTCTGGTTTATCGCAACTCCAACGACTCGCCTTTAGAGCTTAGCACCCTGCAGCTCGCACATATTCGATTGCGCATACCATCTTGTAGCTCTACAGCTGCAGTCGCTACAGCAGGAAGCTGACGAGAAATGCCGTGCTTCAAGGGCATCGCCGTCAGCGTTCACGCTGAAGGCGCTCCGCTTCCAGAGTACTCCGTCCAGAAGCAATCCCGAGTCTCACGCGTCAACACCTACATACCAGTCCCGAAGCCCAAGATCCCGCAAGATCCAGCCTCGAACAAGCCAGAGCCCTCCAAGTTCGCCATCTCCATCACCCTCTTGACTCCTGGTCTCCCGGTCCCATATAGCGCACCCAAGGCGACGGCAGCCGACCCATACCCCACACCCCAGATTGTCGGAGCTCTTCCTGGCATAGGAGCCCAACGGGGTAACTATGTAGGGACTGTTGGGCCGTATATACCTATCACCAAGTCCGAGAACGAAACCATTGCTGCCTATATCTACTTTGATGGCAGAGCAAAGGAGGAAGTTGCTACACTACTTCGACCTGGGGAGGAGACGTGGGTGAACTCACGCTGGGTCCAGGTACCTGATTCCGAAGGTGGTGGACTCGCCGAGAGAGAATTCCTCTTCCGCGAAGTTGGTTTAGAGCGCTGGTTAAACGGCCTCGACCTGGACGGGCAGGATGCTGCAGCGAAGATTGAGAAGCGCAGACAAAAGTTTGAGAAGCGTCGTCGGCGTAGGAAGGAGGAGAAAGGAAGTGACGACGAGATCTCGAACCTGATGTCTCCTGGACGAAAGTCTGCTGGGCCAAGAGATGTCCTGCGATACGGCGATGATGAACGATCACCGGTCGAGAAGCTATCAGATGACGATGATGACTTCAGCTCCGACTCGGACGACGATGCACCACCGGAGGCCGCTGGACAGATCAAGGTTTCCATGTTCCGTGTTTTAGCGTCCGGGGAGATCAAGAGAGGCGAATATTCTCCACAATTCGATGCTCACGACGATGACGAGGAGGGCAGCAACAAGGAGGGTGGCAATGAGGAGGCAGACATTGATCATACCACCAGCTTTGCAAAGCCCAAGACCCTGGATCCAAAGTCGATCAGCACCCAAACCGTAACTGGGATTGATGGACCCGACAAGCCTTTCGCCGTCTTCACGTTCTTCTACAGGGGCGAGCGTGAGTTTCTTCCTTTTTCAATACATGACTTTTGCTAATAACCCACAAGGACAATTACAAAAGATGGGCATCCTGACATCAAAGTCAAAGGCCAACCCTAGTTCTTCCAAGAGACGATCAACGCAGCTAGACTTTTCTAACCTTGCTCCGTTAAAACCTGGTGGCACTGTTGGCTTCTCGTCATTCAGAGATAACGATCCATCCAGGCGAAACAAGTCCAGAAAGAAGAGCAATGGAAGCGCTCCGGGTGATATGATGGAAGATAGTGAAGAGGATGACGATGACGTGGAAATTGTTGGGAAGATGGAGGATGTTGAAGATAAAGATGTGAAGGCAATGTTGAGCCCGGAAGACGCAAAGTATTCAGGGGAATTAGCAGATGGAGTAGGTCGCATCAAGGAAAGTTTCTAGATTTGACTCTCGGATTGCATGCGCTGACTCTCAATACAGCTGAAACGTCAACATTCTGCGGAACCTCTGAATGCCAATTCTCGTCGGTCACCTGCGTCTGTTGGTAGTACCTCTGTTGGTGCAACTCCACCGGCAGACATTGACACAGCACCTTCGAAAGAAACACTGCCAAGCAACGTTTTCGGAGCCAGCTTACCAGACGATTCGGTTGTTGGCAGCCCTCTCAAGAAACATAGAGCAAGCCTGTATGATATGAACAACGAGACAATGCAGAAGCGATTAGGGTCTGGGTTCGGAAGCTCGCTGGGAGGAGACGTTGTAGCTGTAGCAGAGGCTGCTCAAACACCGTTGCCCCGTCCAGCACAGGCACCGACTGTCGAAATGGAAGAGGAGTTATGATGAAGAGTATATATCATTCCAGCAGACCCGGATTTGCATACAGGTGTCAGTCTTTTTTGCTATACTAGACTAAGCACGGAAATTGGAAAGCACGGGCATACTTGCTGGCACGATTGGCCTGGACGAAGGAGAGCTGTTAGTGGTATCACGTGCGCTAAATGCTACCAGCTTCGAGAGGTGTTGTAAGAATTTAAAATACCCAAACAGAAACACAATCGCCGCACATGACGGGGCTTAGTTATGAATGCAGAACCAATGGATCAGTCCTGAAAACCAAGCCTGAGACTTCTTTGCTGTACACCTGCTTCCAATTCTGTTTCTGGAAGGTGGGTTGCATTAAGCCTAGTGGCTGATGCCTAAATAGTTATCAATCAAGTGGAGTTGAACGCGGGGAACCTCATCTTGAAGATGACGACGTTCCCTGTACCTCTAACTGTCAGCACGGAGTTCCAATTCTTCCGTGGATATAAATTCTGAGCAGTTTCGTGGTGGTTGGCATCCTACCTGCAAGTTAATTCAAGTTTACGAACCAATTGAAGGAAGATGTTGCACACCAACTTCTCGTTGTTGCTACCCCTCCTTCTCTTCCCCCCCTTTGGCTCTGCAGCAGAACAAAAAGCCTTGAAGGGTGGGAAAGTTAGTCCTCTCAATGCGAAGTTCGAGAATTTAGTTCATGAGACGCTGGAACTGTGGCGTGTTCCTGGAGTAGCAGTAGGTGTCGTCGATGGGGATTTGGAATGGTCACAGGTGAGAATTTCAGAATTCATTTGTTGAATAGTTTTCCATTCGAGTAATGATTCTTAAGACGAGAACCACAAATTTATCCACCAGCTTTAACATTTAAGAAATCTATTCGTCTCTTTCGTCGATTCCAATCTTTGTCGTAGCTGTCGACTCATTGTACGTACTCCACAGCCCTCAACTGGGCGATTGAGGGAGCAACAAGTAGTCCGTCTGGACCTCAACATTAGTCTGTTTGAGCCAATCCAAGTTTTTGATAATTTCCATATCATCAATGCCTCACTTCCGTAGTCCCCGATCGCAAATTCTCCCAGCCATGCTCATCATTCAAACCAGGGATATGGCATAGCCACCTACCCTGACACAAAAGTGACACCTTCAACCCTTTTTTACGGTGGCAGCACGACAAAAGCCTTCACAGCAGCAGCAATGTCTCTTTTGGTGGACGATGATGCCAACTTCTCCAATGTCCAATGGAAAACGCCAATAGTCAAACTCATTCCAGATGACTTCATGCTCTCTGACGAGTATGCCACAGCTCACACCGCCATTGAGGATGCTCTCTCCCATCGATCTGGCTTGCCACGACATGATTACAGCTATGGCGGAAATTACGATGGCCAGAGACCCTCGTTAAAAGGAGCAGTGAGAGCTTTGAGGCATCTTCCTTTGACTGCAGAGCCGAGAACCAAGTTTCAGTATTGTAACCAGATGTATGGCGTTGCTTCTCATGTTATTGAGACATTGACGGGAAAGTGGCTTGGAGATGTGCTGAAAGAAAAAATTTGGGAACCGTTAGATATGAAAGCGACTGTGAGTTCATGTGAATTCATAATTTAACTAGCGTGTTGCTCACAAGTACTCCAGTACTTCTCAACCTCTGATGCTGAGAAAGCACCGGAACACCTTGCAGAAGGCTACGTCTACTACAAAGATGAATTTCAACCTGTCCGGGAGATGGACCTCACTTGCATCAGTGGAGCTGGCAGCATTGTCTCCAATGTTCTCGACTACTCCAAATGGCTTAAAGCTCTGCTGAGCACATCAGGGCCCATCTCAAAAGCTGGACACAAAGCCCTGAGAAGTCCCCATATATTCGAAGAGCGTAAAGAGGGGCCGACAGCTTTTACAGGCCCAATAGCCTACGCCCTAGGCTGGTCAACCGGAGTATATCATGGATACGAATTCTTCGAACATAGCGGAGGCATGATCGCTTATGGAACTGATGTTATTTTTTTCCCAGCGCTGAATTACGGTCTTGTAGCTTTTGCAAATACCGCGGTGACTTCAAACTGGGTAGAGCAGGCCCTTATTTGGCATCTTGTCGACGAACATCTAAATATTCCCAAGAAGGAGAGATATGACTGGAACAAAAAGTCAGGCCCCTCTTTCAGTGGTTCATGACATGGAAAAATTACTAACAGTCGTCCAGAAACCAAGCTCGAATGAAAAAGTCACACGACGAATACGAAAATATGTGGAAAGAAGTCTATCCAAACATACCTAGTCCGGCACTGTCTACCACACTTCCGCTTCAGAACTACACAGGCACGTATTTCCATCCTGGATACAACAATATCACACTGGAGCTCAAGAACGGGTCTCTTTATACATATCGACAAGATGCAACCTTGAAACTTGAGTTCAATTTGGAACATATTTCTGGAGATTATTTCATGGCTTATGCAGATTCTACTGAAGCACCTGGTTCTATATTCAAGGCAGCTGCTCCAGCTGAATTCAAGGTCAGCCCTGACGGCATATCCAAAACCTTCGGTCTTGCTGCGGAGCCCGAGATGGGGAAGGATGGGAGGATTTGGTTTGAGAGAACATAGAAGGAAAAGTACTTAAAAGTCGTTGGAGATGCTTGGATAGATGGTAGTCCAGAGTCTCGTATAATAATATCAGCCTTTCCTTCGTAAATTCAGTATATCAACGAGTTTAACCTCGCCCTTCCCACCCCATCCCGCAACCCCACTTTCTACATCAGGCCTCACTTGCACGTACCAACTCCAAGCTCTCCGATCAAGCTCTTCTGGGCTCAAATGATCTGCCCAAGAACTGAACAGTAGATCCAATGCTCCGAGCAGCAATCCTAAGTTCTCTTCTCTCTCCTTATCCAATGCGGCCCCGGATTTCTTCTTTTTCGAATCAGCAGCAGGAGGAGGCGAGCCAAAGGCCTTCAAAATATAGGATCTTGCAGAGCCAGGCTGGTATATCGGCATGCCTCCAGCTGTGCCACCAGTTACCGGAGCATCCGTTTTCCTCATAGCTTCCAAATCCAGCCCCCAAAGTGCCTCTAAACCTACAACTCCTGCTACTCTTAGTCTCTGGGATAAAGCATCTCGAGAGACCTGTGACATGATCCGCCACCGGTCCGGTCCGAGCATTATTCCTCCATACCATCGAGTTACCACGAGAAGGGCGTTTACGATGTCGTCTGCTTGCATCAAGCCAAGGATATGTCTCCCACCGCTAGACTCTCCATCGTCGTTGGAATCTTCTATGACCCGGTGATCGCCACTTACTCGCCACGCTGTGATGTTGTGACTGGCTTCTCTCAGTTCGGCGTTGCTTGCCATGAGCTTTTGCAATTCCGATCTCGCCTCAAAAGGAGAAGTAACAGTAATCGACCGTGCCACAAATGTCGATTTCTTGGACGTAACGCTCGCAGAAACCGTCCAGCCACTTGTCCCCTCAATCTTCGAAGGCTCTGTGGAACTGGAAGCCCTGGCCATCACCTGCGTGCTCTCCTCCTCACTCTGCTCCTTTTTCTCCTCAGGAGCCTCCCTCCATTCATACCCACTCCTCTTCAAAACACTAACCTCCCTCCCCATAACCCTAACCTTCGGCTGTCCCTTGCCCCAGCCCTCCTCATCAGCACCCTTTCCACTCTGCAACCCCAAGCTAACAGCCTTACTCCTACTATTCAAACTCACCACCGCCTGCCCAAGACTCAATTTGCTACTCAGCGGCTGCTCCGGCATTGTATAGCTTAGCAACCCCACCGCAAACGCCAACACAAGCGGTGCTCGATTCGTGTAAATCACTACCTCTTTCAGCTTCTCTTCATCATTTATCAACTCTGGGAGAGCTAAGGATGCTTCTAGCTCAGCAGGAGTTTGTGGTTCCTTCGATAATTCGTAGGTTGATTTCTGCTTCTTCGAGAAAGAGGAAAGAGATTCGGTGGCGGGGCGTTTTGAAGAGGACCCGGGCTTGAGAGATGCTTTGCAGGCGGAGAGGAGGGCTTTGGCAGCCTTTTCGTCGGAGATGGCGGTTGTTAGGGTGGGCAGATCTGATTCGGCGATTTGGGATATGCTGGGAAAATGTCAGAGAAGCAGTGGTGGGGTAGAGAAGTGGAAGCACCTCCGCAGATTGGCAGCTTGCAAAGCTTTGACGCGTCCCATTGCCGCCATCATGGGAACCTTATTGCGACCTGTCGTCAGCAGGCGAAGGAGATCTTGGACGTCTTTTTGAGTTGCCATTGTTTAGTTTGAAGTGTGAGGTTGATGAGCTCTCCTCTCGGGTCGGAATAGGCTGCAGGCCCAGGCTGCAGCTTCAGGGGTCCAAGCGAACTCTGGGGTAGCTTCTCAGCCTTGTGGGTGAGCCCCACCTTTACTGTACAAGTTCGACAATACTTTAGGCAATTCTAGTTATTTAGCTATTAAGAGCATCTGGGTATGGTCCAAAATCCATAGTTCTAGGTATAGTTTGGCCCTATTCCCCCCTCACACTCTTACATGGCTCAGCCTCGTCCTGTTTGTATTTACCGGTGATAACGGAGTTTATACCTTCAAGAAATACAAGCCAGAACTACACTTCTTCCTTCGACCAACTTTGCCTTTGAGATCCTGCAATTCAAATCAAGGATCAGTATGAAGTTCATACTCACCGGCTGCACAGGCTTCATTGGGAGTGAGGTTCTCTCACAATGTCTTCGAAACCCCACAATCACATCGGTCGTTGTACTGTCACGCCGCCAACTCCCTGATTCTGTTATCAATGACCCGAAATTGAATGTCGTGATCATGGAAGACTTTAACTCATATCCAGTGCCTGTCTTGAAGGAATTGGCGGGTGCTGATGCGTGTATTTGGTAGCACTTTCCTCTTCTCCTACCTCCCCTAGATTCTGGCTGATAACCGCAGGTGCATGGGAACTACTGTTGGAGATAAAGTCCTAGAAGTGGATTATCCACTTGCTTTCGGGAATGGATTCTCTAAAACTCTTGAGAAGAAGTTTCGGTACATTCATCTTAGTGGAGCGACAACTGAGAGAAACCAGGAGAAACCATTATGGTTCAAGGGAGAGATGAGGAAGACGAAGGCAAGAAAGCTCCTACAATGCTTCTCAACGCCTTACTAACGATCTGTGAAGGGACGAGCGGAAGAGAATATGCTCGGCTTCGCCACCAAGGAAGAAACGAAAGGTCCTTGGGAGACCTTAATCGTCAAGTCAGGTTTCGTGATATCGAAAGATATCAAGAGTCCACGGGATTTCATGGGATGGATGATGGGAACTAAATCTTGCTTACGAGTGGATGAACTGGCAGCAACAATGATAGACGCTGCTCTGAGTGGATGGAAGGAGAATACACTCCAAGATGTTCAGACAATGGGTGCAAGGGGACGAGAAATACTTTGCCGATCATAGCCCATAAATCTATTTTCCGTTCATGAGAAGCTATACACTTGAACTCCAAGAGCCCTCTATCCTACTTCTCCTCCTCTCATAATACGTGCACTAGTAGTCCGATGATGGGATCATAGCCCCCGAACGCCAATTTCAAGGTATTCGTTGTAAATTCCAATCCCTCAGGAATCACTTCTCCATTCGCTGCATTGCGAGAGAAAACCATGTCGCCCAAGGTCAACAAATTCGTCTGCTTGGTAGGAGGTCTCCATCCCTCAACATACGGAAGTCTCACCTGATCTAATTGTGATATAAGCAGCTCCTCTCCCCCAAGTTAACAGCACGACCCATCAAAGGAGACATGAACATATTCAACAGGAGCAGCCCCGTAAATGAGATCACCCATCACAGAAATATAAATGGCAGTCTCCTCATAAGAAAGGATAAACTGCTGCGGTGTATAAATGAACTTTGGACCCCGCTTCCCTTCTGTAATGACCCGATTATACCTATCAGATCAGCCACCTCCCCATTCTCGATCAAGGAGCAGCAGTGCAGCGCTCACTTCGCCTCAGCAGCAACCGGAATACTCGTAGCATTCATCCCGTCGTAATACGCCAAGGCCGATTTAAAAATCGTTCGGTTGAACGAATGATTTTCTCCATTATTCTCATAATTATCCGCCCGATTCAAGCTGGCATCATGCTCAATAGGGAAATTATGCTCATTCAGGTTGCCCAGGTCGAAGGAGGTAGAGGGGAGGTTCGCTGGGGCCGAGAGGAGGCCCGCTCCTCCTATGACTGTGGCGAAATCGGCTCCAACATTCATTCCATCGTTGAGGGCATTAATAAGAATGGGAATCGTAAGGATTTTGCCGTTATGTGAGATAAAACCGTGGCTCGTAAGAGAACTGAGGCCTGGACACGGGGACCGGACATCTCCTGGCCCTGGGGGAGACCAAGCGGAGAAGTTTTGAGCCGCGGAGAGGGGAAGGAGGAGAGAGAGAGCTGTTGAGTGTGGTAGAACCATCGTGACTTTATCAAATTCTCTCCTACATAACGAAACAGGAGAAAAAGGCACTTGATTCTTATGAAGAGAGTGATAGGAGACCCTATCTTAGTGGTATCCTACCTTCTCCTCCTTTTCCACATTATGTGTATTGTTGCTTAATTCACCTCGGCGCGTTTTTGGGGAACATTGACTACAGTACCGTCCGTAGCGTTACCTGTATTCTTATTAGGCTTGACGATCATCAAACCACAACCTCCATCGTCATTGCTACAATTAGACTTTCTTGCGGCAAATCAAGGAAGTAGCCTTCTAGTGGCTGCCTGATCCTGCAGAGCTAACAAAAGATCCCTCAAAGTCGAGGCTTCTCGAATATCTGCAGCATATTTCACGGGTCTAAGACCAGAATCAAGAGGTTGTCTTGGAAAATGTCCAGAAGGTCACAAACTCCGTTTTATGGTACATACAAAGAGCCGTCCCCGATGACAGCATTAAGCAAAACCATTTCCACGCCATATGTCTGTTTTACCCACGCCCCATGCCGCATTTTGCCCGCCCTCTCGCACCCTCGTACAAAGTGGCAGGCAGGGAAACATTATCATGTAGGATGCATTATTAGGAAATTTCTTTCGTGCCTTGCCCCACCTGTAGTGTTGCAAATCTCGCAAAAACCCGACCCATCGCTCGCTATGCAGAGAACAAATCCTTAGATCTAGGACAATGAGAGAACGCCGTTGTGTTTGATAGGTTATGTAACAAGTTGAAAACGGACCAATAACGTTGGTGTTTCCATGGGAGGAGTTGGGTATGATGGAGAGTAAGATGAACATTCAGATGTGAAGTGCATCTTAAAGGTGTTGTTCTTGATCTCGAAAAATCTTCTACACCGATTGTTGCTTTACATTGGACGCGCTGCCAATGCAGCGAAACGATCAACAACCTAAGGAAGCAAATTAGCACTAATTCGTGGGAAGAGTTTGGATGCCTTACCTCTGGTGATGCTTTGATAAAGGGCAGATCGAAGAACATGTATTTTTCGTTCTTGATAAGTTCCATGATAGTAACAATCAGACCCCAAGGGTGCGGCCACATGCCAACTAAGCGCTCCAACAAGATTCGAGTAATTTGTTGACGAATATCGGACTCCTCTGGATCAACGTTGTCGCTGCCAAAGATTTCCAGGAGAGCTTGGCTGAAGTAGTGCGTATGCGTGTTGGGAAATCGAAGCTGGTCAACGATACTATTGATGAAGAAATATCGTGCCTCTGGCTGAAGCTCATGAACGAGCATGGATAGCAGAGCAGCATCAGGAGACCCGCGAACGAAAGTTGGACCACCTTTCTGATTCGCTCTTTCGATTGAGTGCATACCTACATGCATGACTATGGACTGGATCAGCTTTTGATCAACGTTGATGGAAACAAAGCCAACACCAGATTGACGAATCTTGGATCGTTGGATCGCATGTGCAATGTGTGCAACCGCATCCTCTGACGGGCCGCTCTGCAGAGCTTGATCAAGGACATCGAACAATCCGATTTGTCGAAGTGGCCCCTCAACATCGTACACAATCTCGGGCGATTCTCGAATCTCCTCGATACGATCAATCTTCAAACCGGGTTGCATTGGATCTGCCATCTTCGAGTAGGGTGCCGGGTTGGCATGCAGTATGATATTGTGCATCTGCGTGCAGTGGCCCGGGATGTTGGCACAGAGCTTGGAATGATAAGCAGCCAAGAAGTCCGGGTAGTCGTGTTGCAAGATGACCAGAATCTTCATGACACCTCGATAGATCTCCTTGGTCACTTGTGCGACATGAAGTGGCTTCAGAAGCTCACCAACATAAAGCATCATGTTCTCCATTATGTCAGAGAAGGATTCCCATCCAGCCTGAGATGGGAGTCTCATCAGGGTAGGCAAGAAGTTTCGATGGGCGATCAAGGCCAACCAAGCAAACATAAAGCCCGGAAAGTAAGAAGGGCGAACGTCCAGAAGAATCTTTGCGAACACCAATATGATCTCCTGATGATCGGCTTCAGAAAGCTCATCTCCAGAATTGCCGATCTCTGAGAGCAGCATCGAAAATAATCGGAAGAACACCTTCTCGTTGAATTGCTCTCCTCGCATCACATGGTGATGATTAAGCACAAGAACGATCAGCGACATGATCGATTTGAGGAAGGCAGCTTTGTCAACCTTGACCTCACCTTCCTGCTCACGACGCTTAATGAGCATAACAATCAGCTTCGCTAGAGCGTCCGTGGGAATAAAGGCATCGTGGAGGCTACCATTATTCGAAACGTGCACCTCGAAACGTTCAACACTCGAGTCGATAGACAGTCGTAAGAACAAGCACAAGTCATCCCGGTTGTTGATGATTTGCTTGTTGTACATCTGGGAGATGAAATGTGACGCTGCCTTCTCTGAAGCGTTCGGATTGTTGCAGAGGTGAACCCACTCATCGAAAACATAGTCCATTTGGTCTTGGCGAGCAGCAAGGCGGTCATCAGTATTGCGGCCAGGCACTTGGCCCAAGCCAGAGCTGGTCAATTTTTGCTTCAGCTGTTGGCCAGCTTCCAGAGTGGGTTCCTCTTCGATCCACTTCCAAGCAGCCTCCAAGCTGCTCACGAGATCCGCATAGAGCGCGATAGGGCGATCGTTTAGTAGGACTGCGTCTACAAGTGATGAAAGGAACTGAAGCGACTCTTCCTTCTTGCCCAAAATGGCTTTCGAGGCCTCTGCATCAATTCTGCGCCAATCAATCATCTCAGCTTTGATCAATGAAGTAGCGACTGGCACGCGCAACAAATTCTCTCCTGGCTGGTGAGCGATGACAACAGCTACCCGGCTGGCAGTTCGACCTCCGATTCTGCAGATGTTCTCGAGAACGTGAACCAAGCACTCGATGACGAGGTCCTGTGCAGCACCACCAAATAAGATTTTGCAGATATGGTCAACGATCAAGATGTCAAAGGCTTCGGGTCCTTGGGCACTTCTGATGATCATACTGTACAAGTGGTCCAGAACGTCGAGGACAGGATGAGGCCGTGGCAGATCAAGATAATGCTGCTCGGGTGTTTCCGAAGCAACACGGGCCAGCTCCGCAAGGGCCTTCTCAACTCTGTCTCCGTATGCTCGGGGATCTGCAGGCAATGTAGATACTCTTCCATTGACCATTGAGGCGTTTGGCTGAGCGTATGCTGCTTGCTGAGGGTTGAGGTGTGGCATTGTAGCCGGCTCCGTGGAAGTTGGAAGGTGTGGCACCGAAGGGTACTGGTCCTGGAGGATGTCATTTGCCATAGATCTCGTGGCATCCGACCCTGATGCAACATGAGTGGTGCCACTCAGACTCGCCGCAACCCGCGGTGGGCGTGCAAATTCGTCGTAGATGGCCATTTGTTCTTGGTTGAGACCACTCATATTCGGCTGCAATTTGTACGGGTGTGGAATTGTCCACGACCAGCGGCTCAGGTGTGGGTCAACATAGGGTTCGTCTGGCCGGGTGATCCTGTGATGTCGACGGGCCTCCAATTCGCCTTCCATCATCTCTTCAATCTCAGGCACAGCACGCTCTTCGGCCTTTTTCTCAACTTGGCTGCAGGCGAGGTCCAAGTTCGAGTTAACGCACATTATGATAGTACCTTCTGGCAAACCCTGTGGTAATTCGCCAGATAAAGCCCGGATGTAGTTGGTCATGCTTGCTCGCAATGGTTCCTTGGAAGTCACCAATGCAAGGCTTCCGGCAGTCTTCTTTACCATATTGATCGCTGCAGATCGTACTCTGGCCTCATTGGGTTCAGTGGCGAAGTCCTTATGTATCATCTGACAAGTTGATATAGCTGCAATGGTGACAGAACGTTCCACGACCGGGGAAATGATCTCATGAACCGCTCGAGTAATTGCAGTTCTCACAATCTCTTGCAGACGAGCTTGATTGACCATGTCGTTTGCAGGAGGATACACCAGCATGGGGCCAAGATCAGGAATAGATGATGTGATTTCTTGAGGCGAGAATCGCCCGCTGGCAGCCCCACCACCCATACCATTCATTGACAAGTTGTCGAATCTGTCCATGACTTCGGCGGCCATCACATCAGTTGCCTCTTCAACGAGCGGAGCTCGTTCCAACGCTTCGTATGAGGGTTCGATGGTCTTGTGATCTAGCTCTAGCTCCCTGCAAAGCACCTCAATGTCGAATCTTTGGTTGAGCTTGATCTCGGCTTTTTCATAAAGTCCGATGAGATTTTTGATGATATCCATGACCCAAGGGTTGGGTGGCCTAAACACGGTTGATTTCTTGCCTTCCTCCAATACTTTGCAGACAAAGGGGATTACAATGATAAGTCGCTGGGTGTCGTAGCCTTCAGTGAGGAGTTGCTTGAACGCGATGTTCTTGTGCTTGATCGGCTTATCACGAGAAAGCGTGAGAGAACCCAGCCATGTTGCGAGGTTCTTCAGGTGTTGTCGATCGACGGTATTTTGCATGGTAGCCTCCGCGTTTAACATCTTGAACGTGCTGACATATGTTTCTCGAAGTACATCAGCCCACAGGGCCTTCTTGTTGAAAAGCTCAATCAGGCTGAGGTACAAGTCCTGGAAGTTTGGCTGCATCTTGGCTCGCTCCCTGACGAGATGACCTGCAAACCACTGCTGGCTGTTGTCATCCACAAAGTCTTTCAGTTCAATGAACTTAGTCTTAAGATTATCGGAGGTGATGTTGTTCAAGACGAACTGAATCTTGTCCTGGGTATCTTCACTGGGGGCCTCCGTTTCGAATCGAGGGGGTTCCACATGCAATGACCTGAAAGGTGGAGCAGTTGGTTCAGGAGCTATCATGTCGTCGATGTTGCCGTTCGTGATACCTGATCCTCCATTTAGACGGGGCTCATCATCCTGTTGATTGCGGACGACGTCCTCTGCCTTGTTCCAGGCCTCTGTTCCTTGCAGTCCCGGAATTGCCAACAACTGCTTGCAAAATCCTGGCCATTCTCTGAGTCGGGAAAAGAGCTGCATAAGTGCCTGGAGGCCGAATTTGTACATGGATTCCTCCGGAGGGTGGTCTCGGACAGCTTCGAGAATCATGCCAAGACCAATCTCCAGTGATAAGCCTGAGATGAGCTTTTGGGAGATGATGCCTCCAAACAGAACAGCTGTGGTCGCTAACGCCTCCAGGGGATATGTGCCATAGAGAATATATTCGTCGAAGAGCCCATGGATCATACAGGCGAAGACATCTTGATCGGCCGGATCGCGTGAATGCTTATAGCGATCGAGGGCTTCGACAACGGTTTTGACCGGGACGTCATCACTGTACATGCGTTTGTAATGTTCCTCCATCTTGTTGTTTGCTTCCGGAGGCAATGAATTCTTGTCCCTGCCATTGGCATCAATGATATCGTCGAATTCATCTCCATAGTTGATAAGACGAGGATATGCGGTGATGCATGAGCGTTGGACCACAATTAACTCCTGTGACGGCGACTTGGGTAAGATTTCCTCTAGAATCTCTAGGAGAGAAGCTATAGTCTTTACAGGGAGCATGACGCTGTGCAGTCGGCCTTGTCGTTGGAATTCCAGCTCATGTTGTGCTTTGATGTTGAGGAAGGTTAAGAGGGAGTTGGCAAGCTCTTGTCTTCGTGGCAATAGGATTTCTGCCCACTTCCCCAAATCCAAGAACCCACGAGCGTTCGCTACAGCCGCTAGATCAAGTCCGAATCCATTACACATGGAGACCAGTTCATCCAGCCATGAATGCCTGAGCGCATGGTCAAGGATAGTAGGTAGCTCCAGGGGTGCTTTGGCATGCGCCTCCACTAGACGCTGTGCAACCCATGCCTTGTCTTTGCGCCACAGGCTTTCAAGTACAAAGTCGTAATTGGGATCGTACTTGTACAAGAAACGGTCAAACAGGTTGTTGATTGTGTCGATTGCCAGATCAGGCCAAGGCTTTGCAACAGCAAAAGCTGAGACCAAGAAAATGTCGAGATTTGGTACGACAACCTCTTGGAAGAGTCTCTTTGCTTCTATAGTATCCGAGGCGGTTGGTTCATGTAAAGCAACATGGAACATGGCCGATAATGCTTCCACTGATACCAAGGGATGTCTCACTGCTTGAGCGGCACGGGCTTGAGTCTCAGGGTCTGAACCAACATAGTCATCCAGAACGAACGAGGGTTGCAGTCCAGGAATAGTTGTCGCATCAAGCTCTTCAGGGGTGAGAGATGCAAAGGCGCTGATAAAAGACAGTTGTGTCTCAGAATTCTGCCAGTTCCCGCCCCACATATGCTGGATGTCGAGAACTTCATCAGCTGCCAGTGGTCGAAGCGCTTCATACAAGGTGAGAAATTGCTGGTTTGTGATTCTAAAATCCGGCTGGTCAAAGTACGCAATCACTCTCTGCCAATTGAAGTCTGGCGCAACTTCCTGGCGCAAGCTGTTGACCAATGTTGACGTCGAGAATTTGATGGTCTGACTGATCGCTGTGTAAACCAGTGCAGCCGAAACCTGTTCTTCATCGATTCTCATGATTGACATGGCAGTGCGCAGACGATCTCGGCATGTCTCGATATCCGCTGTGAATGAGGGCCCCATTCTTTGAATATACAAAGTAAGGAGATTGTTGTCACTGAGGCTGTGTAATAAGTATAGCGATGTAAGAACTTCAGTTGGCTGCGTCATATCCTGTTCAGCATTTGCGTATCGGTACTGTGTAGCCATTATAAGATCGTGCTTTGCTTGTTGATCGAAATTAGGAGGATGTTCTTGGATGAACCTATCGAGAATCGCAGCAAGAAAGGCAGGTGTGAGATCGGCGTGTTCGGGGGTATGCTGTGCGATTGATTGTAAGAAGGGGGCGAAGTTGGCGGATAGAATGGCATCGGCTTTGATACGTTAGCAGGAGTCGAAAGCAATACTGTGGGGTTAAGAAAGCGAGCCAAGGGAGACAACATACCTTTTGTCTTTAAATCTGACCTGGAGGTGGTCTTGAATGCCAAAGCTAGAATTGTCTTCTCGAGCGCGTCTAGCTTGAAATGCTCCATGAATGTTGAGAGGTCGAAATCCCTAAATAGTTCCTCATTTGCCGTCTCGATGGACTCTGCAATTTTCCCAGCCTGGTCAACATCGTGAGATACCTTGCGCACTTCGGATACGAGTATCTGATAGTTGCCAGGATTGGCTACCGAACGGTTGAGACCAGGGAATATCTGAGGAGCATTGCCAACCACGAGACGGCTGAAGTATTTTTGAAATACTTCCATGCCGTGTTCATCGATCAGCTAGAACGGACAACAATTAGCTTCCCAAACATCAGACAATAACGCCGAGACACTACCTTTCTGAGCTGCTCAGCTTGTTGTTCCCACTTTGTGCGATCCTTATCTTCCTTGATGGTGCTGAGCAGGAGGTAGACTTGCGCGACGACGATTTTGGCGAGTGAGTTTGATCCTGTCGGACTGTTTGTATTTGGACTCGCGCCAGCACTAAATGTACTGTGATGGGAGCCGTGCGGTGAATGGCTTACGCCTGTCACGATGGTTTGTTGCGCTGGCGAAGGTGTGAAAGCTCCCCCTCTTGGGTTGACCATCGAAGATGCTGGCGTTCTTGCGCAGACCCACTCCCGCAGAGCTATCTCTCGATCCCTAAAGACGAAAGAAGTTCTACCGGGGAGGTATGGACATTGATGAAAGGTGTGCGGAGGTCGAAGGGGTGGTATAGGGAGTCGGGGCAAGGAGGTTCGCGATAGAAGGATAGAAGACGTGTGAGCGCAGTGCAGTCGAAGCAAAGCGCTTGAGCCGCCGCTAAACTCAATAGGGACGGTACTACACGTGATTAACAGTTGTCAATCTTTAGGTACCGCCAAAGTTATTTTACAAGCCTTTGTCTCTCTTCGAAGACCTTCGGCTTGCTGCATTTATTGATTACAATTCAGCTGGGCTGTGAATGTTGGGATCGCTGCCATTGATTCAGCAGGGAAAGAAGGCTGGAATGAATCGCTGTTACCTGCTGGATTTATCAAAGGAGGAATTATAATTTATGAATCATTATAAGTTCAGTTGTTGTGAGTCCACTACGATCTCTAGCTAGATTTACAGCCTAGCGATTAATGGTACTGAGATTGTTGTTCTGGTTGTGGAAGTTTGAAGAATGCTCGTAGACAACCCTCTCGTTACTCGGAGTTTCAGATGAGCTTAACCATTCCATCGGAAACAGAAATCAGAGGTCAATCCCAACATGCCAATTCTTGTTGACTTTCTCATAGCAATGCGGTTACTGGGGGCTCCAATACTCGTATACTTTGACCTGGCTTGCGATGCGAAGTCCTGAATGATGCAGGAGAGCACAGAGATTGCAGACCCCTATTTCAACACCGATGACGGACGAGCAACAAAAGCAACCCAGTTGAGAAACGTTGACAGAAAAGTACACTCAGCCATTGATGTGATGTCGGATTCGACCTTTGAAGCTTAATGATTCACTCATTGGAGATCGTGCAAGCGCTGGAAATGAGTGAGGCTACCAATGTTCAGAATTTGGCAGTGCATGGTTCCCCTTTTGTCAATATCCTCATTGGAGCGGAAGATTGTATGGCGAGAATTGGATTCTGAATGTTCAGGGATTCGCTGAACAACGCAAAGCAGCAGGTCGTCAATGGATTATCTTGAATTGAAGATCGTAGTTGCAGCATCAAGACTAGAAGTTTGCTGTAATCTTACATTGTATTTCGATCACTTTCAATACCCAGGATGGAATTGAAAACCGAGATCTTCAAGATTCAGCACGTCCACTGAAACCCACGATGTTGTTGATCTGTGGCTGTTGGCATAGAATCTTGCTTTCCGGCGCTGATTGACATTTAGATGGCTTAATCCGGCGCACGGGGGTCGATTCATCGTCGAGAAAAGATGAGGCTTCCGTGGACTCCATGCTTGTGACCGTCTTCTTCATCAGCTGGTGAGTTGTGTTGATCATGCTGGGCACGACTATTGGTGTGGTCATGTTGACGCTGGTCTCGACAAAAGGCGGGGGTGGTGAACAGGTCGCCATGGCAACGCACCTGAGAAGTAGCAAAACAATCCGCTCGCCTGGACATCCCTGACTTATACCAGCCTCTTCATTCCTTACCACCGACTCCAAGCAGTTTGGATTCTCACACTTCGTCTTAATCTCTCCGGTACAGCATTCCAGCCCAGGAATTCCGTCTCTATCCTTCGGTGAACGCGTCTTCACCTGCTCGCGATCCGTGAATAAACCAGGTAAACGTGGGCATCATGCCTGGGACTGTGTCGGACGGCCCTTCTGTGGCATTGAGCTTTGCCAATAACTTCTGGGGAAAAGACGACGCGGGAGTTGAGCCTCTTCTGCAGCGCATGCTCAATGCGAAGCAGACATCCGACGAGTTGAAGTCGTTCTACACGGGTACAAACACTTCGGTGTCTCTGCTGCCAATTCTTGGAGATGTTGCTGACGATGTTCCATAGCTCGTGCCGCCATCGAAGACGAATATGCTCGTAAATTACTGTCATTATCACGTAAGCCCTTGGGGTCTCAAGAGACCGGTACGCTACGCGCTTCACTCGATGTCCTACGAGGGGAGGTCGAGCAGATGGGCAAGTCACATCAGAATATCGCAGGTCAAATGAAGACAGAACTCGAAGAGCCGCTGGCGGCGTTTGCTGGTGCTATGAAAGAGCGTAGGAAAATTGTTCAGGGTGGTATTGAAAAGCTATTGAAGGTCAAGGTTGGGCAGACACAGCAGGTTAATAAGGTAGGGCTTGTCCACTTCATTCAGAAACTCTTACTTACGACGTATACCAGACGCGGGACAGATACGAGCAAGAATGTCTAAAAATAAAGGGCTATCTGGCACAAGGACACATGGTCATGGGACAAGAGGAACGCAAGAACAAGGCCAAGCTCGAGAAGACTCAAATCAACCTTGCGACATCAAACACCGAATACGAGAATGCGGTCAAGATCCTCGAGGAGACAACGGGCAGATGGAATAGGGACTGGAAGGCTGCGGCAGACAAATTCCAAGATCTCGAGGAAGAGCGCCTGGATTTCATGAAGAGCAGTCTTTGGAGTTTTGCCAACATAGCCTCGACGGTTTGTGTCAGTGATGATGCGTCTTGTGAGAAGGTTCGACTATCACTCGAGAACTGCGAGGTGGAAAAGGATATCGTTAGATTCATCAAAGAACGGGGCACTGGTCAGGAGATACCAGATCCGCCGAAGTACATCAACTTCTGTCGGGGTGATGTTAGCGACACACAGTCTGAGGCATCCGAAGACGACAGTTACTCAGTCGCCCAATTTCAGCGAACGATAAACCCCGCCTATAGAAGCTCATCACCTCAACCTTCAACATACGAATCCCATCATGATGCACAAGCCTCCCTGGCACGAGATCTTGGTCACGATCTGGGCACCCCTCCCAGCCGCGAGGCTACCATAACTCCCCAAAAGCTGGTGACAGATAGGGGCAAACCACCACAGCTAGACTATCAGCCTCAACCAAGCAGGCTCGGCTACGATCAATCTCAGCATGGGCCACTGGCAGCTGTTCCTCACGACCCTTATCCAATGGATGGGATGACTATGCTATGTCGAACGGGTCCTCCTTCAGAAAGAAGTTCGGCTCATAGTCCTGCCAGACCCTCCAGCCGAGATTCACAGAGCGAGTATTCCAACCCCACTTCGTTCTCAAGCCAGGAGCCACCCAGCGGCAAGACCTCTCCAGTGAAGCAACCGGCCCCCCCTGCTGAGAGAAACCTATTGAAGAAAAAGAGTGGGTTTTTCCAAAGTCACAGCCCGTTTAGACGCAAGAGCAACAAGGAAAAGGATAATTCAACAGTAATGACATCGTCAAATCGAAATACATGGTCTGCCAGCCGTACGAATAATAGCCAAATTACGCCCTCTCGACGGGATCAGACGTACGGTCAGGAGTCTCGCAATATGATCACGGGTAGGGCAACAGGCAGTCCCGAGCCAATTGATCCTAACGCCAACTATCAACTTAACGTCGGGAACAATGTATTCGACGTGGCAACCCCGGACAGAAAGAGCAAGGCTGCCCAGAACAAGGCAGCTCAGCAAGAGGACGATGCCGATCCTATTGCCCAAGCTTTGGCAGAATTGAAGGGTGTCACCAAGGCCTCCTCATCTCGAATGTCCGCAGATAACTATCATGGTATCTCGACTCCTGCCCCTGGAGCAACGCCAAACTCTCGACCAGGAGGAGCTCAAATGGCAAACGGTGCTTTGATAGCAGGTATGCGAGGCACACCACCTCCATCTTACGACCAGCCAGTGCAACGACTTGGACTTCCTCAACCAGCTTTCACCTCAAAAGCAATGCAACAAACAAGGCAGAAATATGTTGACCAGACTCAAAACATGTTCAACTCCCAAGGACGCTCTGATTCTCAAGCTGGATACGGATCTGGGTCACAATCTCGCCCGGGTACTCGAGGAAACGATATGCCACGGGCAGCCTCCCCGGCTCCTCCACGCAGTGCCTCCCCACGCCCCGGAATGCAGGTAGATACAAGGCAAGCATACCGCTCAGCTTCCCCGAATCCATATGGTGGTAGTCAGCGCCGTCCTCATTCAGAGTCGCCTCAAAAGCGTGGTTCTGATCTCGGCTACTATCGACACACCTCTCCAAATGATGTTGCTCGTGCTGTTTCCCCAGCTCCCTTCCGTGATCAAGATCGGCCAGGCAGTAGCCATGTTAATAACGATATGTCGATGCAGCTGGCTCCAGGTCCCGATGAAGGTTATGGATCGAAAGGACGTGCCAATAGTCGAGCGGGAAATGCCAGGCCTATGAGCCACTATGGTGGTCAAGATGGAAGTGGTGGGGCTTCCAGACAAAGAAGCAAGAGCGTTGCGGAGGTGAGACAGTTCAACAGGGAAGGGCGTCCTATTCTGCATTTTGGTAAGTTTCTCGGCTTTCGTCGTAGAGAATACGCTGACCTTCTGTAGCTCGTGCACTTTATATGTATCAGGCGGCCATCCCCGAGGAACTGAGCTTTGCGAAAGGAGATATCCTTGCAGTGTTGCGGCACCAAGATGATGGATGGTGGGAGGCAGAAGTCGCTGGGAAGAATGGTAGACCGGGCCTGGTGCCAAGCAATTATCTTCAGAACTGCTAATAATTTGGAAAGCGAGTGGGCCTTTGGAAGCACATCTGTGTGTTTATAAATTGTTCGAGTTGATACTTTGCGTAAATGGATGGCCAGCATGAGATTTGTTTCGAGTAGGATATGAACTTCAGCATTGCAAATAAATGAGACAAGAGTGAAGAGCAAGGAATGAAATTCAAGTTTATGCTGAAAAAATTGATTGAACAAACAATGATGAAGACTCGTGAAAGGAGCTGAGGGTCCTAACCGTGGCTGGGATATTTTGAGTGATGGGACGAATTTCATCCCATATTTAAATATCAAAAGCAGCTGAAGTCCTCCTTTTCAAAAGAAACCGATGTGAATATCGCCAGGGTATCCTTTCTCGAGAAGTGGTGAAGGCTGCCAGAGACATGTGATCAGCCTCGCCCAACGGCATTCCGTTCAAGCTTCACCTCCAGCCAACAGCTCCGGCTACAACAGCCAGAACCACAACGTGCAGTCCCTGCCGCTCTCGGCAGCGCTGTGACTGAAATATGGTAAGGTCAATCCTATCTTATATTGGAAAGCGAATGCTAAATCTGAATCCAGGATCTCATTCTCACGCCTGTCCGAGTCGCGACCTCCAAGCCAGCGCGGCAGACATATCTCAACACGGTCCTATTCATGATCACATCCACGATTCTTCTGGGACTTGCGATGTTTGCGTACATTCTCTTCTATCTCAACTACGTGCCGCAGATAGGGATTGAGCGAGTTATCCATTTGCAATACGGGTAGGAGATTCCTGCTTCACCAATGACAACTGCTGATGTTTTGATTTGAAAGAGACGGACCAAATCCATACGGTATCGCAGCTCTCGACTCCTCCCTGGTTTCTCAACAGCCATACGATATAATTGTCTCCTTGAACGTCCCGCGCTCCCCACCGAATCTTGCACAAGGGAACTTCATGCTTTCCCTCTCCCTCCTCCCCCCGACCTACAAGCCCACACTCCCAGTATCCCCCACCTCAATCATAAAGCGCACAAGCACTGTCTCCCCAGAAGACGTGTTGTTTTACTCTCGACGTCCAGCAATCCTAACATACACATCCCGCCTCGTCTCCCTCTCCGAACGTCTTCTATCCCTCCCGTTATATATCCTCCGCCTGCGCCAGGAATCCGAGGTCCTACACATACCAATGACCGAATCCCAATCTTTCAGCAAAGGATGGAAGAACGTCCCAGGTTTCGTGATGCTAGAACTACAAGCCGGACAGGAAGTACAGGTCTACGATGTGCGAGTCCTATTCACAGCCCGATTCGGAGGAATAAGATGGTTAATGTATAACCATCGGATCCTCTCATTCCTCATCTTCACCTCCGCATTCTGGTTCTCAGAAATCCTGTTCACATTGCTAGGATGGCTTACCATTCGATATATCTTCTCGCCGAAAACAGAAGTCAAGACGGAGTTGGTGAAAACGGAGGAAACAGATGCTAGTCAGGTCGAAGCCGAAGGCGAGGAAGAAACAGATGAACTTGATCTTTCAGATACCCCGAGGACGTTCCCGACTTATGGGAGACAGGCACCGCTGAGATATGTGCCGAAGGTGAAGGAAGAGGAGAGTGAGGAGTTTATTATGGATGAGACGGCTATTCAGCCTCTGGCTGCGGAGGCAGATGATGAGGATGAGGAGATGGAGGCGTATAGAGGTGGCAGGGACTCTGGGGTGGGAACCAGTTTTAGTGAGGGGGCTGAGAGGAGTGGGTTGGCGAGGAGGAGGTCGAGGGGTGCGAAATAAGGAGTCAGAGACTTATGATGCCCAAGTGCATTGGAACGATTCAAAATTTGCTCGGAAGTTAGGTTTGCAACTCTGAAGATACAAGTTCGGGTAAGCCCCTGATTCTTCCTGCTTAACTCTTTGCTATTCCCTCTTGCTCTTGAGTCCAGTGGAAAGGAGTAACTAGAGGGAACATTACTCAAGAGAAACTATCTTGGCTTTTAGCAAAATGGCTGCTCTAACTATTCCAAAGATCTAAAAGGTCCTTCTGCTTTCACAGTCAGATCTGACAAAAAGCATGGCAACAACAATTCAAAGACAAACCCTTTAGTTTTGCTTGAAATGTTTGTTGGCCTGTGGCTTCACCCCTTGGGATGACCTTACTTAAAAAAATTCACTGTTTTGTGAAGTTCATCCCATGAGGTGCTTTCTAGGGCATTCCATGCGATGGGGTCATCGGATGGCATGGAATGGGAAGGCATGCCATGGCATTGTTGAGGAGCATCGGACGCGTTTGTAATGTATATGATTGGATGGCATCCCATCCCTTGAAGGCAGCTTGTCAAGGCAAGGCATGCGATCAGGAGTCATTAAGTGAATGACTTGACATGGCATGGCTTGAGATGAGCGTATCATTGGATGACATGGATTTCATGGCTTGCTTTAGACTTAACTAGTATCTCATTACCGTCGAATGTTTGATCTTGTTCAATGCCTGTTTTAGCTGTGTCGTACACTTATTGGACCCTTTAATAACCTCCGTCCCCACTTATCTGCTAAGCCCTTATCCACACAACCCATTTCCCACTCCCATCGCTTCCATAATCTCTTCCATCCAAAGCATCTGCTCCAGCATCCGCGCCCTCACGTCCCCCTACTCTCTCCACAGCTCCATAATCTCCTGTATGCGTTCCAAAGGCGCACTACGGGCTTTGCGTCACGAGCCTGACTCTGTTCACCACTTCCACATTCCTCTCGATAGGCATCTTTAACTCCGTCTTCTCGGCCTCGCTGTTCTGCGTTAGGAGTATCCCACGCCTCTCTCAGTTTCTGCGGACCTGCTGCGCGTGCTCGATGAGCGTGTTCTCGGTCTGGGAGTCCACTTCTCTCGGGTAAAGGGGCCGGTTTGGTTTCTTTCCTCGAGAGCCTCCACGTGACTGCCGCCGTTGTTGCGGATTTTGCTGGTGGGAGCCTTGCTGGTGGGAGCTTTGCTGTTGTGAGTTTTGTTGTTGTGAGCTTTGCGGTCGGGAACTTTGTTGTTGGTTTTGCTGGTGAGAACTTCGCGACTGGGCCCTTGGCTTCGCACTACAGTCATCTTGCGACCGCTGTTGTGAAATCTGCGGTTGAGGCTGTGGTTTTGCAGCGTTCATCAAGGTCTCGTATGCGTTATTTATCTAATCCCATACATCAGCGTATTTCCCGAAGTCGGATCTTACCATATGAGAAGGAAGAAGGGGTAGACAAACTAGTTTGAACCTCTCTCCTGATCTCTTGCTTCCTCTGTTCCTGTCTGGGTGGTGCAGGAGGGCAAGCCGTTTGTATGCGCTCTTGATTTCTAACTCGGTACACCCGTTAGTGAGGCCGAGCAGTTCGTAACAGCCCCCCAAACTTGCGGAAGGCATTTTGAAGGCTTTGCTAGTGTATTGGGTATCGGGCTTCGATTTTTATTGCGTTAAGGATCTGAAGGAGTGTTTGGAATTATAAGAATGGAAGAGAATGAAATTCTCTGAGCGAGGAATTCAGTTTTGAATACATGGCCGATTCGAACTTGAACAGGAAGATACTTTCTTTGTTGGGCTCGCGCTTTTGGAAATTCTCCCAGTTCAGACCTCGATGCGCTAGTCTAATTGGTTGAAGCACATTGAATATCTATAGCAGAAGAATATAGTTGAGAATAATAGAGGTCTTCTAAACATATTGCGAATTGATTTCATTTTCGGAGTGAGTGAAGACGTCAGCGGGGGGGTTGGCTGGCATAGGTGGTACGCTTATCTCCCCTTTTCCAGACTCTTGGTTGTGCCATCGCGAAATGACCCCACAACTTGTTTGGCAGGTGACATCCCGTCCTTTGAAGAAGCGATATTCGTGGCATGGTATGGTGTGGGCTCACGGGATGGCTTGGCGTCGCAAGGCTTGCTGCAGACTTTGAACAGTTCCTGATGCCTTCGGGTTGACTCTTCCTGAACGTCTCCTCGTGTGTACCAGCTTTCCAAAGTCTCAGCCAACCCAGCACACTTCCACATTCACCAGTTATTCAATATTCAACTTTCTATTACGCCTCACTTCAGTATTTCAAAGATTCCCAGTACAATGAATTATTTCCTGTCCCTAAAACTTCCCCTGCAATGTCATCTGATCATCAGATGAAAACACTTTTCATCCTACATACGGAACAGGGAATATCTTTTGCACGTAGGTCATTCATCCCGAGACACTCCTTTGTATATAGTATTCACGGCATGGTACGTAAATAGTGTCTCATGGCGTGAAGGAAGCCTAAGTGCTCAATTCACCTAATCCCTTCCCCAAGGAGCGAGAGAATGGTATTTGATGAGACGGTAGCCTTGAGTCTTTTTGATTAGACAGGAATTCATTTTGAATCCGTCTTGTGCCCTCCACAGCAGGCCATGGATTCTATCACATTTGATGCCATGGAACGCATCTCATGGGATCCTCCTTTACAAGAAGAGAATTTAAATAGACCTCAGGCACGGGATTCCATGCCGTGAAAGTGCACGTCACGTGCAACAAAGATCTTGACGAGGACCGGCAATTGCAGTAGTAAAAGAGTTGTGCTTGATGGGAGTTTCTCTCACCTATTTTTGTAATGATATCCGACCAAAGAGGAGTTCGGCCTTTGATTTAGCAGAATGCTGAATTCTGAAAGGAGAACGACTGGAATGGACTCGAACCCCCAAGTCTTTCTTCAGATTAAAAAGACATTTTGAGTCATCTTGAAGTGCAGAGTTTTGATAGAAGGAATTTAGAGTAAAAGGCGCAATTAGGAAGGCTGAGGAACTATGGATGAGGCTGCGGCAAGGGGGACCGAATCCTGCCTTAGCCTGAATCCTAAGGATTCTCAGCCCTGGAAGTTAGGTTGCGTTCCAGCTCGGCATGTAACTAGCACACAAGCCAAGTTCCAGAAGCTTTTCTCGACTCTGCACACTTGTTTGCCTTGAAAATTCCGACTGGATCGTGAGGATGGCGTGAATACGAGGACAACCCCGGCATGCAAGATAGATATCGTATCGGGCAATGAGCTGAGACTACTCGGCGATTCAGTATCTAGTATTGCGTGGTTGGCATGCAACTATCACAACCCTAATGGATCAGGCTGCACAGATCCCATCCATCGTGTTCTTTCTGCGGTTGGCGTGACGATCCTCAATCCCTCGGTCCTGTGGTTCAGCCTCATCGGGTCCAGAAAACGGATTGACATGTGATGACGACAAGCGCTTCGACGCGGCCCAAACAACAGCAATGAGGGTCCCGTTTCGCGGAATGTCGCAAACTGAATCGCGTCACTGGTTTGAGGTTTATGGCAGAAGGCGGGGTGAGCAACTTCTGATTGATGAGATGAGGGGCAGGCGGCTCGGAAAATTGGTGAGCGAGGGCTGATAGGGGGGATGAAGAAGGCCAGATAAGGAAGATGAAGCTGACCGCAGCCCTTGGCGTTGCTCGGTGAGCAAGGGCAAGCAAGGGCCTCGATTATTGTCGCGACTCGCAACTCCACGATTCATGTTCTCGAAGACTCGAAGCCATCGCGCCATCGCGCCATCGCAACGGACTGATCGCCTTCGTGAATTTTCCTCGCGTTCCGCCTTTGTTCCTTTTTGTGGTCCTCGTCGCTTTGTGCTTTGTGCTTTTTCCCAGAAGGATCCGATCGATAACTGTGATTAATTGTGGCTTCCAGGCAGCCCTTTCGGCCCCTCACATAATTCTCGCACAAGAATATGTCGCGGCTGGGATGGCACACCCCTGTCTCGCACGCCGCCCGCAATTGGGCAGCACTGTGGTGACTCACTGTTCATCTATGCATTACCATACGCTGCGGAGCAATACGTTGTATGCAGCATCACATATCGCCTCAGCCTTCTCCTGAATGCGCTCGGTGTCGAACTGTCGCAGAGGTGTATCGCAAGCCTTGGGAGACAGAGGTCCGAAGTCCCTAATAAGGGATGAACGGGATCGAGAGACAAAGGACCTGGCAGCCTGGTGTCTTCGACGGTCGTTTTCGGGGAGCCCTTCTCGTGCCGGCTTTTGTCGGTCGGTCGGACTCTTTTTTTTTGGTGGTGTGTTTGGTGGGCTGTGCCACTGTGGCGACGCCACATCTGCGATGGATGATGAATGAGCGCAGCTCCGGCCGTGGAATCTAGAGGTTTACGCCAGCGGTTTCTTGGTTTCTTTCTTTCTTTCTTCGCGTCGTCGCATCCACATCGTGGCCGAGTCGAAGAAACATCGTGCGTTGAGGGGCGACATGGCGACATTGCGACATGGCGATAAGTGATGCGAAGAAGACTGGGAAGTTTGCTCACAGGTCAAAGCCCCCGAGCCTCGAGCCTCAAGGGTGCCCGTTCTTAACTTCTTATCAGGCAGGACCCGCCCGGGTTCTCCTTTTCCTTCACCCCCTGGTTGCGCGGCCTTGCACTGAAACCCCAGGGGCCCGCCAATGCGCTGCCGTGATTGGCCCAAACACCGTCGAAAGCGCGCTAAGAACGCTCTCTGGCTCCAAAGTTTACGCTAGTGCGGCCTTCGTTGCTGCCTGCGCGCCTCGCGAGGCAGCAAATTCCTTATATATATACAGCCGCCCGCCCCTTCCAATTTCGAACCCTTTTTGCGACATCCGGGTTAGTCATCATAACCAACAAAACCCACAACTTCTTCCATTTCCCTCCTCCACTCCGTCTTCACCGTCTCCGCCGCAACAGCGCACAGATCATAGTGCCCTGTTCAATACATTCATTGATCCAGGTGAACTGCGCGACCAAGATTCGGTCGGCTTGGAGTGTCTTTGTGCCTTTGCGATCGCGATCCGGTTCGCCTTCAGCTTCGTCGCAAAAGAGTCATCGGAGGTCCCACAATAGCGTTTCTATTACAATACATAATACTGTCCCCGTCGTTGTCGGTCGCGATCAATAGATCGGATCCGCGTCGCTTTTCTTCTCTCGTCGAGCAGCGGCTACTGTAGGGGAGACATTGAGTTGTTCTTCTCCCGCAAACGGTACGACCTCATCCTCTCTCGACCCAGCGAACAAAGCCCGCAACCCTTTGACACTCTTCCACCTCCTCATACTTCGACTTCGAGTCGCGATCAAAAGCTTCCTCGATTGTCATCCTCAAGATATCCATCTGACATCAGTCCTCCCATAGACCTGCTCTCTACTCGCGATCTACTCTCACAAGAAGCGCATAACTTCTTCAAGATGGATCAAATACAAACCCACCCGTCCAACGCCGCCCAGGCAAAGACCTTCATCGCTCCCGGCTCCCTTTCATTCCCAGGTGGCGCTGGCGAACTGACTCCTCCATCGTCCGAGGCTGATAAGCAAAATGGTCAGAGGAACGGGCAGATGAATGGAGGTCAACAGCAGGGTGCTCAAGGCCAGAACGGCAATGGGGTGACTCCCGCGACACCTGCTGCAACACCTGGTGCTACGCAGGGCGTGAGTGGTATTGTTCCGACCTTGCAGTATGTATACCCCTTCCGCCTCAGTCTTGATACATGAGGCTTATCTTGCATGTAAAGAAACATCGTTGCCACGGTCAATCTCGATTGCCGCTTGGATCTCAAGACGATCGCCCTGCATGCGAGGAACGCTGAATATAACCCAAAGGTACTTGCTGACTCTAGGCTTCAACTTCTCCTTTGTTCTTGCTAACCTTCCCAGCGTTTTGCGGCTGTCATCATGCGTATTCGTGAACCTAAGACGACTGCTTTAATCTTCGCCTCAGGCAAGATGGTCGTGACCGGCGCAAAGTCAGAGGACGATTCGAAGCTTGCATCACGAAAGTATGCTCGCATCATTCAAAAGCTCGGCTTCAACGCAAAGTTCACGGACTTCAAGATCCAGAACATCGTCGGCTCCTGTGACATCAAGTTCCCTATCCGTTTGGAGGGTCTTGCATCACGCCATCACAATTTCAGCTCTTACGAGCCTGAGTTGTTCCCTGGTCTCATCTACCGTATGATCAAGCCTAAGATTGTGCTCCTGATCTTCGTTAGCGGTAAGATTGTCTTGACTGGCGCAAAGGTTAGAGAGGAGATTTACCAGGCCTTTGAAATGATCTACCCGGTGCTCCAAGGTATGCTGTACCAGTCTAGTCTGCTTGTCCTTATACTAACACCTTTCAAGACTTCAAGAAAGTCTGATCTTGTTACCAAGGTCTGCATTAGCGGTCGATCATTCAACCCACCCACACCGCGATGTACCAACATCTCCACACCCAACTTGTACAAGTATTGTCGATTACGATTTCACGAACCCTTTCAAAAGCTTTGGCACTTGGTTGGCGCATCCCCAGAACCGACTTGACACCTCATCACGTCTTGCGGTAGCCACCATCTGCCCTCGTTGTCTCTGCATTGCATCGGCGTACACGGAAGAGTCGAAGACGGCTCACATTTGGTCTTTAGCATGCTTGTCTTTTTCCACCCAAGAACATAGATTGCACACCCATTCGATCGATGGCATGTGCGCAGGTCGAAGATGCCGTCCCTAATTGACTTCGGACTGATCGCAGAGTTAATTTGCTCGTTGGTCACAAACACATTTCTTCTGAACGCTTCCAGGTGGGGGAAGAGCTTCAGGGGATACCAGGCGGAATTTTCATAGGCAGTACGGACAAACGGTTGATCGTCTTACTGGCCTCTCTTTATTGTGTCGTGGTGGCAGGTCGGTGCCTTGATTTGCAGACTGGTCTGTTTAGTAGTGGATGGATATCTGCGAACGGAGGCTCAGGACATGCACAGGCTGTCACGGAATTTGCTCTTTCATACAGATAGACTAATTCAAGCACGATAGACTATGTCTTCTTCTATATTCTGTGTTGTGATTGTAACTTGGTCGTTCCTCACAACTTGTGAGTGCCATTCTAATCTCCAAGCCTGATATCCGTCTCCTTATTTACAACTTACTCCCCTTCCTCAACTCCTCATCAAGCACCATCCCCGGTCTACCGCCCCGTGACCCATCCTCCGTAACAACCTTGTCAACCTTCTCCTCCCGCCACTTCCACTTCCCCCTCAGCTCCCTTTCCACGCCCTCCCACCCCCCATGTTTCCCTTCTACAACATCCACAATCCTCTCCCCAATAACCGGCAAAAACTTATATCCGTGCCCAGAGCCTCCCGTCGCTAAAAACAACCCCTCGTGTTCGGGGTGATAGTCAATTAAGAAGTCTCCGGAGGGCGTGTCGGTGTACCAACAGATCTTACTCTTGCTAAACTTCCTCTCGCCCAACTCAGGGATCATCTCCCGTAGCGCTTGACGGCAGGCGAGTTCGCCTTCGCGCGGGACCCAGAGCTGCTTATCATCCAGAGCGGTTCTCGGGACACTGACTTCGATCCTCTCTCCCGAAGAGGATGGGGACGGGGACGGGGACGGGTGAGGAATTGAAACCGGATTGGCGTATCCGTAGCTGTGGCGAGCTATCTTTAAGACGCGGTTCTTGGGAGGGATGATGAACATCCCCGTACTCATGTTAAGCAAAACCGGCATTTTCCCTAGGCGTTCCTGCTCCTGCTCTGTTAAGTCGAGGTAGCAAAGAACCTGTCCTGTAGCCGTAGCGCGGCCGCGGAGGTCGATGAGTTTCCCTGTCCAAGCGCCTGTTGCGACGATGGTGAACTCTGCTTTTAGGGTGGAGCCGTCTTTGAGAGTGGCGCCGAGGACCTTGTTCCCGTTTTTAAGAAGGGAAGTTGCTTCGCCGACGACAAAGGAGATGCGGTTTGTAGCTTCAGCGCGTCGACGCATCCACTTCATTCCCTCTTCTGCGTCTGCCCACCCAGAGGACGTGTTGACGTATCCCCAATCTCCTGAGCCCCCACCGGTCCCAACAGCTTCGTCGATCTCTTTCCGATTCTTCAATTCCCGTATTGTACCCTCCCCTTCCTGCCCTGAGATCTTTCTCACGTTTTCGAGACTTTCTTGCACGTATCTCTCTCCTTGTCGCCCCTTGTCTGCTACGAGCACCAACCCGCATTCTGAATATCGTCCTTCTCCTCCGAGCTCAGAAGGGCCTTGTTGGCGCCAGAGGGATTGCGCGGAGGCAGCGAGAGAGGCGTAGGAAGGGTCGCTATAGTCGGCACGGATTATCCGTGAGGTGTCGATGGAGGAACCGTCTGGTGAGGGGAAGGGACTGCGGTCTAAGAGTGTTATGCGGGTGTTGGTGAAACAGGGGCGAGCTGTGAGGGCGAGGGCAGTGGAGAGGCCGAAGGCGCCGGAGCCGAGGATGAGAATTGATGTGGGATGGGAGGGGGGAGACATTGGGCTATTAATGGGGTGTAGATTTGGGGGAAAGGGGTAGTAGGGTGGGGGGGAAGTAAGGAGAGGAATTAGGGATGAATACTTTGGGGAGGGAGAGAGATTAGAGGAGATAAAGAGAATATATAGAAGAAGTACTAACAGGAAATGGATTGAAGAGAATGAACTAACACTGTACCTGAGAGTGGGGGTGATCAGTGTTGTGCTGGTGTACATGTTAAGTGGGGTTGTCGTTGAGAAGGCGTTCTGGTCTGTGCTCAAGCCTGACCAGTGGGCTGGGGCGAGATTGAGGCCGATGACGAGCTCTTCCCCTTACATCCCTTTTAAAAGAAAGAGGGATGTCCTTAGGTTTCGTAGGATAATGTCAAAGTACACTTCAAAGTTAAGCTAAATTCTGACGGTAACCCAAAGTACTTCAGGGGCACAACATCTCAGTCAGGAAAATGCTCCAAAGTCTCCGAAACGGTCTAACTCTCCCGAACCAATAGAATAATTGGATTGCCTCCAGGAACTACAAGTTCAGAATTTCTGCCTTGTCGCTGCTGACTGTATCTGAAATATAAGAGGATCGAAATTTCCATCATGGCTTCAGACTATTGTCGACGTATCGAAATCCCCGGTTTTCGCTACTGCTTTAGACAAGATGGAAGTCACTCTCAGCCCCGCCGATGCCACAGATCTCCCCATTCTTGCAGAGATAAATCGACTTGTATATATGCGAGAGGCAATCTCCATGATCGCCTTCAAAAATTGGCCGGCTGAAACGAACATGTTCAACTTTTTCCAGTCAAGGATAAAGCAGCTTATGGAAACTCCCAATGCGCATATTTTCAAGGCGACTAGCAAAACGGGGGAGATCGTAGGGTTTATATCTTGCACTCTTGCACATGAGAAGGATGGTGTGGAAGCTGGTGTGGAAGCTGGCGTGAAAGCACCTGCTCCTGATCCCAATGGTCCGACTTCGAAAGCCATGGGACAGATGGAAGATATTTTCAATATGGAGTTCATCAAGGGCTGGGCCCCTGTGATGGAGTCTATGAAAGACCTCATAAACGGTATGAAACATTATTGTGAGCCTTCCAGACTGGGTGTTATCTACTTTTCTGATCAGTTTAGACTTGTCGACTTTTGTGGTGACACCAGAATATCAAGGCAAAGGCATTGGATCGAAGCTACTGAGACGCTGCCTTGAGATTGCTGATAAAGATGGCTTGCCAACTTGGCTGAGTGCTTTACCTGGCTCTCATAATCTGTATCTCAGGTTCGGCTTTGTGGATGTAGAGCACAAAGATGTTGATCTCAACAAGTGGGATCATCATAGATTCAGGGGATTCGGTATATATCGACAACATTCCATGATGCGGCAACCAAAATAGTGACAGGAAGGTCCTGAGGTTGCTGGGATGGCTAGTGAGCATTGTACGTACAGACTTGACTCTGAGTGTTGCCTACTGTATTCGAGGGAACAACAAGAAAGCATATGTAGTCAGCAACTCCTAGCCAACAAGGACAACCGGTTGAATGCACTGGGAAGCCTGAAGGCCCCTCTTGCAACTGCGCAGCTTGTCTTGTCCTTTTCTACTGCTGCTTCTTACCTTCGAGCCTACTTGACTCTTGAAGGATTGCAAGCATCGAAGGTGCTCCAAACTACACCAAATGATAACCCAAGAAAAGATGCAGCGTCATCATGAAGTAAATAAACCATATTCAGAACCAGAAAGTCCATTCGGTCGACCTGGATGGCCCTGAATCCGCTGGGACGCTACGCTATCCAATGAGAGGCAGCCGGAGAGAAGACTTGCAGTTTGAATCTGGAATGATACTCCAATAGATAGGTGTAAACATATCGCCCGTTTTCAGCTCAAATGGGAAATGCAGATGATGAAAAAGGTGGTTGGTTGAGGCGGGATGAAGCGGAATTGAAGCCGAGAAGAAATCCAATCGCGACGACACGACATCCAGTTCGCAACTTCCAGCACCGCACAACGCCATTCCCTCCACCAACTAATTCCGTTTTCCAACCCCCCAACGACCTGCGAGAATGTGAAGATCTAGCAACATGTCTGACAGAAAAATCGCCGAGTTCCCTGACGTCGAAAACAAGCTCCAAGCACCTACCAAAAAATCCCAATTCGAGCGCCAGAAAGCGGAGGCAGAAGCCAAGCGTCTGCGAGAAGAGGCAGAGACCAAGGCTGTCTATGAGGACTTTATAAAGAGTTTCGATGATGATGAGGATGAAGAACCACCTTCCGCAGGGTTTGGAAGGGATGATGGAGGCAGCAAGTTTGGTGGGTTCGGCGGCGCGCCGCCCAGGCGACAATATGGCAGTGGACAAGGACTCGGTGTCCCAACTGGTCCTGCATCTGGAAGAGGCTTTGGGGGAGGCTTTGGTGGTGCGCAGGATAGAGATAGGGATAGAGGGCGATTTGGTAGTGGGCCGGGGAGTTTAGGACCGCCTCCTCCAAGTTTGGCAAAGAAGAGGACATACGATGGGTTTCAGCAGAGAGACAGGAGGGAGGACAGAGGTTTATTGGCTTTCGATGATTATGAGCCAGAAGAGATGGCACTAAAGCGGACGCTGAACCATGATGATGACGAATATGAGAGGGGTCAAGGGAAAGAGGAAGAGAGAGCGGCTCCCAAGCCGACATTGCGACTTGCTTCATTGCCACCCGGCACCTCACCTGCTGGTATCAAGGCACTGTTGCCGTCGAATTTGGCAGTTGATGCTATCAGGATATTGCCACCTTCTGGGCCAGGCGTGTATTCCGAGAGGAAATCTATGTCTGCGATTGTCACTCTGGCGAAGGACACACCTGCGAATGAAATTGACGCAGCAGTCAACGGATTGCAGCACAAATATTTGGGATATGGATACTATCTCAATCTTCACCGTCACCTTTCCTCGGCAGCTATATCGAGCTCTGCCAGTGTGCCGACACTGGGAAGCTCAATGCTACAGCACCCTTTCGGCGCAAAGCCGGTAGATGTTGCAGGAGCTGGCCGAGGACATGCCCCCCCTACTCACCAGCGAGGCTTCGCACCACCATCTTCATATGCTCCTTCAGGTCCAGGGCAGATGAGGCAAAGTGGGCCATTACTCCATGTTCCCGTTCAGCCGCCGAGAGATATCAAGGAACTGAAGCTTATTCACAAAGTCATTGAATCACTTCTTACACACGGCCCTGAGTTCGAGGCTCTTCTTATGAGTCGGCCAGACGTTCAGCGTGAAGAGAAGTGGGCATGGCTATGGGATCCAAGAAGTACAGGTGGTGTCTGGTATCGTTGGCGCTTATGGGAGGTGCTGACAGGCTCACAAACACGTCGAGGGCAGGGCAAGTACTTGCCACTCTTTGAGGGATCCTCAGCATGGAAGTCGCCAGATCAGCCATTAACGTTCGAGTATACTACTCGACTTGATGAATTCGTTTCAGATTCGGAATACAATTCTTCAGACGAAGATGACTCTGGAGATGAGGGAGCAAGACGACAACATCTCGGAGGGGCAGCGCTTCTGGATCCAAATGCATTGGCAGACGATGGAAAAGCCTATCTCAATCCGCTCGAGAAGGCGAAATTAACGCATCTCCTAGCTCGGCTCCCTACCACAACAGGAAAGCTGCGTAAAGGCGACGTGGCTCGCGTCACAGCGTTTGCAATCTCCCATGCTGGACGAGGTGCAGATGAAGTTGTGGCCATGATACTTTCGAATATTGAGAAGCCATTCGCGTACAGTTCTGCCAACCCTGACCGCAAGAAAGAAAATAACACCAGCGGAGACGATGGTCCCGCTGAGGATGAAGGAGAATCTGATACAAGCGCTGCGAGCTTAATAGGCGTCTTCTTAATCAGCGATATCTTATCGTCTTCCTCTACCAGTGGAGTGAGACATGCCTGGCGCTACAGACAACTCTTCGAAGCCGCATTGAAACAAAGACACGTTTTCGAGGGCCTCGGTAGAATGGAACGAAAGATGAACTGGGGGAAACTAAGAGCCGAGAAGTGGAAGAGAAGCGTCGGTAATATCTTGAGTCTGTGGGAAGGGTGGTGTGTCTTCCCACAGGAAAGCCAGGAATGGTTTGTAAACGTCTTCAACAACCCACCCTTGACGGCTAAAGAGGAGATTGATCTGAAGAGGAGAGAAGCGGAAGAACAGGCAGAGAAGGGGAAGAGTCGCTGGAAGACCGTCGAGGTTGCTTCGAAGGAGCACGTTGAGAATACTGCGGAAGTTGAGGAAGAGGGTGTGGACGGCGAGCCAATGGCGGAAGATGCAGATGTTGATGGAGAGCCTATGGCTGAGGATGAGGATGTGGATGGTGAGCCGATGGAAGAGGATTTCGATGGAGAGCCTATGGATGAGGATAATGAGGCTTCGGCACCTCCAGCTCCTGCATCGCCTGAACCACCACCTAAGGAGGAAGTCAAACCTGCGCCTGTAGTGAAAGCAGATACTGCGCCGGTCGGGCAGATCCGAAGACGGCCGAGAGCCGTGGACATGTTTGCCGATTCTGATGATGAGGATACTTAAATACTTCAAAATTAATATCAGCAAGGATTTTGAAGAACATCCTCTGCTTTATCTATGTTCAAATTACTCTACGCTCCTTTTTTCCAGTAAAAGGCAAAGTCCACTCCAGCAGCCATTCTCGGGATGGCACCAAACACCTCGATACGCAGCACGGAATGACATGTTCTCGCCGCATCAAACAGTGGAAATGGGAAGGAATAAACCTTGAGAAAGAACAACAAGCTTGACGAAGAATTTCATTTCGTCATAGTAAGACTTCTAAATATCGAATGAAGGCGGGACGGGACATTCAAGCTGTTCGCACTGTCCGAGCGGCGATTTTCAAGCACTCACTAAAATTTCAGTCACTACTGGACTTTCAGAATTCCCTCAGTGTTTTAAGAATGAATTTTATACACCGAAACAATTTAAATATATCCCCTCGGTCGATCTTGAAGCCGCATTCGTCTTTTTCTCCAAGCAGCCCGACCTCAAGCCTTCACCTCAACACCGACCACTTTATAATTTGTCGATATCCTAAACAGTAGCTATTTAGTTCTTTGATGCTTTGGCTGCCTTGGCGACTTTGGCTGCGATTTGAGCTTCTGTTGAATGAATGATTAGTATTTGTTCTTGGGTTTGGGGATGGGAGGGAAGCTTGCCCGTGTGGTGGCGGGCTGTCCGATCACGGGCTGCTGCTGCTGCTTTTGCTTTCTTGACCTATTTAAGAAGTTAGTTTTGTTCATCGTGGAGTTTTCATGACTGCTTACCGCAATTTGTGCTTCTAACAAAGGGCGTTAGCATTGGCCAGGCTTTGGAGCTGCGATCAGGGAAGCGTACCAGAGTGGTGGCGGGCTATCAGCTCCGGTAGATCATGAGTGGCAGCAGCCTTTGCTTCTTTGCTTCTAGGGAGATTGGTCTTGATTGATGTAAACTCCATTGCAAGCGACTCACGGAAATCTGGGCCTCTTTTGCAGGATTCATCAGTATTTGTTTGATTCATGAAGTGTGAGATGGAGACTAACCGGTGTGGTGGCGAGCTTCGAGGAGATCATCATCTTGGACCATCAGAGACGCAAGGTTGGCATTCCCTCCCTTGGAAAGCTCGGTATTGGCTTGAAACTATGGGATTAAGGGCGAGTAACGGAAGACTCACGACATATCTTCACTCCAATCCAGATCCGCCACGGGCGTCAAAAGCAGCAAAAGAGGGGTGGCCAAAAGGGCCAGGGCCATGAGCATAGTGCTAGAGGTACACATTTTGAAAGTAAAAGTTGGTACTGACCAGCAGCTAAAGGCCACACGGGGGAGAAATAAGAGAACAAAGACTCGAAGCCAGAGTTGATTGGTGAGAATAGATGGCGAGAGGAGAGTTGTGGTGTGAGCAAGAATGAGATCTTTTATACTCGGCTGTTAAACTTTAACCAAGCTTTTCCAGAAGTAGGATCTCCTGTCTCAAGTGAAGCAATAAAATACCAAGCATTTTCCGCGGGGCTTGGGGCAACTGACGGAGATTCAAACTTGCATTAACTTCCTCCGAGCACACAAAATTAGGACTCAGTATGTGAAGAATCTGGAGATAGAAGCCATCGGGTACAAAGGTACCTCGCTGTGGAGCATACATGAGCACTCCGAGGAAAGGGATGGAATAGGGCTTGGGCAACAAAACATTCGTGCCCTAACCTGAACCGCAGACCAAGACATGAATCAGATGAGTCGGGTATCAATCGATGTCTGAGTCCACGAAACGATGCTAAGCTGGCAAGATAGATAAGATAGCACTCCAGGGTACGTTGCCGAAGATCAATGCCGGATCGGGTGGTCTCCGAACTTCTCTGTCAAGCTGTGCAGTCAACTTCCACCGAAAAGGGGCACAATCACGTGTCACCGTCTTCAGATTGGAGGACTTGATTTGCAAGCTTCGATTCGAGATCATAGGAGAAATGAGTACGACTTAATCCGACCAACGGCCAAGATATAAGATCTTGCCAGCCTTGTGAGGTCATCTATCACGAGTAATTTCTCAGCATCCTCTGGAGCGTTGGTGCCTACCCCGCGCCAAAGTTACCCCACCCCACTCGCCCGAGTTACACCCGATGGCGACCCTTTCGACATCATATAATAATCCAACTCCATCACAAAGACGAACTTCTCAGTTCAAACTATTGAACAGAAGATATCAACATGGTACCTAAACTACCATTTGAAGTGAGCTCGCGAATTCTTAACCCAAAGGGACCCCCCACTGACAGAACACAGGTCAAGAACCCTTCTCTCTTCAAGGACAAGTCACTTGTTGGTGGTGAATGGGTTGAAGCTGGATCCGGGAAGAGATTCGATGTCATTGGTAAGACGACCTTAATCTCAATCTCGGTGCAAATCCTCATTCTTCTTTCTCTAGACCCGGGATCGGATAAAGTTTGGGCCTCAGCTCCAGACAACGCAGCCGAAGATGTCGACGCGGCAGTCAACGCAGCTCACCAGGCTTTCCAGACTTACAAAAAGGTCAACCCACGAACCAGAGCCCAATGGCTCTTGAAGTGGGATGCTCTGATCCGTGAGAACAGAGATGATATTGCTCATATTGTCACTTATGAGACTGGCAAGCCTCTTGCTGAGTCCCAGGGAGAATTGGACTACGCTCTTGGATTTACTTGGTGGTTTGCCGGCGAGGCGGAGAGGATCACAGGAACGATCCAGACCCCTTCCGCTCCAGGAAGAAGAGTCTTCACTGTGAAGCAGCCCATTGGTGTCGCTGCAGCTCTTGTGCCGTGGAACTTCCCCATCGCGTGAGTGGATTCAAATATCATAAGAGATTTAGCTGACAAGGGCAGTATGATTTTACGAAAAGCTGGAGCCGCTCTTGCCGCTGGTTGCACCATGATTGTGAAACCATCTCCTGAGACTCCACTTTCCGTCCTGGCTTTGGCAGAGCTCGCTATGCAGGCCGGATTTCCAAAGGGAGTTTTCAGCGTCCTAACAACAAGTCTTGAAAACACTCCACCTTTGAGTGAAACTCTTTGCCGCCATCCATTGATCAAGAAAGTTACATTTACTGGATCTGTTTGTCTACTTTTCTTATCTCACTGAGTACAAAACTGACATTGTCTAGACTCGTGTTGGCAAGTTAGTCGCAAAGTTGTGCTCAGATGGCTTGAAGAAGGTCACGCTTGAACTCGGAGGAAATTGCCCCTTCTTGATCTTCGACGATGCAGACCTGAATCAAGCAGCCGATGGCAAGTGCTCCGCAATGCCCCTGAAAACTCAGCTAACAAAAATGTAGCACTAATGGCTCTTAAATGGCGACACGCCGGTCAGGCTTGTATTACAGCCAACCGTGTTTATGTTCAAAAAGGAGTCTACGATAAGTTTGCCGAAATCTTGACACAGAAGACCTCGAAATTGGTTGTTGGTCATGGTGCTGAGAAGGGAACTACCATGGGGCCAGTGACTACACCACGAAGTCTTGATAAAGCTCTCAACCAGGTTGAAGATGCTAAGAAGTACGGTGGTCAAGTCATCCTTGGTGGTGGGAAGATCATTGGCAAGACTGGATACTTCTTCGAGCCAACAATTATCTTGGGAGCCAAGAAGGAGATGTTGATCACATCGGAGGAGACTTTTGCCCCTGTCTTGGCACTCTACTCGTTTGACACCGAGGAGGAAGCTGTAACAGCTGCTAATAACACCAGCGTGAGTATCTCTGCCTCTCATTTGAGATTTAACTAATGTAATGTAGATGGGATTGGCTTCATACTACTTTACTAAAAACATCGACCGAACCTGGAGGCTTTTGGAAAACCTCGAGGCCGGAATGATCGGTATGAATACTGGTAAGTATTTGAACGCCGAACTTTAAAAGACACCAAAACTAATTAACATAGGCAATGCCTCCGCCGCCGAATCGCCATTCGGAGGTATCAAAGAATCAGGTTATGGAAAGGAGTCTGGAAAAGATGTTGCCATCAACGAGTATCTGATCACGAAGACTGGTACTTTGACACTTGATGGCCATTTCTAACTGCTAGTATCTAAGTACATGAACGAATAATCGCTTCCCTCACAAAAAGAAAATACCTTCAATTCTTGCATCCATTCACCTGTCTTCTGAATGACGTACAGCCAACACTACCGACCTCGGGAAACCGAAACAAATATCTGACGCCGCACGCCGACCTACATTAAATTTAGAATCAACCCGTAAAAGCAACACCTTCTTGCGAACCTCGGCATTAATAAGCCAGGCTCCCTTGCAAACAAGATGAGCAAACCTCCCACAATACTACGATACGATTGGGCTAGATGAACGGCCCGTTTCCCCGCATCTCCGCTTTAAATGATCCTCGGCAGGCAAGAACCCCACGGCGAGTAGTTAGTCCGCATCCGCTCAGGTTTGCTTTGCTGATCTGCTGTTAATCACAAAAGGTTTCATAATTAAATACTTGGCATGTGTCTTCGATTTCGATTTCTTCCTCTTGTCAACCGTTAATCAAATAATATGTCTGCATCGAAGATAAGCCCCTTATCAACCCTCTCGGCGCCCCTCCGCCTCGCGCTCTTTGACGCCCGCGTTACGGCCCCCCTCCTCGTCGCTCTTCTCTACTACCCCGAGAAACTTCGAGAGCTCTTGCCCGAGAGAGTACATCCTCTCATCACCTCACGAGCCGTAATCCGCACTCTCTCCATTCTCCTCGGACTGAGTATCCTGCGAGGTGTGAATGGGAAGCTGAGTCAATGGAGCGCGAATAACTGGAAGAAAGATGCGAAGTTCGTGAAGAGTCAGGAGCTGATTCTGATTTCGGGGGGTACCAGTGGGATTGGGAAGTTGATGGCTGAGGACTTTGCGAGGAGAGGGGTGAAAGTTGTTATCTTGGATTTGAATCCGCCGAAGGCTGCTTTGCGTAAGTTCTCCCTTTTCTCTAGTTGAAGGGAGTGCTGATAATGTGAATGAAGCATCGGGGATACATTTCTACCAATGCGATGTCACGAGCTCGGAGAGAATTGCGGCGACTGCAGCTCAGATCCGCAGGGAACATGGTCATCCAACTGTCTTGATCAACAATGCTGGGATTGGTACCGGGCTTCCTATCCTCGACAGCACGGAGCAGATTATCCAGAAGACGTTCGAGGTCAACACTATCTCGCATTTCTGGATGGTGAGGGAGTTCCTCCCGGCGATGATCAAGAGGAACCATGGTCATGTGGTGACTATTGCGAGTATGGCGTCGTTTATGTGCGCTTCAAATATCGTGGACTATGGTTGCACGAAAGCGAGTGCGCTGGCTTTCCATGAGGGCTTGCATCAGGAATTGAGGGCGAGATATAATGCCCCGAATGTCCGGACAACGTGAGTTCCTCCTAGACTATCGAGAAACGGAAAGCACCTGCTAACAATAAGTGTAGGGTTGTCAATCCAACTTGGATTCGCACCCCGCTGATTGAACCTCTGACTTCGCATCCGAAGTTCACCGACAAGGTCCTGGAGCCCGAGGATGTATCGACGGCTGTTGTGGATCAAGTCTTGTCTGGCAGAGGTGGCCAACTGGTGTTGCCTACGAGTATGAGTCTCCTTTCGGGCATTCGGGGATGGCCGACTTGGCTCTCGATCGGGTTGAGGAACAAAGTCTCCGGTGAGCTCATCCTTTCTCTTGCATTTTGACTTTCCTTGCTTGTGGCGTGTGTAGAATGACCACTAACAATCGAACTTTAGATGTGGCTAAAGGCTTGGACGGCATTGACGTCGAGGCTGCGAAGAGAGATGACAGGGATCCGGAGAGGTGGGCAAATTTCAGGAAGCAGACATGAAGCATGAACAGATCAGAGAGCAAATTTTTATGTAGAAAACTCTTTCTGCGCTTGAAGACTCGTCATTTGATGGAGTCTGATGTATGAGGGAGGGGTGATGCTGCAACATCGTTGGGGAAACAAGAATTAATATGGACTTTCATCGAGGTTGCTCCATGTGTAGGACAATCCGGATGCTTCCGATTCCGAAATAGAATTTGACTTTTGGTATGCTTTGAGTGTTCTCACCCTTCTAACTTTGGAAAGCATGTGAGTTCTCATGATAAGTTGATGTCCTTGTGAAAACCTTCACAGAGTTGTCGTTTTGTCTGCAACATCCTTGTCCATACAGAGCAAGCCCAGCCCGACTGCCGGAATGTCTTCCGAGTCCCGGAATGTGGAGCCATGCGCAGCTGAAAACTTCGCTCCTTCTGGCCACCACTCACTTCACATGTAAAAAACACCCCCTCGCCGATCCACTCGGGATCCCCATCGCTGTATTCATAAATCCCACGGGCGGGTAGAGTGCCTCAACGTCCTGCACGGATGTTTGCATCTGTCGGGCTTTTTCCACCCAGATCTCGGTTCGACCAATTGGCGCCGGAACCGATCCCTGCACAGATCACAGACATCCCTTGCTCACCTCAGCCTTAAGCTTTGTCACTTTCTTTCCCCGGTAATGCGCGTTTGCCGCGATGATGTTCTTTTTACCCAGATCTGGGCGTTGTCCAACGATGCCGTGTCACACACCCTCCAACCTTCTCGCTGGAACTGGCCCCTCGCGAGATCTCTCAACCTATGACTAAGGGCCCGATGGAGACATCCGTTTCTTTCAGCCATTGGCCCAACAGAAAGCAACTCAAGAGCCGGTGGAGTCGCAAGGAAAATCCGGTAATGCAGGAACTATCGATCTCTTCAAGAAGCAACGTCTGTATGGGTTGATATGAACGGCCACATCCCTGCCTAGCTCTGGGCCGTGAGCTGGGTTGCCCCGCAGTGACAGTGTGGCGGGAGAGATAGCTTGTTTCGTTTGGGTGGGCTTCCACTCGGAAAGCTCCCTTGGGAATCTTAGGAATCTTAGAGCTCGAAGTCTTGGAAGGAGCTCTAGTCGAGCCTTCCTCGAGTAGGTTGTCGGTCATGCCCCAAGTGTTGCTGACTGTCACACGTCTGAGACTTCCTTCTCTTTGGAAGTATGGAGCGACAGAGAACATAAACTGGTGGTTCGTTGCCATGGATGGGGTTGAAGAGGCAGGATAGGTCTCTTGGGTTACACTGCTTCACCATCGTCCACGTCCTTCTGCAAAGCGAAGTCTCTTCCTGTGGCAGGACGGAAAAGGAACCCTTTCAGACCCAATACTTTCATTGAGCAGCACACCCAGTTTGGCTTCTTCCCGGAGGTATATTTCGTCTCACCTTCAGATAGTCGGCGGTCGACAATCTTCAGTTCCTTCCAAGTCAAGAACACCTCACTTTCTACCCTCAGGCATCATGATTCTCACAGTCGGCCTCGTCCTTTTCATAGCTTTTGGCCTCATATTCATCATCCAAGGATGGCTCTCAGGCATCTGGAGGCCGACGCTCCTCTACCGCACATTCAACACACCCCAAGAGTCCGCCCCCGATATAGAAATCAAGCTTTCGCAGACTGTCAACCTCTACAAATTTCCACCTCTCCGAGAACGTACATCCACAAAAATGGCCATGGGCCTCAAGCGCCTCGACTCGTCAAACTGGCTCACTCTCGACTCTGCCTACCTCCCAGAGCACTTCCTCCGTTGCAACCTCCTCTGTACGCACCGCCCGCAAGTCATCCAATGCCTCCCGGGATCGGAGCCAGCATGCCACGAAGTTCTCTCCCTTGTGACCAGCTTCTTATCTTCCCGGTTCCCGCAACATTTTACACTCATAAACCTAACCCTTCCTTCAGGGGAAGTTCCAGCAATCCACAACCACCTTACGCAAGAAACCTTCCCCGTCGGACGGCAAAATTGCCCCAACCCTCTCGAAATAGCAGCAAAGCTGTCAATGGAGGATTTTAATATATTGGTGAAGAATCAAGAGACGGGAGAGTATGAGTTGAAGGCGTCCGCGACGCTGTTCCCTGCGGGATGGAAGTTGCAGGAGAGGATTGGAACCGGTATGGCGAATTTGCATAAGCCTGTTCCTGGGTGGAAGGAGAAATTGGGTGGGAGTGTGAATCGGTATCCCCCTTCCCCCAACTATCATATGGGGAGAACTGACTGGTGTGTAACAGGTATTTTGACCATCTTTCCCCAAAAACGAGTATGGAGAGGACGAATCTGTTTATCCAAACTACACCAGATCTTTTTCAGGATGCTCCCGAGAAAATCACTGAGGGAGAAATCATCATGCCAAAGAGACTTATGGTAAGGAGGGAAAGACAGACCTTTATGCGCTTAGCGAACACTGGTGCGGTGTTGTTTACCGTTAGGACGTACATGACTCCCCTCGTCGAACTGGGTGTAGAAGAATTGAAGGCGTTGAAAAGTCAGGTAATGGGGTGGGAAGAGGAGATTAAGGTATATAAGGGGTGGGGAATCTGGGGAGAGCCGCTTTTGAGGCGGTGTGATGAGGTATTTGGTGTAGAGGAGGGGAGGGGTGAGGGAAGAGATTTAAAGTAAGGAAAATGGGTAAAAGTTACTCGGCGTTCTGAACGGAACATGGAATCAACAGGGATGTTTCGATAGATACCAGTGAGCTTCACAGCAAAGCAAAATGGCACCCGCGATCCTCATAGCCAGAAATAGAAAACATTGCTACAGTACGTTTTCAAGTTTGGCTTGTGAAGAGATAAATTGAAGATGTTTCCCCCATGGATTGTAATTGAACAGCGGAGTGTACACAATTTTGCCCTGCAGACTAGAAGCGAATCCCCTATCTGACTAACAAGATTGAAATCCTATACATTGCGGGTATTAAGCCGAAATCTAGCGATATTTTCTGAATTTGGGCGTTCAAGGCAAGCCAATGCTCCGGTCGATTTTGTTCCGGCAGGATCCTGGTGGTATGGTTAGATTTCTTGTCGTGCAGTCCGTGCTGAATGGGATGGCCGCCGAAGCAGAACTCTCCCACACCTGATCTCCCGATGAAAATCTCGAGCTCCTCCAAAGCCCGTTTAGGGACTTCCATGACCTCTTCCGCGCAAAATAATCTCAGAGTGCGTTGGATTGCTTCCGGCCGCCCACTTTCCCCTGCACTATCACCTCCATTGAGTAGATTCTCAAACACATCTAATGTTCCAATCAAAAACATCGCTGACTTCCTTTCGAATTCGAATTGTCGATGCCAAAACCATTCTGATCCGTGGAATGCCATGAACGATAGTATTACGAATTTAGAGGAAGGAATATTTGGGTTGGATGAAGCTGGCCACTCATTTCCCCTTCTCGGCCTCAACAGGTTCTGCCTCGTCTAGGAGGCTGTCGAGGTAAGGGTTGCAATCAAGATCTGATTTGGCGAGGTTGACAAGGAATCCTTGGATACCCATTGCGATTCTGTACCCAGCGAGTCCCAGCAAAGCTACAATCACAAGGAGGAGGTTGATGGCCGCAAGAAGGCAGAGTGGGATGGTATGCCAGAGTTGAACTCTTCGGAGAGGACAGTCTCCTGCTTTCTTCTCATCAGTCTCGCCTCCGGTTTCGAATAGCCCGGCTAGAACGAATCGAAGTGGGCATTTCTTTGATTCGGGGTTAGCGGCTGTGTCTGTAGAGGAGGGCGTAGAAGAGGAGACCGATTCGGTGTCGGTGTCTTTGTCTTTTTTGCTCTTCTTGCTGTGGCTAACGATTACCTCACCAGAATGTCGCCGAGCTGATCGATTGGCGTAATGCTTTTCTTTCTTGGACGAAGCCATGCCGGTGATATTGAGGATGCTGGACATTGATGAGGAGGTGTGTAAATTGGTGAATCGTATAAGTAGGGATGGTAGGATACCGAGTCCTGGATATCTACTTAATTCAATTGCGGGGTTGCTGGCATGATACGAGGTAGTGTTCGTATATATGTTGGATTTTATCAGCCATCTTATGTATGGGATAGCGGCCTGTACGAAAGAAAATGATAGACCGATCATCACAGCCGCCGCCACAAACATATGAAGCTATCAGATTCTGATATGGGGTGTGAGAAAGACAGACAATGATCCAGGCCGGCAACGTGCGGCCACTCAGGACTGAGTAACGTGGCAGCAGCTGAGCACTTACTCGCACACCATCTCTGATGATCTCCAACTTGAGAGCTTGTTTGAAACAATATTCGACGAGGGTCAAACTTCGATAAATTTGTACCCCACCTTCTTGTCGCATAGGGGCGGCCAATGATTGAGGTTGGGTGGCAGAGGCAAGCTGCAAGCCGCCACTGGGCTCTTCCGCAGTGGGTGCCCAACCGCAACTTCTTCAAGGTACAAACACATGATTATTCGACAATTGAGGGGAATACCTGGGAGGCTGACCACTCGGACTGAGACCTTGATCACACGGCGTATGCATGAGGATCGACCAGCTGAGTGAGCTTCGCAGGGACGAATAGGAAAAATATAGACGCGTGACCCCAACAGAGCGCTTTGAGAAGCATCGATCTCACATGGCATTGTTGGTCAGGGGGTCGGTCTTGCCACAGCCAACCACTTAGTTAGTAGCCGATACGTACGGTGAGATTTGGGTACTCTAGAGATCGCTCCAGACTTCGTGGGGTAAGCTCGACCAGAGAAGGCACTTCGAATGATTGGAGCTTCTGCATGTTCATGCTTCAGTCCTGGTGCATGTCTGACGGCCGTTCCAGTTTGAAGGGAGCTTATCCGGGAGGCGAGAAGAAAGGTAATTGTAATTGCTTCAATGAAGGACATGACTAGATATGAAGTAGGAAGTACCTCGGTCGTGGTGATAGCGACATTAATTTTCATCGTCCTTCGCCAACTTTGGACAATGATCTGGACTTGGAGCAGATAGGACATGAATATTCGAAAGCTTCCGAGATTTTCGAAGTACTATTGAATGTATAAGAATTTGACGGAAGAATAATATGAGGGATAACAGTTGCAATGTCCGACTTCAGCTGGTACATTGGAGTAGCCTCGCGAGCCTGGACACGCTGTAACTCGCTCGAGCTTGGTCCGCTGAACGCCCCAAGCTCTCGCTAAAAGCATCCCCGCCACTTTTCGAATCAGACCATCAACGGCACGTCACCATGTCCGTTAGAGCTTCGAAAGCTTCGGAATCAACATCAAAGTACCCTCAGTTCCCATATTGAGGTTGAACGTCGCACTCCCTATCCCCCACGCGCTACAGGCACGCTCCGCAGAGCTGCCTGGCGTTGCAATGGTTCTAGACAATGCATCCGCCTCGGATTCCTCAGACTCCTTTGCAGACAGCGTCCCGTCCTCCGACGCCGATCCATATTCGGACTCACAGCCTGGTGGTAGCGTAGACTACCACATAAACACGAGCAAACTCCCAAAGCCGATACCCATCATTGGAAGGCTACTCGGCTACAACGATGAATTCCTACTCAACTTCGTCGGTGCGAGAATCGTGGTCATATCAAAAATACTCGGGAGACATCCCTCACAAGAGGAGGCTAATGCGGTGGCTTATTATACCGCAAAGAACATTGCCATATACTCATACGGGGGGCCTGTTGGTGCTGCAGCAGGAATGTGGAGAGCTTATGACACTCGAAGCACATTTCGATTTCCTTTCTATCAACCAAATCTCGAGACGTTCCAACCGGATAAGTTTCCCCAAGGACTAGGATGGGTTAAAGGGTTCAATGCAATGACGTGTTGGCACGCGGCGAGGACGTCGTCCTATGTGGTTTTTGGATTGATCTTTTCACGGTTTCTATTTACCAGCTATGGTGCGACTACATCGGCGATCGGAGAAGTTTCAGACCCGAGATTGAAGGCAGTGACTGCTGCTATCCAAGCAGAGGCTCAGAAGAGGAAGGGCTCTCTTCCGGGAATGCAAGGCACACCTGCACCACAAGAAAGACAGCTTCCCAATGGTGGACGACCAGCTGATACTCATTATGATCGAGGGGAAGGCCCTTCACAGGATGATGCGAGTCCTACCGGTGGTATCTTTGGTGAAGAGAATACAGCAGGAACCCCCGGGACTTTTGGAGGGAGTAAAGGCCGGCCTACACAGGACGGAGGAAGATGGCCTGGCAGAGTGGCACCACTACCGGCTCAAAAGAATACCCAGGAAGCTGAAAGTCAGCCTTTCGATGCTTGGGATGATGCATCTCCTACCGGAGGACAAGGAATGGCGGAAAGCACAGTTCAAACATCTCAAGGTTCCGCTTGGGATAGAGTGAGAAGGGGCGAGAAACCAGCTCCAAGCCCGTCAAAGTCGGGTGGAAAGCCCCAACCAAAGCAAAGTCCATGGTCGAGACAACAGCATGAGACTCAAAAGGAGCAAAGAGAAGGTGCGACTACGGGGGACAGTTTTGCCTTCTCCAAGACTGAGGAAGAGCGGACATATGCCAAGGAGGAAGCTCAGAAGGAGTTCGATGCTCGGGTGGAGCGCGAGCGGAGGGGAGGTGATTTTAGTAAAGGCGGCGGTGACCAGAAGAGATGGTGAAGTGTATGATTATGCAAGTATGGATTTATGAGTGAGCATTTGGTTAGGTGTCCGGGGCAATCATCAATGAACTACAAATGGACATTTTCCCTCCGAGCTTTTTTCTCTACATGTGTAAATTGGGCACGTAAAGATATCTTCTATAATCCATGATATTTCCCCGAGCTTGTTATGTGACTTAAATCTATTACATATAGAGCTGTTTTAAAATGGAAAAATCAATGATCCGACGAAAATGCGGATTGTTTGCTCTGTTTGCATCAAAAACCAAAGCCAAAGCTCTCGAGTTCTCGGTCATAACCACAACTCTCCCCAACCCCAACACCCCCCAAAATGTCCTCCCGAATCCCCTCCTACCGCAAAGATGACCGCACACGCCCATCACGCTCTCGCTCACCACGCCGCCACCCCCAGCCTTCACATTCGCACCGGGAGCGGTCCCCGCCTCGACAACATGGCCACCACAAGCGCAAACGCAGTCCCGACCCCACCAGCACCACCGCGCCGAAAGATCTCCCATTTAACGGCAGACAGCTGGGAAAGAGGGATTATGAGGCGTTCAAACCGATGTTTGCGCTGTATATGGATATTCAGAAGGGGAAGGTTTTAGAGGAGATGGATGAGACGGAGATTAAGGGACGGTGGAAGAGTTTCTTGGGGAAGTGGTGAGGCTCCTGTTTCATAATTTATTTAGTAATGTTGTGGGGAGGGAAATGGAGAGGTAGACGTCAAGCGTGATTTACAAGGGCTAGGCTAACGTGCTAGGAATCGTGGAGAGCTGGCTGAGGGGTGGTATGACCCTTCTACGTTGCAGAAAGCGGTGCAGTCTTCTGCGGACCCGGACTCAAGACCAAGAGATGAGGATCGAACTAGAGCTACGGCTACGAAGAGAGGAGAGGAGAAGGCTCCTGCGAGAGAGGAGCTGCTGGAGAGTGAGAGTGACGAGGAGATTGGTCCCACGTTGCCGGGACAGGAGGGCAGGTCGAGAGGTGGTAGGATGGGACCGAGTATACCAAGGATGGAGGATTTAGAACTTAAGAAGGGTGCGTTGTGTCCCGTTCCTTGTTTCGTGCCTAGCTAATTGGATTCTAGAGATGGAAGATGAGGATGGACTGGCACGTCGAGACGACATACGATCTGCCCGGAAGCTCGACCGCAAGGAACAAAAGGAAAAACTGGACGAATTAGTTCCCCGCGCTGAAGCTGGCACACGGGAGCGGCAACTGGAGAAGAAGAAAGAGGTTAATGAGAAGATGAAGTCATTTAGGGAGAAGAGTCCTGGTGCTGTGGAGGTTCCGGACGCAGAGCTGATGGGTGGTGGGGATTCGATAGAGGGGTATAAGAAGGTGAAGCAGGAGTTTGAGAGGAAGAAGAACGAGAGGGAGTTGAGGAAGGAGGAGATTTTAAGGGCGAGGATGGCGGAGAGGGAGGAAAGGCTGCAGGAGTACCGGGCAAAGGAGGAGGGTACTATGTCAATGCTGAAGGCGTTGGCCAAGCAGAGATTTGGATGAAGCGGGATGGCGGACGAATGTGTCCAATGCAAGCGGACCCATAAGCAAACAATTGGCCAATGGATCCAAGTCGGGTATTCGTTGCATTATGGCAGGTAGATGTGTGGTTGATACCGTTGTGGCAGGAAGTCTTGAGGTCTAGAGTAGAGATTTGGAAGAGTCGGTAAGTACTGTGTTTTATCATTCAAATCGGTCTCTTCACTCCCTTTTCGAAACCGGGAAGCAATCCAAACCATGTCAGCGCCAAAAAAGATGCTCCATCTTACTGAAATTTCCCCTGAACCTGCATCCGAACGAAACAACGGGCTACCTTCGTAGAACGGTAGAAGAGTGATCTTCCCAGCAGACCGAGTATCAGTTACCTCGCACTTCGATCCACTCTCGCAAATGCCATCCCAATAACATTTGGGTTTTGCCATTCTGTTGCAGGTCTCAAAAATCGTATTCCCGAGGGAGAGCATCGAATTGGCTCGACAATACGACGACTCGGCGCCACCGAAAATTGGTGGCTGCGTTGACTTCCTCTTTCGATTACCAAAGCCGACGCCCACACCATCTCGTCGTTTTGCCGAGTCGGTTGCAAGGTGAGGTCTTCGCCTCCCTGGGGAGATCTTGAAACGGCTTTTGGGGAGAAAGTCCACGCGGTTTTTTCACGTTAGTGGGTCCATGTTCCTGCGTTCTGTCTGAAAATATGATAGTCTCGACTTTTCTTCGCGTATTTCGTATGATGATCCAGATTGAGTGAAGAGTGGCAACACCAAAGAACAGGGGTAGTCATGCAGACGGAAACGTTCCTCGTTGGATGTCAGACCCGATGGAGCCAATGATACTTCAACATTACTTGATGTCTTGCATTAATTAGACAAACAAAGTCCAAACGCACGATTCAGGAGTTCTGGAACTTCTGGAAGGGATGTGGAAGGACGATGAGGGCAAGATCTCAGCCTTGCGCCTCGTTCGCAGCCTTGCATTTCCGAAATGGCGCTAAAAAGTATGTCGACACTTCACATCATGAAGCTTCAACTATCAACACCTACTACTTGCAATTATACCTGTGACGGTCTGCAATGCCAGTTGAAGCTATATCCGGGACGAATCTCATACAGAAAGGTACCCATAGGTCTCGAAATCTATTGTATGAATATGTCATGATGAACTTCAGATGAAAGCTCGCTGGTTTCTTGACGACCACGTCGGCCTAGACACATTGCGCTGGCCGGAAAAATGGACATGATATGTCGAAGAATGATGCTGCTGCATGCAAGATCAAGAGCTCAGGAGGCTGCTATCCAATGGCGGGGCGTAGAAGGTAAAAGACATTTGAGGAGATTTGGCACAACAAGCTTCCTGCGAGCCGCTAAGCCCTCAAAACCTCCTATCAAGTCATCCCAAAAGAAAAAGACATTAGATTACAGGTATGCTATATGCCTACTTAACTCTCAATATCCAGAAGCTAAGCTCAACCCAGAACACCGACTCGCAGGCCCCAAACTTCCTCTCCTCCAAAACCAAAATCCAACCCTCTCCGCCACCGTACAATCCCCATAATCTTCGGCGGCGCTGCACTCTTCGCCTTCTCAGCTGGGATAGCCTATCTCGTAACAGCTGCAACCCGACTAGCTGATAATCCAGTCCCTACCTCTGCCTCAGCACAAGAAGATGTCTCTTCCCGCTACGACAAGATCGCGTCTAGCTTCGATGACAGCGTCGACCTGACGGAAAGATTGATGGGCATAACGTCTCTGCGGAAGAAACTTGCATCCCTCGCACATGGAGATGTCCTTGAAGTCTCAATTGGCACGGGGCGCAATTTGTCATATTACGATTGGAATTTCAAAGGTCATGGAGGTGTAGGGAAGCCTGACAGTAGGGGCAATATTAAGAAAGGAAAAGTGAGGGGTTTCACTGCCGTGGATAAGAGTCCCGAGATGCTGGAGGTTGCACATGAGAAGTTCTCGAAGATGTTTCCGGGGATACTGGGGGTGCGGTGGGTTATTGCTGATGCGGCTGAGAAGGGAGCGATACCTGGACCACCGAGAAATGCGAATGAGAGGGGTGGGAATTTGGAAGGGAAATACGACACTGTGATTCAGACTATGGGGCTTTGCTCTGTTGGGGATCCGGTCGCGCTGTTGAAGAATTTGGGGGAGTGCGTTAAAGAGGAGGAGGGGAGGATATTGCTGTTGGAGCATGGGAGGGGGCGGTGGGAGTGGCTGAACAAAGTTTTGGATAACTCGGCGGAGGGCCATGCGAAGGAATTCGGATGTTGGTGGAATAGAGATTTGGGGAGCATTGTTGAGGAGAGTGGTCTGGAGGTTGTCAAGATTGAGCAGCCAAAGTGGTGGAGGCATGGTGGAACGACTTGGTGGATTGAGTTGAAGAAGCCGAAGACTGAAGCTGCAAAAGCACAGAAATGAGAGGGACAATTCGACTAAATGTTTACTTATTGTCGCAGTGCATCCACGACACTAAGACATTGTCAATATCCAGAGCAACCGAATCGTCTTCAAGGCCTGATTGTACGAAGTTGATGGGATATGCCTGTGGTGCCCTGCTCTGATGTTGGGATGAAGGTTGACATGAGATGAAAGCTTGTCATGACAGCAGCTACCTGCTTAACAACAGAACCAAGGCACCCATGAGCTTATTGCTCCGCCAGGAGTTGAGGTTGTGGAGAAACCCCAGACGAGGTGCAAGACAATACCAAGTTGCTGCAATACAGAACAAATTTTGGAACTGCATCCGTGTAGTTGGCGCCACGGCCATTCTTATGAAAACGATTAATAGCCAAAGGCAGGAGGTTTGAGAGGTTTATATGTCAGCAAAGTGAAAGCTAGCCAATCTACTCTCTTCTCGAGGTGGGATGTCCTGGAGGTTTGGAGACCTGTTTTGCAATCCATGTCTTTATTTCTCTGAACTCCATTGTTCTAACGCCTTTGGGACAATCAAGCAGCATTATAGCTCTCAATGTTCCACTACTCTCCCATACATTCAGGAGAAGGACTCATACCCCATTACTTTTTTTTCGGCAACCCCCAACGTATCAGGTGACCGAAATTCACAGCCTGCACCCCTGGATTCTTGCTGTCAATCTTCCCTTCGCTATCATACCCCGTTCTCTTCTTACAACTCCTGTCAGACACCACGTCTCCCTCTCCTTGATCGTCCCTAAATATACTCGGTGAATGAGGCCGGTTCTGACGCGACATCCCTCATGGACCACGCCGTAGTCTCCGAGCTAGGATGTGGATTCCCCCATCAGAAGCGGCAGCAGCCACGAGGGGGGACAGAACGTCTCTGCAGAAACGGCATGATTCTGTCTGTTACTTATACTCTTTCTATAGCCAAAGAGGAAACATGTTCATACAAGATGCCTACCAGAGGGGCGTTCAGGCACTTTGCATCAGCCTCTCGATTATTGACTCACACTCGATCATAGAGAGTAAGATCTCACACGGGAAACAATTTCCGCCTCTGAGTTCTAGAGTCATATGCTCGCTTGAGTCCTATTCGCTGACGAGGCTAAATATATAAAGCCAGGGAGTGCAGCTGACTTCTACCTCAACAGACACTTACAAATATAAGCCTCGATTGACTGATAAAGCGACTACCCAGCTGTTTCTTCTCTGCCAATTTGAAAAGGACCTCGTGGCAGAGGCTGAGAGTGATCACTAGGGTGGGAGGTGCTCCATTCCCAGTTGCAGATTAGATCAGAGCTGACTCCTTGTTGTCAATTTCTCTCCTCACCCAAAGCACGTCCTCAGTGCTCAGACAGTACCTCATCATTGAAATTTTGCAGCTAGATTTGCTCTCAATTGGTGGACTTGTTTATCATATCATGGCCACCAACCGAGTGCAAAAGCAATCACTCAACAGTAGAAGCTGGCGCAGCATTCCATTTGTTCCAATCGCGCCAAGAATCTGCTGCACACGGACGGGGTCACAGTGTTGAACAGCCTTCAGGTGGCGCCTCCTCAACGTCAACGTCTCGGTCCTCGCAGATCCCCTCGTCCGCCCACACGGAGAACCATTCTCGTGATTGACCCAGGTGCTCGATGCTCTCCCTATCAGCAGTCGGCTCAGACCCTCGCCATCAAGCTTGCAACTCCGGAATGGCCTTTTCAGCGAGAAAAATTCGATTAAAGAAGTCAACATCACGGCACCTCTCTATTCAAGCAACAATAGCACCGTCGCCTTTATGATTCTCATTACGCTCTATGGGCTGAGAAACATCTGACGCTTCTACTACTTCCAACCACCCGCCTCAATGAAATGTACTGCTACATTTGCCTCGTCTTTCCTTCAAAATGCATTGGATTACTCGAAGATGTATGCGAACGACTTTATCAACCTGTCGGCAAATCTCTCTCGCTCCTATGTGATTGTTTTGTTTCTCACAGAATGTCCCGCCTCACTTTCGTCATAGGCATCCAGCCCCTGATTATTACACGGTATCTTCTTCCCCCATCTAGGATAGCGAATACCCCACCAGCTAATGTGCCATTCCGGGATCGCGTCACTAATACAGGAAACTTTATGCTGGGTGGCAAGAGAAAGAGGCAATCAGAAAGACGCTAGGGAAGGAAATTGTCTCAAGAGAGTGATCCGGCATCTCAATACTGAGAGGAATTAGCATGGGCTAGCTCGGAGGAAGAAGAAGGATTATAAATGTACCTGCAATTGCCAAAGTCTTAACTCTTGTCCCTTATTCTGCTCGTCAATCATCCCACTTGCGTTATTCGCGAAAGACAAAGCCTCGGATCTCGGAGAAACCCTTCTGCGAGCCGAAATTCCAATCGAAATCTGGGGTCTCATATAATTGAATAAGTTCTTTTTCGTAAATGTTTCTGCTTGGCATAGGTATGCAAGGCTTTAGTGTTTGCGCAACCTGGAAAATTGCCATCACTAACAGCCGATCCGGATCCCACCGGACTACAAACGGGCATTCATGGCGGTCAGCTACCCGTCTCGACAGTGGTGGGAGGATTTAATAGGACGAACTACGAAAAGTCATATCTGAGGTACAGCGCCAGCATACTGGGGTGGCCTCCTTGTTGCCGAAACACAAAAATCCAATATTTTTTTGCAGTTTTTGCAACCTCGCTTCTATTTATTTGCGCTTCGCTCTCCTATCTTTTAAGCGAAAACGTTAATCACGTGCAAATGTTTGAACTGCGCTTTCCACATCTTTAGTAATAAAGGAAGTAACTATTCTCCAAATTGTTCAAGTTGATAACGAAAAAGGAGAATAGAGACTATACGGAAGTGGGATAGAATAGGAGACGGCTTTCGCAGCTTGCGTATATCATTATAGTGTGAGTGAGGGGGTTGCAAGACTTCTCACTTCTACTTACCAGTTCTGCCAAATAAGAAAGAGCTAGGAACTACCCTGTCTCCGCACTTCCTTCTAAAGTTGTCTTCTCCTTGTTGTTGTCAACCAATCACTCGCTATCACTCAGCACCTCTCACTAAGAGTCCCGCGCCTCCGGTCAATCCTTCGCATGATAAAACTTTCAACTTCGCTCCCCTCGACCAAATATGCAGTATAAGATAAGGATCCAAATCCAGCCCTCACAGATCTCAGAAAAGGAGTCCCAGCCAAGGGGTCTGAGGCGCTGTCGCCTGTTAGTTGACACGTACAGTAAAATGCGCGTTGCTGCTTCTTTTATAGGAATTCCTGCTGGCACTTGCCACCCCTTACCCCTCATCCCCAACACTCCTCTATCGGAACAGGCAAGCGGCAGCTTCCTCTCTCCGCTCGCATTTTAATTGCCCAGCAGAGCCGCAACCTCACAGCGCCTCCTCTGCTGGGTATAAATAGAGCATTCAAACATCAACTGCACCTCATCGCAGCATCCAATCGTATTGACGTTGTCCTTGCCCTTGAAGCAACCAGCTCCGCCTTCGAACCCACTTAAATCAAATACCGAAAGGCGGTGAAAATCAAGGTCTTGGCCAAACTCATCTTCCGTTTCTCCACTCAGCTTGGTTGAGGAGAAGGTAACGCGACCACTTCCCCGGATGAGTGCTGAGCTCTTGTTCTCAACACTGCATTCCTGTCGCCACCTCACCACTACCATCCCTGAGCTCTGCCTAACTTCTCGGACTTGACGTTGGAAGCAATGGGCGGCGAGCGTTAAGCTCGTTGCGTAAGAAAGTCTACTGTTGTGTGGTCATGCAGACTTTTGAAGCAAGCGCAGAGAGGGACTGAGGGAAATCCGTTGAGGAGAAGCAAAATCACATCGAAATCGGCCTTGAAGATTCCCATAGCAAACAGAAGCTCGAGGACTAGACCCGCAGGGAAAGCAAAAGATGGGGAGCTTGAGCACGCCGAAGTTCAGCTGCGCGAGGAAACACCTGGCGGGCCCTCGTTCAATTCCAGAATCCCCGTTTGTTCTTGTTTGCCAACACATCACTACTATCACCCATCCCATCCCCTCTCACAACCCACCCTTCCAATCTCCCTCTCCCCAACCCTTCTCCTCGCGAAAACCACACCTGACTTCCTTCCTTCCTTTATACTAACTAACTAACTAAGTAAGTAAGCAAGTAAGCAACCTAGCATCAACACACCTCCCACCTGACTCTGCCTACCATCCTTGACGTCAGTTCCCGAGCCCCACTTGATTCTTTCACGTTGGCTCCTGTGGTCCATGACGGTAAGGCGCAGAGAGCAGCAGGAGACTCGCGCAATTAGTACCCCCCCCCCCTCGAGTCGCCCTCAACTACGAGGCAAAAGCTGCTCATCACGTGATAAAAACACCCGCCTCGAACGCCCCCTATTTTTTCAGGCGAGGCATTTTGATCCCGAAGAATCCCGATATTGACCCATTATTTACATTTTACCCTCGATGGAAGAAATTTTTTTTTTGACATCACCACATCCGGTCTACCGAAGAAGGCAACGACACGCTTGGCCCCCCCCCCAAAAAAAAAGCCTCACGCGACACCTCGACAAAGAAAGGAGGCAAAAGATAGGTGGAGATGTCTCTTCATTTCAGGCTCTCTGCTACTCCCCCATACGCCCCAAAGACGCACGCACACAGCGACGCAAAGCATCACTGCTCCTCCCATATATCTACACATGTAATGACCAATAATCGCTCCAAAACGCCAGACATGCCAATGTAAGATGTAAGATATATCCCCCGTGGTCTCTCGATCGATCCGTGCAACACATCTCATCTACTTTTGCCCTCCCTCAAATCAAAACGCTGAAAGTTGACGCTGACTTTTGTTCTTCCTTTCCCTTCCGTTCCTTTTATATTTCTCGCTCTTGCTCTCTTCCTGATCGTACAACACACTACACTTCTGAACCCATCCCATATGATATCGATGATAAAAAGACAGCGTCGTGAAAAGGTGAAACTAGATAAGAATAGCTAGCGCTCCTTCCTGTATCCTCTAGCTCGACAGATATGAGAAGCGATATGGCAAAGCAAAAGGGGGTTGAGAGAGAGCAAATACAAGAATTGAATCGAAAATCAAAGTCGTCTCACAGATCGTCGAACATGCCGTCCAGTTCTTCTAGCTCCACATTCTCAGGACTCCGCATGTCCCAGTCCATCGTGCTCTCGACTCGTCCCCATAGGTCGTTTGAATCCTCGAACGGTCGCTTCGTCGTACTGAGTGACAAGCTTGGCTTCATCGCTGGACTGCTGATGAACACTGCGGTATTTAATACATTCAAGCCTCTTCCCTCTCCAAATAGTGCGTCGGTCTCCACGCTCTTCGTAGGATGATCTCCCATCTCCGAAGGTACTCCACTCATCTGAACGTCGCCACTGAACTTTCGCTTCTGCATGCCGACTGCTGTTTGTGTAAACTCCTTCTCGTCCTTCTCTAGAGGTGGCGATGTTGCGCGATGATTCCGAGGGATTCGGTCAACCCGTCCAGAAGAGAAGGAACCTGATGGCGTAGTAGGTGATACCATCTCGACGTCATCGAACTCTGGTGATGAGAGGTCGACTTCTGGTGATGGTGACAATTCTCTCCTCCTCTCGGCATCGGCTTCATCGGACCTCGAAGCTGCACTCGATATTGAAGGTGAAATTATCGCTCTCGAGGGGTACTGGATTGTAGTTGGGTCGGGAATAGGTTGATGTTGGTAAGTCGTTAAGTAGAAGTACGTTCTTCGCGGATGGACCGTCTCTAATTCCTTCGCCACCGGACAAGGCGCCAACGCCGTCCATGGTCGCTTCAAGTACGTGGAAAGTCGTGATGAAATAATCGCTGAAGGGTTCGCAGACCTATGGATATTAGCCTTGTACTCGGAGATTTGAGAGAATGACTTACTGTTCGACAATTTTGACGCTCTGAGACAATATCGCAGCCAGTTCCTTGACTAAGTGGGGTCTGTTCCCGGTCTTTTGTAACTGAATGATAACTCCTTCCACGATCTCGTCGTTGATCCCCTCCAAATCTATCTCCCTTGGTTTCGCCTCATCCTCCAAATCATCCGCATCGGCCTCGGGTGACGGTGGTGGGGTGTGTTCGTACTTGACAACGACTCGCTTTGGAGGAGGTGACATCGATGGCGACTCTTCATGCGACCGCTTTATTTTTTTCGAAGGAGGTATCTCAGAATTTGGACCGGCAGAAGGCGGTGAGAGTCGCGCGGCCGCTCGTGAAGCATGAGTGACAGGTAGGTGGATGCCTAGGGATGGCAGAGAGAGCGACTTTCGACGAGTGTTGTAAGGCATGGCTGCAACTTTCGATGTGCGATCATCAAATATCGAAGGAGGAAGGGCGGAGGATGTTGCGACAGGAGAGATTCTCGAAGATCGTGAGTTGCCGGGGCGGATGAGAGTGTTTGCGACAGCTCTGTAAGAGAAAGGGTCTGGTTTGTTGTGTTCCTGCACGCTGATCTTGGAAGCGACGGGTTAATTCTGTTATTGGACAGGGAGCTGCGTCGGATTGTGAGATGGCGTGGTAGTGACACAGGGAGCTGGAGATGCCAGGATTCCAGGCCGCAGATTATTCTTTTTTCCCCAGTGGCCAGTAGAGAGGCCTTGCGAACGGGCGGCGTTTGGAGGCGGTAAGGGACGCAAATAATGCACCGACACACAACACCGCTATTTCAGGAAAGCTGGCTCAATCTCGCTGCACGCTGCTGCAGTGGTCTAACCAGTGGCAATCCTGGTGGAAATGGGAGTGGAGAGCGAAGGGGGCGAGGAATGCGTGCAGTGTGATGGTGACTCGTGATCCCGGACGAGGAGGTTGCGCAACGGGGGTTGTTGTTTATTTGTGACAGAGAGCTGCGGATGATGTCGTGCCTGCACGGCGGGGGGGTGATGGGGGTGAAAGGGGCGATGGGTGTGGGATGGGATAGAACAGGATGGGAATGTTGAGGCTGGAGATCGTGGTGGAGAGAGTGGTGATGGGAGGCTCGGAGGATGAAGTTGGGTGAAGGAGAGAGATGGTTGGCAGATCCGAGAGATGTTTCAAGCGGCCGAGAAGGCGACGACGAGGGCACGAGGCAGACGACAGGAGAGAGGAGAGGGAGGGAGGGAGGAAGGAGAAAGCGAGTATGCGATGGGCCTTGCAGTGGCAGTGGCAGGCAGTAGTAGTGGGTTTGGGAACGGCAGGCCCAGGTGAGCGCTGATGGCAAGTGCTGCAGGGGGGAGCGTCGGGAGGGTTGTGGGCACTGGGCACTGGGAAGCATGGAAGCATGGAAGCCTGGAAGCCTGGAAGCGAGGGCCTAACTTTAGCGGCAAGCCATGGGGATGGATGCACCTTCCCCTCGTGTCTGCTCGCCCATGAAGTCAAATACATTACTGTATGATGACGACCGCATCTCCACGCAAGCAGGTTCGCTGGATGCTCAAGCTTACTGCTCCTGTTGCTTCTGTCGGCGGGCCCAGTCCACGGCAGCCATGTGGTGCTCGCTCTACCGAAGAAACTAAAACAGCTTTGCCTTGTTCCTTGAGGATCAGGCCTGAGCACTGAGCAGAGCAGGGCGAGCTTTGGCCACAAGCTCCCGTATTGGTGGCCAAAGCAACAGCAAACCCCCTCTGATTGGCGACCATTTTAAATCTGGCGAGTAGGGTGAAAGGCTATTTTAGACGTGACGAGACGTGACGAATGAACCACCGCCGTCTAGAAAGACATGAGCCATGAGCATGAACCATGAGCATGAACCATGAGCCATCGAGGGATACGAAGCAGAACCTGGGCGGAAAACTGGAGCTTTGAGCAGATGTTTCCTCCCTGAGCTTGACGGCCACAGTTAAGATCATCGCTGGTGACGTTCAGGACACAGACTCAGGAGAGTAAGGCGCTGTCCGCCGTCCGGAGAGAAATTGAAGCTCAAGCCACGCCGCCAAGCGGTTGAAACCTCGTCGGAAGCTTGCGTCGGAGAAGGCTGATGATCAAAAGGAAAGCCACAAAAGGAAATGCCGCTCCTCCAATTCAAGCCCTTGGTCGGCGGGACAGTTCTTGCATGCAACGGCCATTCCACCCCTTTTCTTGTCTGGCTGCCCCTGGGAGACACCCTCACAAGATAAATTTACAACGCCCTCTCGTGGCCCTTTCTGAAAAATTGGAGGCCATGATGGCATCTGCGTTTCCATAACGTCAAGCTCCAGACGGACTCTTTTCTGACGGTCCACCACCCTGGCACTTCTGCTCCCAAAACCTTGCGGGCTCCACTTGGGTGAGTTCGAGCTTGGCCTGTTGGATGCTAGCCCTATGTGCCTACCCACGCTTGCACAAATGCCCCTGCCACCGAATTTTCATTTGCATGTTTTTCACAGCCTTCTCTCCTGGTGCGTGCCAAGTGCAGAGCCAGCGCCTCCCAGAGTCCCAGAGCAAAGCGGGCCTTCCTCGACTCCTCTTCGCCTTCCAGCCTTCCAGCCTTCCTCCTCCCACCGACATTGATCCTGTGGACGAACCACAACACGACTCTAGCAAGTGGCAACCACTCAGCCAAAGCCCTCAACTGTGGTTGGTAGCCAGCTCCGTCAGGAAAACCAACCCGTTGCCGACTTGGATGCACTTGCAACCCGCCAGTTCTCATTCGCGAAGAAAGACCTCGCCGGGCACGACTCGCGAGCAATGGATTAGGTTGCCGTAAAGGCCTATCAGGAGACTTGCATCATCAAGAGGCCTCAAAACGATCGATCGCATCTGCCTTCAGTCCCTCCACACCCTTTCTAGAAGATCTGGGACACCCAGACTTCGCCCGGTTAGAGCCTCTGACTCGTAGCAATGCGCTCCCATTTGCCACCCCTCGGCCTCTGAATCCTGGCGTTCAAACAAGATCATCACCTAATCGCCCTGACTTCGTCATGGGATCGATTACAATTTCCCGAGCAAAGACCACACCCCCGACATCTCGCAGGTTACACTCGGCGACTTCGACCTCCTGAATCCAACATCGAGGTGGATGTCAGCATCACAAGCTGTGTGGCTTCCGCGCCGATTTAAAGCAAGGTCAGGCTGCATGCATATGCACGACCAAGCCCTTCAAACCGCATTCGAGATGTCTTTGGATGCCAATGAATTCTGGCCCTCCCCTCACCGCCCTCCGCTGCCAGGCAGAATGAGGGCATCCCCCGCATTGGCTTCTATCGACCTGCATGCATGGGCGGCCCACCAACGAGGCCGTTATCTCAATCTGCTCCTCTACAGCAAGGCTTGGACAAGGCAAACAGCGGTAAGAGGAAAATTCTATTGGACGAGCCCTTTACTATCTTCAGCTGTGGGATACATCCGCAAAGTACCTCACACACTGGTTAAATCTGCATCGAGTCGCAACGTTTTCTTTTACGGCATGGAGAAAGTGGGGTCCTCCAGACAATCCTATTCTTTTTTTCTTCATCTAAAGTTTGATAAGCGACATCTAAAAGCCGAAATCGTGCCTGCAGGCTCAAGTGTACCGAGCCTGATGTGGATTAACCCAGATTTGTTCACAAGGCTGGACAACTGGGCAACAAGTAATTCATCCTTGGTATTAGTTTTATTATTGCAAGGAAAGAAGTTTCTCCAAGGTACAAAAGTGTTCTGATTGTTTCATTTTCATGACTTGAATTGTACTAGGACCGAAACAAAAACCAAAGATTCCCATGTTCAACACCCGTGATCAGCCCAGTACGTGCACATTAGTCGTGAGATCTTAAATCGCAATTTCGTCAGTGGCTGCAACTTTTGATACACCATCCATACAGCACCCCTCACACTCAGTCATGTCAGCGCAGTACATCAGCCCAGTGCATCGATCAGGGCTTATCAACGGATAGTTGACCGTTGCACCTCGAACCACGGCCACGGAAACTCGCAGGGGTCTCCCAACCTTCCGCATCATCCGAACACTCATCTTCATCAACGGTATCTCGAATCTGCTATCGATGCGAATCAAGAAGCACATAATCATGCGCCGAGGCACCCAGCCAGTCCCAGCTCTAGACTGACATGCGTGCGTGTACCTTATCGGCAATCTCTTGCAATCTCAAGGCTCAAGCTCTCCCGTCACTGTTCTGGAAATTTCGAAATCCTTCTTTGCGGGGAGTAATCGGCTATTGCCAACCATTGAGGCGTCAGAACTGGTATCCACAGTCCGCGAGTGAATTTCATAGCCTGTATTGAAGGGAGATCTCTATTCGCTCCATTGAGATCGGAGATATCTCCTAAAATCCCTCCACCTCTATCCTGTTTACAGAACAGGTCAGTGCCGCTATGTATCCACAGTCTGTAGCCGAGTTAGCTGCCAAGTTACAAAGGCCTCACTCAAATGAACGCTGATCTATTCCTCCATCCACTCTTTCTAACTGAAGACACTTCCTCAATCCCATCCTCTCCGCAGATCTCAGTCTCGATACGCGATCGCCCGTTTTGTACACTTGCTGAGCGTTATTACTTTTGCCGCCATTTCGGCTCCACAGAATCGCTCCTCAAGCATTGGCATTTAAGATTACAAGATCTTGGATACATCTACTATTCCTCGAGGTCGAGCCGATGGGTCAGGAGGATACAAATCTTGTCAGTCGTTCCTACTCTTTCAAGCAGCGAACTAGCATGTGGGTAAATTGTGTCCGTCGAGCAGAAGACGTGGCTCCAGATCTTGAGAGGCTTCAAAGAGGAGACGGGAAGATGCCCGGGGGTAGTTGCAATATAATATTCATTTAATTCGGCCAAGTTGGTATATTGGATCTTTGTCTTATTAGTATCTAGACTACAGCTCAAATCTTTGATTTTGATTTTGATTTTGATTTATAGGTATTTCGTCGGGTCTTTGACAATAGTGGGGTTTTTGACAGCAAGTGTGAATAACCGTCTGTGTAAGAGAGCCCTCTTGCCGTATCCAGACCGCATTTCGAATTTCTGATTCCAAATTAAATGCGCTTCGTCGGGCCTTTGACAACAGTAATGTCTTTGACAAGAGTTCTGAAGGGACTGTTTGTGCCGGGAGATTCACTTATCAAAGGTTTGTGCCTTCGGCGTTGAAGTGAGGCATAGCCAGCCTCCTGACATCCATTCTTCTCAGAGACTGCCAGGTGAGATGCTGACTTTGCACATCATGTCCCTCACTTCCTTTGGTAAGAATAGGAAGTGTTCGAATTCGTTACCAGACCTTAGACTGTAGCACATCTAACTTAAACATTATTACGTGCAAGTTATTACTGAATCCAAAGTTCTGGTTGGCACGCTGGCTATGTCAATTGCCATACACGTGATTCTCCCCTTTAGGTTAGCTCAGATGCAGAGGCATATAAACCCTCCACTGAACCGCACTTCTTGTACTTTAGACATCTCAATCTATATCAACTTTACCCTCATACTTGAAGCCTAATTACATGCCAAATACTGCCTTGTTCATGCAATTGTCAGATTATTCGCTTATTTTACATACCTTCTTTTGGTGCATATAGCAGACTTCAAATCCCCCATAATTGTTGGCAACTACGTCGCTAAAGCCAACTTCAGTTTCCTGATATAGCTTATTTGAGAGAGCTAGAATAATAACCCTCACCTGCTAGAGAGTAATGCCGGAGAAACGCCGCAGCACCACAGCCACAACAGATCTGTGGAGTGTCAGTGTGGCGATGCACGTACTGTACCTGACAGAGAAGGAGCGAACTTTCACTTAATCATCCCCCCTTACAAATTTTCAAATCCGAACTTTGATGATCCTTGCTTCCTGATTAGTTCTGCGAGCTCTGGTTGCCTTTTTTTTAAATAAAAAAATTAATTATTATTATTCAAGAAAACAAAATGAGTCCCCCAGCAGTGTACTGCACTCTCTGCGGCTCTCCGTTTCAAACCATCGGGTGTGAAGAAGATGCTGCCATCCCCTCTGCGCTCGCAGACACGACTTGGCTGGAGAAAGCGCGCCTCTTGGGGAGGTCGTACGGGGGCTTCTCAGGCACTCTTCTTTCCCGGACATGGATTGGTGTCAGAGCCCCGCTGACTGGGACTCGGCTGAAGACCCCGCCCGGCCTTCTTTATCGAAGGCGAGGATTTCCGTGTTTTCGATGCGGAAAGGGAGGGGGAGAATCTGTTCTCTGTTCAGGATTATTGTCTTGAGATTGCGAAGCGAGTTGCCCGGGGAGCGAGGGGTTGGAAGCGTTGTACAGAGGACTGTGTAGACAGGGGGATTCCAATATGCGGGTACGGTGGAAGGAAAAGAGGGGAGAGGGGATTGTGGCCTGTATGGACTTGGGTGGGAGCACGATTATTTTGGGGCGAGGTTACAGGGCTATGATTGTTGGGAAGTAGGGAGAGGGGATGAGGTGAGTTTCAATCTTACCTTGCAAGACCCAGCCGGAGCGGAAGTTGATGAGGAAGTGAAGTAATGCTGACTAGAATGACAGCAGTTCTGCGCGGATCCGATTAACGTTTCTGGTGTGACGGATTGGGTGTGTTGACGCTCGTTGAGGGGGTTCCGGAGATGAATCTTGAGCTCCCGGCCGCGAAGCTGGAAGTATCAGGAGGAGAAATTTCGAAGGAAAGAACAGGGAAGGGTGGGATTGAAGGTCTTCCAACCGAGATTCTCCAGCAGATTTCTCTGGTTATATTTCTCTCGATAAGGTCGTCGCTCTTCGACTGTTCCGCAAAACTCTTTCGGTCTGCTTGCCGCCCAACCAAAGGATCTGGCTCAGAAGGCTGGTTGGGGGAGACTTGGTCACGTGCCTGTGTGATATTGATGCTGAAGAGCTGATTGCTGGACTGAAGGGAGAGGAGGGAGGAAGGGTCGAAGGGCGGGAATGGAAGGCTGCGGTGAAGTGGCTGGTCAGGATAGGAGTCATGGAGAGGAAAGAAATGCTGGGGTTGAGGATTCGGAGGTGGATTCGGAGGGTTGGTAAGGAGGCGCAAGAGGAATAACGTGTGAACTCAAATTGGGCATTTCGAACGGCTCTCCAGAAACCCACTACTTAAGTCAGATCTTTAATGTACCGTACTTGGCTAACTCTCCATTGAATAGACTTTCCGAGATTCACTATCCCTCAGCAACTCAGTCCAACTTCAACATTCATCACAAGTTTTTACTTCAATATCCCAGTTCAGAATTCCTATCCACAACATTCACTCCATGAACTAAGTATTTCAATGCCTCACCTCGAGCGAGCGTATATCCAAGCCCGAATTGTTGGATCTAGAAAAGCGAGAGCAGATATGTCTTACACTCGTGAATATATTTTACGAAAAGTGAAGGTGAAAAAATCATGCATGCCAAAGTGTATGCTCATGTTACGGTACACTCAACGTATCAAGCGATCAGGAGTGGAAAGCTCGTATTACTAGAATTCTAAGCTAAGGAGAAGGAGTTGGAAGGGCCATAGGAAATCGAGGAAGTTTATAGGTCACGTGGTCACGTGTTTGTCAGCTGAGGTGAGTGCCAGCTCAGTGCCAGCTCAGTGACAGCTAGCTCAGTGACAGCTCAGCATTTCCCCTCTCCATATTCCCATTGAAAATTAAGGTCGCTGTCGTGTCACCATCGCTTCAGCATGGGATCTTTTTGAGACTCTCAGTCGGGCTGATCCGCGTCTTTGGTCGCCGGGTTCACTTTTCTCTCGCAATGACGGACATGTCATCTTTTAGGGACATCGTCCCTGCCGTGGCGTTGGCTGGTATTTCAACAGTACTTTACATTGTCTACCTGGGCTTTTGGCGCCTTTACTTCAGTCCAATCTCCCACTTTCCAGGCCCCAAGCTTGCTGCTCTGACTTACTGGTATGTCTCGAGCTCTTGAACCGTCGCTTCCCAGCGGCTGAATAAATGTTCCCAATCTGAATGCTGTCTTTCTAACCAAACCAGGTACGAGTTCTACTACGAGATCCCCCTCCGAGGCCAATATCTCTGGAAAATCCGCTCTCTTCACGAGCAATACGGCCCGATAGTCCGCATTAATCCCCACGAGCTTCACGTCTCAGACCCAGAGTTCTACCATACTCTTTACGCAGGACCCTCTCAGAAACGGAACAGAGATCCATGGCATACCGACGCGTTGGTGCTCGATGGTGGGTTGTTGGCAAGTCCCGAGCAAGAACTCCACCGGAACAGAAGAGCCGCACTCAATCCTTTCTTCTCAAAACAGAGTGCAAGGAGATTGTTGCCTCGCGTGCAAGAAAGAATTGGTACCCTCAATCGTCGTTTGGAAGAGCTGAAAGATTCCGGCAAGGTAGTCAATGTGCTACATGCACTCTCGGCGGCCTCAAACGGTACGATTTTACCATCACATATCTAAGCACATACTTAGCTGACAGCTCTAGACATCGTCACCGAATTCGCTTTTGGAAAATCTAATAACCGTCTCGAAGATGAAGCATTTGACCCCTGGCTTTCCACGAAATCTTTGAAATCTGCAGCGATGGTTCCCCTATTCCGCCATTTCCCAATAATACCTCGTCTCATCAACTCTCTCCCGGTCCTCATTTCCTCTCTCATCGGCGAGTTCGACATTCAACTCCGTGTAAAAGCGGTACTCTCCCTCCCATCCATCTCTTTCCGCAAAAATACTAACTAGCGACACACAGAAAATAGCGGAACAGATCGAGTCCATTCGAGCAGAAGGAACAAAAGCGGCAGACAAGCAAACAATCTTCCACACTCTCCTCCAAAGCGACCTCCCATCAAAAGAGAAGAGCACCGCCCGCCTCATAGACGAAGCACTCCTCGTCGTTGTCGCAGGCTCACACAGCGTAGCCTGGACCATCACAGTCCTAACTCTACACCTGCTCTCCTCCCCCTCCGTACTGCGCCCCCTGAAATTAGAACTCACTCGCATCAAGCGTGCAGAGCTCAGCTTACCGGACCTCCTTTCTCAGCTGGAGAGACTGCCATACTTGACGGCTGTGATTAAGGAGGCGCTGAGACTCTCGCACTGTGTGTCCATGCGTCTTGCGCGTATCTCGCCGGACTCGCCCATGCAGTGTGGGCAGTGGACAATCCCGGCTGGCACCTCGGTGTCCATGACCAGTGTGCTGCTCCATCTAAACCCGGACATCTTCCCTTATCCACACGAGTTCCGCCCAGAGAGGTGGCTTGACGACCCGGATGGGAAACTGGATAGATACATGGTTGCGTTTTCGGGCGGAAGTCGGATCTGTTTGGGGTTCAACCTTGCGTGGGTTGAGTTGTATATTTTTGTTGCGGGGCTGTTTGGTAGCTTCGGTGGGAGGGGCGAGGAGTGGGAGGTTAGGGAGGTGGGGGATCTGGGGGTCTTGGAGTTGTGGGAGACGGATCGAAGGGATGTGGATGTTGTGAGGGATCAGTTCTTCCCGGTGGTGAGGGATGAGAGTAAAGGGGTGAGGGTGTTGGTTCATAGTTAAGCAGAAAGAACTACGCGTCCTATCGGTGCTGCTAAAGTAAGATGATTAGTTACCGCCGATCGAGGCAGGCTGAGCTTCGAGTTTGCAGGCTTACTCTATTGGGACATATCTGGTTGTATAAACCAGACCCAGGAAGTTTGCTTCTGGAGTCGTAAGCTGAGTTTCATGAGGGTTCTTGGTAAGCTCGTTACCCTAGAATAAGGGAGTGGCAGATGATATTTCATAGTTTGAGCAAGAGAATCCTCCATAATTCAACATTAAATCCCAGCTACTCCCCGCTCCTTGAGCGCCATCTCAGCCCTCCTCTTCGCATCATCCAGCTTCCTCCTCACCCCCTCCGTAACAGCAACCTTCTCAACAAATCTCGGCATAGTCCAGCTCGGTTTGCCTTCCCCAAAGTTCTGCCTATACTCCTCCAGCAACTCAAGATCAAGCTCTTCCCCGCTAACCCCAATATCCATCGCCTTCACCTCAAGCGTATCCCCACTCTTCGGATCCGCAATAATCCTATTATACTTTTCCAATGCTTCATCAACCCAAATCGGGTCAATGAGATGCACTGCTTGATCCTCTTCTTCCCCCTCATCTCCATAATGATGCAAAACTAAAACAAGCTCCTCAACACCACCAAACAACTTCAGCACAGGTGCCGTCCAATCTTCTGTTAACGGTCGTTGCCTCATAGGAGCGTTATTCGTCCAGCCTAAATCCCGCCATATCGCCAATTTCTTAACCTTCCGCATATTCTCGACATCCAAGACTGGAAAGCCGTCGTTGATGTCAAAGATCGGTCCTCCTAAGGGATACACCCAGTAGGTGTCATTTCGGATATATAGAGTATCAAGGACACCGTTAAACCATGTTTGCGCAAATGAGGCCGGTCCTGAGAATACCCTAGGATACGATTTGGAAACAACGTCGTAAGCCTCGCGATTGACTAGGGTCATTTCCGGGGTGGGGGAGTCTGAGTAGAGACCAAGCATATGAGCTCCTCGATATCGAGTCGAAGGAGGTCCATCTGCGCCGAGAGCCTCGTTGATCCGGTGGCGCATTACCCGCCGTTGGAATCTTCGATCCCGATCGGCTTCGAAACTTTCCTCAATGCCAGACGTGCCAGTATCTCGCGCTGCTTCATTCACAGCCCTCATTTCGCCGGGGAAGACCGGCCATGACCTCCCAGTCTTCTGCTCCCACTCTCTAATCGTGCTCTTCAGTTTTCGTTGCTGGAGATGCACGACTCTCGGTCCGGGGAGAGCCGCGTTCCATATCAGGAGTCGGATCTCCTTCGGTAGCTCCGGGAAAAGCGTGAACATCTGTCCTTTGCAACCATTTGACTCGGCCATATTACGAAGGTTGCTGAGCAGGCTCCTGAACCTGAAAGATGGAGAGGGAAACGTGGTGATGGTGGGGTGGCGTTGATTATGAAGCCCTGGAATTAGCGTCTCGCTTCATGATAGGGGCTTAGCCGAACCGCTGACAAGAGAGCTAGGTGTAGTACCGAACGAGGCTTTAGTAGAGCTCGATTTACTACTAGACGACCCTTCGCCTTCGCCCCCTTCACCTTTGTCTCTTTTAATTTCCTCTCCCCTACTATACGTGCCTTCGCAGCTACGTACGTCACTTGCGTCAAGCTCTGCTCCTTTGCACCTGCGTCACCAACTCCCTTTACTCCTGCTTCGTCCTCTATTCGTCTCGACTGTAAAGGTGGACAAGGGCTGTTTTTACTGCTACAACAAGGAGCCTTATAGTCGCGGACTTTGCTATACATACCGGAATCACTGTCCTTAGTTTCACTACCACCTTACGGTGCGTACCCTCGCCGCCACGTCTTCGTTCCACTCCGTACCGTCCGTACGGCGCTTCACTTGCTCCCCTTAGCTCACGGTAGAGCTCTAGAAGGGCAGGGGGTATAAATACGCACGCTTCTGTCCAAGGCATAGCTATCCATGGTTGTTAAAGTGATAGGTGCCGAACCCGGTAGTGTTCCGGCCCGGCATTGTCTTAGCAGAGCGGCGGGAGCTATAATTGAGCGAGAGGAGGTAAATCACGTGCAATACTTCCTCGTTTGCTGTCTTCGGTTCGCAAAGGTACGATAGCTAGTTAGTAGGTTGTTTGCACGTTAATTAGGGGTTTACTACTCGGGACGACTGCTAGGGAGGAGTGGACGAATATAGTGGGGATTTGGAGACGGTCACGCGGGCGGTCACTTGCACTCGGCTATGCCTTAGCGAGTACACCTCCTATATATACAGCTCTTCTCTTTTCTCCTTTCCTCTTAATAAATAGCTTTATTTCAAGTAAACTAGTCTTGAGTTTAAGTCTTATATATTTGTTATTTTAATTTCTTTTTTACTAAAAGAGCTTACTTAATAATATTGTGACGGCGGGATCGAGGCAAGGGCCATGGCTCAAAGATCCAAGAATCTCATGTATTGAAAATACTAAGCTAAAGAAAAGAAGGAGAGAGAGAGAAGGAAAGGGGATAAAAGAAGGGAAGTACTAGCTAAAACCACTGAAACGCCGGCTAGCTAGGTAAAACCAGTCATGTAATAGCCACCCCATATGGCCCCCAGCCAGTGCCGTTACAAATATTCTAAATTTAATAATAAGTTATTATTATAATTAAGCCAAGTTCTAATTATAATAAAATGAGACTTAAAAGGCACTTTCTAATATTTCTTAATTATATACTCTACTTAAGACTATTCTAGAGTTACTTGAGTAGCTTGAGTATTTTTTTCCGGGTTGCTAGGGAATCACGTTCTCGCTTACAGTCGGTCCGATCCAAAAGCGACAAAACGGTCGCTCTTTTACGCCCATAATAACTTTTCAACCACAACCCCAATTAATTAATACTAAGTAATGCGATTATAGAGTAGGACCAGGCGAAAAATACCTATTAATCAGATTTTTGATACGATTTGTGGTTCATTAATAATCGAGGTTTAAAGTGCACGGACCCTTTTTACTTTTTTTTGATTTTTCACCATACAAAACGCAAATATATTTGCTCGCTAAGGTCACGTGAGCCCGTACTTCAAGGGAAGATCGCAGCATCTCACCAGCCTTATTATTAATATAATATTAATATTTAAGCCCTATAAACTTAGAAAAACCTTCCTAAATATTAAATATAGCTTTCTCTGGTACTATACGTATTATATATATAGTAGGGCCATAATTATATGGGATTCAAGCTAATTTTGGCCAAACTAAATCCATAAGCCTTACTTGAGATAAGAAACTTACTAGTCTGTTCTACAAGTCTCTGATCTCGCTTGCAAATATAGGCTTCTCCAAAATAATCGTCTTATTACCACTAATAAAAAGCTTCTGCTGAACCCAAAAGAGCATTGAATCTTCAAGCTCTACTTCATTACTTTGTGAAATATCAGAATTATCAGAATTATCCTCTATATTAGAGGGTTTCCCATGCCGTTCGTCGATAGTTGCTTGGATTGCAGCTTCTTTAGCTATGGTGAGAACTGTGATTGAATCAAGAATTGAATTAGCTCGCTTGCGTTTCTGAAGGCTCATAGAGGTAGCTATTGGAAGTATTCAAAAAGGGCACTTGATTGGGTTTGTGGTTATTGAGGTATTAATATAATCGTGGAAAAGCAGTCAACTTAGGGGGGCAGTCACGTGACAACCAAAGTAAAAAAACGACCATACAAAACGCGAATATATTTGCTCGCTTAATCACGTGAATTATATCACCCTTAATAATAAAGATATTATAATTTTGAGAACATAGAATTAATTCCTAGAGTATATAGTATAGTTTTAATTAATACGATTTATATCAATTAGTATTGTGGTGGTTTTTTTTTTTTTTTGTCGCTTTTGGATCGGACCGACTGTAGCCTTACTCAGATAGCAACTTCTCGCTAGACAGAATTCATCAAGCTTCACAATACACTCAAGATTCCAGCATGCCCAGCACCTGTGCTAGCCAGAAGAGAAGTAAAGGATAGGATATGCGGATAGCACTTTAGCCCACTTTCCCCAATAGCTCCTTAAACCTTAGCCTCTCAGAAATTTGGTGAATTTAACATGTTCTGGTTTTTAACTTTATTTTCTATTCTAAATAAGTAACAAATAAAATAAGCTATATTTAGTTACTCGTCCGCCTCCCAGGTCCGAATTGACTCATCGTGGCAATCATTCTCAAGCTGGCGATATTGTTTTAGGAGGCACCGAGTCCGGCAAGCCGGTTCTAATGAAAGAATATCTAGTTGCTCTAGCAAAACACCATTTACCCAGCGGGATGAGAGAGTGAAACAGAAAGATAATTGTGAACTGTTTAACTTGCCTTCATTACGATAACGCCAAATTTAAAGACATAGATAGTGTCTCAGTAGGTGTGAGATATATCGAGAAGGTCTGTAAAACTTTTTGGTTGGCAATTTTCTAACAAAGAATCTAGGTCCTGCTAAAGCTAAGTGACATACAAGTATATATTTTTCACATCCTGCTCACAGCTTCCAGTCACTTACTGTCCTAGCATCATTTGGAAGGGACCTCATTTCCTGTGTCTCCCAATTTATTCTTATCCTGAAAGTTTTGTGATCCCGACAGCCCACCTCTCACTTCATCATTCCTCGCTGTCAAGCTGATCAGGAAGCCAACAAGTGAAAGTCCCATCATCACCCACCACACAGTCTTCAGACTATCTGAATATAACCACCGGTAAGTTTCTTGTACTGGCTCAGGAAACTCTCTAATGATTTGGTATGCAATTTCTGCCAAATTACCGGGTATCAACATCTCTTCCGGTATCTTCTGTTGTGCATCGTCTTTTGAGATGAGTTTGGTCCATTCATTTTGAAAAATGACCCCGCCAAGCCCGACACCAAAAGAGGTGCCAAGACTGCGAGCAAAGACTTGGATGCTAGTAGCGATGCCAACGTCTTCTCCTCTTTGCCGAGATTGTACAGCGAATAGAGGCATTGGGAATAGAATACCTGCTCCAATGGATGCTAAACAGCGGGGAGCATAGAGAACGGCTTTGCTGCTATCTGGATGCATCGTAACCTGGTTCACATGTTAGTCACTCTCCGAAAGAACTTTGGAAGGAATGCCTACATTGGTCCCCATTCCAGCCACTAAGAGAGCCCACCCAATCACAATTAGATACTTGAATCTCCCAGTCCGCTTTACAATTATACTTGCAACGAGTCCAGCTGGTGCTGAATAGGCAATAGTAGTCATTGTTTCTGCTGCAGAATGAAGTAGGCCGTGCTGCATCGCGCCGAGGAACTAAGATTTTCGTTAGTTTTTGTCCCGGTATGAACTTGGAGGTAAATTTAGCTATCTTACGAAAAGAATAAAGTAGTACGTGAGACACCAAACTATCAAGCCTTGGAGGTAACTAGTCGTAAATCCTGTGATAGCAGAGCGGCCGTTGAAAATCCTCAAGGGCATCATTGGTTTTACAGCTACACGCCATTCGATGTATATAAACACGAGATAAAGCAAGAAGCCCACAACCAAGGGTGCTAGGACTTTGGCAGAACCCCAAGGATGTGCGACACCTCCAGAAGTAAGTCCTACCAGGAATAGCGTCGATGCACAAGTGAAGACTGTCAGACCGAGCCAATCGACCATTGCTAATTTCGTCATGAAAGAGGAAGAATCTTGGTGTAAATGGAGGCAAGCGATGAGTCCAACTATGGAAATAACACATATCGGAATGTTGATCCAGAAGATCCACCGCCAAGTTGTGTAAGTGCCTATGGCACCACCTATAGGAATGCTGTTGTATTGTCAATGTCTATCCATTTCAGAGACGAATAATCATACCCAATATTTGTTCCCAAACTCCAAGCCAAGGCTGCAAATGCCATATATAAACCCCGCTCACTCATCGTACTAATATCTGACAAGATAACCTGTACAAGCTGAATCATTCCACCAGCGCCAAGTCCCTGCACCGCTCTCGCGCCAATCAACCAAGCGACCGTCTTTGCAGTTGCACAAAGGATGCTTGCAAACGTGAAAATGGAGACGGCTGTGAGTAGAGGCCATTTCCGTCCGAATATTTCGCTCGTCGTACCGTAGATGGGAATAGCAACTGTTTGTGCGAGAAGGAAGGAGGTTCCAACCCAGAATGACTCGACGCTGGAGCTTTTAAGGTCTGCGGCAATGGCTGCTAAGCATGCTCCTACTATCACGGCATCCATGGCGCCGACGACTGTGACGGCGCAGAGGAAGAATACCGTGAGTTTGAAACGGAGAGATTTTGGTTGATTTCTGTCTCCTTCTGATGAACTGATTTCAAGGTCCATGGGAGCTTTGGAGGCCATTTGGTCTGTTTTCGATGAAATGGAAGTCATTTTGTGATGAGTTGGACTGCGGAAGGCTTGCAGAATACTGTTGAGTAAAGAAGGGTGAGGAACAGAAATGGAAATTGAACGTCGACGATGGTGCACTCTAATTTCCGGGGTCAGCAGAGAAAGATTTTCGAACCTTCCCCGAAAATTTCATTAGATTTGACATGTGGCAAAGGTGTGGGAAGACTTAAGTGAATTGTAACAGCATCCGCAAATCGCGGCATAAAGTCACGCGATTTCCGGGCATGCACGCCAGAGCTCCACTCGGGCCCACTATAGCCTCTATTACAGTGAGCGCAGAAGCTAAAAGGCCCTGTGACTAACAGCCTTCAAACACTTTAAGACATTTCCAGGATTGAGAGACATTCCTACGGTAATGCCCCTGTAAATACTGGGCCTCTTCCATAAACTGCTCTATAAGATCCCTATAATGCACTGTGTAAGCACGGTACTTGCCTAGCTAATAGCATGGGGCTAAGGCTAGAGGGCACACACCCTGAAGTTGGCTGACTGTATGCCGCGATTTTCGAACCAATATCAAATTGCCCTCGACTACCTCACGATGGAGCAGAACTCTTAAAGCAGCCCCCCAAGGTGGCTTCTGGATGTGGGGCATTGACAGAGTACCCTTGCTGTGTTACAATAAACCTCTGGAAATGGAGAGAGACACATTGCATATGCTGCAGTGCATCCTAAGGTCGGTGTCACAACGCACCAGGATGTGGCCCAGTCTTACGCACTAGTCGGTCACATCGAACCTCTCCAAAACAATCTATTCTCTTCTCAGACACCAGAAAATCTCATCCTCTGTTCAGCTCGCAGCGAGCTGTCTCAGGGTAGTTTGCTTCGACAGTCTGGACCGCCCTTAATTTCGACGATAATTAAGGCGGTAAAGGGTGTTTTAGAGCTTTGACAGTGATTACGCAGTTCTCGCCGTTTACGATGGAGCTATAACTCGAACTACAGTTATTTTGGTGAGAGTCAAGCCTGCCGTGTACCGGTCAGCAATATGTGTCAAATATTGAAAAATGCCACTATTTAGAAATTTGTCTGCTGACATCGTTGCTATGACTTCTTGACTCAAAATAAAGTGATTTTTGTGGACACGTAGATGTTTGGTTTGCCATTTAGAAGCTCACAATAAGGCAGAAGTATATCCCCAAATCCTCGGATTTTATTAAAATTACTAACTGAGATTGCAACTTTATCCTCTCCTTACCTCTCCTCAAACCGGTGGTCGGTACAGTAGACTCCTTGATTCAAGACATGGAAGCTCGTGGGGGAATGGTTCGAAGTCGATTATATCACAATTACGTTAATAAAGCGTGCTTTAGTCTCTATTTATATCTTCATTTGCATGCATGTGAGCGAGAACGAGGGTTTTAGAACAACATAATTCCTTATTGCGCAACCGTACAAGCCCCAACCAAGTGACAGTGAGCGGCTGTGGAGACCGGCAGAATCGTTTTTGGTGGCGCTTATCGGGATAGTCCGGACTGTCGAAGTAGACTGCCCTGAGACACGTCGAGCTCGCAGGCCCCAAACAGCGGCCGACTATGCAGTGTGCGCTGACCACCCTCCCAGCTGGGTGCGCCTTCTGATCACGGCTGTGAAAGAGAGTAGAGAGGAAGATGGTCTTTTCTCTATCGTCGGTCCCGGTCTTGGGGCGCTGGAGCTAAGCTGGGAGGTAGGCTGACTAATATTCTACCCAACACGCCTGCCGCGTACATGCATGTTCTGCAGATAAATCAGCCGCATGCGCCAATCAAGGCTCGGCCCGCTCGGGTGATCGCAATGACGAAAAAGGAAAGACCAAGATGGGGGGGGGGGGGAAAGGCCTAATAAGGTGATTAAGGTCGATACAGTATTAGTAACCCCTATCCATGGGTAAGCTATCCGTCGTGGCACTAATTATCGGTCTCGCCGACAATTAAGGTCCCCATTACGCTTGCCGTGTACAGTATCCTTTACGCTGCGGCCAGCTTTGCACTAGACCGTGCATTCCTAAGAGAGTAAATCTAGCAAATCGGAGAGCCAAGATCGGAATTTAAGTCCTTTGATTTGCTGCGACTTCGCGCGTATAATTGATCCTGAAGCGCAAAGCTTGCCGTGTCGTAGCGCAGTGGATAGCGTATACGTTCAGCCGCCAGCTAGGAACGCATTTCCGTGATTAAATATTACTGCAAAAAGTAGCGAATCAGATGTGTAGAGTAGCAAAATGGGATTTTTTTTTGGTGTAGATTATGCGGTGAGAAGTCCAAAGTGGCTTATTAGTGGGCAGGGGCCATGTAAGCCCTAAATAATACGCCCGGTCCTCTGGAGCAACATGGCTGCTGGGCATGCTGGAATCTTGAGTGTGTTGTGAAGCTTGATCAATTCTGTCTAGCGAGAAGTTGCTATCTGAGTAAGGCTAAGCGAGAACGTGATTCCCTAGCATGATTCCTAGCAATGGCGCAGGAGTTGTCTTGATGTACACCTGCCAAATTTGTTAGCGAATCCAGCCTGAAAATTAAACCCCCGATTAATTTCTTTAACAGCCAGCATACTTATGTTCCCTTAAAAAAGCAACATTAATTACAGTAGAACCTTGATATAACGATCCCTGACATAGCGATATCCTTAGTAATACGATACGGCCTTAAGGTCCCGCACTTTTTTAGCCTTAGGCTTACGATATCCTTGGCATTACGATTATCGTAAGGGTTTTCGGTCCTAACCTTTAATTTTTGGTGGTATATCGTTCTAATTTATCAAGAGAAGGAGCAATTTATCAATGCTCCAGGGCCCTCTGGCACTGGTAGCACAACCTCTTAGGCTATCGATCTCACCGAATCACAGCCCCTTAATCTTACCACTGGTTCTCTAGCTCCTGAACAGCCCAAAAAGAGACGGAGGCATGACAGAAGCTGATCGACGAGCGCTACGGAGGTCTGTTGAACTAGCTAAGTAAAGAAGCTAGGGTCACGTGCTTGCAATGTAAACCAAGTAAAACGTACTGAATTGACTGCTGTTCCGCAATGGTAAATAGCCCGTATATATAGCCCTGAACCCATTAAATCACATGCACTAAACCCCTATACCAGCTGAACCAATTCCAGCTATACAGGGCATTCCAGCTATACAGGGTATTCCAGCTGGACAGGGTATTAAGCTAGTGCACAGCCCCATGGCGTTCGGTTCCAGGGCTTACTAAGCCTATTAGGCGCCTCAGGCCCCTAATTTCAACAAGGTCCTTCCTTATTTATTATATGTGCACGTGATCCTTGATTTAACGATACCTCGGTGTATCGTTAGAAAAAGGCGCTAAAATTGATATCGTTATACCGAGGTTCGACTGTAATGCGCAATCGATAAGAGTACCCTCAATAAAATTATAAAAATTTAATTGCCATTATGGAAGTGAATATAGAAAACGTTGATTTTCGGCCCGGATTTTGGTGTATCGCCGACTCGTGCATGTTTGTCCCTTCGTCAACTGAGACATGCCCAGCGCTAGTAAGGGCTTCACCGAGGAATTATAATTGGGCAGGTAGTGAATCATTGGGATCAGAGCATGATCCATTGAGAGTAGAGGCTGGGACACCCTACTAGCACTGGGCATGTCTCAGCGGACGAGGTGTTTAGCTGTGTGCGTCAACTACGGCTCGGACCGCTCGAGGTAAGCGAAATGACGAAAAAGGAAAGACCGAGGGGGAAAATACCCGCCGGATAAGGTGACTAAGGTCGATATTAGTAACCCCTATCCGTGGGTAAGCTACCCGTCGTGGCACTAATAATTGGTCTCACCGCCGATCAAGGTGCCCCTCAGCTTCCCGTGGTCGTTCACTTGCTTGCGTAGAAGCCCGTTCCCGAGCTTTATTTTTAAATACATATTGGGGCGTATTACCTAAGTTGGGTAGCAGTTGCAAGGATCACTTACTCGCTCGGCCAGGCTCACCTGGATTCTCGCTTAGCACGCTTTCCAGGTGAGGGGGGGCAATACGTAAAAACCAGCAACTCCCTCACCTGGAAAGCGTGCTAAGCGAGAATTCAAGTGAGCCTGGCCGAGATAGTATTAATAACCGTATTAATGTGCTTGAACTCTTTGATCCGGGCAAGTTACGAGTAACCTTACCTGACTCACCATAAGCGGCGTAACAAAGACTCGAAATTACGAAATCGAGACCCCACTTATACTCTCAACTGCTTGGTTCTTGTTGAGCCTCCACATCCGAACTCAACTTGCTCATCTCAAATCCTTCAAACGCCCCATCTTTTGGTCTCCTCTCTCCCATCTATTCAGTCGCACTGTTGAAATGTCTGAGGCCCTGGATTGCCTTGAGCAAGATGGCACCCACCCCCTCCCAAAAATCCGCCTTTCGTTTCCACACCGCCTCAACTGCTTCATCCGCCTCTGGATTTTCAAAATTCTAGTAGCTATTGTTGTTGCAGTTGACCGGCTTCTTCACCCACCACCACCGTCTCTACGTCCTACGCTCATAAAGCACTATCCATGTCGGTCAGTCCTCCAAACAAGGGTTTTCTTCCCACCAAACTACATACCCGGAGAGGTACTTCCGTTGTATCTAAATATCCACGGTGGCGGCTTCGCGGTCTGCGATCCTCAACACGACGACGCGTTTTGCATCATGTGGGCGAAGCGTACGGGGATGCTAATCGTATCTCTCGACTACCGCAAAGCCCCCCTTCACCCATATCCTACGGCAGTCTACGACATTGCTGCCCTTGCCAACGCTGTGCTTGCCGACTCTAGCCTGCCTATTGACAATTCTAAGGTCGTGATCGGAGGCTTCAGCGCAGGCGGAAATCTGGCGCTATGTGCTAGCCAGCTACCCGGCTTGAAGGGCAAAATCAAGGCAGCGTTGACCTTCTACCCAATTGTAGATTGGAGTCACCCTCCTAATGAGAAGCTGGCTATGCGTCCTTACAAAGGGGGGCCGAAAGACTCGCTTGAGTTCTCGAGCTACTGGTTTGATTGGGGATATGTCGCTCCAGGCCAAAACCGCCGCGATCCGCTTCTCAGTCCCTGCTATGCTAAAAAGGAGGATCTCCCGCCCTGGATCTATGTTATCGGCGCCCAGTGGGATATGTTGAGGCTGGAGAGCCAAGAGATGATTCATGAGCTCGCGGGATTAAAGGGTAAAGAGGATCACGAACAGGATTTCGAATCAGGGACGTACAAGTGGACGCTGGCGAGGGGTTGCTCCCATGGATTCACGCACCATTTCGGGCATAAAGCGGAGAAGAGGGCGAAGAGGGAGCAGAAGTGCAAACCTATTTACGATGAAGCCCATAAATGGCTGAAGATAGCACTGGCGGAACAAGATTGTGAGATATCATTTGAACAGATTATAAGAGAGCGTCCACTGATTTTATCCAAGCTATAGAGAAGTCAAAGCAATTAATGGCGTGAGGCATGTATGGTAGAAAGAGTCGTGGTGGTAGGAAAGCGGAAGATCTTGCAATGGAACTTATGTATGGAATCTTAAGAACTCAAAATCTAAGTGTTGTTGCAAATGAAAATTTTCAGAGGTAACTTTAATATCACTAGCAAATTTTTTTAATCTAGATTGTTGCGAGGAATCTAGACAGGTGAGATAGAGAAACTACTTGTGTCGAAATTGACGTACAAATTTGCCCCTTGCAGTAATCCCATTTCGTCAAGTCCATAACAATAGTTTATAGAAACATCGGGATAGAGCGAGCCTAGGCTCCTAACATAATCTTAGAAATACGTCCTCACGACATCCTGTCCCGCCCTAATCGCATATTCCACTAGCTCAAACTTATTGAACCCGCTCGCATAATACGTATTCCTCGTACCCTGCAAATCCTCAAACTTCTTGTAGAAGCCCATCGCCAGCTGCTCCTCGTCAAAGTGCGGAAAATAATCATTCTCCTGGAAAGCCAATATATCAGCATCAGTAATAAGCACGGCTACCGATGTTACATTCCTAGGATCTTTGTTGAGCTTTGAGAGGGTGTTTTTGAGGCGGGGGTAGGCTTGTGCTTTGGTCAAGTTGCCACGATAGGGACCCCATGACGATGTGATGGCTATTTCTAGGTCTTTGTGCAGTTTTACCACTACTACTGGCTCGCCTGTAGGATCGGGAGGTAGCATCGGGTGAGAGCTTGCGGCACCGAAGGTCATTGCGTGTGGTGTCTTCATTTGCACCGCAGCGGAATAGAACGAGTGGGTGCCTACTGGAGCAAAGACTTCGCGCTCGTCCTCGGTGAGATCTAACCCTGCATACTGGAGAGCAGATAGAGTGGGTGGGAATGCCAATACTACGGCGGAGCATGCTTGAGCACGGATTCGAGGGTTGCTCTCACGTAAGCTGTGATACGTGATCATTGGATGGTTGCCGCTTCGATCTATCTTTGCGATTGAAGTGCTAAGATAGATCGGACCCGAGATAGACTTGTCTGCGTATCGAGAAAGCACCTTGTGGAAATCTAATTGCGTTTAGTAAGCCCCCTGTTTGGGACCCCCATAGATTCCATCAAATACTCACCAGCAATATGTACCTCCGTTCCCTGTTGCACTTTCAGCAGTGCCATGGTAACGTCCGGTGTCAAGTATTGGAGCATGTAAATCTAAATACAATTAGCAACAAGTGAAGAAATAATTTTTGACCGCTCACAATTGGCACCTGCCTATAATCTCCATATCCATACGCTACCATAGTCTGTATAAACAAGACCTGAAGCACAGTATACTTGTTCCTTGCCAGCCAGGCTGCCGTCGTTACGGTGAGTTCTTCTGGGATTCCATGCTAAGACTAAATCAGTTCGGGCTATTAAATACTATCGGAAAGAGCTTACTCGGTAGTTTGCGGCTGTGTTGTGGAGGTACAAATCCTTGTTCCACCAATCTATGTATCTCCCAACTTCCTGCATGAACAGAGGGGTAAACCCCGGAGGTGGGGCTGACTTTGGCCAAATTTCCCCACTCGTTGTATTGTACTGATATTTGTCCCCAGATATGAACGGAACAGAAGCCATGCCAGTCTCAACAATCATTTTGATAGATTCTCTATAGGTTGGTGGTGTGAAGATTAAGGCTCCAAGCGGACTAAACCCTCCACTTAATCGCACGAAATTAGTTATAAACCACAACTTCGCATGAAGAAGACCCACTCTTGATAAACTGCTTGGCATTTCCCACCGACTGCGTCTTGTTTGTCAAAGGTAACGGTCCGCCTTCCTTTCAACTCGAGCTCAGCGGCCGTGGTCAATCCAGCGGGACCGGCCCCAACAATACAAACCGGGAGCTCGTTTGGATCTTCAAGAGCGAAAAGACCCAAGGCTAGTATGATCTTTTTGATGATATCCTTCATGGTGTCACTTTACTGAAGTATGTTTGGTAAGAGCTGCTTCCAAAGAATTCAGTGATGAAGGGAGTACTGATGATGTTCTGTGGGGCATCAATAATTGGGAAATAACGAGATTGGGGTTATCATCTCATCTGAAGGATGCGACTTGCATGCGACAGAGTTTTAGATGCCAAGAATCTTTCTGGTCGGGACCACCTGAGCGGTGGGCTTAGAAATATCCGACCGAGCTTGGCATGCGCGCCGCTTCGCCAAATGTCAAGTAGACATAAGACTAGGACATTTTGAGCATTTTTTCTATTAATCGACTTGCACATACACAGCCGCTTATTCATGCAGCTTCTTTTATGTAAGATTAACAAAGATTGCTTGTTTCTTATTATTATCATGCAGCGCTAGCAATGCTATGCAGCCACCAAGACTCGCCACACTTCGTGACATGTCTCACCGGACGAAGTGATAGCCTTTTTTGCACCGATACCCAGTAATACGTACTAATATATAATAATACGGCGTATTGCGGCCAGTACACTGATTACACGTGCATGACCTTCGCGTGACCCGCCCTTCTTACGAACTTCCAAAACGCCCCTAAATGTCACGAGCGCGTCACGTGCAATGTAAGGCTGAAATATTCAAAGATTAGTTCTTCTAAAATTAAAAGGTAGTATAATTTATGCTCAAGTCAAGTATAATATAACTAGATTTACTTTCTTCTTTATTTTCTTAAATGCCTTTTTTACTTTTTATATAACTTAAATTAAACTATAATTATTCTCCTTTTAATTGCTTTTGGAAGTATAATTAAAATATAATTATTGAATAGCTTTAGATAAGAACCATTTCTTATATATCTAAAAGCCCTTAGCTAATAAATTCCATTATTAACTACCCTCTTTAATCGCTAGAACCCCTTTCAGTAATGCGCTAATAAGGTGGCACGGCTAAGTGCCACGAAGTAAGGAATTTAAAAATAAAGATATATCTTCTCCAAGCCAGATATCGCTGGTCTGTTAGTGCTGACTTCGTAATATTGAGTCACAATCAAGCCTTCGGTCGCTCCGAGACCGGAATATTACCAGACACTAAAAGGGACCCCAAACGTGATATCTAAGACATTTCTTGCAGCATGGGCCTCTCGCCGCTTGAATCGTACTGAAAGAGTTAGTGCCGAGGCAAAGATGCAGATGCCTGGGTGAGAGGAATGGGATGGTGGTGGTGGTAAAGATGCCCAAGAATTTGGCTGTGATTTGGAATCATAATGCCTTCAAAAGGAAATGCGTGGAAAGTACAGCGAAGGAGGACTCAGTGTTCGTTATAAAAGTCAAAAACTGCCTCAACTTTCTCGTTACTGTGCCATCACCGTACCAAAATCTCCCAACAAGTCCGAGTCTTTTCACTCTGCGCAAGCTTCTTGCCCATTCAACACCGAAATACGGTCTCGAGCTCTACGGAGTTATTTATGAATCCCGCCGAGAAGAACAGCATGGAAGAGAAAGTTGCTGTTCATTCGAAACACATCGATCTTTACGGAAATGTCTTCGACTTACCGGACTTCACCATGAAGCAGATCCATGATGCTATTCCAGCACATTGCTTTCGGCCTTCGACTCCCAGGAGCCTGGCATACGTTATGCGAGACTACCTGTACCTCGGGAGTCTGATGTATTTCACATATATCTCTGTACCGATGCTATCGTCCGTGTATCTTCGCGCAGTATGCTATGGCCTATATACTGTGTTAGCAGGAATGGTAATGACTGGAATCTGGATTCTTGCCCATGAATGCGGCCACGGCGCCTTCAGCATCTCCAAAACGCTCAACAATACTATGGGTTTCTTCCTCCATTCGTCTCTCTTAGTACCATACTACAGCTGGAAGATAACGCATTCTCATCATCACAAGGCGACGGGAGATCTCCAGCGCGATACGGTCTTCGTACCTCATAGCAGAGAGTACTGGGTCAAACACAACCTCGGCCAGGATGCAGATCCATTGACTGTGGGACATCTTTCAGAGGATGCGCCGATCATCACCCTATGTCATTGCGTTCTCCATCAACTGTTTGGATGGCCGTGGTATATGCTGGACAACCTCAGTGGTCAGAAGAGCCAACGAGGGTTTCCGTACTATAGCCACTACTGGTTTGGGAAAGGTAGCGCTATTTTCAAAGCTTCGGAACTTTCGCTGGTCTTGCTCAGCGATGTGGGAGTTTTGGTGATGACGGGCTTGCTCTACCTGGGTGTTAAGGCCCTTGGATGGTGGACGATGTTGACATTCTACGGTGTTCCATATCTCTGGCTGAACCATTGGATAGGTATGCATTATTTATTAGCAGACAGCCTCTTGACAAGGTGCAAGTACTTACTCTGAATAGTCCTCATCACCTTCCTCCAACACACCGACGGAAGCTTACCTCATTTCACTCACTCCCAGTGGACTTTTGCGAGAGGTGCTGCAGCTACCATCGATCGCGATTTTGGATTTGTCGATACCCACTTCTTCCACAACATCGTGGGAACTCATGTGGTCCACCATCTCGTATCCTCCGTTCCGTTCTACCATGCGCAGGAAGCGACAGAAGCGGTCAAGAAAGTGATGGGGAAGCATTATCATGTAGATAGGGCCACCCCCTTAATGGCTGCCTTCTGGAAAAATCAGCGAGACTGCCAATTTGTGGAGGAGAGTGAGGGTATGGAAGGATCAGGGGTTTTTATGTTTCGGAATCTCCACGGGAGAGGTGTGAAGCCTCGTGACCTTCGCGTTGGCGAGACCATGACAACTTGGTGCGGTAGTAGCTCTCAAAATCTTTAGAGTAGACTCCGGACTTTCTTATATAGACTTCCAAAAGCAACTTCTGCCACATTCTCCTACAACTTACAGGCGTTTCAGGCTTCAGCTGCCTGGAGCTACAGGCCCTAAGTGCCTGTCGCATAAGGATGGCCGCCACGTAATTGAAAGTCTACTGCCCAACGTGTGAGCTTGCGACTTAATTTGACAGCCTATGCGCGGATATAAGAACTCGCCCTTCTGACTTGAGAGCATTTCCCCTGACCTATGGAGCTTATGCATCGATTTGAGAGCTTTGAGGCTCCATATCTTGGAAATTTGAGCGAATACTGACCTCCAATTTAGTGAGCATGCTGAACTAGAAGTACGCGTACTAAATTTTTAAGGTACAGCCGCATGCGAAACACCATTTAAAATGCGATTTTTTAGCGAGAACTAACAAAACGCGATTTTTGCCGCATCGCGCATTCTACCAAATAATCGAACCGCGAATTGCATCACAACCACGACGTAAACGTACGAAGTAAGTTAATCAGATTATTAGGAAGCATCTATACTAACTTCGTATAAAAGGGTTTTCTACTGCCATGCCTATGCACTTAGTAGCAGACATAGTACATCGAATTAAACATGCTTTACGTGGCACCGGCCCTCGACCCTCTAGATAATTTATTCAATAGCTAGCATGTGACTATAATACTATAGTTTAGACTATATATAACTATTAAAGGCATATATTAGTAAATAAACCAATTAAGGCCTCTTCTAGTAATACTAAGCATATTATTACTCGGAAGATAAAGCAGGCTATAAAGTATGTTTTGGATAAAGAGCCCTAGTAATATTAAAACAAGCTTGCCAAATTTTTATATAAAGTCTATAATATTAAGATTAATTAATCTACGGTTTCACGAGCTTTAAAGAGGATTAAGGTTATAAGAAAGTAATTAAAGGTTATGGCTATATAGAGAAATATAGAACTAAGAACATATTAGTAATATTATCTCTAAGACTTTATAGCCTCGTAATTAGTATATATAAACGAATTAGGAAGTAATAAATGAACTAGTAATTAAATATATAGATAAATAGATAAAGGAATTCGTATTCAGGTGAAATATTAGTTAAGTAAAAGAAATAGAATATTAGTTTTTCCGGTATATATAATTAATAGATATATTATATCTATAATCTTTAAAGGTACCTATATTAAAGAGATCTTTAAGGAGTTTATTATTAAGTAAGTTCTTCTAATAATAATACTATATCCAGGTTCTTAATTAGTTCTAATTATAAATAATACCTGTAATAGCTAGTATAAGAGCATGATTTACTAAGGACAGGATATTAGAAATAGGTATAAAACGAAGCTAAGCCAGAATTACTTAGACGAAATAATACTAAAGGTTAAGGCATCCTCTCTATTTTGTTTTATAGCTTAGTATTTTCTAATATATAAGATTCTTTAAACTTTAAGCCTTTAACTATTATATTAATCCCGCTATTACATAATATTAAGCTTACTTGACTCGGCCTATAGAAGTAATATAATACTACTAGTAAAGAACTCGTATTTATTTTTAGAAAGCAAAGATAGAATATTGCTTTTAATATTTAATAACCTCCTCGAACTATAAAGAACTAGAGAGCTTAACTAGAAGTATAACATTCTCTATAATCTAGTTAACCTCGGAGCCTGACTCTTAACTAGAGTAAATAATATTTCCCTTCTAGTAATCGGTTCTCTACTAATATAAAAGAAGAAAGATATTATTCTCTATAACCCGATTAATCTCGGAACCTAACCCTTAACTAGAGTAGATAATATTTCCTTAATACCGACGAGAGTAAAAGAACCGGCCCCTTCTCCTAGTATAGGAAGAATTAGTAATAGTCTACCGATTTAAAATAAGAAAAGATAATAGTCAGTTTTAGTCTACTAACTTAAAACTAGATAAGATAATAATTAGTTATAATTTACTAATATTAAATAAGAAGAACTTACTTAGTACTTATCTCTATAGCTAATACCTCTTCTAAAGCTATTATAGACGGCCCGGGGCCAAGTACTACTAATATAGGTATATTAGATAAGAGGCCCTAGTATAATAAAACGGAGAAGCCGGACTTTAATATTATAAACTCATATTACCGGGAAAGCTATTATAATATTATTCCGGAAAAAGATATTAAGAAATAGCTAGCTAACTTAGAACTTAAAATTAGTATAAATACTCTAAAAATAAATAAGGCCTAGTAAAGATTACTTATATAGGATAACCTTATTAATAAATACTACCTTATAGCTAATAAATAAGCGAAATACTACTAGAAATTCTACTTATATATTAATTAATTTACTAAGAAAGTTAATGAACTAGAGGTAATTACTAGTTAATTTCATATAAAGAAAAGACTAGTATAAGAAGAAGTAATAAAATAAAGATCCAAATAAGTAGATATTTAGAAATACTATAGATTCCTGTTAGGAGAACTATTTGGGGACTAATATTAAGGTTTTTTTCTGCTTTTAGTTTATAGTAATTAACTATAGCTTATTAGAATCAAGAATTCTACCCTATTTATAAATAAGAATAATTACTAGATTAATAATTAGATATTTAATATAAGAAATAAACTAATATAGAACTTCTTTAAATTTAATAGCAAACTACTAAAAATTACTTATATAATATAACTAATTACTAGAAATACCCGTAACTTTATTCGTAATTAACTAGAACCTAAATTAGTCGGATAGATTTTAATTACTAAATAGATCTTTAAGATTCTCTAGTAAGCTTATAGTAAAAGCAAAGAAATAAAGTACTAGGAAATAAAAGAAGTATACTAATACCTGAGATAAAAGAATAAGCTATTTCTGTTACGAGTATAAGATCTAGGGCCTGGAAGGCGTGATTAGACTGTCTCTATTTCGATGATTCAAAGCTAAAGAGAGAAAAGGATCCCGAAGGAGCCTCGGATCTAAATAATCGCAAGCTATATACGGGCCTACATGCTAGCTTAAGCTCGGGGTCACGTGCAACGATCAGGTAACTACAGATATCTTGCTCAGATACCAGATGCCTCTCTAGCTCTAGTCTAACCCCTACTAGTACCGTATATCGTAACAACCGTAACAATTTCCGGTATTCTAGATAAAGTTTACTTATTTAATAATAAAACTGGGAAAGTTACTAGATAACTAATATAATAACTTAATAAATAAAATAAATCTCGAGCTATTTAAGAGCTTATATTACGGTTATTACGATATACGGTACTAGTAGGGGTTAGACTAGAGCTAGAGAGGCATCTGGCATCTGAGCGAGGTATCTGTAGTCACCTGATCGTTGCACGTGACCCCGAGCTTAAGCTAGCACGTGGGCCCGTATATAGCTCGCAATTATTTAGATCCGAAGCTCCTTCGGGATCCTCTTCTCTCTTTAGCTTTGAATCATTGAAATAGAGATAGTCTAACCACGCCTTCCAGGCCCTAGATCTTGTACTCGTAATAGCTTAGGTAATAAGAAGTTTAATACTTCTAGGGACCTTACTAAATAGTATATAAAATAAGAGAATAGGCTTCTTTTAATTAAAAATTAGTAATTCTAGGAAAAATAACTAGTAGAAACTACTTATTATTAAATACTATCTTGAACTAAAAAGTCTACCAGGATTTAAGGAGCTATAGTAACCCTATATCTAATAAATTAACCTTAGTAGCTAGTATTCTTATAGCTAAAGAAAGTAGTTTACCGAGAATTTGAGAAGAGACTAGACTAGCCAGAGGGCCTTTATTATTATAGTTATAGAAAGCCTAAATATATAAAAAGTACCTGTCCTAACTTTAATAAGGTTATATTTATTAAAGAGAATTATTTAGAGAGAGCTAATAATTTAGGAATAAATAATAAGAATACTAATTCCTATCTATTATCTAATAAGAAATATAATATTAATAAGTCGGGAAAAGTCTAGCTCTAGATATAGAAATAGCCTTTCTAGAATAAGAACTTTACTAAGAACCCGTAGATCTCACTTAGCTAATTAGCAGAAACTAGTTTCTTATTAATTATTAAGTATATTAGAAAGATAAAACTATAACTTTCTAGTATTTAGTAAATACCGGAATAAATACATATATTTTAATTAACTAAAAATATATTTGCCCTTTAATAAAAGTACTATAAATGCCTTTATATAAACTTAAAACCCTTATTCTCTTATAAGATTTTAATAAATAATCTAGTAAAGCTATTTAATATCTAGCTATTATAGATCTAGCTATTAATTAGTACTCTCAAACTTAATAATACCTGCTTACTACTAATCTTAACTCTTATAATATAATTCTAGAAAGGAAATAGCTAGTAAAGTATAATATCCTATTAAACTATTAATAGAATTAATTCTATTAGCTAGAGAACCATAAGACAAATTAGCTAGACCTTATTTAGAAAATCCGATATTTTAATAAGAAATATTAAAAAGATAACTACTTCGAAAATATTCTAACTAGAATCCTAAAAGGAACTAGTAAAACCAGATTCGAGAAGTAAAAGAATATATTTCTTATTTTTTTATAAGACCTTTTTATAAGAAAAGCTAAATATTAGATAAGAAAGAAAGAGCTAGATCTTAATATTTTTGAAATAGTTAAGCTACTAGACTATCCCTACTATTTTATTAGAGTAATTGCTTTTTAATTAAATACTAAAGACTCTAGTAACTTAGTTAGATTAGTTACTATTAATGAGATTAATTATATACTTGAAAAATAAGATTATAAACCAAAGAGATATTTACTATTACCTATAGTAATTAGATAACTAATACTATAGCCTGCCGGATACTATACTTAAACTAGTAACCTAATATATTTCCTGGATATAAATAAACCTAATATCCTTAGTAATATACTATTTTTTAATTCTAAAGAACTTCGAGAGCTCTAGATATTTCTTTTTATATAGCTATATAATATAACTAGGGCATTTTCTAAGAAAGTAGTAAATAAGCTT